TTTTTCTTCATGTTATGTGAATCTATGTAGGGCAGTAACACCGTATCTTTGTCACAAGTTGACCAGACAGGTTAGTTACCATAGAACGGATCAGGTACGGGCGGCTTACCTAAGGTCACGCAATGCCCCTGGTCACGGGTATTTTTAGAAACACTGAACCCTGCAGGGTCCGGACAGACCCTTTCATTGTTATATAGTATTCTATCTAATTCTAGTCCTCCGTTCTTAGGGATTGGATATACTTCCACCAATCCTACAATCGGCACGGCCATATTGTTCAAGTATTTTCAAAAATGAGTCTCCTAAGATGAACGGCCACCATGTTCAAGAGCAGGGACTCATTGACCTAATTGACCTGAAGAGTCTGGAACCCAGCTCGCATCGGGTGCTGATCCTTCGGTCGCTGATCCGGGGGATAAATTCCTCGGTGCCGATATCATCCATAGAAGCGCATCTGATCCCTCTGCTGGCGCTTGATACAATTAAACAGAGAAATGTGACTCTTTACGCAGTATGGGACTAAGAATTCATTAATACATCAAGCGAATGCTGATCTTTACCATTTCTTTGCGTCCCCTCCAGGACTTGAGTCGGTAGTAATGTGACTGACAATCAAATTTTGATCCCCGCCCGAGGGACTCCTCTCTTGGCCTTTTCTCCTGTTGGTTCAATCATTCTGTTAGGTCTTCTTTGCTTCAGCCGGACAATTGAGAAAAAAAAAATTCTAATATTTCCTTCCTCGTCACTAATACTAATTTCCTATAGGTAGGAGAGTAACATACCTATCTTTATGATGATCCATCTAAAGAAAGCGCTCCCCACTTGATTGATCCAATTTGCAATCATTCCTTTTCGTTGTTTACTTGAGCTTTCCAGTCTCTTTCTCGTCTCCTGAACTCGACTCACGACAGTTCCTTTCACTCTTTCTGCCCCTTTTGGTGGATTTTTTTTTCATGTTGCTCTTCGTCCTTCTTTCCTACTTTTAAATCCTTTTTTGGATCCCTTATTATATCTCCGGTCCCCTCTTTTTCGCCCACGGCAACGTCGCCTATCATGTTTCGAGCCCGGCGATACCGAGTTCTGCTAATCTTTGCAGCTGTATTTGTCTTGGCCATCATTCATTTTAGTCGATCTCGCCAGCCCCCTACAGTGACACTGGGAGTACCTCCGCCTGTCGATCGGCCGGGCTCTTACCCTCAAAGTCCACCCGCAGCGGACAACAAAGGACCTGCACCAGAGACCCCTCTGCCAACGCCTCTACCGAAGGGCTCGACTGATCCCAGTACATCAGACGACAAGGTCCCTTCGCAGCCTCCCCACCCAGACAACGGTTTATCGACCCCTGAACACCCCAAACCGTCGGACGAACCGCAGTCTAAGGAGGATGGGCCTCATTTCCCGAACAACTCTGGCTCGCAGAGTCAGGGTACACTAGACTCGGACCGGCTTGAGGATCTACCGGTGCCTCATTGGAAGAAATTGCCAGAGCGATATCCTGTCACACCCGCAGATTTGATCAAATTACCGACCGGCAAATCTAAGTCTCTGCCGAAACTGCAGGCTAAATTCTCCGATGAAGCATCTGAAGATAGGATCAAACGGCTAAACAGATTGTCCACCATCAGGGCAACATTCGAACATGCATGGAACGGATATAAGACGAATGCTATGGGTCACGATGAGGTCATGCCGCTCCGCGGTGGATTTCGAGATCCTTTCAATGGGTGGGGTGCAACACTCGTTGACACGTTGGACACTCTTTGGATCATGGGTTTGGAGGAAGAATTCTCTATTGCTATCGATCAGGTGAAGAAAATAGACTTTACGACAAACAAGAAGAGCGAGATTCCGGTTTTCGAAACGGCAATCCGATATCTCGGTGGTCTACTGGGTGCCTACGACATCTCGGGACATAAGTACGACTTGCTCCTGGAGAAAGCGGTCGAATTGGCGGAAGTGTTGATGGGTGCCTTTGATACGCCCAACCGGATGCCGATGCTCTTTTACAAGTGGAAGCCGTAAGTGTTACTGTATGGACCTGATATCGTTGTAGTTCTGGGCTAACGGTTTTACCAGGGGAGACGCATCAAATCCTCATCGTGCTAGTGCCATGTCCGTCCTTGCCGAACTGGGCTCTCTTTCGGTAGAATTCACACGCTTAGCACAATTGACCAGGGATGACAAGTACTATGATGCAATTGCACGGATCACGAATGAGTTGGAGAAATTCCAAAGCCAAACTAGCATGCCGGGCCTGTGGCCGATGAAGGTCGATGCTTCTGGATGTACAGTTTCTCAATCCCGAACTGGCCACGAGGCCCCGCGTGATTTACCACGGAACTCTTCCATCCCTACGACTGCCCCTACGGCTGCTGAAAGCACGATATCTTACCCGACTGACGCGGAAAGTTACAGAATTCTTTTGGACTCACGCCAGCTGCATGAAGACGCACAGCCAGCCATCTACGACACAAACCCCCAGCTCCCAGCTCCCAAGGCCCATGAAATTCCAACTTCAACTGGAGACTCTGCGGGGTACTGCAAAGGGGGGCTTACCAATGCGCCGGGGTCCTTCCAATTTGGGCTCGCGGCCCCCGGGGATTCGACATATGAATACCTTCCTAAGGAATATATGCTTTTAGGCGGTCTCAACGAACAGTATCGTACAATGTATGAGAAGACCGCGGATGCGGCGCGAAAGCATCTCCTCTTCCGGCCCATGATCAAAGACGACCGTGACGTCCGCTTTTTAGCTACCGTCACCAAACCCCGACTGGACGCCGAATTCGTCTATCAGTATGAGGGGGCACATCTGACCTGCTTCGCTGGCGGCATGTTTGCCATTGGGTCTAAGTTGTTCGGAATTGACAGTGATCTTCAGCTCGCAGCTAAATTGACGGATGGGTGTGTATGGGCGTATGAGTCTACGAAGACCGGTATCATGCCCGAACAATTTCAGATGATACCCTGCAAAGACGATGAACCGTGTGTGTGGGACGAGAGTAAGTACTGGAAGGCTTTGGATCCTAACGAGGAGCAACGTCTTGCTAGGGGCAAGATGCAGAAGGAGCTTAGCGCGAAGACGGAGGAGAAGAAGGATGAAATGAGAGGAATCCAGACCAACGGGACGTCTCCCACTCCAAGATCACTTCGCGAGAAGCGTGACCCCGAGCGAGGCAATTGGCACGTCGTCGCCAGCCCTACACATACACCTAAACCTAGTGATTCTAGCGACGTAGAGGGACGGGGCCCTAAAGGATCTCCGGCAGATTCAACGCTGTCTCACGAAGAATTTGCTTTGTCGCGGATCCAGAACGAGCATCTTCCGCCGGGTGTGGTCCGCATTAACTCTCGCATCTATCTCCTTCGCCCTGAAGCCATTGAGTCCGTCTTCATCATGTACCGCCTCACTGGTGAGGAATACTGGCGCGAGAAGGGTTGGAAGATGTTTGAGGCCATCGCCAAGTATACTCGGACGGAGGTAGCGCATGCCACGATCAAGGACGTCACCGTCGAAAAACCGACAAAATCCGATGAGATGCAGTCGTTTTGGCTCGCAGAGACCTTGAAATACTTTTATCTACTCTTCAGTGAGCCAGACGTGGTAGATCTCGACGAATATGTTCTGTAAGTGCTTTTTGTGAGCGTGTTCTGTCTGATGGATAATGATGCTAACCACTGGTCATTACAGGAACACTGAAGCGCATCCTTTCAAACGCCCCGTATACTAGTTTTCGTTTAGTTTTGTTTTGTTTAATTCCTGTTATTTTCTATGTAAAGAGTGTACTGTGATACCAAGGAGCAAGTCCATGAGTATATAAGCTATACATTTTGAAGAAGAGGGTCTCCGATCTTGAACCGCCCCCAGTTGAATACTGTCTAGTGTAGTAGACGAAGTAGACGGATTCTACTAGTCAGGCTCAGATTGCTGCGAAAACGTCAACGAGTGCCCAAGTCCGGCATTGAAGTGCATTCCTAAGAGGGAAAAGCAAGCAAGAAAGAAAGAGAGCCTTAGGCCATTTATGCGGAGGGATCGCCGCGAGGGCCCCCCGCCGCCCGCCTTTAGTTCCAAAAGTTGGCCACACACACTCAACTCACCCTTCATCCTCAAGCACCAACGTCATTAACCCCAGTCAATTCGCTACCCTTTGTTCCTCCCCCCACGGAGCCCACAGGCATTCGCGACGGGCGCAAAGACGGGATGAGTGCAGAGTTACGACACACCCGACGACGACGAGCGAGCCGTGGGAAATGGAGTTTGAGGTCTCATTGGAAAATGAACAACAGTTCTGGGATGGTAAGTGATTTCATAGGGATCTGCGCTCTGACTTGCGCCAAAATACCTGTCTGGATTCAACTCTTTCTCAAGGAGGCATTTGGACTTTTTCCCTTTATCCCATGCCCCTCTACACTTTCCAATCACTCGGGGTAAAATAACTGACATATGCGACGTGTTCTTATCACAGAGATTCAAGAGATTGTATCCGCCCTTTGCTCCTCCGAAGACCTCATTGACAATGCTCTGCGATCTTATCTGAACCTGGCGACCAAATACAAAGGTCCGATATTGTATTTCTTTCATCCGAATTACTGAAATCCTTTTGCGCTTGCGCCATGTGAGGAGGATCTACTAGGGAACTGGACATGGGCTGATAGTACCTGGACGATAACAGATGAATACCTCCAGACGGAATTGGAGGTCACGAGATGCTCGTACAAGCTGCTTTCATCGAAGATTTTCGCCTCACATACGGGTTACGTTCGGAGACAAATGATCTACGGTTTATTGCAGGTATGATCTTGTTACGGTCACCCCAGCCGTGCCTATTCGAGACCAGTCATTAACGGCAGATTGCACAGGACGATGATCCGGATACACTTTACCTAATCTCGTCGTTCCTTCTCTTTGACGGTCGGCAGAATGAAGTCGCACTACACATGATGAACGAAGAGGGTGCATTCCCACGTTTGCTAGAGCTCCTTCAAGTGCAACACAGGAAGAAAGAGGTCGAGGGCGATGGAGCGGGGCTTGATCGACTTTTTATGGACTTAATCTATGAGATGTTAAGAATTCAAAGAATCAAGATGGAGGATCTGGGTGAGTAGTCCCTGTTCGTGTTGAGATGGCGCTTCCACCAGCTGGACCGACTATCCAACGAAGGGTGCGTGTAAACTAACTATTTTGATGACCGCAGTTCTCGTGGATGATGAATGCATCAAAAGCCTCTTTGATATCATTGAAGAGCTCTCCTATGATTCAAGTGACCCGTACCATTATACAGTAATTCGAGTTTTGGTGAGTGGGCCCTGGGCAGGCTTGGTGCTATTATTCGAAGGGTCATGCTCATCACTAGCAGTTGGTTCTGAACGAGCAATTCATGATCTCAGCACACGATCCCGTGGACGAGAAGAGTTCGACTCCATTGACAAACAAAGTTATTAAAATCCTATCAATGCATGGGAATCTCTATAAGACGTTTGGCGAGAACATTATCCTTCTTATAAATCGAGAAGGTAGGTGGTATCATTTCAGACTTTAGTCGTCTGTGGTATTAACAAAGACAGCCGAAACGTCGCTTCAGCTTCTTACCCTAAAGCTACTGTACCTGATATTCACAACGCCTACGACCTTTGAGTATTTTTATACGAATGATCTCCATGTGCTGGTCGATATATTAATCCGAAATCTTCTGGACCTGCCCGAAGAGGCTTCTGCTTTACGGCACACTTACCTGCGCGTTCTCTACCCATTGCTAGCCCATACCCAATTGAAGACGCCGCCACACTACAAGCGAGAAGAACTGCAAAGAATGCTCAGCATCCTCGTCCGAGGTCAGCTTTCTCGCAACGAGATCGACAAGGGTAAAATCATGCATTTCGACGAGGTCGACGAAACGACAAGAAGACTCGTCATTCGATGCGCTACCGTGGACTGGCTGCGAGATGAAGAGCCAGACGCTCATGTTACTAAAGGGCCCAAGGTAGAAGCCACTACACCTTGTCCTACGATCCCAGATGGCTCTCATCCAGAGGCTGAGGCAGGTACGCCTTTGGAGCTAACGACATCACGGCCCATTTCTCCCACGAGCACAGTTGGGAGCTCCCCCGTGACTCTGTCTCCGACCAATCTCGATGAATCGTCCAAAACAGAAGTACTCAGCCAAGCGCAACGCTTGGGAATGCACTTGGAACCTGCATCGTCGTCCTCCCTGAGCGTACAAGAAGTAGCCGCACAGCACGAGAAACCAGGCGTTCTAACGCCGAGCCGCAACAAGACACAAACAGCGACAACGGACCGCCCATCCAGCCCCAACAAACCAAAGATCAAACCCCTACCACCGAAGTCAAGACGCTGGCGTGGACGACGCACTACTGGAGACGAAAACGACAAGATCCCTGAAGAGCCAGGAATAGGACCCGGAACCGGAACAAGCGCAAGCCCAAGTCCTGCCGCACCCTCAACACCATCGATCCCACAAGAACCGTCCGACAGAAGGAACTCAACAAGCACATCCGGCCTCGTGCCTCCTATCCCAGCTCACGGCCGTCGCTCCGTCTCCAACCCACCCCCAGCTGTCCCCCCACCGAGACGGTCTACCCTCCCAGTAGTCCACCCTCATCATGTCTCCAGCCACTGTACCCCAGTCACGAGTCCGTCCCGGCTCCACATCCAACAGAACAGCAACTCCGCCCAAAAGCACGGCCAGAAACCCGAACCACCCAAGACCCGTCGATCGGGTCGACGCAGACCATCCCAAACAGAATCCCCAACCCCAAGTCAAGACGGACACGATGGACACGCCGCGCTCGCTGAAATTCCGAATGAAAAACACCACGATAATATGACCGTCAGTGTGGAAGAGGCCGTACAGAATGTGTCTCTTAGTTAATGATTTGATCGGCTGGGGCTATTGATATTATCAATTGACTAATCTATTGCATAAAGCATTCATAGGCATCGGTATGGCGCTGTGTTTCCTTGCAAGATTGTTTTCCTTCAGGCTCGGGTGTATGGAGTACGATTTCTTACTTGGTTGCATTGATATACAATAGTAATAGCATAGCGCTAGAATACTAGAGATTGGCATCTTGCTTACTGCATTTGTTTGTTTGGCTGCTTGTAGCCATGAATTCCTAGGTATGTTGTAATTCTCAAGCAGCGGCGAAGAATATGACGTAGCTTAAGAGAGACCTGTTCTAGTAAGAATGTCACTCGGCTAGGGGTTGCATCATCAATTGGGCTCTACAGTAAAATCCTATTGCTATTTTACGTTGTCCACATCCCTCATGCCGAGGGTTGAGTTCCTCCACTATCTAGGCTTCCTCGGGCTTTTGTGAACCTGACTTCTTTCTCCTCTACACGACAGTCCGGTCCTTTATTCCACACTAAGTGTCGTCTGAAGTGAGAAAATCATATCCCGCGACTCTTTACCAAGCTGAACGTACATTCAAGGGAACGAAGAAGGCCAAGATAACTAACTGTATCACTGCATCTTCCTCTCTGAGGCTTTGACTTCAGCTATGTCCCTACGTGATGGCCAAAGCCAAATTGATTGACTTTGGATTACCTAACCCTACCTAGCATGATGCTAGTTAGTTAGTTACTAGGATCGTCGGACACAGACAGTACGTAATCAAAGCTGAACCCTCAACCTCCAAAACAGACTAAGATAGGACAAGAAACAGCGATGTATAGTACATATGTTGGAACGGAACCAAATCGCAAACCTTCCCCTTAGCTAGACCCTTACTCCGCCTGTATAATCTCCCGATTCTCAAACAAAGAGGCCCGATATAATGGCAAACAGTCCCTGCGCTAGAAGAGAATAGAAAACATATCGCAGGGCGCCCACATACGCTTGAACGGAAACAGCTCTCGCTTCTCCCGAGAGGTGCTGAACTGCCGCAACATCGAAGCCAGTCATGTTGTCTAGTTGGCCAACTGCTTCCAGGGCTTGGCGCACTTTCATTTGGAATAAGACTGACGACACCGCCAAACCAATCACCACGCCTGTGGACCGCACGGCCCATGAAGCGCTCTGCACGGTTGCCATGTTCTCCTCCCAAACGGACGTGAGAATTCCCATCAGATTGGTAACGTATGTTCCTCCAACGCCGATACCGACGATGCCGAGGAAACAGGTATGGCTTCCAAGAAGACGAGTCGGGGCCCAACGAACAAAGGAGACCGTAGGCGATGGCAACAGTGGATAACAGAAGAACGTTCAGGTGATAGTATCGTCGTATACGAAGAACAAGATAGCCAACAGCGTCAGTACAGGCACCGAAGGCAGCGGCTAAGGGGATAAGTCGCAACGCAGCGTCAAAAACGGAGAGGCCCAGGACCTCAAGGTAGAGAGGCACACAGAACATGGAACTAACGAAACAGCCTGTGCTAAAAAAAAAGGCAGTGATCTGGATGACGCCGACACTGCGTTGCATCAAAGCCTTTAGCGGCACCACGGGACTCTCGGTATGGTATGTGCTATAGAGAAACACGGAGAGGCAGGGCACGACCAAGCACAAGGGGGCGATGGCGGCGGCGTCGGTCCATATGAGGGTGGTGCTTCCGCGGTTGAGTCCGAACTGCAACAGCACAATTGTGGCAACCAGGGTGGCCATGCCAACGACGTCGAGGCGCCGGTGAGCCGTCGTGTTGGCGCGTTGGTCTGAAATCTTGACGTACCGAAAGACGACGGCGCCATCGAGAACGATAATAGGCACCTGGATCAAGAAGGCCCACCGCCATCCAATAGCGGCATGAATGGCAGCGCCATATAACCCCCCGAGAGCCATCACAATGCCGTAGAGCACATTGGCAAAACCCTCAATGAGGGCGCGGTGGTGGATGGGGATGAGATCCGTCTCAACTACTGATGTAATCGAGGCGATGGCGCCGCCGCCAACACCTGTAAGACGCGGCCAACCAAGAACAGCCGTAGATGCGACGTTGCCAGGCCGCAGAACAGTGTACCCAGAGCAAAGAGAGAATAGTTACCGGCGAGAGCCTTGCGGCGCCCGAAGACGTTCGCCAGGTGCCCGCCAATAGCCTGTGATACGGTGCTGCCGATGACATAGGTCGTGGTGATCCATGAAAAGCTCGATGTAGCCGATAGAGAGCTGGCAATCGGCGTCGTGATCGTAGCGATCATGGTTTCATCTTAGTGTTTCGTGATAGTCAGTGGAAGAGGGTTTACTACTGGTGCGCACAACGACGATGACATACCGAGTGCCATAAGCAGAGTTCCGAGCTTTTCAGTTATTAGTACACTCGAGACAGACTTAATGAGAGGGAAACCAACCCAGAGGCTACCAATTACCACCACAAGATGTCGCTTCTTTACCTCTCTTTGTCAGGCTAACCTCTGACTCGCGCAGTCTTTCGTCGCTAGAGATGGCTCGTGAGGACCTAATATCTTGCTGTTATTTGACAATTTATTTGTTGATTCGACTGCCTCAGTATGTAGTGGTCCGTACTTATATACTGTATATGTATGTATGTATGTATGTATATATGTACATACTACATCGGGGGTCAGGGTGGGTCTCCGTCTGTCCAAGATTAAGCTTTGACTTAACCTAAATTTAATGTCAGGCATTAAGTATATTGCATCTGCTGTGTACTCGTACTCAAAAAGCAACGTTTCACTAATTCAATATAATTCTAATCGATAGATGGATATCTCCATGCGATTGGCCGGAGACACCCGGTGTCTTTGTTCTCGAAGGCCACGGATCCTGCCCATCATCGGTCTGTCAGGGTTCCAAGCGACAAAGGAGAAACACTCCTACCTAACCTTAGCTATGGTGATGTGCCAGTGGATCACCGCGGAGGAATCGCCCGGATCCACCCGGCCTCGGAATCCCCATTTCACGTTAGCGTCTCCACAATCAGATACGATTTCATAGAAAGAGCTTCAACCATTGTGATGACCCTGGTAGGTATTAAGATAGCCAGGATAATGGAGTCAGAATAAGTTCCATTACAGAGCGGGTGGCACTCATGCAGAAAGATCCAGCCACGATGACTCAATCCCGGGCTCTTCCCAAATCTGCATTCCTTTGGCCGAAAAGCTGACCATCCTGGACTATGTTGTATTCGCCGAGGACTGGGATGAGTGATGGGATTTGCTTGGCCAGTGTAGAAGGGGAGTCCAGAAGTTTTCAGGTCGTCATCCTCTTCGGGTCTTTTCTTGTCCCTTTCCCTCTTGTCTACGGCATGATCACGTACTCCGATCAGCATCTCGTTTCTACTGCCAAAGCAGCACTATTTCTGGGCCTTTGGACGAACGACCCTCACTCTATCGCGGCCTTTGCAACAAGTCCCAGTTGCGTGCGCTTTCGCAGCCTGATCAACCTGTCTTATCCGCGAGAGATGTGGCCGACTTGCGGCAAAAGCTGCATGCTTTGCCCAGTCCACTGAGCTACCCATCGAGCATCAAGCCGAACCGGAGTTCTTCGTCCGAAGGAGTTATGCCGGTGCAGACGAAGGAGGAGCTCTTGGAAGCGATGCACAAGAATCACATAAATTTCCCGGATCGAGAGCACCTCATTGAACCATATGCTTCAGGACCTGAAGTGGACGCTAACTTTGTCCTGGTTGACGGCAGGATCATGTTCAGTGAAATCAACGACGATTTTCCGTCCGGTGCCGACATGTCACAGTCACCTTCCTTTACCGAAACTTTCACCATAATGCCCTCCGGTCTTCCCCCATCTGAACTTACTCTGCTCAAATCACAGTTAGTTGAGTGCCTCCAAAGCTAAGGTCTGAAGACAGGCATGTTACACGTCGAGGTGTGTGTGCAACATAGTCGTATGAGCTATGAAATGCTGGGCCGGGCCATGGACCTTATTGAACGACCTCTACCGGACTCTCAAGAGCCAAGCGTTTTCCTCGTTGAGATCAATCCGCGTACGCCTGGACATCAGGAGTCTTTCGCCGTCGAATACACCTACGGCATCGACTACTACGCACTGTACACACTTCTTGCGCTGGGGCAGTTACCTGAAAGTTTTGGTAAAGGAAATATTCCAGACCCCGCACTCAACGCCTTAGAACGTCTCAGATGTCCACTTCCCGAGATGATTCAGTATCCCACAAACATCGCCTTTGTCCCCGTCTCGCGAGGTGGCACATTTGCTGGAGCAATGCTCATTCCAACTCCACTCCTGGCACACATTCCACATTACTGAGTCCTGCTAAAGGAAGGAGAAACGATCACGGACCCCCAACAATCTGCAAGGTGGGCATTTGTTGCATACTTCTTTGGTAACAGCCAGTCTCATTGGCCAGCCGGGGCGGGAGCAGGTTCAGGCACTGGGCGAGTGTATTCGGCATGCGTTTCACTATGAAGTTCTCTGACCTTTGAAACCTGCAATTTACTTTCTTTCTTTAATCTAGTTTAAATCATACCCTCTCCGTATAGTACACTCATACCTACACCCCGTATTCTAGTATACTAGGTATCTATGGTATCTGTCAACCAATAGTAGTTAGCCAACTGACTGTAGACATTAGTAAAGGACTCACTCGTGCAAACGGTAGTTGGCGTAGACGAGTGAGGAGGAATAGAAAAACAAACCGATGAGACCAGAGGGAATCAACCATATAGTTGTACTAGAAGCTTTCTCACGGATACAAAACCTCAATATCCATAGCAGCTAGCTGGTCATTGATCGCTGGAGAAAAGGTCTGTCGTAGAATATCCAAGAGTGGGTCCTAGGGATCTTCAAACGCTTCTGTCGAAGACCTATGATCCGGGAAGAGTCTGAGATGTATCACGCAATTATCAGAGCTTGGGTAAGGGGATATGCTACTTAGACTGTGAATAAACACTCTGCTATACGTTTAGCGCTTAATATAATATCGGTTACTGCTGAGCCTAGCATGGACAACTTCAGTCTGCAAGTATCTAGCTCTATTTTCGCATGCTAAGACAGTAAAGACACTCAATCGCTATGCTGGTTCTTCATGGTGAGGCTTGAACAAATCCTTATATGTACAGCATAATTGCGCGTGTACGTTGCACAGCACATGACAACAAGAAACAAGTAGATACCAGGAAAGGAAGAGAAAGGCGTAGCGAGAGAAAAGACACCAAAGACCACGCCCAGCGCAATCAAATGCCAATCATCCTACGACACGAGATAGGAAACCTGAAGACACTCAGGAATGAGAAAATAGTAGAAAACGAACAGAAGCGCTCAACGCCTCATGACACCCCAGAATTTCTCGGCACCGTGCGTCCCTGGGCCATCCTGTTTCCAGAAGTCATCAAAGGCCGAGAAAAGCACCATGTCCTCCTTGCGATCCCGGAAAGAGTACCCCAGGGCATAGATAGCGACGGCCTGATTCCAAGGAGAGGGGACAGCTTGACCGTTGGCTTCGCCACGGTACGGCCAGCCGGATTCAGCAATCACGGTGCGTTTCCCGCCCGCTGCGGCCGATATACGGTTCGCTTGTTCGAGGGCGTATTGTCCCGCATTGTCGGGAATTTGGTTCGCGTCGAAGAAGGCGTGGCAGTTGGCCGCGCAGTAATCGGACACTTCGCAGAGTTGGGGGTGTTTGAGGAGGACGGAGAACGTGTCTACTGTTACGACTGGGCCCTGGTAGCCTGCTGCGCGGAGTTTGGCGCGTGCGGTGTGCACGGCGTTTACTACGTCTTGTGGATTTTGGCCTTTGTTGACAAGTTCGTTGCCGATGCTGATTGTGTGGAAGGTGGACCAGTCACCTGCTGCTGCCCAGATGATTTGGTCGAGGCTGTTTGGGAAGTTCTGCAAGTCGAAGACGCCGGCGAAGACACGGAGGTTGCGCTGGCGGGCTGCAGATACAACGTTTCTGGTCTGGTCGCAGTCGACGCCGTAGATACGGACGTAGCTGTAATATGTGCTTATTTTGTCCAGGTCTTCATTGATTCCGTCGAGGGATCGGCAGGTACCGTCGTCGTTGTAGGGGGCGTAGGAGATGCCGTATCCGCCTTCTATTGGGAGACTGGGTACCAGATCGTGTGTGACTGGATCAGGAAGTGGTAGCAAAGGTGGGAGGTCGTTGGGATCGCCATGGATGGGGTTGCCTGCGTTCCCTGGAGTTGGTGCTGCATCATTCTGGCCTAGGCGTTCTGGCACTCGGTGGATCAGCTTATAAAACCCATCATTAGAGCGAGTAACGCCTTCAGTCGAACCGTTTCTCTTCTCCAGTAGCACAGTGCAACTTACCATGAGGAAGCGCCTTGACTTGAAAGCTAAGCAGGAACACAGCAAGGACACATACAAGCCACTTCATGGCGATTGAAATTGCACCTTGGATAAAGGAATCTGTTTGGATGGAGCCCCGTGCGGTGACCTGATCCAGAAAGTAGCGGATGATAGGAGGCAACCGACTATGAGAGCATTTCGACCCTGAGATCAGCAGAGAGACACAGGTAGACAATCATCTATTAAGTGCAAGAAAAGCCGTTGAGGGAAGGAAGAGTGGGACAGTCGACCCTGGAATGAATTGTTCCACTGACATTCACTGGGCTGTGGCTGGTGAATATTTGAGATGTTCTAGGGACTATCGCCTCATTCCTGTGTTGGGTGAGAATGTAATAGGCTTCGATATCTGGAATGCTGGCTGACCCCTTGCCCTACATGAATCAAACCCCGCTGACGGTATACTCCAGGAATGCATGGCAGTTCAGGTCCATTCACTCAAATGGATTGCACTCTCGGAATTGAGAAGAGTCGAATCAACACTAGTGTAAGGTGAGGTAGAGGCCAAGGCTCTTATAGTGCCTCTATTCTTTAGTGAATGCGTAGCGTTCGCATGAAAGTGGGAAGTGATGAGTATAATGCATAAGAATGGAATTAATATTATAACAAGGTAGAAGTCTAATAACAGCCTGTCATTCTGAGACAGAAGTCTTGGAAGGAATGAAGGGAAAAAAGTATTAGTAAGGGACCAAGGATTGGGAAAGCATCTCATCAAGGAAGAAGAGACAAGGGTTCCTGCATCATGCTGGATATCCCCTGAGTGGCCCCATCCCAATTTCCGTGAACCAGTTGTGGCAAGCATGTTGTCCACTTCGAAGGTATGCTGTACAAACCCAGTGTAAAAAAATTGTACAAGGTGTCAATATGACAAACAAGGCATGGCGTAATGGATCGAGAGGGCATCAATTTTCGTGGCCGAGTCCTTCAAAATCTGGAAAACGTAAGGATTACTTCTTTTTGCTCAGAACTTTCGTGATAGCATGACGGATAGTGGTTCCAGCTTTCTCGATCTCCTTCTTCGTCAGACCGGTCGTCACGCAGACCTTCAATGCAGGGAAAACGACCTGCTTCGGCTCAAAGTTATCGAGGAGGGTCTTGAGGCGGGTGATTAGGACACCATTTGCAAGGCACTGCGTCGTGCAAGTTAGCAATTGACAAGATACCAAAGTCGCTGAGAAGCCCGTACCTCATCCACCACATCCTGCAGCAGAAACTGCTGGTCTTCAACCGACAGCCTCTTAGCAGCAACCACTTCAGGCTTGAGGACCAAAATCATGATAGGATTCTCGGGAGCACTGGTACAGTATACCCAGTCACTACGGGGGTCAAGCTGTGCCCACATGGCCTTAGTATGCTCCCGCAGCTGGGATATCGTTTCAGGGCTACTCTGGAGGATATTAATTGTGGCACTGGCAGTTGTCGACAGAAGAGCAGGCAGTGCGGCGGAAAACGTGTAAGCTGCGGCGGAAATGCGCTGATGATGAACGATCTCCTCCGAACCAGCGCAGAAGCCTCCACCCGCAACCAAGGGGCCGGCCAGCGAGCCCACAATCATGTCAACTTCGGCCGCGTCAACATTTTGGTGCTCCGTAACACCACGACCGGTTCTTCCGAGGACGCCGAACGACCACGATTCGTCGAGGATGAGTCGGAACTTGTACTTCAGTTTAAGCTCAATCTAGAATCCTTATTAGCGGTCGAGTTTGCTATGATGTGTAAAAAGTTTGGATGGACGTACGATCTTGGGTAGGTCAACCATGTCACCGTACGATTCAAACAAACCTTCCGTGATGATGAAACGTCTCGTGAGTGGTTTTCTGGCTTGTTCTTTGGTAACTTTGGCAAGGACCCTTTCCAGATCCTCCATGTCGTTATGTTCGTACCATCGAACCATGCTACGGGAGATCTGAATGCCCTTCCGGATAGCAAAGTTAACGCCCTTATCCGCAACAATGATGTCTCCACGTTTCGAGAACGCCGGGATAACACTTGAGATGGTGGAAAAGGCCTGGGAGTAGATAATACAAGATGCGGTGCCCAGGAACGAGGCAACGTCCGCCTCTGTCTTCATATGAACATCTTGAGTGCCGTAAAATCCTCGGGGGCCACAAGGACCAACGCCGTAATTGCGGAGAGTCTGAATAGCTTTCTCTTTGAGCGACTCGTTGGTATTAAAATTATAGAAGTTATAGGAGCCGAGGTTGACGACGGTTCTGCCATTGGCCAGTTTCGACTTGGGGCCGACTGGACTACAAGCCGCGATGATCAATCAGCATTGATACGTACGATAGGACATCCAGTAGCAGGGGTATTGTGAGAGGAGATTTACCCAACAATTACTGTCCGCTTATCGACCTCCATCTCCTCCAAGACTGTGGGTTTTCCTACAAGTGGCTCCGGAGTCCACTCGTCTACCAAGTCGTCAATCTCATCCTCTGAGAGTTGGACCACTCCAGGTTTGGTCGAATACTTGGGGGCGAGCAAATAGCGAACCGCGAATAGGAATAGAAAGAGCTCAACCGCAGAGCGAATCGGGTCATTTTGATAGCTGGACTTGACGTAGCGAAGAAAGATTGCGGAACCCGGAACGCGATGGAATAGGTCTGCAAGCTCATGGAGATACTCCGAAAGGAGACGTTGAGTCTCTTGGATATCCATGATGGAAAACGTAACACAGCGCTCGCAGCGCAAAAGGGCGAAAAGGGGGTGTGTCAGAAGGGAGGTGTTAGAGCTTCGGGATCAAAGCCGAGCATTGACAAACGAAATCACGACGATGACCGTCTTCAGGGAGTTGTCGCGGCCGGGCTGGATGGTCAGACACGGGAAGCACGTGATGCTATGGGTTTATCGGAAATCGCTTTGGCCCTTCCACAAGGCACCAGCGGGAAGGAAATCCCGAGGCCGTGCACGTGAGGGGAGCCCAGCCCAAATAAATACAAGTACATACATCATCCAAGGTCAGCATTCAAATGAGATTACCGCCAATGGGACTCCGAAACAACAAGCCAGAATACTCCCAGGACATCATTCCGCCCCTAATGTTTACGTTACGCCACGGCATTGGTAGACAGTATGTGCAAATCAAGGTACTCGACGTTCATGTAGTACTGTGCTCAGTGAGAGAAAACATCTACGAGAAGAACGTCCTGTGACAGAAACAGGTGTAACTGGATATAGAATGAAGGTTAAATGTTTGGTAGGCCACAAAGGGAACAATACAACAATTCGCAAGTCTAATGATCGCACATGAAACACACAACACCGTGAGAATACAGAAAACAATGAAACAAGTATAATGCATTAAACTTGGGCGGCAACAGAGCTGCGCACGCGAAGCTTTAGAAGAAAGATTGTGGCAAAGCAAAGGTATGACACCGCAGCCACTTCAAGGCGCTGGATACTTTATACAGCTCATTTTCATGAATGCGTTCCGAAACTAGAAAGAAGACAGCAACGTGTAATTTCAGAAAGCAATCCTACCGCTTGTAGGTAGCGGAAGCCAAAACCGACGGCGGGATCCCGCTGTCGCCATTTGGAAGCCCGTAGCCGGTATAGCTAGTGATGGTATTGTTGTGTTGCGCGTCAAGCGGTTGCAAGAGATCCATTGGAATGTTGGGCAGGCTAATGTTCATCTTGCGAACGACCAACGGTGCGATAAGGAGAACGAGGAAGAGGACCAACATCGCAAAATAGAGGACTGCGAAGCGAACCACTCTTCTCTTACGAAGCTTAGACTGCTTCAAAGAGTAGATCGGAGGCCGGATTTGACGACTAAGGGTCAAGTTAGAAAACGAGTGCAATTGGGGGGTTGTGAAGCTCAACGTACCTTGGGCGCAGCCAGAAAAGAATAACGGAGTGAAACTTATCAATGTAGGGAACACACAGAGCAGGCAACATGATAAACAGAATCAGATGGCCAAGGACGAAGTCAGCAGCAAAATAGCCGAGCTCCGTGATCTTGCACAGGAATTCACGACCAGGCTGGGAAATTGAGTGCCAGCCCATGTTGTACCACTTTCCAGTCCACCAGGCGATGTTAGATTGGTCGTTCTTGAACTCACGAGTCAAGGCAAGTGAGATGATAAGCTTGTAGACGAAACGTTGGATTGCAGCCGCCGAGATCATACCCAATACACACCGAGGCCAAGACCAACCCTCAAGGAAGAACATGACCTCGAAGATAACGAGCAGGATGATGACAGCAATTGCGTGCGCGATGGCGGCCAGTACGGCACCGAACTTCTTGCAGCACATGCTAAAGATTGGACCCATACAGCATGCCATACCAAAGAACATACCCGCAACACCGGCGTTGATAGCGATGGGACCAAAAGCCACAATTGCAATTCGGGCAACAGCATTCTTCGCCTTCTTGTCGTCATCCATAGTGCCAGTTCTAGAGTTGATGAACAGGTATGGAATCAAGGTAACACCAACCAAAACCAAAGGTGCAACGATTTCGCTGAAAAAGATGTTCGTAATGCGAGCTCTGGGGACATCACTATTTCCCTTTTCAGACGGGACGCCCAGGAGCTTCCGCTTGTAACCCGTAATGCGAGTACGGGAAAGTCGGCAAAAAGCGATCCAAGAAGACGCGTGAGACCGTGAGTTACCGCGAGAGAGCCAGCGAAGGTAGTCACGGTAGTCAATGAAGAAGTCCTGCCATGCGAATTGATGAGGGTTGAAAAGGAAGGGCGAGATGCAAAGGGCAAGCAGCGAAACCCAGAACCAAATCAAAGCCGCACTCCATACGGTAGACGTGGAGAAAAGCAGCATGAGCAATAGTCGAGCACCGGCGTAAATGGAAGGACCAGCGAAACGTGAGTAGAGGACACCAAATGGAATACGAGCGGTCGCGAAACCACGGCCAGTACCGATATAACGAGCACCACCAAACGACAGGTTTTGATGGACAGCATTGGCGTAAATCTGACAGACGAACACTTCGAACATGAACGAGAAAGAGCCGAAGTGTTTTGCGAGACGAGTGGCCATACGCCAAACACCTCTCTCTGTGAGCTCTTGGACCGCAAGGGGGACGAAAGAGATGAAGAAGACGATGAAGATGGAAATAACACAGCGGTTAACCCAGTCAATGACAGGCACGAGGTTAGCACAGAAGGTGGGGCGCAGGGGGTCGGTGATCGGCAAATTCTTGTTGTACCTGCAAGTGATAGTCTCATGCTTCAGGGCTCCAAGATTGATCAGAACGATCATGAACATCTGCACGGAGAGCATGATGAACATGTTGTTAAGATGGAAACCAGGATGCGCGTAGTAGAAGGACAAAAACCGATCGAGGGGTAGCTGTGTACCAAGATAATAATACTCTCGAGACAGCATTTGCTCGCCCATACCAGTACCAATCTTGGTTGTGAAGTTAAGAATAGAGCCGAAACCAAGATCACGACCCTTACCACACTGGAAGTATTCACAGTGCTTGATACGACCACCGCGGACCATAGCATTCATACCGGCATAGATATCTTCGTTCAGGTGAAGACCCTTCTGAGCTTTCGAGATACCACCGCGGGTGCACATGAAGATACCATTGAGGAAATCAGGGTGACCATAGTGCAGCTTACCACCAACCTCGGCAAGTGTACGGGCGAAGAGGGTACCGAAGGTTTGTTCCTTACTGGCGGCAACATCACCAAGGACACCAACGTTCTCAGAGAAAATATATTCACGAGCACCAAGGATAGCAACCGGGTTGACGTCCGACGACGGGATACCAGGCGTGTAAGGAGAGACGTTATCAGTTGTCAATTCCTCAAACTCAGCGAGGACGCTACGAATCTTCAAACACTCTTCAAGGTAGTTGTCCTGGTTGGCGTCAATGACCTGAATGTATTCACCACGGTAGAAGATGATGGCATGGTTCTGGTTGTCGGACTTTCCATCTCCCAGAATAGGGTTTCCAGACAATTGAATCCTGAACTTGGGTTTCCGCATTCCGTTCTCGAGTAACTCGCAGTGCCCGTCAATCAAAGACGAGTACAAGCGAGGCTCATCGCCTTCGTTCTCTGGTGCTTCCTCATCAAGGTAGGCAATTTGCAAGTCGGGATAGGCACGGAGAAGGAATTCAGTGTTCTCACGTTCTTCTTTATTGAACTTGGCATAACGCTGCATGGAAACGCAGATCTTGAACTTGCGACGAGCCATTCTCTCCAGTTCCCGTTCCAGCTTTTCAGAGTTACCACCAAACATTTGTACGACTTCCGGATTCTCGACACGATAAAGCAGCTTGATGGCGCGGCTGTAGTTCATAAAGCCGGAAATGGTTCTGTAGAGTGTCTGCGAGCGCAGGGAAGACCAAATACGCGTACGAAGAGTATATTCCGGAGCAGCTGACTTGAAACCAATGCAATAGAACGGAAGATCATCGATCTTGCTCTTAGCGACATCCTTCTCGGTCTTCTCCATTTCACCATTAAACTGAGAGGTTTCATCTGCAAGGATCTTCGTGTCCTTGACGAAACAATCCCACTCATGGGGGTGGAGCTGCTTGAGGTACTCGAGCAGAGTAACACGAGAGTAAGGCTCGTCTTCACGGATAATCTCACGGAGCGACAAGAGAATCTTCTCACTGTAGTGGGGAATCAGGACGGTGAAAGTGGGCATGTTGTCGACAGGCAAGGGCTCGGGCATAGGAGTAGACAGGGACTGCGCGAAGAAAGAAATACGGCGCTCAGCTTCGCTTCCCGGTGGGAAGAATTCAGTCTTGAAAGACTGATCTTCCTGGGATACGAAGAAAGTTGGGGCGCGCAGAGTCCGCTTGCCCTCTTGTTCAGAAGGAACTTGGTGGTACAGGAGCTTCTGGACATGATCAATAGCCAGCAGATGTTCGCGATACATGGAAATGATAATTGCGTTCCACACTTGCGAAATGAGAACCTTGGGCTTGTACTTGATCTCCATGTCCGTGGTGGCAAGAACCTTCGAGTAGATACGCTTTGGGAGACGAGAAAAGATGTTTCTCCATGGGGACCAGATAGAAACACCAAGGTAGAAAGACCTCGCAACAGAGAAAACCGTGTTGCAAATAATATACCAGAGGTAACTATCCAGGAAGAAGAGGGTCAAATCCATGAAGAACATCAGGCCGAGCAAGATCTGCGGCTGACGGTAACACAGCACGGTTCCAATATATTGGACACCGGAGCACCGCTGGATCTGCATTGGAGAAAGAATACGGATGGGGTCTTTGAAGGAGAGAGTCAAGAAGAAGTAAGACTCGGCCAATTTTGCTCCAAAAACACAAACCCAAAGACCATAGGACATCCACATGTCATTGCCCTGGAGACGTGCCCAGCTGGCAGTGAATGTCTGACTGGCAACGTATTGACGGCCATGTTTCTTCAAGTAGCTACCGAACAAACCACCAAGCGGCATGACGGAAAAGAAGAAGAACGTCACCAGGGCAATAATGAAGTGAACGATACCAATGACAAGGGCAACTGTTTCGCCGATCTGCTTCTTGAAGCCGAAAACAACCACACCGGGAGCCAGGTTGATGATGAACATCAACAGGAGGAACATCAGTCGCTTGGTTAGGTGCTGAGCACCGGCCCACCGTCGCGGCACGTACATCCATTCACAAATAGTAGCCATAACCTGAATGAAAGAGGCCAGGGCACCACCGAAGCCAACAGCAGACCAGTAGTAAGAACCGGGTGGCTTGTTGTTCAGCTGCTGCTGGTAGTTCTTTGTGTATAGAGTCGGGGCGTTGTACGCGGTGAAGAACCAGAACGAACACAAGTGGATGACCCAGATACGGTTGAAGTTGGTGATCATATGGAACCAAGATCTGGTTTCCCTGTATGTCTTGAAGAACACCTTCTTCCAATCGACTTCCTTCAGCTTGAGCCATCTTTCAGCGGTTGGAATGTCAACAAGACGGGTCTTGTCTTCGAATACAATTCGCTCAATACCCTCGGGGTACCAGAAAAGTTGGTTCATGTCATCGTAACCAATGATCTGGTTGTGATCCTTCTCTCTGCGCACGTATTTCCCGTCAGAGATTTCATAGCCCTGCTCGCGGCAGTACTGATAAAGAGGAGTTATGACTTCGTTCAGGTAAGTAAACTCCTCGACGGGCTCAACCCGGTTCTGGCATTCTGGCGAACTATAATAGTCATCTGCACACTTGAAGATAAAACAGAGACACTCGGGCAAGAACCGGACCTGGTTAGCCTCACCCCAGCACAACAGGTACAAGGCCACTTGACGGACTCGGTCGTGCTGCGACATGCGGTTCATGCGGGTCTTCCACCGGTACTCGGCGGCTTCGAGGCTGTTATCGCCCTCTAGTGCTTCAAGAGTCTCATCCACATTCTCCGGGTTCTCTTTCGCCTTCTTCTGGGCCGCCTTGCGGGCCTTTCTGGTCTTTCGGTCCGCCTTGCCCAACTTCATGTTGGCAAAGCCCACGGCATCATCGAGGTCAAGGTGAGCCGCGAAGTACCAGCGACGGTAGTTCGCATTATCACCACCGATGTAGTCGGCGTGCAGAGAAAGGAGTGCCTGGTTTGGCGTCATACGCGAGGCACGTGAGTCGAGCTGTGTCAAGAGATGGTCGTACATGTTACGCATACTATCCCTTTGGAAACCGAATTTGTTGACCAGGTCGAGGAAAATGTCCTCGATTTCCTCCTTGGACACAGGAACTTGGGCATCAGAGGACCACGCCGGATACGGCTCCCGGGATCGCTGACCAGCAGGCAGAGCATTTCCATAATCCATGCCGTAGACGGGCGTCGACGCTCCGGACGACCGGTTGCCTCCATAGGAAATCTGGGAGGAGGGCGGACGGTAGCCATATCCACCACGTCCGCCATACTGGCTGTCGGCATAGCTGTTGTAGCGCTCGTCTCCGCGACCGTAGTAGTCCATATCCGCCGCACGTGCCGTTTCGGATCTCATAGTAAAATCGCTGAACGTCTCCGAGTCTTCCTCCGAATCGCCGCGGCGCCGTCCCCTTTGCTGACCGTTCGCTTGGTCATAGTAGGGCTCGCCATAGTAATCGTCCTGGTGGCCAGCGTCATAGTAACCGCCGTCCTGCTGGTAACCATGTCCACCATCCGCATAGTATCCCCTGCCGCATGTCAGTCACCGCTACACGGGCGCCATAGCAAGAACTGGGATTCTCAACGTACCCTCTGTCATAGTAACCATCGCCATAGTCGTTGGGATCATAGTAAGCCTGGCCATGATGTTCATCCTGGTAATAGGAATCCCCATGGCCACCATGTTGGCCGTAGCCATCATCGTAATGGCCGCCTTGGTTGTAGCCTGACATGCTGAAAGGCGTGTGTAACCGAGAAGTGATTGGTTCTACTACAAGCTTAGCCCCTGGCACGCAATCCAATCCATCAATGCGAAGAGTGCCGTGATCCAACTCACCTTAACAGTGACCCATCCAAGTTTCAAATTGATCGATTCTCAGTATTTTCGCATCAGCGGGACTCAGGATCGAGAGTTCCAGTGGAACGGGATAAAAGGCGACGCGTCGTGCACAAGTTCAATGGCGACGAGCTGCTTGGAGGCACCAGTCCCCGATCGTTAAGGCTGAAAGTCGACCAATCTGTCAATTAATGATTAAATCACACTTTTCGATAGGCTAAAGAGCCGTATGGTCGTCACTAAGGTGTTGTTGTAAACGAATGGAAGGGCAACGAAAATCGAGCGACGATGCAAAGACGGATGAAGAACCTAGACTGATACTAGGCCGATCCTGTCTCAGCCTAGGACAAGCCTCCCTCTTCTTTTTCTCAAACGAGAGCGAGAAAAGAAGGATAGGAGTCCAGACAGGATTTGAAAAATAAAGAAGAAGCTGAAAAGAAACGAAAAAACAGAAAACAACAACAACAATCGTTCCTTGGGTGCAAATCAATAAAAGAGTGAACAGGAACCCAAAGATGAAGTGAAGGGACGAGAAAGGAAAGGAAAGATCCCAAGCGATGGTCGAAGGGGGGAGGAGAGAGAATAGTGTTTGAGTTGGACGATTAGTGGTGAAAAGGGAATCGATTGTCAACCCGAAACCCAGCAGGGAATAGGAAAAATACTGGTGAGTATGGGGCCCGGTGGTTATTTTGGGATCTGGATCTGCTCAATTTACTTCGCGACAGTACCTGCCTATCCGTACCTTACCTGTATCGGGGGGGGAAACGTACCCACATTATACCCTCCCGGGAGGCAACAGTTCCCCCCCCCTCCTCTATTCTCTCCGTGTCTGGTAAGGTGATACACAATTCTGTCCGCGGGACAGAGACTACACCCAATAGAATACAATTTCGATGGAAAAGTATTTACTCCGCACCGCTGACTGGACCATACCACATTACTTGGTATTACTGCACCCGGCGCCTGGATACCGCTCTGGTATTAGTAGGAGACATTAATCATCAAATCGTCCATGATCTGGACACATCACCAGCCTCTCCTGATTGGAAGCTTTCTCAAGATTGCCCTCCCGCCCCCTGTAATCATTGGCCCATACATATTGGTGGCTAAGACTCTATCAACTAGAAGAATTACTCGACGTGAGCTAAGGTTGAAGTTACATAGACGCATATTCCATTGATTGCATCCGCAACGTCGAGTCTTGCCCATCCATTCATGAACATACAGTACCACTGTCGGTACCGGCTTGGTTACGTACCGCAGGTACGTAGAGGTCGTACTGTTTTCGGCCCGCCCCTCACCACTTCCACTCTTCTGCTATCCACAATCCATTCAAAGAGGTGTCCCTCTTCAGAAAGTCGATAAGATAGCATTGCAAAGTGTATTCAAATTCGTAATATTTGCCTTTTGCAAACCTCTGGGGCACAACCCTCCTCTCAAACACCTTCAAAACTGGGCTCACACTGTTGAACCCAGTGCAGGAACCTGATTTTTTGAATAGGCCAAATTTTAGTTGTGGAGTGATAAGCCATCATTGGCTGCGATGGTCCAAAATCCATGGAAGCTGGCGGCGGCCCCCCTGAAACCAGATCCACCACCAGCCTCAGCGAATAGGCCCCACGCGGATAACCAACTACATTTACAATTCAATACCAGACGTACCGTATTTTTGCTTTCTTCTTTTCTCATTTCTCTTTTTGTTTTTTTTTTTCTGGTTTCCCACTGGGAGGAATGCAGGGATTCATTCCACTTCCAACTTTGAATTGATTCTGCCACTACGACGACGATTGTTCGTTGCAAGTGTCATGAATGCGTCGCTATGCAGTCGGCGACCCCCATTGTTTATTATGATTCAGTTCTTCTTGGCTTCGCATACGTACATCCGATGGAGGTTCTCCGGTACAAAGAACTTTTATCCACGGGTCCATTTCTGTGCCTGAACCACCTATAACCAAAGCAGGAAAGCACCCCCAATACTCTCGGTGACCAGAGCTGGGTGTATTGATCGGGGGGAGGGATAAATTAAAATAAGAAATACAACGTAACTGGAGATGTACAAAGCATGTACTTCGTACTCAAAATAGAAGTTCTTTTTATGGTATGAAGAATAATGATACTATCAGCAACCGTCTCCTGTCGCTATTTTTGAATGTCTTTGAAAGGGTTCCTATGTGCTATTATCGAAAACACTTGGCCCGAGTAGGTTCGCGGATCCGTGAAGAAGGTGCCTATAATCTGTAAAATTACCAGACATCCATGATCCCATTACTATTTAGAATTGCCACCAACAACCAACCTACCATCAAATCCATGAAATACTAGGGTAGAGCCCTCGAATGTTTTACTCTTCCTTGCCACTAGAGTTGCACTGTGTAGCACATATATAGCCAATAATTGAAGTACAAATTTATACATTAAGACATCTGCCACATACACATGTAAGGCATGATCAAGACAGGCTTGGCTGGTGTTATATTTAGCAACACAGACTATATATCAGCTTAGAGAATAGTGCACTAGTGGAAGAGAAGACATAAAACGACAGACCATATTTATTTTCCTCTACTTCAATCTATTCATTAGATGACATGAGAACTTAGAAGCGATATCCCAATATCGGGAAATGAAAGCTTCCCGGTGCCTATATATAACTTGCTGGGAAAATTCTTTATACACTTAAAGACCTATAGTGACCGTTATTCCATTAGCAGGAACCATAGTTTCTCCCTTGGTAGAACATATACGGCTCCCAATTTTTGCAGAATAGATTAGCTTTTTGGTGTCTTCGGACAGCCTGGGCTAACCTCTAAAGGCAATCTACTGACCCGTCATAGGTTGTATAAGAACATATCTTAAAGGGAGTAAAGGAAAAAAAGCGGGGGAAGACCCATAGGTTCCTGAGCTACTGTCAAATATGTGAACACCTTAAATTGAAAGTCGATTATTTACCATTTGTCACCGGTATGTACAATGGAATTTGAACAGAACTGTTGCCGGAACTCTTTGTAACCCCTGCGGGGTGAATATGCACATTGCATCGGAACCCATTGGGCTCCGAATGGATATGTTTATATATATTTTCGAGACAACGATGTCCTATCGCCTTTGTGTCCAGCTAGGCCTTGGTTTCCGCCTAAAGATACTTGATATTTTCCTTCTTTGACCGTACAGATTTACTATGTAGATGTGAATAAAACAAGTAATGTGCTTCAGATCCTTTTCTGTATGGTGAGTTTTCATGGCTGTTGCATTAAGATTGATTACTGGAGAGTTATTGGTCTTATCTTAAGCCCGACTAACTCCTACTGCAGCCAACAGTCATCCAGGATATTGAACACCAACAGTACTACTACTAGTAGTCCAAACCATATCTTACCTGCTAACATATACTAGTAGCATCAGACCAGTGAGGATTAAAGCATACCCCACTTTTGACTTGAGAAAAGTAAGTTACCTTGATTTTTTCTCCATTTTTGCTTTTTTCTCCCACCTTTTTTTTTTGTTGAAACCAGGTACAGAGTACATTTCAATAACATAAATATAATGCTCTTTGTCCCGTTCCATGGGAGCTACACATGTGCCCGGTTCTTTGTATCTTACCCAATAAATTAATTGGTTAAAGACTACTCTAATCCATTCAAACCATTCCCACTTGCCCCACCTTATTGTACAGTATCCAATAATACAGACATAAAATCTACGGTATTTATGATGAATCGTCGGAGCTTAGGATTGCGAACACAGGAGAGATCTATATATGGCATCGACGGCTACCTCGGGAAGAGGTAGGGGAGGATGCTACTAGTAATAGTGTCCAGATAGTATACACAGTAGGGATATATTTAGGTAGGGGTTGGCAGGAGCGTGTCAAGTGATGTTATCATCGGTAATGCGACTTCTGCCCACCCACAGAGCTGAAAGTTTCCAAAAATATCGGAACGGCGATAATCGCTGCTGAGATCTCTCCGTTCTGAACCCATGGAACCAAATGCGACTAGAACGATAAACACTCGGGTTTCCTTTTCCAGTGTGTTTGTGATGCACCAGTGGCTGAAATTTTTTTTACTTTCTCTTGTCCAAGCTTGCTCAAAACCACTAAAGTGGCGAAGTTAAAGAGCTTCGATCGGACCTTTGGGACGGGAATTCTTGTCAAGGCTTCGTATACTATATGTGCGGACAGGCTGGTACTTTCGTACATATGCGCCGGGAGACAAGTGATAAGTGGACCTTTCATACCCCTGCCCTTGCAGAGTATGCCCTATAGTCGCTTCTATCAAGCTTTTCCACTCTCTTCTGGCTCGCAATCTAGACTTGTTCTCTCCTACAAGCTACTCCAATATAGGACTGGATTAGAAATAGTGGGTTGGTGTATGAGTTGGACTACGTATATTGCACCCCCGCTGTAGAGTTCACTATTGTTTTCTAGAAATAATTCGGAGGGGAAACAAGCAAAATGAGAATGGGGTCTTACCATTACTCTAGATTATTTACAGTATCGCCTAGAAAGTACAGCTGCACCCACACTTCTCATCTTACTTAGTACAGGAGGTATGGACTGATTCGCCAGTTTCACTAAGAGAACCATGATCTTAACCAATCTGTACACAGGTGGCTGCGTTGGATTTGATCGTTTTTTCTGGTTAAATCGTAGAGGAGGGGGGCTGGCGTGACGACTGGCCAATCGGGAACCACAATCCCGCGGGTGGCAAACCGGCAAGGCCCACAATGGCTTCTGCTTGATTGGCTTCCAATGGTCCAGCCCTCGGTCGAAGTTGTGGAACACCTGAAAAGGCAAAAAAAAAGGGGCTTTCAAGTTTCAGCTTTGGGGATCATCATTAGTCGGTAATTTCTCAACGTCCAATCGATAGAAAATAATTATTACCTAGAATCGTCGTCATTGTTATTTCTCGATGTAATGGTGTAAGGTTACACCCTCTTCTGATTCCTGTTTTTTGTTACACTCGCATGACTGTGATTACTAATATCACCTATCGAACAAATCCAAGCAAACATCGAGGCGTGACTCTCATATGACTTGGGCTCCGTTGGCCCGTGGTTACCATTTCATCCATTGAACCTCGGTGGATAATACTGGCATTCAGTAGTAGATAGTATACACTGGCGTGGGAGAAGATTTCGACTTAGATAAGCTTGTTTCTCTAGCCGTAAGTGCCTATCCATCAAGAGGTTTCATATTGGACCCTGATCCACTGACGGAGAAGGAAAGATCGTCAGAGGGACGTTCAACCGTCCAAGGGAATATGGATCTACAATCGCTGCCTGCCACTCACAATCACAGAGATGATACGGAGTACTTCGCCACACTTTGGCTCTGACTATCAAGATTCTCTTAAGATCAACATTCTCGAGAGGGCCGGAAAGCTTGCATGCAAGCATTTTCCGGATGCAGCGACTGCATTCATCATGCTCCAACTCATCACGTTGAGGCTTCGTAGGAGCTGATGTGTATAGACACATGTGTTGCCGTCCTTGGAAGGGGCTGAATGAGCAACAAACAAAGCAAAAGTGACAGATATTCTGCATTCAGCGATCAACCCGTGTCCGCCACATGTGGTGGATACAAGATTACAGTCGCACGTCCATCGCAGTGGGCATTCTGAGCTTAATCAGACTACCAAGTCATGGGCCTCCAACGCTTCAGCATGGTCGGATACCCCAGACGGTCTCGATGCGAATGATGGCGATGTGGTCGGGTCGCAACTGTGGGACAGATTCAGGGTCGGTATGTCTATTAGCCTCCTCCTCTATATATATATCATGTATAGGCGGGTGAACAGTTAAGCTTTTAACTTAGACAGCATCGACCCCTCTGATCTGTTCCGTTGTGGACCGGGATTGCGCGTTCCTGAGGCCTCTGATATCAGCCTATCCCTGCACTATGCTCTTGGACAAATGACAGCCGACAGACAGGAATATCACTGAATATCACCAGTGATCATCATCTTATCACATCCTTAGAGGAAGGTCATTGTGGGTGTCTGTCTATCTCGTCCCGCTCTATGCTTCTCGTGGCTCCAGAAAAGCGGGCGGTTGAGGCATTTGTCCCTGAAGTCCCTCGACCCTGAGTGCCCACTAGTTCTACCTATAGAAAAATATGTAGAGAACGCGGTCCCAGGGACGTCCCCATGGTGACTATTTCTGTTGTTAGATGTGCAAGAGTTTCTCGCTGTTTAATTTTTACTCTCCTTTCGTCTATTGAATACAGTCATTCCTTGTCCATGGTCCCTCGTTTGCAGCTTTTTCTAAGCATTAAGATCTTAGTTTCAATTATATATCCTCGCCATTCATTAATCAAACCATTCATCGTTGGCCCTTGAAGCGCAAGTGGGCTTCTACTCTCAACTCTGATTTAGTGTCTGGCAATCTCGCCAATTGTTGCTATAACGTCCTGTCCACGCATTCAACATGAAGCTGTCCAGCATTGTGGCGGGTGCGGCCCTCTTCGCCAGCGGTACCATTGCTGCTGACCTAGACCCTATCATCATCAAGGGCACCAAGTTCTTTTACAAGAGCAACGACACCCAGTTGTGTGTAGACCCTCCATTTGGCGAACCTGTCGCCTCGCCTAATGCTAACAAACCCTCAGTTACATTCGCGGTGTTGCGTACCAGCGTGGGTTTTGGTTGCCTTTGGTATCGTTTCTGTGACATGGACTAACATACTATGCAGAGGAGTACTCTGGCCCTGATTCTTCCGCCAACAGTTTCAAGGATCCCCTCGCCGACGCCGATGCTTGCAAGCGTGATGTTCCTTATCTGGAAAAGCTGGGAACCAACACCATTCGCGTGTATGCTATCGACCCTAAATCCGATCATAAGGAGTGTATGAGCCTTCTCAGTGACGCCGGTATCTACGTCATTGCGGATCTCTCGTCCCCGGGTGATTCTATCAATCGCAACGAACCCAAGTGGGATAACGACCTGTACAATAGATATGTGACTGTGGTGGATGAGCTGTCACAATACTCGAACGTCATTGGTTTCTTCGCTGGAAATGAGGTCTCCAACAGTGAGAACACCACATCTGCCAGTGCCTTTGTTAAGGCTGCTGTCCGTGACACGAAGCAGTATATTAAGGCCAAGAATTATCGCCCCATGGGCGTTGGCTATGCTACTAGCGATGACTCTAGCATCCGTAAAAACATGGCCAACTACTTTAACTGTAACAGCGCGGATGATAGTATTGACTTCTGGGGTTACAACGTGTACTCTTGGTGTGGAGACTCCAACTATGAGAAGTCCGGGTACGCTTCTCGTACGGAGGAATTCAAGGACTACACTGTCCCTGTCTTCTTCGCTGAGTACGGTTGCAATGCTGTTCAACCTCGCAAGTTCACTGAAGTCAAGGCTCTCTATGGAGACAAGATGGCTGATGTCTGGTCGGGGGGTATTGTGTACATGTACTTCCAGGAAGAAAACAACTATGGTAGGGTCAACCTTGGCTAGCCTGATGACTTATTGGCTGACTGTGCTAGGACTGGTGTCTGTTGATGGCAACAAGGTCAGCACCAAGGCTGATTTCAGCTACCTTTCGAAGGAGTTGGCGAGCGCTACCCCCTCCGGCACCAAGAAAGGCGATTATCAGCCGACCAACACTGCTCTTCAGTCTTGTCCGACCGTCGATGGCAAGTGGCTCGCAACGTCCAGCCCGCTACCCCCCTCTCCAAACCAAGACCTCTGTTCCTGCATGGAGGAGAGCTTATCCTGTGCTCTGAAGGACAAGGTATCCGGCGAGCAGCTGGATAAGCTCTTCGGTACTGTCTGCGGCTACGACGTCTGCGATGGAATCACCACCAATGCCACTACTGGCAAATATGGCGCTTACAGTGTGTGCACTCCTCAGCAACAACTGTCGTACGCCATCAACCTCTACTATCAGAATCAGAAAGCCAAGGGTAATGGTGACAAGGCTTGTGACTTCAACGGCGCTGCCACCACCCAGAGCTCGAAGAGCGGCGGCAGTGCTTGCTCTGCACTCCTCAAGGAGGCCGGAACTTCCGGCACCGGCACCGTTACTTCTTCTCCCACCGGTACTGCTGGCTCTGGTGCTTCCGGTGGTGCTGCTGCATCTAGCTCTGGAGCTGCCGGTGGTATAGTCGCTCCTTCTAGCGTCAACGTCGGTATCTTCCAGCTCGGCGCCTATGTGGTGACGGCCATGGTCGCCGGCGCGGGCATGATCGTCCTTTAAGGGCCGTTCGCTTCTTCTCAGCTCACAGTGGAGTTTAGTCCATTCCCCTGCCGACCACTGTACAGGCCGTCTGCTACGTGTCTGTATGATTGTGTGATACTCTCCTTGTACATCCTGGCGGTGAATCTGCCCTTCCCCAATATGAAGTTGTTTGCTCTATATGTATTACCATTGCAGGTATACGGTATTTGGCTTTGTTTTCTCTATATATCCATTTAATATGTCAATTAGATTTACAGGTTACTTCACGTAGGAGTGACCGGTCCTGGGGTCATATAACATTGTTATGGGGCTGTCTATGTATGATCTGCTTTCCTGTCGAACCTCGTTAAGTCCGTAATATTATTATACCTTCATTCATATATTATTCACGACCCTGCTCTATTGGACAGTATGGCAGTCCGATGAAATCTATACCAATCCAGTCATTTCTCCAGCCCCAGGGATTTAATCAACCTGCCGGGTACAAATCGTTAATGTGAACAGCTGGTAGTTACCATCGACGACGTACACAACAGAGATATATTTTGCGGAAAAATGATCGACATCATCCATGAATGGCCACAGTGCCTCCATACACCCCCAAATTTACGCGACTTTCCTTTTTTCACCTTTCTTTTATATATCTATTACATGGAACTACCGAGGAAACGTAACCTTCTTTCTTTTTTCTTCTGGCAATGGACAACCCGTGACAGCTGTTTTCGGCCCACGGATCAACAGGAAGCGTTGCCATGCCAACGACCCTCCCCCAGCTGCAACTCAATATCGTCAACACTTCCACTGGAAAGCTGCTCGAGCTCATGCAATATCTCCATCCAGCTTTACTTATATTTCCGACACTGCCTATGCCTTAACAGACCGGGTATCTGACATGTCCTACTAAACCACGACAACCCCAGCAGCCCACCACATATCGTATATCGCCAAAACCACATCTATATAATCAGCAGAACGACCATGGCTCGACTCAACTCAACGAGCCCCGTGAAGCAAGGCGGCACACGCGAGAATGCGACCAAATCCGTCCGCAAGCTCAAGTCCAACACCAACTCGGTCTTCTCGAGCAAGTTTAGAGACACTTCGCCCACACCCAAGGTGGGAGATCACTTGGGGACATTATTCGACGAACCGGAGTTTAAGCGACCGACTGCGAGGGCGACGACGAACGATAAACCTGTCCAACGACAGAGAAAGCTGCAACGGAGCGGAACTGTATCGAGCGGCACGTTCAATATCTTTTCCGATAGCGATGGACTGAGTGACCGCGACGATACCTCCTTCGCATCGACTATGCGTTCCTCGACTACGCGCTCTTCGACGGAAGGACGTCCCAGCGACCCGCTGCAGCTGGCACGTGCTAACTCGCTGCTGATGCCGCAGTCGAGGCACTCCAGGAGCCGGTCGACCAGGAAGTCCGAGCTCTACGATTACACCAAGGAGAACTATCCCGTGGAGGAGGTTGTGGAGGATTACTCCACAACCTCTTCTATTAGTCGGAACCCCTCTGATGCGTCCTCAACGCGGCGGTCTCCTACCAGGAGAGAACCGCGGCAGGCAAATACTAGAACACACAATGGCCGGCAGTTTCGGGATTATCGCCAGCCGGCACATCGGTTCGAGGACGAAGAAAGTGATGATGGATTTAACTCTCTGGATGACTTCATCGTCAGTGATAACGAGGAGCCTAGCCATCACGAGGCATCTGCCAGCGACTCGGAACCAGAAGAGACAAAGAGGGCACCTTCGCCGCCTAGAGTCAAAAGGAGACTGGTTCGGGGCAGACGACTGAACCCCGAGGAACAGATTAAGAGGGCTTTGGAGAGTTCAGTGCATAGCAACCTTCGCCTCGAGCCCTCATTACCCGCTGCTGTTTCAATGCCCTCTTCGGATCCCCAGGCCAGCCCAAGAAAGCTATTCCGCAATACCTCTAACATGGATGAGAAAATGAACCGTCTGGATTTGGAGGACGATGATGCTCATGTGAATGATGATGCGGTTGACCACGACGCTGCTGAAGAGGCTGCTGCTGATGAGGTAGACGCTGATGAATATGACCCGTCCGCTCAACTCCAACAAGATTTGGATAAGTAGGTCTCGATGCTGCTACATGCACTGAAGCCTAAAATGTTGACTGTCAAATAGTTTTCTAGGAGGATTCGAGCCTCGCTCCCAGAGCCCAGAGATCGAAAAAGTGAATTTGGAAACACCACCTGCCAGCCCCTCCAAAAGTGCTCTAAAGTCACCCTCAAAAGGCAAAGCCCATATTCCACCCACACCTTATCGCGAGAGCGTAGATGCCTTCTGGTCCCAGGAAGCTACAAACGAGTGGATTGATCAACATTCGCCCCGCAAATTACAGAACCTACTGCAGGAACTCGAGGAGTCAGACAACGAGCTTGATCCTGAGATCATGCCTAGAAGCAAGACAACAAAGAAGGCGGCCAAGCCTCCTAGCAAGACGGCCCTGAAAAAGGCCGAGGCAGAGAAGAAGAAAGCCGCCCTTGAGCGCAAGAAGTCGTTTGATAATAAGAAGGCTGCCGTCGCAGAGGACTTCTTCAAGGTTTTAGATGACCACGTTACTGGTGGCCGCATTCAAGAAATGGCCGAGGAAACGGGTGGTGTTCAGATCATCTGGAGCAAGACACTCCAGACTACTGCTGGACGGGCAAACTGGAAGCGAGAGAAGCTGCGAACGGAGGGCACACTTGGGACCGAGCCCCAGACACCTGGAGGATCTCTATCCAAGCACCATGCTAGCATCGAACTGGCCGAGCGGATTATTGATGACGAGGATCGCTTGCTGAACACGCTAGCTCACGAGTACTGCCACCTGGCCAACTTTATCATCTCCAACGTCCATAACAACCCCCATGGAGCAAGTTTCAAGCAATGGGGGCTGAAGTGCAAAGAAGCCCTGAAGGACCACCCTGTCTATGGCGGACGCTTTGAAGTCACGACCAAGCACAGCTACAAGATCGACTACAAGTATGTATGGAGCTGTGTGGACTGCGGCCAGACTTACGGGCGTCATTCAAAGAGCATCGACACTACCAAGTCTCGATGTGGAAAATGTAAAGGTCTGCTCCAGCAGATCAAGCCAAAGCCACGGAACGTCTCACCCCGAAAGAAGCAGCCCCTTGGAGATGCCGAGCAAGTGGACGTTGATGAGGTCGCGAACGTGTTGGGGGAGATCAGTTTGCGTAACTGAGGCACTCGCAGCTGTTCAATCAAGTCATTGAAGGTGTTTACGGATTTGTCTCTCATTTTACATATATTTCGGGAAGATTTGCCTGTCATTCTAGCGTTCATTTGATGACTATATATCTACATATGGTGTTCTCTCTTTAGCGATGATATGCCTGTCCGTCTCTCATTTGGGATACTTGTCTTTCGTGTTTGATGTACACAACGATCCTTACGCAATGAGCACATGAGTCTGTATATACAGAAGTTGTCCTTTGGTGTTCATAATCGATTTATTTCGGATTGACTATCACTAAGCTATCTAATTAGTCTTTCTATATACATGCCAGTGTGCCAGTCACGATTGCGGTCATCCATGATACATGCAATTCCTGAACCCATCCATACCAAACCCGCCATGCAAAGATCCAAATCCCATAATTTCCTCCAAGTACAGTCCCTCATTCCCAACCCCATCAATGAATCATACACACCCCAAACAGCCCCACGAATGCAAAGGAGGCAAAGAAAAAGAAACCTAACAAAACAAATCCCAATCAACAACCTCCAGCCCCTCCACGAACGCGGTGATCAACCCATCAGCCAAACGTTCCTCCACCTCCAACCCCCTCAAATCCCCCGCCTTCTCAAACTCCTCCCTGGGCACATTCACAAAAACCACCAAATCCGTCTCCTGCTCCACGAGCCTGACCACCAGATACCACAGTGTCACAGTACTAGTCAGTCCCCCCTCCAAACTCGACCCGGCCACCGCGCCCCCAATGCCAACCCCAGACCCAGACCCGGGACCGCGTCTCCCCTTCGGAGAAGTAACCCTCACCACACCGCGATACGCCACTGTCCCAGCCGGGAACTTCCCCAAGATGACCCGCGCAGGCGGGGTCACGATCTCCAGCTTATCATCTTCGTCACACAGGTCGTGCACGTGGTAGAGCGCCGCTTTTGCGTCCGCGTCGAGCTGCTGCTGGTGCTGGTGCGTCTGCAGGTCCGGGATGAGCGTATCCAGGGACAGTGTCTCGGGTTCCGTGACGCGTTGGTTTATCTCGGTGATTTGGGATGTGAGCGTCGTGGGCGACAGGTACACTTCTTGGTGGGAGGGAATTTCGCGCACGTCACTGTTTTTTTTCTCTCTCTCTCTGTTAGTTTTGGGGTTGCTGTCTTTGGGTGATTGTGTTTGGGAGTTGTGAGCGATAGGACGCACCTTGCGTCGACCCAGTTTTGGGGAACTGGGCCTTTGATTGCGCCGCCGTAGAAGTCGCGCGGGGTGTATGTTGTCATCTTGGGGGTTTTTTTTTTGGGGTGATGCGGGGTAGGGTGTTTTGTGGTGGGGTGTTAGGAGGGATTGCGTGTGATAGTGGTGTTCTCTAGATGCTGGGGTTTGTTGTCTTTATAGGTGTCTCTTGGGAGGGTCGTGAGTCATGAAGGAGGATTTGTTGTGTTTGAAGGAGATGATCGAGGAAGTTGATTTCTGCTTTGGGATGGACATTGAAGCTTTTCGGGCCAATGAGGGACATGACATCTCGTTTCGTTGTTGGCGGGCGGTAGGCTTATCGCCTCCTGATTGGCGGGCGGGGTCTTCTCATACGAGGTTGCCCTTCCGCGTGACTCACGGGACTGCGGTCTAGACTTAGGAAGTCGTACTTAGAGACCATTTATCAAATGTAAATGAGAGACTTGATTGAATAGAGACTCTGCGAATATAGGCCTGACGGCCCCATGGCGACTATCTAAAGGTACTAGTATCTAAGGCATAGGCAAGAAGTTCCTGCTTCCAGACCATTCGAATCACATGTCCAACAGCTCTTCGATATATCCGTCCAACGCGATCATCTTGAACTTGTTCCCCCATTTCGAGCGGAACTCTTTCTTGCGATAGGCGTAGCTGGTCACCTGGGAGAAGCTCACCAGTTCCACTGTCCACCCCCGCCGCAGCGCTCGCTCCACCATCTTCATGAATCCGCCGGAGAACTCGGCTTCCGCCGCATCTCCCGTAGCTAAAACGATAGTGGCTGGCTCGTCCGTATCCAGCAGGCTTTCGAGGATCTTTAGGTGTAGAATTTCGTCCACACCCTGTTCGACCCAGCGCTCCTCCGGCGCGTCGTTCGTTTCAGAACTACTGCCTCCGTCCTGAGCGCCCGCCCGAGTACCCTTGCGGAATTTCATCTGACGACGAGTCGGTTGTTTCACCTTGTGCACTCGGTCGAGAATGTTCGCCTCGTACCCGAGTTTCTCGCCGTCGTCGATCGCAGCGAAGCGGTCCGAGCCCACCAAGACCCTTTTGGCCGTGGGTCGACCACGCTCCAAGATCAACGAGAAATTCTGGAATGAGAGTGGCAAGCGGCGGATCCGTGTTTTCACAGGGATGTTCCGGGATACTTTCATGGAGTCGTGAAACCCAACCATAATCTGGACGACGGCGATGGTTAGTAAAGGGCGAACGACACTTACGGGGAAGATAACTTACATTAGACATATCGACAAAGACATGAATCGGGCGAGATGTGGGAGGAGAGCCCGGTTTGGACTTACCAGACCGCCCCACTAGAGTTATAGTCTCTGCATAGTCGGGAAAGTTCTTCAACAGCTTCGTTAAAAGACCGACTTTTCGGCTGGCTGCCGACTTGTACGCGATGGGCTGCACACGAATGGCGCCACCAGGGAGGTTTTGGATAGCGATAGGGGCTAGTGCCCCTCCGGATTCATCAAACGAGGATGGCGGGGTTTCGGACGACTCACTCAAAGCCTCCACTATGCCCACCTGGGACGGGACTAAAGAAAGGACGCCCCGTTTGGCATACGACGGGTCGAAGATGCTTGGGTTGTCGGACTCTGCTTCCGCAGTGCTCTCCGACAACTGAGGCTCATAGGTTGGTTGCTTGGTTTGGTTACGGTGTTTCGTGTTGCGATATTCAACGGTAGTCTTGTGGGGCTTGGACACATCTGATGTGGGGATCGGCCGAGGAGGCGTACGCGGAATCGCCTTACCAGGGCTATCAACGGTTGTAGGCCCGGGAGAAGGACGTTTGAGGATCTGAATCCGCTTAGGCTGCTGTGACGGTTGTTCGACAATGCTTTCCTTGGTCGCTTGATGAAGTCCAGCTTCTGCACCAGGCGTAGTGTTGCCAAGGAAATCCCAGAGGGAAGAGAAATCACCAAGCTTTGGGGGTCCACCGTCGTGCTTCAGATCAGGTGCCGAGTCAGCTAGACCTTGGGCAGCAACCGTGCCGGGCGCGGGAGTGGATGGAGCTTGGTCGGGGTCATTGTGGCGAGCAGGGATGGAACGGTCGCCGCCGCTGTACGTCGGCGAGCGCAGTAGATTAATCACCGGAGTGAAATCCCAGTTTGAAGAAGGTGTAGCCGACGATGGCATTGACAGCAATGGACTCAGATGTCAGATACAATGTTGTGTAGGGGTTCCGCTCGAAGTAGGGATGTGCCTGGTGGCAATGCGCGGGGTTTGAAAGACGAAAGAGTAGAAAGCGTTCAAGTACAAACGAAAACTATAAATGTGCACAATTCAAACGCAACAGATAGGGCATAAAGATGAAGTGCATCAACATGGTGGTCATTGAGACCCGACCAGACGACGATGTTCACGTCAAACGCATTGAAAGAGAAGGTAAGTTGACAAAGGGAAGAGAGAGATTAGGTTAGGTTAGGTTAGGTTAGGCACGGAGACTCGGAGACTCGCCGCCTGCGATGACTCGCCGCGTGGCGGTGAACAACTGTCACAGTACTGCCTTATCCTACCGCCTGCTACCTTGAGCCATCAACGACATTAGTCTGAAAACGGAAGGTCCCTTCACCGGCATTCGCCGGAATAGATAATCCGGCGGAATTATATTTCCCCATGGCCCACCACATCCACTAAGCCTTCTTTGGCCTAATCTGTAACGTAGGGTCATGGCGACGTCATCGGTCCAGAATCTCACATCGCAAGAATGACGATTTGGATGTTTATTCCTGGTTTCTTCTGGAATCGCCAATTGTATGGCTGTCCAATGGTCATTGGCCGGCTCTCTCGTCACCATGACGCGAATCCGAAGATCTCCGTGCCATGGATAGGATTCTAGATTCACGTTCAGAGGCCAGACCTCAACATCACTTGTGCCTCGGGTGAATTGCGTAGCGGAGCAAAATCAAGGTCACCAACGTCATGGAGGTACGGATATAGCAGCAGATGAAAGATATATAAACCCTCGAATCCCTGGTCTTACTTCCTTCTTCATCAATCTCAACAAGACAAACAATCTGACTACAACTACTCTACCAAACTTGTACTCTTAACCACTTTACGCTTTCAACCAAACCACTCGCAAACATGTCTGACAACGGACGCAAGGACTGGAGCACCAGTACGTTGGCATGCATGAACATGGTGCTGCATTGGATGTCTCGCTAACTTCCTCGCAGAGGCCAAGGAGGAGCTCACTCCCGACTCCGCCAAGTCCACCCAGCAGAAGATGAAGGAGGGCGCCACTGATATTGGTGACCGCTTCGCTCGTGGCATCCAGCCCGACGACCAGAAGTCTGGCACGCAGGAGGCCTTCGACAAGGGTCAACGTATGCATGACAACAAGGCCCACGGTGGTACCGACAAGTCGATGTAAGTGTTCATGCATAGTATTCGAGTTCTTGTCGAGAGACTAACGGATTCTGCAGCCTCGACAAGGCCAAGGACGCCATTGGTCTCGGTGACCACTAAGCTTGTGTCTGGAGGATCACCTGTGGCCGTTCATCATGGATAAATTTTATGATTCGATGACTTAATCCTCATGTACTGTATTAAGCTTAGTATTCCGCGTCAATTAATGACCATATGAATTAATCAGAACCCAACATTCTGAACCATTTCACTTCCCCCGTACGGACTGACCAAGCTTCGAGTCTCGTTCCTGGGTAAGCTCATCGAGTTCCTCTAGCAACTCTCGATACTTAGCCCGCGCCCCTTGGACATCTGTAGGAAGGTCATGGAACAACTGAAGTCGATGTTCCAAAGTTTTGACCGTGCTCATAAGCTTCTTGACGTCGTCCTCTTCCGCCAGCAATTCTTCCAACGTAGGCCCTTCACTTTGATTTCTCTTCAACGTAGCAGCCCTATCCTGATATTCACCCGCTTTAGCAGCGAGAGCTTTCGTACCTTTTGTCCACTCCGCCGTCCTAGCCGGCAGATCAGCCGGAACTTGATAAGCCGGATCGGACCTGAGTTCATCCAATTGCCGACGCAGCGCCTCCAATTCGGTTTGCAGATAATCATGTAGCTTATCCACCTTGGCCAACTGGTCTTCAATACCAAATTCCTCCTTCGTCAGATCGATAATCGATTGCCCCAGGTGTCCCGCCTCCGCGCTCAGCGCGCCCAACGCCGCAGCCGATTTCGCCAGATCGTCCAGATCCTGTTCCCCCCTCTCGTCGAGACAAAGCTCTAGCTCGTCAAGTATTTCTTTCTTCTGTTTCTCTTCGGTCTTTTCGCGCGCCTTGAACCCCTCCACGGCTTGTTCGCGTGCCTGGTGTAGGAGAGCCGCTTGCTCGTCGGCCGCGTCGTTCGCAGCCGCTAGGGCAAGCAATGTGCGCAGTGTATCTTCGTTTCGCTCGAATGTGGGGACTGGGTTCGGGGCGTAGTGGCGACTGAGCCAGGAGTTGACGAAGGCCCAGTCTTTGGCCTGGATGGCTGCTTGTCGCGCTTTGGCGGGGGAGAGGAGGGGGCTGTCCATTGGCGGTGAGGTTGGGGATGGTCAGGTCGTAGGGATGTTCTTCTTTGGTGTACAGATAGATGGAATAAGAATTGGAAAGGTACTCGCTAGGGTATGGTCGCTAATGTATCGAAGTTGGGGTTTAGTACTAGTAGATTGCGGTTCGTCCAACGGGGAATAAAACCGCTAGTCTGAACGATCAATCGATGCCAAGACACGCTATTTGCAGAGGAGTATAACAGGAATAACATTAATCCGCCGATGTAGGTATGCCATTGAATAGAGATCCTGGACCATGCTGTTAATTTTGCAGATCTTCTAGCTTAGGTTGTGAGGGAGAAGAAGTCTAGGGCAAAGAGTAGCGGATTATGTTCACGCTGTTCTGAAGTAGACTCTGACTATGCAAAGGAATACGGAAGTTAGGGTCTCATATAAATAGCGCAAATATAGCAGCAAACATACCTGATACTTTTCAACTTAGTAGACTTCAATGGGTAATGCCTGACTGTAGAGATTGAAGATAAAGAATGCACCAGATATTCCAAGCTATTTTGAACCCCGAAAAAAGGAAATTGTAGGGATATTCATATAGTTTTCTAATGTTAGGTTCATGAAGGACATCGAAGAAGGAGCGCATACTGGCACAGAATGACCTTTCAATGTAAAACACGTGTTTTCAAGGCTAGCTAAAGAGTGTCTAATACAATTGAGAAGACCGTACAAAGTGCATAACCTCATCATAATAGGGTACTTTGAATAGTAATATCCCCCCACCTTCTCCCTAGGTCCGTATCATCACAACTGGTAGAGATCTTGGTAATCTTTTATCTTTCAGTATCTATCAATAAAGTTAACTCAGTAATGGTGTTGGCTTCTATAAATCTGGACGCTTTCTTCTCAAAAAACTAGATTCTGGTTGTTAAATCTATGGAGTTCTATAACCTGCGAAGGAGACGTTTTCAGCGCTCTTTGTAGGTTCACTCGAACAGGCCTGTTGGAAGAAGCTTCAGTTGACTGGGCCAGCAGATCTGGCCCACATTGAACCATATCATCCTGGCCAATGTTAGTGCAGGTGGGTTTATGAATTATCTGACTTGTAAGATACCTCGCTGACTTAGTAGTAGCATATGATACATCCCGTCGGCTTTCTACGGCTCACAGATCTGTTGTGATACATCGATGGTGAGATGTCGTTAAACCCTCATTTAGTGTCGAACAAATAGGGTCCAAACAACTTAAGCTTGTCTCGGCTTCTTACGTCTTTATCCCCCCAGTTTATATTAGATGTTACCACTTTTCATTGGTACCGATTGTTCTTTATCATCATTCAAAGAATAGGAATGCAGTTAGCGATGAAACGCTAGTAGACCTTATAGCAATATTCAATTAGCCAAGCGAGTAAAAATCGCTAATAACGCCGCCAGCTTCTCCATTTATCTATGCAAGACTTTGAATCCAGGAAGGATTGCCTTAAGCCGAGGTTTTCGCCGCTCAAGCCCCTGCTTGACGAGTCGTTGTCTGGATGTTGTTGGAAGGTGCCCCAAGTCCCACTTCCAAAACGGCTACTTTGGAGAAGCCCTAACTCGAGTTTGATGAAACCTGAGCCCGCGGGCTCTCAACCCCCCTCGATGCCTGACTCACTCTTGTAGGCTACTCTAAGAACCCGTAGATAACATCTCCCACGAGCAAGGCTGTACTATACGAGCCATCATGCTCTGCAACCCGCACAATCCCTTAGGTCGATGCCATCCGCTGTTGTTCCTCGTGGAACTAATGAAGCTTTGTCAAAAAACATGGCGTTCATTCGATCAGCGATGAGATATATGCCTTGTCCGTTTGGAGACACGGTCAGGACGGGGCCACGCCCATGGAAGAGTTTACTTCAGTACTTTCCATCAATCCTGATGGACTGATCGACCCGAAGCTTATTCATGTGCTATGGGGTGTTAGTAAGGACTTTGGCGCGAACGGAGTGCGACTAGGTGTGGTTATTTCCCAAGACAACGGCGACTTGCTTGAATCGATCAGAGGGATCGGGCAGTTCAGTTCGATTTCGGGCTTCGCGGACTACCTGACGACAACCATCCTCGAAGACGAAGACTTCGTGGACCGATATATCAAGGAAAACCGCGAAAAGCTTGCTGCAGCCTACAACTATGTTGTCACCTTCTTGGATGACCACGGAATACCCTATGCAAGAGGGTCGAACGCGGGGTTCTTTGTCTGGTGTGATCTATTAACAGCTTATCTAAGAATCCAACCCAACAGTCCACCTGATGACAGCGACTCTGCCAAGCGGAACAGAGGTAGGGAGCTGGCAGAAAAGTTGGCACCGCATAGAGAGCATCTTGGAGTTGGCAATGACTTTGGTAGTGAGCAGTCCGGGTGGTTCCGCATTACCTTTTCTCAACACCGTGCTCAACTCGATGAGGGGCTGAAACGAATTGTCAAAAGCCTTCGCTCTCAGGAGCTTGGGTAATTGAGATCCACAGTGCTGGTCGATGCCAGCTCCTCTATGACTGATGTGGTCTACTGCTTGCAAGCCCTCAGTTTATCACTTATGAATTGGCTTGCTTGATAGATCACCGGGGCTACATGGCATCACGGAGTGGCAGTAATACACGCGCCGACGCATTTCCCCTGCTGTGGATTACGAGAACTTTGCTCTTTCATTTAATCTGATCTATTTTATAACTTGATTAAGTCACCTAGCTGGTTGAGCTTTAGCTGATGGACTGAAAGGGTGGGTGCTAGTTGTGGCCCTGGATTTTCAAAGCTCCTCCTTAAGCAGAAGTACTCAGACATCCCTATAGTGCTTTTAGTATAGATTATGTGAGTGACGAGTAGCGCGGAAGTCTGATGCTACGGACAAGCGCTGAGGCCAAAACAGCATAGGATTACAGGATTACTTAGAGAGCAATTGAGATTTCACCGCAAACCAAACATTCATTCTCTACCATATTCCTGCACCCCCCCGCTAGAAAGCCCAACCTAACGATCGACTCATACCATAACATGCTCAACACTCTCCTACTGTACAGCTTGACTCTGACACCACGCCCGTCGCCATCGCCCAAAAGAAGACTAACCCCGGGAAGCTCATCTGGTTCTCATTTACAACATGATGACTCTTAAGAGTCGCATCTCCGTGAATTAAATTCTGTGCACACTTTCCGATCAAGAAGCCGAAGACCATGGATAAGAGCGATATACATGCGCAGAGATGGCGGTACTAAACCTGTGGGAAGACCTCTCGAATGCCTTTGAAGACCCAAAAACAAACATGTGGTATAATGGATCTAGACTGCTAGAACGGCCTCCTGAATCCAATCAAGATAAGCTGCGGTGCTCGCATAAACACCACTATGGCTGAATTTCCCACATCCAAAGCCCCACGAAATAACTCCGACCTGCTTCTTCGAGCTAGCATCAACAAGTGGACCACCGCTATCTCCCTGGCAGGCATCCTTTCCTCCAAATTCGGCACCAGCACAGATCATGGAGTCATCAACTTCACGGTCATCCACGTATTGCTTCGCGCATTTCTCGTGGTCAACAATATCGACGTACGCGACCAAGAGGTTTGTGGGCATCGAGCCTCCAGAGGAGGTACTCCCCCAGCCAGTGACAGAGCACTTGGTCCCCACCGGCGGCGTATCGTCCGCTGAGGATGGAAGTTCCACAGCCGAGATGGTAGACCCAAAGTCTAGGCTCGAGGCCAGCTTGAGGACGGCGATGTCATTCTTGATTGTTTTCCGGTCGTACTCTGAGTGTTGCGTGACTTTAGCCACCTTGACCAACTTCCCACCCGAGCTGTGCTGGTTGGAACCCGCTCGAACTCTCAGGCGATTTGCGGATAGTCCATCCACGCAGTGAGCGGCAGTTAGGATATGATCTTTATCGATGATAGATCCACCGCACTTGTGGGAGCTGGTTTGAATGGAAACTTGATAAGGGAATTCTCCGGTCGCGGCCTGGGACCCACCCTGAATGGCTTTCTCAGCAATGGCTGATCCTGCGATGGATAGCAGGGTGACGGTGGAAAGGACGAGTCTCATGATTGGCAATATGTTGTGAACGAAAGGTTGGACGGACGCATGGCTTTTGAGAGTTGCGTGGGAGCGGAATACTATTTAAATGCGCCAACATCGAGTCCCCAACCGTAAACAAGATTTCGTCGATCTGCAAAATTCCACCGTACAGTGTCTTAGATTGATTGATTTTGGAGTTCGGCGCAGCTCAAGGAGATCAAGGCAATGAACCAATTTTGACGCTATTGGTGCCCTGCGGAGTTTATCGCCGATCTGAGATCGTTTATGTCGACGATCGACATCTTCCACATCGACCCACTCCGAGCTGAACCGAACCCCTTAACCTTTTCAGGGCCACAAGTATCCTGTCTCATTAGCTCTGGAACAGTGCTCTGTGGGGATGACCTACCAGCGGGATACATCGACTCTCTGCGCACAAGGAGAAACCCCATAGCGCATCGTGGAAAAGTTCTTGCAATCGCAGATTCAAGGCGATAGAGAATGAGACTCACGATGATTCGATCAAAAATGGGAATTACCACTTCGTCTACTCCGTAGTGTCAGAGGATGGCATCTAGGTACGGAGTATGGAGTAGAGGTCACTTAAAGAACTGCCCCTCTCGAAAGATAGATCCAGCTACGCCACTAGTACTTTGCGTACATAACACTAGTGATTGCCTACATACTGGAGTATTGGCGATCGCACCACATAAAAGTTCCAGTAGTACTATAGACAGGCATGCTCGGGAAATGCCTCAGGATTGGGAGAGTTCTGCAGATCAGATCCAGCTAGTATCTGAGTAGTATCCCCAGTGAATGGCTCGCGCATATGTATTGTTTATCGGCTGATCATTGGCATGGTGCCCAGGTAACATATGCTGTCAACTCATGGAATATAAAGCCCTGCGTATTCCTCCTACAACATGAAGACAACGACAACAGCTGTTTCACATTGTTCTAAATCACCTCACCAGCCATATCCAACATCATCCACTCCCCTTTACTTTTATCAGTCAATGTAGGATGTTGGTGCTATGCATCATCCAGCGCATGGCACTAAGCGGCTGGACTCTCCGAAAGTCCGTCATTAATACAAATGAATATTTTCTCCGATGCGGTACAGTCGATTTCGAAAACATATTGCCCCTTGGACACATTGACTTTGTGTCGAAGCATACGGTGAGTGGCATTTCGACAAGCGTCCGACGTAACGCTATCAGATGGCTTTGACCTTGAGCACATCTATAAGGATCAACTGCTTTAGTATTTTGATTTCTAGGAATCTTGGATATCTCTGAGCGGTTTAGAAGTAGAGATATATTTCTTTTAAATGTATACTTCTATAGTAAACCTAGGGCTATAGATCCATTCTTTTAATGTCGGAATAGTCGGGTTTAGAATGCAATATTTCTTTTTTTTGAAGAATATTGGGTCTGCCTGAGTGTCTATATCAATGCAGCTATTGATATAGAGAGTGCTGTAGATTCTTAAACCTGAATTTTGGTCGATTGTTGGTGATATGAATGAAAAACGCGACTATCTGAACTAAGACCCTCTGGCGAGGAAAGCTGTATAATGGGGTCCATTTATGGACATAACCAGGTTATATAAGCAGCGACTGCATAGAAGCCAGAGGGTCTGAGCCTGCTGAGATAATCCTCTATTATCAGTCCTGCATAGCAGGTACATCTTTCATCTCATTCCAGGGCATCTGTGTGCGATAGCGCGTGTCTTCCACTACTAGTAGGTTGTAAATCGATGAGCATAAACTGGGTGGCCGTACAAGGACTAGTGGGTCTTGGCATTTACATCGATGTAGCCCGCCGTAGACGACCGAAAGCGTGACTGGCGTTGCTTCGCTTCCCGCTTCCGTTGACCCTCCACGGAGCACCAAGTAGCCCTCGATGACCAGCTATTTCCCCCCGGTTGGGGCCATCCCCAGTCATGCTTCGACCGGGACGCCTTCCCCAGCGGCTTCCCCGCTGTCCCCGCCAGCGACACAGCGATCCAATGCCTTGACGAACCGGTTGACAAGTGTACTCTCCGCATCCTATGCCGACTCGGATATCCGCGATGCGCTCGAGACCCTCAGCCTGCGAGACATCCATAACACACCGGAAGTGCGACGACAATTGAGACTAGACGTGCAGAAGGAAGTGGTCGATTGTAATGCGGAGATCGTACGGGACTTTGGGAAAGTTGCGGAGGTAATTGACCAACGATGGGAGGGGAATGTGAAAGAAGAGACCGACGCTAATTCTGATGGACGAGACAGCAATTGAAGCGAATCGGTTCCGTGATTACCAGCTTGAACCAGACATGCGACGAAATGCGAAAGCACATCGACCTGGCTAGACAAGATACTGGCCCTGTCCTGGAGGAGGCATCCACGTTGATGAACCAGAAGAAAGAGGCCGAGACGAAACAGCAGTTGCTCGATGCCTTTACGAAGCATTTTGTCGTTTCGGATGATGATATTCTGGTCTTGACATCGCTGGAGGACCCCATCAATGACGAATTCTTCGACGTGCTCGCCCGTGTGAAGCAGGTGCACCGCGACTGTGAAGCTTTGCTAGGCGGAGAGAATCAGCGACTAGGCCTGGAGCTGATGGATAAGAGCTCCAGGAATCTCAACTCTGCGTATCAAAAGCTCTACAGGTGGATCCAGAAGGAGTTCAAATCGCTGAATCTGGAAGATCCCCGGATCAGTAGCTCGATCCGACGTGCGCTGCGGGTGCTGGCAGAACGACCGAGCCTGTTCCACAGCTGTCTGGATTTCTTCGCAGAGGCGCGTGATTACACCCTTTCCGATGCCTTCCATTACGCTCTTACGGATGCCGTTTCCGGCACTGCAGGTGATAGCAATGTGAAACCAATTGAGTTTTCTGCCCATGATCCCCTGAGATATATCGGAGACATGCTGGCCTGGGTGCATTCGACCACCGTGTCCGAGCGGGAGGCACTGGAAGCCCTTTTTGTGGCTGATGGCGAGGAGCTTGCAAGGGGAATCCAAGCCGGACTCAGCAGCGAGCCTTGGTCTCGTATCGATGAGCACGAGGAAGTCGCTTTTGATGGACAAAAGGCTCTCAGTGACCTGGTTAACCGCGACTTGATTGGAGTCTCCCGAGGTTTGCGCCAGCGAGTCGAGCTGGTGATCCAAGGTCATGATGACCCGGTTACTTGCTACAAGGTCGTTGGTCTACTGTCTTTTTACCGGACCACTTTCCAGAAATTACTGGGACCTAATTCTAACCTGGCGGAATTGTTGGGCACATTGGAAAAGTTCACTTTCGGCCACTTCGAGGCTCTTATGAAGGACGTGGTTAGCAGTCTGTCGATAGACCATCTAGCTCTGACTCCTTCGGAGGATCTATCCACACCCCAATTCCTAGTCGATACACTCGAAGGCCTGACGTCTCTTATGAAGACCTATGAAGCTTCTTTCGGAGCGGACGATACAGAGTCCACTTCAAACGAAAACCGGTTCACTCCTGTTCTCCGCGCCGCGTTTGATCCGTTCTTGGAGTTAGCGACGTTGTCAGCGGAGGAGCTATCCGATGCTACCGCGCGTGCAATCTATCTGACCAACATCCATCTCACTGTACGAACGACCGTTTCGGAACACTCATTTGTCAGTACAACACATCTCAACCCCATCTCAACGAAACTCTCGTCCCTCCGCATAGATCTACTGGAGATCCAACACCGCTACCTTCTGGACGAGTCTGGTCTCCAGGTATTGCTCACAGCACTTGAGCCTTTCTCCCAATCTTCGCTAGCGAAACCATCGGCGGAAACGGAGAAGCAAAACTCACACCCACCAGAGAGCCAGCCGCAGCACCAGTCTAACCTGGCTGACATTGCGACTCTCACGGCCTTCCAACCCGAAGCTCTCATCGCGGTTAGTCAGCAGCTCGACGACTTCCTCCCGTCCGCCTTGATGGACGCCACAGACAATCTGAAACGCCTGCGCAGTGCCGCGTTCGTCAAGAGCGTGACGGAGGAAGCAGTGGAGGCGTTCTGTCGCGACTTCGAGTTCGTCGAGGGTATGATCATTGGTGCCGATGAAGCAAGAGGGAAGGTTGATGTCACTCGTGTAGACAAGGGAAGTGAGACTGGCGCCGAGAGCGAGAAGGGCATGGAAGAGGGAGAGAATGAATGGGGGTTGAGAAGACTTTTCCCCCGTACTACGGGAGAAATCCGGGTATTGCTGAGTTGATTCAACCCACGCTATCCTAACCATGCCAACATACTTCAAACTCCAGTTTTTGTACATATCATTCCATACATATAATCTGATTCTACCCGTCATACCACCGCATCAATTCATTCATAGCCAATAACCCCCCAATTAACAGACCCCTAAACCCTTCTAACCATGATACCATAGGGATCCCGATCCCTCTCACTAACATGCACCTCACACGCCCCATCCTTCAAAACCTCCACCAACCCCTGCTCACCACCCGCCACCGTCTTCAACGCCTCCGCGCGCTGAGCCTCCCACTCCGCCTTAAGCACGCCCTCCAACTTCTCCCTCATAACCGCCCTCAAATAACCCCTCTCCGTATTCGAATGCGCCAGCGCAACAACCACCTTCCCGCGCTCAATCGCCGCCAACGCCTCATGATGGCTCATCTCCCCGGTAAACAGCAAATCAGGAACATTGGCCCCCTTCATCAGCACACTCGACCCGGACCCGGGACAAACGCCCACCGTGCGAATCGAAATCTCATCCACGGACACCCCCTGCGGAACCGCAATGGGGATGCCACCGGGGAAACCGACACCCTGGGCAATTCTATCGACGAGAGTGGTTAGTGGCTGCGGAGAATCGAAGGTGACAAGACGGCCCATTCCGGCTGTTTCCATGTTCTCGGGCAGCGGGGGCGGCGAGGGGTGGATGGTTGTTCTGGTGTGGGACGGGATTGAGCTCGCGTCGGCCGGGGCTACGGCGTGCGGGGTTGGGTAGGATGGGGCGGAGTAGGTCTTCAAGGAGGACTGGGTTGGTGTGTTGGTGTTCGCAGAGGCAGAGGGGGAGGGGGTGATCGAGCCGGTGACAATGTCGCAGAGCCAGTCGGCCATGCCGCCGGGCGTGGCGTCGACGGCTGTGTGCGGGGAGTAGACGCTGATGCCTTCCTGGGCGAGGCGGAGGAGGGATTGCTGTTGCGGGTCGGTGAAGGTGAGGGATTTGAGGCCGCGGAAGATGATCGGGTCTGGATTGGATTAGTGGTTTGTGTCTTTCTTTGATATTGGGTTGGAGGGGTGGGGGGAGGAGGTGGTTGGCGTACGGTAGGCGACGATTGCGGAGGCTTTGCGCGCGATGGCTTCGTCTGCCACGGCTTTTGTGAGGTCTATGGCTAGCAGAACGGAGTTGTTTTGGCGTCGGGTTGGGCTGAAGGGGGCTTCGAGGAGGACTGGGGATTGTGTTAGTTGGTTTGAGTGAGGTCGGTTGGTGAGGGAGGGGCTTACGGCCGGTGTTATCCCAGCTTTTGTCGGCGAGGGATTCGGGGTAGCTGTGTGCGTTGTTAGTGATTGGGTTCATGTATGGTGTGTCCTGCCCAGGTCAAGTGGAAGAGGGCAATTGGGAAAGGTAGAATTGCATACAGCTTCCTCATGGAGCTCACCACGGCCTTGGTGAAGGGCGATGACGTGGGGGACGGTGATGCAGACATTGTTGAGTAGAGACGGACAGAGGACCGGAGAAGGGGGTTCATAGAAGGCTCTATACTGCCTGGGTAATGGGTTAGAGGAGGGATTTAAAGGATGACTCGTGTATGTGGGGAATTGAAGCTGTGAGCTATCGAGAAGACGATAGCAAATAATGCCGATTAGATGGAGGAGCAAAAGCTGACGCCACAGTTCACCAGCCACACAATCACATGACTTAACGAACCCCGATTCAATGTCCTTACCTTATCCTAGGAACGTGGTTGGCTTTATTCATGTAATATCTCAGGATGTCCTGTACTTTTCATGTCGAGTATTGATATGATGGATTTCAACACCGTCTCGAACTAGCTTATTGCTGGCCCATGCTATTTCTTTTCTCGGCTACTTTTTTGACGGCCACCCAAGTAAAACTGCAGAACATAACGTTATAACCCGATAATTAGTTAATGAGTGTATTGCTATCTGGACAGTTGAGCCAAAGATAAAGGGGCCAGGTAAAGTATATACACAACAGCCAGGGTTCGCTATGATATTCAATGGATTGGAAATGTTGAAGGATGGACACGATACCGGTGATGATCTCGCCGTGCGAAACCTGCTGAACATAAATAAACTGCAGCAGAAAGGTATATACATGAGATATTGTACTGTGTATATAAGGTAACGAGGTTCATATAGGATTCTCCATGGTGGCAGTTACTCTTATCCCGTAGTGTAGCTCTTAGCAGGTGACTTATCCAAGCATAGGCTGCTAATATTCATTACTATCACTGGATCGGAAATTGTATCTTTATGTTGGAATTTACTCAGTCTTAATGAGAACATTTCGTCGTATAATAAGGCAGGGTAAATTCTTGTTGATTCCTCTGACGCCGTAGGGCAAGCCTTACAGTGGGGCCGTGCTTAAGCTTATCTAGAAATGTGGGTCACTTCCATCTCGGAAATTCATGTTTGCTGGCTGATGCGTATATTCCCTGAAAATGTGAAGCGAAACGAGATTAAAGCACTTTCCGGACTCAGGTATTATTACACAGAAGGTGTCTACTTATAAGTCAAGTTTCTAGTTTAGTAACAATCCAGCAAGCAAATATGTCCGGCGAGAATGAGGCATTCCTACATTCAAGGATTAGGATAATATGGATAGGTGGGAGGGCTTGACTAGCTTAATGCTTACAGCTGCTACATTGCTTACCTCCCACTATCGAATAGTCCCGTTAGAGGTACCTAAGAGGCTCAGTATAATTGATCGGCTTATGTTTGGTATTTAATCAAGGGTGTACCTTTCGACGCTATAAAATAAACACAAAAGCTTGGGCTGCTCATATGTACTTCATATCGAAAGGGGTACCAAGGGAGAGTCAGCCAGCGACTGTAGATTGTCGGGAGGCCGTATGGATGTCTTACCAGATATTAAATATATCGTTAATATGGGTCTAGGCAGCATATATGAGTTGAGGGCCAACTAACCTCAGTCCTTGAGATACAAATCGAATCCGTAGGAGCAAGCAGTGGGCGTCATGGATTTACATTATACCCCTCTACACTGGCCTTCACAGATAATAAACATAATATTTGTACAGAAGAGTACCTCATCAGTAAGATGATCCCATAGCACTTGTAATATGTACACATGAAAGCTTCCTACAAAGCAGGCCGTGGTGGCTTTCCCGCCACCTCTTCTGCTATTCTGATGCCTGCCGTTCGCCCTGAGAAGATACAACCCCCTAAAAATGTTCCTTCAAGCGCACTATAACCATGCACTCCACCGCCACCAAAGCCTGAGACCTCGCCTGCAGCGTACAGGTTTGGGAAATATGACCCATCCGGGCGAAGTACCCTTCCATGCAAATCCGTCTCAAGACCCCCCAGAGTCTTGCGAGTAAGGAGATTCAGGCGCACAGCGACAAACGGGCCGTGTGATGGATCCGCAAGCTTATGCAGTTTAGCCACCCTTCCAAGACGATCTGGCCAGTAGTTTCGCCCATTCTGAATCAGCATTACTTGAGCATCTTTCGTGAATTTGTTGTCAATTTGCATATCGCGGAGGTGGATCTCGCGTTCAATCTTCTTAACGTCCAGAGGGGGACCGCCTCGTTCTTTGGCAAGTTTGTTCATCCCAGCCACTAATTTGGATATTGTTGGCTCCACCACGAAATCTACCCCTTTATCCATGAATGCCTGAACAGGACCAGGGATTGCCGAGCTAAGCGCTCGGTGAAATGTCCTTAGCCTGCTTTTGCTTGTCAAATCCGGGTTCTGCTCGGAGCCCGAGAGTGCGAACTCCTTGCCAATAATTGTCTTATCAAGCACAAACCACGTATAGTCATAGCCAGTGTTGCATATATGCTTCAAGGTGGCAAGTGTATCACATCCAGGGTAGAGCATTGGAGGAAGCCGTTTCCCTGCGGCATCTAACCACAGTGACGAGGGTCCAGGGATGATACGTATCCCATGCTGCGGCCAGATGGGATCCCAGTTCTGTAGACCTTCAGTGTAGTGCCACATGCGGTCTTCATTGATTACATTGGCCCCAGCGTCTTTTGCAATCTCAATCATGCGTCCGTCCACATGTGCAGGGACGCCAATAACGAAGTTTGACGGAGGAGACCCGAGTCGATCAACGGGCCAGTTCTTCTTAACCAGGTCTACATTGCCGCCGATGCCTCCACTGGCAATAAGCACCCCGCTGCCGTACACTTCGAATGTGTCGATGCTCTTTCGACTGCTGGCCACACCGCGTACTGTGTCCGACGGCTCGAGCACTTGGCCTCGTACTCCAATGACAGCACCGGTATCCTCATCAACAATTAAAGAGTCCACCTGGCGACGAAACAGGAACTCCACAAGCCCTTTCTTCGCGGCTGCACGCACCGGCTTCTCAAAGGCCTCCACAATGGCAGGACCAGCACCCCAGGATATATGAAATCTCGGGACCTAGAAGATGGGTAAGCTGGAGTCTTGCTTCCTCGCTACACCTCTTTCACGGCGCACGTCTTCCATCCGGGGATAAACTGACAGAATTCCCGTGTCCTCCCGCACTCCCATCTCCACGTTCCGCCCAGCCAACACTGGCAAAGCTCACCCCCAACGACTTGACATAACGCTCCATATGGTCAGTCGCGAAGTTCACAAACGCCTTGGCCCATTTCCTGGGCCAGAGGTCACATTCCCGATCAAACCGAGCGCTGTTGAACCAGTCCTCCATTGCCAGCTTTCGACTATCTTGAATACCCAGCCGACGCTGGTCCGCCGAATTCACGCAGAACAAGCCTCCCAGAGACCAAAATGCTTGCCCACCTAAATTGGCTTCGTTCTCTTGATCTATGATGACCGTGTGCACGCCACGTTTGGACAGCTCGAAAGCGGCGACCAGGCCAGCTAGTCCACCGCCGACGATGATGATGGGTGAATTCTTCTCGGCCATTCTTGGATATCAAATTCTGTAGATTCTCTCAGATATCGTAGATTATGGTTCAGAGTCTGGGGTAAAAAAATGTGGAGTCGTTTGATTCTGGGGCAGGGAAAGAGTACGTACTTATGTATTGAATGGGATCACGCGATGGAGAAGTCCTCGGAAGACGGCTTCGGCCAATTCACCTCGGCGAATTCATTCCTCGCTATCACAGGGTGGTATGCTAACATACGTGGTGGAATATGCATGGTAGCGTGAGATGAGTCTACTTATATTCAAACAGATTATTGAAAAAAAGGGAGTCATCGTACTTGGTGATGATGCATATCATACTTCATTCCATGTATCTAAAAAGTCGAAGATCGAATTCTCATCTATCAACGCATCGATAAAGCCAGCAGGCATCGATGACTCAACCCCGTCACTAATCTTCTGGTTACATTCTCCATAGGCTGTTTGAACAGGAACAGTATCCGATTGAGGCTCAACCGGATCAGCATCTGTAGAGACAACAGGCCGATGGGATAGGGGTGAGCTCGCAGCATATGTTGGAAATATTTGCTGTAAAGCTTTTATGAAAATCCCACGAAATAAAGACGCAACTGTATACGTTTTCTGCAATTGTTCCAGGACACCCATGCACATATCGAGCTTATTGAAGCTGAAACGTCTCGAAAGTGGGTTGGCGTATTTACAGTTGTGAAGGTGGGTTTGCATAACCGGGACTAAAAGGGCGGGTCTATCGTATATTAGATGAAACCTCCCATGGAAGAAAACGTGTAAAGGACAGGTCTCTCGAACTTACGTCATTGGTCCTACATATTCCAGCAGATTTTCTCGAACAAGAATGTCCAAGATCTCGGTTGACTTTGATGCCGCGGCATCGGCTTTTGACTGCAGGCGTTGCTGCTCAACTTCTTGTTGGCTTGCAGCGAGACTCTCTGAATGTTCGATGACGCAGGGACGGTAGAGTGTGATCAAAAGTGCCCTGTTACGGTGGTATTAGTGCTGTCAATGCTAAGGGGGAGGGACAGTCTTAACTGGTAATGCAGATGAACATGATGTGCGTAAAACTTTGCCAAAGGAGCCAGGCCATGTTCATCTTGATCTGGCAATCTGCATCGCGTAATCTGTGCTTCAAGGGCATTGATCTGATTGATAGAGGACTTTGACTTCACGGATTTACTTTTCAGCACCAGAACCTTGCCCAAGAGCTGGCTCAGTTCAATTAAAATCATCCAGAACTCTACTAGTTTCTGAAACTCCTGGGGAATATACGACACAGAAACAGCTTCAGGTATGCTATCAAGCTCACTGAGTAGGTCGGCCGGTACGCACATCGGCAGGTCACAGTCGTCCAGATTGATCCTCAGTGGCCTTCCAAGAGTAAGACCAAGCCAGCGATCCCGGAAGAAGCAGGTCCACCACAGACGGCGCCACAAACGTCTCTGACGATCGGTGATAGATGAGTTATACCGCAAGAAATCTGGATCCCGATGTAAACCCAGCATCTGGCAAAGATTAATCGCAATTCCTGTCCAGTACCAAGGTTGCGTGTGTTCGTCCTGCTCCGAGTGCCAAAATCCCAACAGCAGGGAGGCTTGCAGAAGTGAGACCTTGTTTCTCTCCCCGCCGTTATCATACATGCACTACATGCATCAGCACGACAAACGTAAAGGCGAGATGACGTTATAGACCTTGCTCACCTTCGCACGTGAGTACATCGTGGCTTTCATTTCCTTCCGAGAGATATAACCCTCTTGCTCATAAATATGCGGTGGCACGAACTAAATACCAAACGTTAGATTTATTGGATCGTGACTTGGTTGTAATCGTCTTACATTGACTGCAACGAAAAATACACTCCACAGGAGTAGAATATTACAGTCACCAAGCCGGCCTTGATGTTGATAGTTCAAAATGGAGTCCACTTCGATCACTGGCATGATTGGATGTACATGATAGAAGTATGCACGAAGGAGGCTCTCACAAGTGTTGGGCTTAGGTAGGGTGAAGACCCCTTTCTTTTGGAGGTAGTCCCGATCATCGTCTGACAGGGTAGTTTGGCTATTCGATGGGATTAGACAGTGTCTGGACAATGAGTGATCCGGCGAGCAGATATCCAGAGTAGATACAGGCCCAGTTCGGTCTCCTAGTTAGGCAATAAGCATAAGTATATTATCAACCTAAGCGTCATTGTTACCTGTGTAGAAGGGCACTTCGCCCACTCTTCGCGGTTGCCCTAAAGCGGCCGCTGCAATTTCATCACCGTTTCGCTCTTCGTCTTCGATATCATGCACCTCGCGAGCTGCGCTGGCATCTGCGCTTAGAGGCTCATGTTGCTGTGGCTGAACTTGGAACGCTGGGAGTTCCACTCTACATGCTGGGGTCTGTGGAAGCGGCTGACTCGGACTCTGAGGGCTTGCAAAGAGAACCGGCCCACCGTGTCGCTCAGGTCTACAATACACTGACGTCAACATCTAGCAACTCATGCTTCCACATGAGCTTCCATCTTACTTCTGTCCTCGCCTGGTTGGGACTATACATGGGGTACGGTCCTGTGTGCAGCCGATACACGGCACCCCGGTGACACTCAAGCTGCACCGTACTTTGCGTTGGCGACACGTTTGACATGCAACCGTCCTCTGACGGCGGCGGGCTGATGTAGTAGACTTCGTAGGCGGCATCGTAAACCCTGCAATAGTATCATTCTGCTCCTTTTCTGTCACCGAGGTGTTAAGATAATGATGGACAAGAGTGGGGCAGGCCACCTCGGAGGCCAATAACCCTAGTTTCTTCTACCCCGAAGGGGTCCGCTCGATAGGGAAATCTTGCCGCGGTTCAACGTCGTCGCCGAGGCTCTCTCACAATCCTTTTCCGTACGGACATTTGCTGTCCTAGTTTAATTGTCACATGATGCTGGGTCTGTATATGATATTACTTGCATAATTAAGTTGTATTGTATGAACTAGTCCGATCATGATGTGCTAACACACTGATGGCCAGCTTAGGGCTACTTGGGCCCTTCACAAGCTAGAGGAAGCTTAATCAAGGAGCACATCTACCGAAAACGTATTTGCAGTAGCTAATATAGTAGAAATGGATTGAGTTTGTAAGTTAATCGTGACTATCATTACTAGTTCGCATTGGGGGTAAATTATTGAATTATGTGCATACGTAGATAGTTTTATACTATTCTTCCCTTAGTACATCCCATCCTTCAGTCGCGGAAGTCACCCGATCCCGCCAATTTCCTAGAGTAAGCAGTATCACTCAGTGAAAATCACTAAAATAGGGGTGAGAATAATGTTGATATACGACATAAATCCTTTATTTCATAGTTAGTTGTCTGAATAACTCAGTTGTGCTCTTTCTAACCCTATCTCGGAGCTGCATCCGGTGATGATTTGCGGGGAAACGCTCGGAGGCCTCCCGTAGCGGGTGGAGATAGTCAACCCTTATCTGAAGAGTAGTCTAATTCGCTGGCCAATCTGCTCATCTTAATAGCCTATTTGGGTAAGAGGTAGAGGTCTCCACATTTCTTATCAAGGGGTAAGCCTGTCTGTATGCTTGATTTTGTAAGATGTAATAGAAACATCGACGTGCGATAAAGATAGACCGGGGTGCATCCGAGTAGGTCTGAGAGAATGGAGGAATAAGTGCGTAGACGAGTATCTGTATGCACATTCGGGAGGGCCCCGAATGAAGAAGCCAGCTGACCATCGGCCTGCTCCCAGGAAAGGTCTATGAGACTTGGATATATGAGATGTAGGCTGACGATGGAATTCGGGGAATGCTTGCCTTGAGCTCATATACTTGGTAGGGGTCTCGTATCTATAGGTTATTTCTATCATGTCTTCCACACAGGCTACTTGGCATTCTTTTTCTACCTCTCCCGATGACTATAATCAGAAGTCTCTAGCTAGTAGTTGGACAACGGATATTACAATTCCCAGCGTGGAGGAGACCAACGACCATCCCAAGGTCAATGATACCGTCGACTATAGCAGCCCGTTCATCTCGGAGCGAGCTATCGACCAGCCCCGACCCCTCAAGGTGGTCTATATCGGAGCGGGTATCTCGGGAATTATTGCGGCCATACGGTTCATACAGGCGGTCCCTACCCTAGACTTCGTGATTTATGAGAAGAATCCTGAGCTGGGAGGCACATGGTATGAGAATAGATATCCTGGTTGTGCATGCGGTACGGCACCAGTCCCGAACATTATGGGTATCTTCTAACGAACTTAGATGTCCCATCCCATGCATATCAGCTTAGCTTTGAGTCTTGGACCGGGTGGAGCAGCTTTTTCTCGGGCTCCGACGAGATCCTGGAATACTGGAAACGGGTTGCGAAGAAATACGACGTCCGAAAATATATCCAATTCGAGAAGCGATGCACTGGGGCTCGGTGGAACGAGGCATTAGGGAAATGGTTTGTCCAGATGCTGGACTTACAAACGGGGCAGACATTTGAAGACAGCGCTGATGTCTTGATCACGGGAACAGGTCAGCTCAACGAGTGGAAGTGGCCGTCAATTCCCGGACTGCACAGTTTCAAGGGGAAATTACTTCACAGCGCTTGCTGGGACGAGACATATGACCTTAAGGTAGGTAACTACCCTGGTGCGCATTGTACAACCGAGCTGCTCCGCTGACAAGTGGGAATCACAGGGCCAGAATGTCGCTGTTGTCGGCGGTGGGAGCAGTGGGATCCAGATTGTCCCAGCGCTTCTGGATACGGTGGAGTCTATGGACCACTACATCCGTGGAAAGATGTGGATCTGTAGCCAACTCGGAGGGGAGCAGCTCGCTGAGCGAACAGGCCATAAAGGAGGGAATTTTCGCTTCACCGAAGAGGAGAAGCAGACCTGGCGTGAAGATCCTGCTGCATACATTCGTTATCGGAGGGATCTAGAGTTCAAAATGCAGACGTTCCATGGGAAATCGCAAAGAGGAAGCAAAATGCAAATCGCTGCGCAGGCCGAGTATAAGGCCGACATGGAGCACCGACTGAAGCCGAAACCAGAACTCCTGGAACAACTCCTCCCAACCTTCCCTCCACTCTGCAAACGCATTGCGCCTGGCCCTGGCTATCTGGAAGCCCTAACCTCACCCAAGGTTAACGTCATCACATCTAGCATCACCAGTGTCGACGCCACGGGGATCACCGCCGATGGAAAACACCGTCCTGTTGATGCGATTGTCTGCGCAACAGGTTTCGAGACTAGCCCGGGTAGTGGGTTCCCTATTATCGGACGACAAGGAGTAAATCTTCGTCAACGCTATGCTGAATGCCCTGAGACCTATTTAGGGCTTTGCACGGATGGCTTCCCGAACTTTTTCCAATCGCTGGGACCGAACTCATTCCAGGGAGCTGGGAATTTGCTTATCACGATAGAGCAGACGCATCTATATATATCTGAAATTCTGACCCGAATGGCATGCGATAATATCGGGTTGGTAGAGCCGAAGCGGTCACAGGTCGAAAGTTTCACCCAGTATACAGAAGAGTACTTTAAACGCACCGTCTATAGCGCGGAATGTGCGAGCTGGTACAAATCCTCCCCGCCGGGTACATCCCCACAAGCACAGCAACGGGGTCGGGTCACAGCTCTATGGCCAGGAAGTAGCCTCCACGCCATCAGGGCGCTGAGACGGGTTCGATGGGAGGACTTTGAAATCAGCCCATATGATGGCAATGGCTTTGGGTGGTTTGGAAACGGATGGACCGTACAAGAGAAGGCACCGCAAATCGAGGATGGAATTACGCCTTATCTAGATAATACTGGGTTTGTGGATGATGTCCAGTTAGAAGACAACGACAGGAAGATGTATTGAGGTTAGATATGTAAAGGGCATTCATTCAGAGCATTTTCCTATCCGTGGATGAGGAGATGGTAGTTGTTGTATTCTCTCCATTTAGAGACGTACTGGCATTCGTAGCGAATATATTAGGGCGACATTAGTGAGCTTGACTTAGTAGGCTTATCACATTGGAGCCCGATTAGATCTTTTATTGGGTTGTTGGACCGGCGCTAGATGTTAGGGTAATGCGGGGGGTTGTCCTCAAAAAGATAAGATCCCCCCCGCTCTCTTTAAATTAAACCGCAAGCCGGACCCGCACCAAGTTATTATCACGCCTCTCGATCCTGCAAAGCCTCCCATGACAGGTGAAACCAGTAGTTTCGCAAATAGACGGACCATAAGCGCGTACGTGAGCGTCCACATGTGTGCTTGTTGAGCTTAGATAGCATTACTCAGTTTTATGCGCGTCGAAGACGGAGCAATGCTATCTACAAGAATGACTGACAATTCCTGCCAGTTGCCTGAGATGTCGTCAACAGAAAATAAAGTGCACTGGGGAAAACCCGTGCCGCAACTGTCAACGTCGACATGTTGTGTGTTCATTCGAGCGCGATCACGATAAAGTGTTGGTTACAAAAAAGCATCTGCTGGAACTGAAACAGCGCATCATCCAGCTAGAGAGGGGAAACCGTGCTCTTCGCCAGCAACACGAGTTCTCGGACGATAATGATAACCATGTCCATGCACCCTCCCCCGTCGCTGGGGGACTTGACGCGACGGCAGCAGGCGGCAACTCCATGCTCACACCTAAGTCGGCATCAATGTTCACGGACTCTGCGTCAACCGATGGGAATATGGTGAATCCTTTGACCACCGGTCCTCCAACATATATAGCAGATCGGACTGGCAAGGTTTGTACGTTGTACCTCACCACGTCCATTTACAAACAACTAACACAACTGTACAGATTATCTGGGGCATAGCTCCACTTGGTCCCTGACGATGCGTCTCCTGGAGCTCACCCACGAAACTCTCTATAAATGTCCATTCCCTGCTGGGATGCAGCGGCTGGATTCAACAATCTATGATTTGGGATGGGATGGTACAAGACACACCGTCATGCCGGATGTTGCGGGATTGCCTTCCCTGGATCATTCCCTCTTCCTTATGAACGTGACTAAATTCCACACGGGCTTAATATTTCACTTGTTTGACGAAACGTCCTTCGTGGCTAGGCTTTACGCGTTCTATCGCGATCCCGCGGAGAATATACACACAGCAGGACTGTGGTTCATCCAATTCCTTGTGATAATGGCTCTGGGTAAAGCGTTTATTGGCCTTAGAACCAACGGCGAGGCTCTCCCTGGAGCAAACCTATTCCTGAAAGCCTTTGTGATGCTTCCAGACTACTGCTGCCTATGGCGAGAACCGAGTCTATCTGGAGAACTGCTTTGTGCAATGGCGCTATATTTGCAATGTATCGACTGGCGAGTTTCAGCGCACAACATGGTACGTCTTTTTACCTCACGCTTTCTCGACATCATAGAGGCCTTTTCCCTGTGCTTTGTTTCCAAATAATAAATTTAACATATAAAACAGATAGGACAAGCTCTTCGGATTATGTTTGTGCACGGATACCATACGAACATTCCCCGAGGTACATTCGAGGATTCTGCCCTTGAGCGGTCGCGAAAGGTTTGGTGGACTGTATTCAATCTCGAACGGCAGATGTCAGTCCTTATGGGTATCCCTTCAGGTGTTAGTAACCAAGATATCACTGCGCCACTGCCGTCCTACCAGGAGTCGTTGAACAGGAGCGCGACGATGGCGATACATGTGAAGCTCAGTCAGGCTTTCGGGATAGTGGTGGACAGTATGGCTGCAATCTATTCTTGATCATGATACATTTGCTGATGGATCTGTAGAGCTTTACGGACAGGATAGTCATGTCAATGCCAAGTTCGTAAGAAATGCACAGAAGGTGCTGCAATCTGTCGCTGGCGTGGCCCCCGAGCTTACGGACCACTTTCCGATCCCCGAGGAAGGTTCACTCAATGGAATTTCGCGGGATACTGGCTATATGAATTTGCTCTATCATCAGGTAACTTGATATCAGCGGCGTTAGATGTCGTCCAGCTGGCTGATTATGCGCTCCCAGTGTATCATGGTCGCTACCCGACCCTTCCTTGTTGGCCTGATAATCAGGCGTATTCAGTCTGAGAACCCCGAAATCGTCATACCATCCTCCATTAGGCTTCTCCTGCAAGTGTGTATTGACTCTGCGAAGAAGACTATCCACATACTGCAGGCGCTGCAACGCCAACAGTTACTCGGTATGTTCCCCGTTCCACTTCCTACAATTGTATGCTCTAACAGTTTCCCGAACTACAGAACACTTTCTTCCATTTGACCTCGAAAGCGCTATTTCTGCCGGCGTGATAATGTGTATGGTCGCAATCGTAGCTCCATTCTTAGTTGAAAGCCCTCGCCATTATTTAGAAGGTGTATTTGGTATTCTGGCCGAGATGGTTGAGAAGGGAAATCTGGTGGCCGAGGCGCACAAGCACAAGCTGGAGCACCTGGAGGCGCTTTTGAGTGAATTTCAAACCCCGGGCTATGCCCGGAGAGGCGACATAGGTAGCAGGTCCCATCCGATACCGGAGCCAGGAGAAGGCGATGGGAATGAAGAGGGATTGATGCGGGAGGGTGAAGCTGCGGGCTTGGGTCTGATAGGTGGTGAGGGGTTAGGGCACGTCGAGCCATGGGACCTGACGCATGATATCACTGCATCACAGCTGATGACAGTGGCCAGTACATTGGACGTGAATGGGATGCTTGATTGGGTGGGGTTTGATTTGGCCATGGATGAGAGTAATAACCATCCCACTCTGTGATGGTCTGATTTGTTTGTCAACAGTAATAGCTACACATATTCCAAGTCAAAGATGGCCTGGCTATATGCCCTCAGTTTCGCATCCCCTCATCATGAAACCTTCCTCGGTGCTGCCAAGGTCTCTCATGCGGGGTCTGAGTCCTGGCACCGTATTCTTATCATTAAAGACCTCCGGTGGAGATATCCTCCGGTCCTTTCCCCACATAGATCGGATGCACCTCCGAGATAAGACAAGATAGGGTATCAGAGCGCTCAAACGAGATATATAGTAGGTAGCCATCGTAAGAGAAATGATATGACCACATTATAACCTTCCAGACCAGTTGCCAAAGATAAGAGTCACATAATGCCCCTCAATAAAGTACCCCCCGAACTTGTCCCCGTCCCTCCGACAGCGCACTCGCCCAACTCTGATCTCCCAGTCATCGCGTTCCGAGGGGCGTTGATTGACCGGACGTTCGAGGGTGCCGTTGCCTCCGTGTATACGAGCGAATGGCCGCGGGGAGGACACTGGAGAATCTCCCGTGAACAGCTCGCCGCTACGCCCCACTACCACGCCACTACGCACGAGGCGTACACCGTCCTGAAGGGCAGCGGGACTTATCTCCTAGGCAAGTCCCCGCTGGACCCGGACACTGACGCACAGGGTAATCCAGTCGGGGTTAGATTTGTTGCTCGTGCGGGGGATGTTTTTATTTTTCCGGTAGAATCTTAAAAAGATACCCATGGATCCCAGGAGGGACGCGGCTTGGGCTGATATTACTCTCTATAGGCTGGGGTGACACACTTTGTAACGGACACGGAGGATGATTACGAAATTATCGGCTATTACTTGCTGGTGAGTTGACTTACAAGTGGTCTTGTATTCAGGACATACTGAGGGCGGTGACGTAGAACGAACGGAATTCCCTCGAGGAACCGTACGACATGGAGTATGCATTGGACTCAGTAGAGGAGACGGATAAGATGCGTGAAAAGTGCAGACAAGTGCCATTGCCTGTCCACGATCCCATATATGGCAAGGAGGGGCCGCTTCTGAGTGTCTGGAAGAGAGTTGGTTAGATAAGTCTTGGTTAATGATAAGCGGATATCTTATCTGGATGTCGATTGATCTGTTTGCTACACTGTAGAATCCTTTTCTGCAACTTAATCACAAAAGGGAAGCCAAGCCCCGGAAGTGCTTTCCCGCGGAAAGACAATAGTGATATGGTGATATGGAGGTATGCTTCTGCGTTTCCACTCCTGTCCACCCATCCACGGGTTGATTGGACCGTATCAGACGGTGACGTCGTAGAGTCCGTGCGGCAATTGACCGGACGCAGTCCGAGAGGAGATAACAACATCTCCTTGGCTATCTGGACATTGGAAATCTGGGGAAACGCCCTGCTCGTCTTTTTTGCCGCATGCAGTAAGGGTAGACGCTGGCTAGCCGCGTGATTAGGCCACGTAGATCCCTTCTACGCGCTTTTTTATATAGTGGATCTCATCTCCTAGGGTTTACTACAAGATGATTGATATAATCGTCTTTCTCATTCAATCTCTAGAGGCGGTACGGTACATTCATGGATTGTCCGCAAATCTCTCTGTGACTCTATTTATACAGCCACGACTTTATTAGCAAATACCAACCGTCTTCTGCTGTATTGTATAGAATTGTATGACATAGACCCATTTGATAACCATGGTGGACTCCAAGGATTCACTCTCGGCGGAGCCTCAGCTCAAGCATGAGATTGAAAAGACACAGGATGTGAGCGACATGCTCCATCCGTCGACCAGCTTGCATGACGGAAGCATGATGGAAACACAGGACACTCGAAATGGTCAATTCCATCGTTCCTTTTCCCCGCGCCAGGTCCATGTAAGAACAAGTGAATGTCGCAGAATCATTCCTTTCCTTGACTACTGACAAGGAACTATGTAGATTATCTCACTCGGTTCCAACATTGGCAGCGGGGTGTTCATCGCAACAGGCCAGGCTCTCGCCTCGGGAGGTCCAGGGAATATGGTCCTTGCCTACGGAATGGTCTGCAGCGCGGTCTGGGCCGTGCTGCAGTCGCTTTCTGAGATGACTATCGCGTTCCCTGTCTCAGGCAACTACATCGACTACGCCGATCGCTGGGTTGATCCTGCCCTGGCTTTCGGAGCGGGTTTCGCTGAGTGGCTTGGTTTGTACATTTGAATGGAAACATGGTACCTCATTATTCTGACATTCAAATAGCATGGAGCGCAATTGTCGCGTCGGAAGCGGGCTTTTTCAATGTGCTAGTGCAGTACTGGGCAGAGGGATCGTTACCCCTTGCAGCTACAGGTAGTTATACCCGGTGTGTCCCAACCATGGGCATGGATGGTGTCTAACGTGCTGCCCAGTCACCATCTTCCTCGCAGTCTGCCTGTTCGTCTTCCTACTTCCTAACAAGGCATTTGCCTGGTTCGAATACGTCACGTCTATCATCAAAATATTCCTCTTCCTTTTAATCATCGTGCTTGCCTTGGCCCTGGTTTTGGGCGCCGGGCCGAACGGATATATCCATCACGGTGAAACGTGGACAGACCTTCCCCCCTTTCTCAATGGCTTCACTGTAGGTTCCACATGGCAATCCTGCTAAAATGTTTCCCTCAGAACTAACGAAAACAGGGATTCGCAAACTGCGCCCTGCTGGCTGTCTGGGCAGTTGGCGATCAAGTCTTCATTGGAATCATGGGTGGTGAAGCTGAAAGTCCACGGTTCTCGATGGCACACGCGACAAAGCTCGTTCCATTCCGGGTGAACTTCATCTACATGGTCAGCATTGTTTTTATCACAATCCTGGTTCCGTCGAACGATGACCGTCTACTCAGTGGAAGCGGCGTCGCTGCGTCTCCCTTTGTCATCGCCGTTCAAGACGCGGGCATCCCGGTGGTTCCATCTATTTTGAATGCCGGAATGATCTGCGGAGTTCTTGCCATTTCTGCAGAAGGCATTTATCTCTCCTCAAGAGTGTTGAGGACGATGGCGCATCAACGTCTCATTCCGGAAGTCCTCGCCAAAGTTGATTCTCGAGGCAGGCCAAGATGGGCGTTGATCATTACCAGCGTGTTTTCCGTCATCCTGTCTTATATCCAACTTGCATGTAAGAGTGAACTCCTTCGGAAAAGTATCTATTAATATATTTCTAACCATCAAGCCATCCCACAGCCGGAGGTCTCACTGTGCTGAACTGGCTGATTGCGATCAGCAGCGCGTCTTTCTTTACAAACTGGGGTATCATTGCCTTCACCAATTGGCGCTTCCATTGCGCACTCAAGGCACAAAAGGACCAGCTATTCACCGAGATATATGGGTGGAAGTCGACATTCTGGCCCACAGCCCCAGCATGGCTTATGCTGGTTTCCCTCATGTTGCTGGCCTGCTGTATTGGATGCGGTGTTAAACCCGTTGTACGTCCTCAAACCATTCTCCTTTGCTTCTTCACTTTCGAGGCAAGCAAAGGGAAAAACTGTTCCCTGGCTGACAAGATCCCCGTTTGCTCATAGGGTGGCCTTACATTTACCGCGGAGAACTTCTTCCAGTACACACTCGGGCTCTGGGTCATCGCCGGCTTAACCCTCGCTTACAAGCTTATTTTCAGAACCCCGTGGAGAGATCCCAAGACCGCGGATTGCATCACCGGCAGACGGACCTTGGGGACGGAGGAAATTATGGTTCTCGATCGTTACTATGAGCAGCCCTGGTGGAGGCGGTTTCTTACGTACGTCCAGCTGTGGTAGTGCTGGCTGTACCGTTACTACGCTGTATCTAAATGTATCGAGAGGTCTAGAAGGCTTTGATTGAAATAGCAGGTTCCTAGGCTCATAAGTCGCAAATAGATCACCCATATCTATCATAACCTACTATTCTTAACACATTAATAAACAAGGACTGGGGGGGTGGTATGGGCCAAGCCCTTCGATGATCGGCACACTCTCTGCGCGACACGCTCCCTTTGAAGCTCGCAGTAATTGCGAAGTCCACTTCAGCTCTGAACATTAACGTGTTTCGTATGTGAAGTAACCCATGTGGGTGATCGATTAACCCACGATGGGTTGGAGAATGGGGCAATTGCGGTGATTCCAGCTGAACATACAGTGGGTATAAGACACGTCGCCGGCTGTTGGCGGGGTATTCGAGTATATCAGTACATCTGCTTGCGCGCACAGGCGTCCTAAATACTCTGGCAAGGCTGAGCTGAGAACTGAAAACTTAAATACACTTTGTAGCCCACCGGCTGTGAGACGCGATTGAATCCGAGCTCACCGTGATTCTCTGGAGCATTTGTTACTCGCCAGTGACAATCCCGAATCTCCACCCATCTCGAGATGACAACAAATATTCAGCTCCAGCCTCGCGACGATCATCAAAACCCCACCAGATCTATATTTTATGGCTGCTATGTGACTGCGGTCAAGATCGTCCCCGAAACCCCTCTCACCCGGCTATAAATTGCCATTCTTCCTCCTCTGAAGTTTTTCAGTCTCTCTGTCTATTCCTCCAATTTGCCCTACACAGTCATATCAAGAACAAAACCGCACGGAATATACCAAGCCCGACCCCGATATATCCACCATGTCTGTTCGAAGAATCCAGAAGTATGTTTTACTACTTTCCTATTTTCCCTCTTGTCCATGAGAACCGAAACTAACTCCCATGCCTCTGCTCTAGTCCCGGCGAGGTCATCGAAGCCATCCAGAGCGGCAGGCCAACCGTCATACATTACTGGGACCCCGCGATGGGAAAGGAATCGCCACTCACTCCCATTTTTCACAGCGCAGCGGAAGGTCGTGAGGGGTTGGATATTTGCATTGTGGATTCTGGCTTTATTCCTCTCCCACATGGACCGGATGAACGGCCCTTAACGGTCTTCTATCTCAATGGCGATGAGGAAGACATGGCTCGGTCTAATCCGAACGACACCGAAGAGCTTTTCCAGAGAATTGAAGCGGATCATGGACTTTGATGCACGAGAAAGCGTTACGGCTATGTTGAACGATTTTTTTCCATTATGGAGCTTGTGCTATCTCATGATATATGTACCTACGTCTGCACGCTGCTACTGGGGCAAGTTGTCATAAGATATATCTAAAGTTGAGCAACCTACCTGATTATCGTTGATAATAGCGCTGGAGTATTTAAAGTCCGGGAATTATGGTTGCCATTGCAGCAACAACATTGACATTGCAGACGGATTATTCACATCGTGAAAGAGTGTGGGCTATGATTGGTACTGCGGCGGTAGTAAATCAAACCAATAACCTTCTGACGCCATATCAGAAAAGCATTCCTTGACATCCTAAGATAGCAGAAGCAGATAAAGATATGAGCGGATCGCTAAAAGAACGCCTACTCTAGCAGTTGATCATGGAGTTAGAGATCTACTAGTCATTGGAGTACTTAGGGCTAGTCCTGATAAGGACAGGACCCTAGCCCTAGTGCAATGAGGCTTTGGTGGGTCAATGGATTCTGAAGATTATGCATGTTTCATTAAATAAACTACTTAAATAAGTGATTATAAGACAGTTAATTACTTAACTCGGTCTATCACTGCAGATAATACAGTATGTTGCTCGCGATTCTCTCTAAATTTAGAAAGTGGAAACTAGTATGTCTTAAGAATGGTCTTTCCACTAGTCCAGATACTCAACTGTATAAAGTAATCTAGAGCAAGCATCTGCGGAGTCCCCGGGTGAGCGCCGGATCAGACAATTAGACCTAAGGGTACTTTGCCACTATTGCGCCGTTTCGGAAAACATCATGTTTCAAGTGTATGCATAGAGAGATATGTTGTGTCTATGTCCATGTGGGGTTCGATGAGGCTTACAAGCCGGATGACATCACAACGCATACCCCGTCTAATAATAATCCAAGTTGCAAAACTAAAAGAGCTCTGCTTGAATGTCTATAGTGCAAGAGCACAAACACTAGTCAACAAAAGCTTCTGACACAGCGTGATCGGCATATGAAGCTTGGGAGAAGATCTACCACCAGGAGAAAGTTGTGTATAACAGAATACAGCTTGAATAACATAGTCAGATTGGTATACAGAATACTCTACTTGCAACTCTGTCTCCTACCTAACAAGCCAGATTTATTGAGAATTCAAACAGCACGTCGCCCTAGGCGATAGCAGAAGTTTGACTTCGCCCAAGGCTACCTGTTTCAACTCCCAGAGAAGTATTGAAAACCGCCACCGGGTTGCCCAACGCCTTTGCGATGGTTCGCCTACCTAGGCAGCACCATGGCACCGAACCCGAGCGGCCAAATTTCGGGGAATTCTGGCCAAATAGGATCTGAAAATAGAACGCAGACGTGGGGGTGGGAGGCGTGTGGTGCATCCCTTCCACATGCGAGCGCAAGACAATTTTGACTGAGTTCGAGACACAGGACTGCTCTCTGTACGGAGTTATGCTGCCCAGTAGAGCCTAAAGTGATGAATGTGACCGGGACCCTGTAGAAGGATGCACAATGGTGGCTTGATTCCAAGTGAAAAGGGGGATGAATCTGAAGTGTCAGATCCGGGTGAGATCCACTATCTGGTCAGCCCGGTAATGGAGTCACTCATAGCCATATCCCGCTCTATGCAAGCGAAAGATCCCATATTCTATGCTAATTCATAGGCAGGAGGACACAAGGCTGAATTTCCTGCGTTGGTTACCGAATCTCATGGATGCAAATCCCGGCAAAACTGAATAATTACCAGGAAAGGTAAGGATCGATGTATATCACTACAACGGCAGAGATCACCCACTACTGAATACCCTGCAGGGATGTGCATTACAGCATGGTAGATACCAGCTGAATGGGACGAATGACAGGCCAAATTACTCGGAGTTCGCGCCCCCACAGTGGTCAAACGTAACATGGTCCATTTATGGTTTGTGAGTCGTGACATGTCAGGGTAGACATAGAACGTATCACCTGACCCGACTCAATGATCATCACGCTACCGAGAAATGACCTCGACATTTCTGGTGCCAGACTCGGGGAACAAAAAGGAGAGGCGGGGGTTATGGAAACCTTTCGCTCCAAGGTGGAAAGGAAGCAAGATCCTTTTACATGCTTTTTCGCCACTTGAGTCGCATGCAGATAGTCCCCGGGGAAGTATTTTCCTATATTTAGTCGGCACATGAGTGATGCATGTCACCATCCACCTCCCTACGATATTCTAAGCTGTATATAGGATCCTTCGACATAGCCTCTATCCCAGGCGCGGGCTCTTGTGCACGCGTTTCTGCTCCTTGTCTTTCCGAATGCCCTACCAAGTGACACCGTTACAAGCCAGCGCTTAATTGGCTTATGTATGAGAGAGGAAGGAAACAGCAATTGAAATGGGTTCGCCCAAGCAGATTGTCTTATGTTTCGATGACATAGGACAGACATTTGTGGGAGATGAATCAGACAGTAATGTGTTAAAAATCTTTCGGGTAGGTTTCATCATCCAGTCTCCGGGAGAGAACACAGAGACACCAGCATGATCAAGCGAGGGCGTTGATTCTGACATATTTGTGACTGGTTTAAAGATGCTGGATCACAGTAAAGGCGAGCATTTCCACTATTATCAGCCAGGAGTCGGGACCCACGTAGCACCACATCATAACCGAACTCAACGCATCAAGCACGAATATTTGAAGATCAAAAATGCTGCCATCGGCTCCTCACTTGGCGAACATATTATGGGGGGTTATCTGTTCCTCATGCGACATTACTCTCCCGATGACCGGTTATATTTGTTCGGGTTCGGCCACGGTTGTCATGTTTCGCGCGTTCTAGGTGAAATGCTGGAGTATATCGGTCTGCTCCTAGAAGGAGATAAGGAACAGGTTCATCTTGCTTGGAGAGTCTTCGCTGAGTGGCAGCAGCAGCGCGGGGGTAGCGAGGGGGAACGGAAGAAGAAGGCGAAACTTTTTCAACATCTCGAGACCTTCCGGGAAACTTTCTGTCGCCCAATCAGGCGTATTAAATTCATGGGCCTGTTTGACTCCGTTCATAGTGTGCCATGGCTAGCACCTCCAGGGATGCGCAGCGCGAAGTTCCTAAAAACTCCTCGCACTTCTAGTAGGGTCATCCGGCATGCGGTGGCGATCGATGAGCGCCGCGCTAAGTATCGAGAGGACCTGATATCACAGATCGAACATGACAATGACCCAAATGAGCCGAGCACAGGAAGGCTTCCGCAACGTGAACGACCTTCGGAAGAGTCTAAGTCACAACCCTGCAGCCCTTCGCCCTCTGATGCCGGAAGTACTTCAAACCACCAAGGCCAACGATACCGTGCATCTGAGTCCAAGCACAATTCTCCAAGAAAAGGCCAGGCTTTGCCGAGGCTAGCTAGAGCTCCAGTGGATTGGGACTCGCAAAGTGGAACTTCAGCATCCTCGGCTGCCCGTCCGGATACTGTTAGCCTCATAGATGACAATGTTGTTGACGATGATGATAACCAAGACATCCAAGAAGTGTGGTTCGTCGGAGATCACGCAGATATTGGTGGTGGTTACAAACTCGCTAAAGATGAGATGTGGCCTCTCAGCCACATTCCGCTGGTTTGGATGGTCCAGGAAGCGCAGCAGGCGGGACTTCAATTTGACGAGCAAAAGCTTAAACGGTTCGAGTGCCGCGAAGAATCCTTCAGTGAATTCTCCCATATTCGGGCGGGATCCCGGCATTCCGAGCACTTATCCCTTAGTCCAAACCGCCACTCTGGGGGTCTAACCAGTACTCAAAGAGTGGCATCTGATAGCACGCTCAGTCAGACGCATCTCTCCTCCTGGAGTTCCAGCTACCATACCGCTCTTGAGCTCTCTACCAATCAAGGATTACTCCATGACGCATTGGCGTTCAACAATGGCCTGTCTAAGGTGTCTGTGATCAAGTGGCGCCTTATGGAGTACCTGCCGTTTCGTCGCATGGAATTGCAGCCGGATGGGTCGTGGAGAGCTGTTCAATGGCCTCCTTCCCGTGGAACCTCCCGCAATATTCCCGAGTCTGCTCAGATTCATGTATCTGTGAGGGGTCGGATCAATGCCAATCCAAACTATCGCCCAGGCAACCTGATCCTTGGTGACGGTGGACGGCATATAAGACGGGTATCATCAGAGCATAACATTGGGGAATGGTCGGCGAAACGTTATGAAGGAGATCCAGTCAGGTGTGTACTTGAACGAAAATTGAATTTCTAATGGACTTTGGGAAGGGACAATTCGAGCTGTGATTTGAGACAAATGGGGCCTGTTTTCGTCGAGGCAGAGACAGGCGTATATCCAACAAGTTCCCAAGGGATAGAGAAAGACATTGCAGTCCTATCACCCTCGATCATTCGTTTCCTTAGCCCCATTACTTTCTCTATGTATATTATGTACTGTACTTGCAAGGCATTTGCTGATAACCCTCGCTGTAGAAGAGCTGCGCCGCTTAATGAAGTAGTTTTACATGAAATCGATCGTGCCTTATAGGTTACACCTAATCTTCACAAGCGCTAGATCTGGATAGCTAAACCTGATATCTCGGGACGCCTGTTATTGGTGAGGTTTGCCACCTGGGTAATATGGAAGATCGTTATTCGTACAAGTATGGTAGACAAGAAATATCAAAATAGTATATACAAAGAATAAAATTTCCCGCAACTTCATCGAGAGGATACCAGCTCCTCAGCTTCACGATGACCACTTCAGGCCTCCGCAAGAGAAATGTGTGAGACCGAGCACCACCTTTTCCCGTGCTTCACGACGATATTAGCCACCACCCCTACACGCCGACAGACCAACTTGATCCACGTGCCCACGACCTGGGGTTGGAACATCTCGCTAAGGTATGGTATATCATTGACACTCCAAGAACGCCGATCAGTGGGTTCAAAGGCGCCAAAGGTGAGCACATTGGCACTTTGCATTGCCAGCATGACCACGACGGTTGCTCCAGAAGATGTGCCCAAGACGATGCAAATGTCCATTCTCCTTGATCCTTTCTTGGATGGGAAGTACTGCATCTCTAAAGCAGGGCTGGGTGGCTCCACGCGTACACCCTTTCGAACAAATAAAACCGCATTTTTACTCATTGCCGAAGACTGTGGCAGTTGAAAGATGGGCATAGGAAAACGTTGCTGTGGGCTGGGCGGTGCAATCTTCTGGTAGACGTAGAGGGGTGTGGTCGCTCCGCGTGCATCGATGTACTTCAGTTGGTTGATGCTGGTGCGCACATATTGGTCGTCCATTGAGGATACGCGTTTGAGGACGATCGATACAAAGCCTGAGTAGGGGTTGTCTTCGGCCTCCACGACGCAGTCCAGAGATGCAAGATAGGTATCAGTGGCTTGGTCCCAAACTACAATAGGAAGGTCGATATGAAGACCTCGGTTGGTCATTGAGAATGGAGCACAAGATTCCCACGGATTATATGCCACAATGTTGTGCGAGAAGGCGAATTGAGCGGGAGACGTGGCCAGCAAGCCGTGCTGAGTGTCCGGGCTAGCCGCAGGGTCATACCATGCGAATATCGAGCGATCGTCGTACTGTTTCATGATTTTTTCCTGGAGTCGTATAAACGCCCGTTTCTCTCCTTCGCCATACACCATGGGCATGTTCACCGAGAAGATCCCCATCAAGCAGTATGCCGCGTCTTCTGGGCGGGTAGTCTTTCGATGTGCAGCCCAGGACATCCGCTTCGCGACGCTTACCGAGTCCAGCAGGGTCGGATTCTCGATCACCTCTTCGTCGATATTGGTGATTCGAGACAAGGTCGCTGTCAGGGTACTTTTCATCCCGATCTTCACCCACTCGTGCGAGAAGAAAATAATCTTCGACGATGCCAGCAGTTCCTGAAGGGTCCAGCCTCTCGTAAACCACTTGCTGTTCTCAAACTCCGAGTCTTTCTGCTCAACGTCACAATTTCCCGGAACATCGGATAAGTACGCGTAGCATAGGGCGGCATTCATATACCACAAAAACATCGAATTCAGCGCCTCCGACAACTCCGCGCTGCTCGTTTTGTCGATGCAGCACGTATCGATCCAGACGTACTGGAATCCATCTTTCATGGCCTGATCGCAGGTCGATTCGACTTTGGCCCATCCTTTCTTTGTTCTTGCGGTAGGATCTTCAATGTCACTGAGGAGGACCTCTTCCACTCCCCAGGTATGCGAGAGAATCACATACTGTGGGATTTCGTCGGGTGGAAAATCGATCAGTTTGAGAGTTTTGGCGCTTAGCAGACGCATTGTGTGAGGTGGAGAGAGTTTATCCCCCAGGAGGAAAGCATCTGGGGAGAGTGGATATTAAAAGGATGTTGTTAACTGAAGAGGAATTCGTGCCTAACGGGGCGGAGGCTGCAGCAGGGCGGACGATCCAACGTGTACAAACAGGTGGACGATGATACCCGACAGCAGTACACTGCAACGACAAAATTAGAACCTCGGAATATGGGGACCCTTATTTTCTCGTGTGCTAGAAATCTATCCAGTATACAAATATGACATCATTTACTTGGGGAGCGCCAGGCGAGTGCCCGTGTGTCAGCCATTGCACCATGCATGAGGAGATTGAACACTACATGTAGCCCACGATTTGCGAAAAATTGGAATAAATATTGAAAAAGAAACTTGAACTCGATTGGAGAGATAAATTTCAGTATGTACCAGGTAAATTTGTAGCGACAGCTAAAAACATTATTCATTTTATATGTATTTTTCCCCCTTGTTCTTTGTTTTCTTTTTTTCTTTTTGTCTTCTTTTTTGCCCCCTCAATGTAAACAAGCATTGGTCAATCATGCAGACGAACAGCCTTGCTGGGCACCAATGACAGCACATCCACACAGCAATGCATACCAAGACGAGCCATGTATGCTCCCATTCCTACATTTTATTAAGATGTTCTTACTGGCCCAGGAGCCTGACGGGGATCGTATTCCGCCTGCACTAACGTGGCATAACTGCAGATGCACGTATTTCGTCCTTGGCGGTTCTACTACTAGTAGTAGCTAACAAACAACATTATAGCGCTCTATTCGAGTCATGAATACGATCATACCTGAGAAAGTCTATCTCACCACTCGAATGTATGCCAACTGTCCAAGGCAGAATTCTCAACCTCCGCGCTTTTCAGCTAGTCATTTTGTAGCTCTTTCACCCTTGGTCGGATCCCTGCATTTATCTGCAAGTGATCTCTCCGTTCAGGGTATAAGAGATAGCGCTGACGGGTGTGATATTACTGTGACATTAATAGGTCATGTACTACTAGTTCTAGCTATCGTTTCAGGGCTAGCTTGATCATGTGCCTAAGAAGGGATGGCCAATTCGATTTCTATTTCATCTCACCTCACCACCAGAACCTTTTTCTTCATCTACTCGTTTGTTTATAGCAACCATGGCCAGCTCCGATATACGAGAAGATCTGTGCAAAGATGACAACACGAAATGAATTGTCATCAACGTCAAGACCAAAAACTTTGGATCCCTCAAGCTACCTCGCTTCGGCAAAGAATATCGTCCCCGAAGTTTTCCCCGGTCGGGAAAGCGACCCTCGAATACTTTTGCTCGCCATTGATGTGTGCAGTGAGCGCACCTTTATTGTGATGGATATCAACACCCGCGACTACGACTTTCGCACGGCACACAACAATACGACAGTGTTCCCAGTTTATGTCCTTCGACAGCATGGAAGACGGCAGAACTGGGTATTGCTCCGATGGCATCAACTGGATGAACGTATAAGTCTGCAGCTAGCCGACCTCCATAGAGTGGATTTTTTTTGTAGTTCTTCGATAGAGCTTTTGCCGGCCAGCCGGTATGATCTTCATACAGTTCCTCTATCCCAACTCCGTCTACTCCCGATGAGTAGGGATCACCACTGCGAGAGGTCCGTCAAATTCAACCTTGCCGGCGTCCCTAGCATGGCGAGCTCTGCGGGGGGTCTCGTGTAGTGGCCCCTAATAACGCGCTTAACTATGTTAACTCAGCGGCATTCTTACCAGGCGGGCGATGGCTGGCATCTTACGCTGGCGATACTGTTAGCGACTGGTGCCCTGCAGAAGACCTTAGGAGGCCATAAATTATAATGCTATTGTTCCGTCAGTGGTATTATCACCACATGTAATTAGGCCAAGCTGATTGGACTAAATTCTATAATTATGTATCTGCCCCGTAATAATGCGTTCCGCTCCAACTGGACTGTCTGACGATGAAGTCGGTGTGCTTGATCAGGCGCTGTACGAACTCCCAGAAGTTCGGCTACAAACGCTACTTATAGCTCGCGACGCTCCTCTTCGGTACGCCTATATTATATGATTAAATGCCGCTTGTCAGTAAATAAAAGAGGCCAAACTTGCTTGGACGTTACCAGATGTTTTGGTGACAGAATATCCCAAGTCGAACTTCTCTCGTGAGAGCGTCACGAACAGTTATTAAGACGGCTCGATATCTCACAGCCATATACCCAGCCATCAATCTTCCCCTTGGCTTAGGATCAGAAAAGATACCCGCATACAGCCCTCCAATAATAGCAGTTGGTGAGGAAGCAAAGATACCAGAAAATAGTCCGAAGATAACGATAGCCGCAAAATTGGGTGCAACAGCACAGCTGAGACTGAAGATTATATATCCTAGGAATGTCCATATCAGCACTGGACGCCTGCCATATGTCTCTGACAATGGAGCGAAAAGAATATGCCCGAGGATATATCCGATCAAGTAGGTCATGATCGGTAGTACGAGCTGTTGCTGGTTTGTCATGCTAAAGTCAGCCGCGATGAAATCGATGGCACCGCTTGGAAGGGCGCATCCGACGGTGCTGTTCAGGACTATCACTAAGCCAGTGACGAAGACGAACAGCTTTTTTTTCTATCAATTCGGTGTGTTAGCTTGTTGAGCTGTTGAGGGGTAGTGCTTTACTGCCGCCTAACCGGGGCTGGATTCTTCGATCATACTGGCAGAATGGCCAGGGATGCTTTTCCGTTCGTCGGAGCTATTTTGAAGCATTTTGAGACCGAAGATGATGCTTCATATCTATAGCACATAGATTGGAAATGCCAGCAACAGTACTCGCCAGCCGATATCGGTGCCTAACAAGGTGGAATGCTTCCATGCTTGATTGCTTGAGACTCACATCCGGGTCCACCGATCCGTTGATCCTTTGTCTAGGGTTGGGCTGGCGGCGGCTCGCAACGGGATGTCTCCCAGCGGTCCACCCCCAGAATCCCTGTCGTCCCTGCCTTGCAAGCCTCCGATGTCGGGGCTACATACTTCCTTAATCACGTCTGAGATGGCCTTATAAACCCTCTGAAACCCTAGTCCAGGTATGTTCTTTAAGACTGAGAAAAGGACAGATAACAAACAACATGGCGCAGCAGCAAGAGCAGAAAGACATTTGGTCTGCCGACCTTTACGGCGAAAAGGTGGCTCCATTCGTTGCAACCTCGACTGAGAAAGTTCTCGAATGGCTGGACCCCAAGCCCACTGGTAAGTAAGGCTTCGGATGACAATCGCTATGCTTAGCTAACAAGATAGACGAAATTCTCGATATTGGCTGCGGCGAAGGCCCCTTGACAGCCCGTATAGCTCCCCATGTGAAACGGATTGTGGGAGTTGATGGCTCACCCAACATGATCGAATACTTCAAGAAGGCCTATCCACACATTGAGTCGCGGGTTGTCGATTGTCGACTGCTGGATCAAGAGTCGGACCTCACCACCGGGAGTTTTGACAAGGTCTTTTCGAACGCTGCCTTGCATTGGATACTGGGAGACCCTGAAACGAGATCCAATACGATCAAGGGCTGCTTCGAGGCGCTCAAGCCGGGTGGCCTTCTGGTCAATGAATCCGGTGCACTGGGAAATGTGGCCGAGGTGCATTCCGCAATTATCAGCGGTCTAGTCACTCAAGGTATTCCTGTTGAGCAAGCACGTGAGGCATCGCCTTGGTGGTTCCCATCTCAACAGGCCATGAAGAACCTTGTTGAAGGGGCGGGGTTCAACTGGGTCAAGGGTGAGGTCCAGCTCAGACAGACAACCTTGACGGAGCATGAAAAGGGTGGTGTTGAAGGATGGTAGGTTGACACTAATACTTATCGACTTTACCACTAATGACATATAGGATTCGACTGTTTGGTGAACCCTTTCTCGAACTCCTTCCATCCACCGAGGCCCGCGACGCAGCCGTCAAACACGCTGTTGACGTTCTCGAGGCTGTTGGCAGACAGCAGCATGATGGTTCTTTTACTGTTAACTACATTCGCCTTCGCTTCGTTGCTCAAAAGCCAGAGTGATGTCTTCTTAGGTCTAAGTAATTCTGTATCTCCAAATGGTTCATGATATTCATATTTCATAATCTTGATATTTACCTGCATACTCTCAAGGTGTGAGAGCCTGCTTTTCGTCCTAGGCAAATCCACGTATCTGATAGTATGTCACTATAATCGTTTGGCATCATCCGTGATAGCATCATCCCGCCGAACAGAACATATAATTCAATTCTTTAAAGCCTAAAGTACGACAAATTTCTTATATATGGTTGATGGGTCTGAAAGTGATAGATTGGGATATGTCAAGGTCTATCAGGTACAGGCGCCCTTCGTCTTGCAGAATGATTGCTCGGATGCTTCCAAAGTCCACTTCCTGAAGCAACTACTCACCAACCAAGGTGTTAATTATGTTGGTTGTGGGTACTACTCCCTTTTGTCTAGAATGTCTCTACCCTTGCTTTCCGCTATATTAACAGCGAATTCACCAGCTGCACCGGCAAGAAAGTCCTTCATCTTTCCGTGGTTCACCTCCGCTGGGCGCTGTTAGTCTTTGCGTCTGTGAATCTAGATGGGAAATTTTAACCTACCACCAGTAGAAGCCTGATGTTTTCCCCATGTTTCCAAAGCCTTATATGATGCGTCTGAAGCAACGATTTCATGAGAAAGATGCGCTTGATTGCCTTCGTCCGCATTCACAACCTTTCCATAGTCTTCCTCTATACTTCAGTTGTTAAGGGGTATTGAAACCAGGGAAAATTAAGTAAAGGAATGGGAAACTTACCATTATCGTGTAAAATATTCATGATGATAATTCTTTTCAAGGCAGTCGTTGGATATTATTACGAAAAGCAGTTTGCGATTTAATATTTTTTTTAACGGTTATGGTCCAGGGAAGGGATGGGGAGACATATATAACACTGTTCTCCATTTCCCAAGTCTTGTTAGGCTTCTCTTTAACCCCCCCCTCTCATGACCTACATAGTATTCGCACTAAAAGTGTATATGAAGGCCAATAGGGGTTCCATATCCTGTGGAGTTCACCGAATAGGAATGTAGAAAGCTGTGCCGAGTGGAGAAATAGTTCACCTGCATCGACGTACGGGCGGCCTAAGCTTGTCACCGGGCGCATACTCCGGAGTACTGTGTAGGTGTAGCGTTGAGACCTCCAAGGAGTCAATATTGAGGAAACCCTGTGCAAACGTTAGCGCTGTTCTAACGATCAATGAAGTTTAACCAAGTGATCTAACAGCTGCTTCGGGTGAAGGAGGTGAAGGCAGCGCAGCACGGAAGCTACAACCAACATCTAAAAAGCGATCTACCTAAAAAAAAAAAAACAGGCATTAAAAACATACAACGGGAGGGATCCACTGGGTGTCACCTATCTAACTACTGACTTCCCAGCGTATGGGTTGGTTTGAATCACCCATTAAAAACACAATCGGCCCACACTTCTCATGTACTCCGGAGGATATCTTCTCAGGCGGCAGCGAATTATAGAGCGAAAGAGACGACTCCCAATTACCCAGCCAAATTCCATTTAGGAAAGGAAAGTATACTTTAAGTCTCCGGAATAGCAGTTCATGATACACTACCTTTATGATTATAAATACATAGGGACTATATGTCAAGTGGAGATGAGTTCCTTGCCCGTCTTGCGGAATTAGACCAGCAGATGGAAGAGCACAAGGCGGCGGCCGAAAAGGAGGGCAAGTTTGTGCGTTTTGTTGGAAGCATCGATATGGCCTCTCGCGAGGTTAAGGTGGGAATGGAATCATTTCGGAAAGCGCATCTTATCGCGGCGCTACAGGGAAGCGATAATATTATCAGCTTTTATACAAAGCGGTACAGCGATAATCCGCTCATTGTGCAGGGAGTGGGTGCTGGTGGCGATGTGACTGCTATGGGTGTGCTGAGTGATCTTCTTAAGCTGTTTTCTGATATTGCTTGGTGATGTGATCTAATGAGAATGATGAGCTTTTCATGTATACATTGGTATAGGATTGATGTACGTCAAGACATAGCCATTTTGGCTTATGATGTCAAATCTAAAGAAACCAGACATGAATAGTCAGTGTGGCCGAGTGGTTAAGGCGATAGACTAGAAATCTATTGGGTTCGCCCGCACAGGTTCAAATCCTGTCGCTGACGTTCTTTTTTGATTCTTTTTTGGTATCGGTGGAGTGGATTCGTGCTAGCATGGCCACTGGACGAGCATATTGCATGGACTTGTTCCAGACTCAAGTCAACAAGATCAGATTTCTGTCGAGTATGAATGGCACAATCGGAGTGTCACAAGTCATCTATCCCATATACTTACAACTTGCAAAAGTACACAAACACATATCCATCCAAGTATCCACTTCCCGGCGAAGCCAACCTCAAACCGTACAAATACTCCACAGTATCCCAAGTACTACTCAAGCAAAGGCCTCATATCCCTCATGAAGATCTCCACCGTCTTCGGCCCGACCCCCTTAAACTCCTGCATCCGCACCTCCAATTCCTCAACCGTCCCGAAGCGTCTCAACATCTCCCCAAATGTACCATATTCCTGCTTCATAGCACGCGACACATCAAGCAACTTAGTCGCAGTCGAAAAGTCATACCGGACATAATGACCCTCATCCAGGATCTCGACTAGTCGATCCCATCCTGCATCTAGGATAGTATCCGGTGAAGTGATGCCCTCCTGGACGAGCTCGAGGAAGGCTCGCTTGGCGACGGCTTGCTGGACTGGCTTGCCGAACAGGAGACATGCGAGGAACCATTTGAAGTATTCTGATTCGATTTTTGATGAGAGGTCGATCCCCAGTTCGGCTGCTTGGATCTCTTTTTTGGGGTGCATGTTGGGTTGGAAGTTAGGTGGTGTTTGGGTTAGGGTAATTGGGTAGCACGGGATGATATTATCATGAGGTCATGTGGGCACGTGGTGACAACAATTTGGGAGCGCATTGTGTATGATGCTCGGGGTAGACATTAGATATGCTTTCTAGTGCAAGTGCTTGTGGTCTTGAATTTTGTTTGGTGCGGTCGGGGGTGAGTTTCTTCTATGCATATCACGGATAGCAACTCAGCAAAATATGAAGATCAGTTTCCTTTCACACGTACATTATGAAAACAGTGTATAAAGGCGTCAGGGTCAATCAGATGTCAATTCAAGGACCTCCTCTACCACCCATACAGCTTTATTAGCTAGGAATTCTCATGATTGTATCTTGCAGTGAAAGTAGACAGAGCCTGTTACAAGAACATCTTCAATGCCTACCATATCGAGAGCATGGAGTAATCCCAGTACATAGGTTCAGCCATGTAGGCCCATAGCTCCTCATCGCCTTTAAGACCAATTCTCTTCACTGAAAAGGTAAAGTATGGGAGGCAACGAAAATATGATCCAAGGTCCATATTTATTGCTCTGTAAATGGTGGAAATAAGCAAAGCTAAGACTTCGGGTATATCTTATGTCTGAACCCTATCAGGGTACCAAGTATTATTCGCTTTCAACTCGTAACATGGGACCTGTTTCCTTTCCTTAACTCCGCGGAGTCCGCGGAGTTAAATCTCCCTTGCTAATTCCAAACTATGTCGAAAGACACCAAAACCTCTCTGCCTTCGGGAAAAGAAAAAATGTGAACAAAGAAACGAGAGGAAAACGAAGGGCAATTTAAGCGAACAGAAAAGCATTACGCGAAAAAATCACAAACCGGCATCTTGCCCGTATTGCATTTGGCAGTTCCTCCACTAGCCCTAAAAGACCGATCGACATCTTACATACAGATGCAATGCAATGCAACATCAGGCGGATAAAGCCAAAAACCAGAGTCAAAAGGAAAGGAATCCAAAACCAGCAACAGGTAGATCAACAGGTAGATCGTAATCTAGCTGCAGGTATCACGATGAGCAATAGAAGTAAGGGTGTTGCGCGATCGGGAGGCAATCAACAATTTCGCGTATGTAATGGAAATGAAGAATGCAGGAGAGACGATCAGCCGTTGCTTGGCAGAGATGACTACTTCTCCAGACTGATATCGACCCGGATTATACTCGTCCCAGTGACAGGGGTCGAGTTGGAGTTCCGCAGTTAGGGCAATGAGTCAACGTTTCTTTTACCACATAACATAAACCATCGCCCTCATTTGATGGACATTCCTTTCCAACCCCCCATTGAGTCGAACCCTTGCTACCGCGTCAGCCACCACTTGACTGAAATTAAGCATCAAACTTGCGGTTTCTGAAAAATCTTTTTTACCCGGGTTCTAAAATTTAGCCTATTTGCAGTATGGGCCGACGCGATGAAACATCCCAGACCACGGTCGACCCATCCCCCACACCAATTGACCCCCCACCGGACGGGGGACTCAATGCCTGGACACAGGCAGTGATGGGTCACATGGTCTGCTTTAATACATGGGGGTATATTGCCAGCTTCGGGGTGTTTCAAGCCTACTACCAGAGCAGTCTGGGGGTCTCCTCCTCGGCAATCTCCTGGGTCGGATCCGTGCAGATCTTCCTGATCTTCTTCATCGGCACGTTCTCAGGCCGCGCGCTAGACGCCGGGTTCTTCCGCCCGGTGTACTATACAGGGGTTGTCCTGCAGCTCCTCGGAGTCTTCATGACCTCGCTCGCGACCCGCTATTGGCAGCTATTCCTGGCCCAGGGCATCTGCACCGGCCTGGGCAGTGGGCTGCAGTTCTGCCCCGTCATGGGATTGGTCGCGACCTACTTCGCCAAGCGTAGGGTCTTCGCCTTGGCATTTGGTCTCGTCGGAAGTGGAACCGGGGGCATGCTCTTTCCCGGTCTCGTCAAGGCCCTCATGCCCGTCATCGGCTTTGGCTGGACACTCCGCGTCCTGGGCTTCGTCATGCTGGGGACTAGTATCCCCGCCATGGCCTTGCTCAAGCCCCGGTTGCCGCCACGGAGGTCCGGCCCCCTGGTCGAGTGGTCGGCTTTCAAGGAACCCGCCTACGTGCTCTTTTGCCTCGGTATGTTTCTGAATTTCTGGGGCCTATATTTCGCGTTTTATTATGTGGGTGCCTTCGGTCGCTCCGTGATTGGGCTGTCCTATTCGGATTCGACCAATTTAATCATTGTCACGAATGGGGTCGGCATCGTGGGTCGTCTGATCCCTGCGTTTCTGGCAGATGTCTACTTCGGGCCCCTCAATACGATTATCCCGCTGGCGTTGGGCGCCAGCCTGATGATGTTCTGTTGGATTGCCGTGCACTCGGTCGGAGGGCTGTATGCCTTTGCCGTGCTGTACGGGATGTTCTCCAATGGCGTGCAGGGTCTATGGCCGTCGACACTGTCGAGCCTGACTCCGGATCTCAGCAAGACAGGGGTCCGCATCGGAATGGGATTCACCGTGGTGAGCTTCGCCTGTCTGACTGGTCCCCCTCTCGGCGGGGCTTTGATAGCCAGGGCAGATGGTTACATTGGAGCGCAGATCTGGGGTGGGTTGACGTTCGTATTGGGCGCGCTGGTCTTGGTCACTGCGCGAGTGTCGAAAACTGGCTTGCAGCTAAAGGCTAGGATTTGAACAGGGTTACATAGATTCGGTTGTATTTAGATCTGCCGCGGTTGTTGCGGGCCTTTACGGGGCCAATCTACTAGTCTTGTGGTACTTATATTAAGAAATATCCGGCCTCGGTCAGCGATCACTGCTGATCATTTGTTCTCCACTGGGGCCAGAAGAACAGCGACGACAAGATTTTTCATGCTTGGCAGTGAGTTCCTTCGTATAGGTTATTGCTCCGATGCAGGAGACCCGTCTGACACTGCATCGAGACCGCCGGAGAGCGACTCGGACATTTGTTGTCTTGGAAGATCTCTCTCTGTCTCTACGCATTAACGCCCCTAGCTCCGTGCCGAACACATGATGAGATTATACAGGAGAGCGCCAATTGTGACGCTGCCAACGCGCGGGACAAACTTGGACGCCACCTCGACCACATTCGGCTCGAAATTCTGTCCATTATGGTTAGCGGGCACGAGCCAAGACCTGATTATGGGAAAGCCCATAGTGCATAACTCGTACCTTTTCTGAAGAAACATTGACGCAGATGGCGCCGCGCTGAAGCCACTTCGTATTCACCTTGAACGCGGGATCTGGAACCGCCGAGATGACCACTCGAGACCGCTGCACGGCCGTCTGCAGAGTCCAGTTCGGGAGATCCTTTCCGTGCAGACCTTCGGAGTGCCAAGGATAGTACAAGCGTTGGAAGAGCTGGATACCGGATATGTCCACGCTGTAGACGCGAGCGCCTTCCCCCGCGAGCAGCTGGGCGAGTGGCAATCCCACCACGTCAGACCGGTTAATGATGCAGATCTCTTGGTCCCGGAGTCGTTCCCCCGCGGGCCGCGTCCGATCATGCACATCCATCCACTCCAGGATCCACGCAACCGCCCTTGGCGTGCAGGGGATGATACTTGGCCCCGGTTTTGGTGGTCTGGACTCGTCTGCAACTTCCGAGAACCGGTGCAAGGTCTGATGGTTCAGGCCTTCTACGTCCTTACTAGGCGCCACAAGCTGTCTGATCTCCTCGTCTCTCTGGTCACCGAAGATCGGATAGTACACGATGATCCCATGGACACTGTGGTTGGCGTTGATCGCCCGGATATAGGTTGCCACATTTTCGGGGGACAGTTTCATCAGGTGGAAATGCACTCCGCTAAGCATGCGTATTAGTGACATGAGTGGAGATCCTGCTTGGCGTATTGTCTCGGGCTTACATTTCCTGACAGGTTTTGCGAGTCCAGTTCGCGTACTGGTTAGAGCCAGCATCATCGCTGGCCAAGACGCCCATGAGAAAGAGTCGCCTCGAGGAGTCTCTCAGCATTTCAGAGATCTGGTGGTGCGCCCTTTTGGCGAGGTCATCTGGCTGAACTGTTTCGCCAATGCGTGGAGCCATTCTGAGGATTTCGATATGCCTTCTCGGATTGAGAATGGAATGAATCTCAATGCCAGTGTAGGCGGAAACAACGACGGTAGACTTCCGCGGTCCAGCCAGCCCTTAAAATACCATAATCTACGCTGTAAGCTCCCAACGTCATGAAGTACGCGTCCTCTCAATTGCGGACATCTTAGTGTGAGAGTCTTCAACCGCCTAGACCCTGCAGAATCATGCCGAAAACGCACCTCCTATCCAGAGTCATGCGTGATCAGCCACCAGATTTCAGTGCTTCAATATGGATGAATTGGTATATCAGACATCCCCCCACTTCCGGACTCCGTGTAAAACCGTCTAGCTGTCTGGATTATGGAGGTGACGAGCTAATGACTTCAACAGCCGGGCCTTCGTCCACGTAGAAGTGATCCACTGATCTTCCCCTCCCTCAACGCCTGGATTTATTTGTCGAAAGCCAGTCAGCGCGGCACGCGGCAGCAATGCTGACACCAAAGGTGACGGTGATGACCCATCGGCTTTCCAGCCCACGGGGATAATGAGGAGTTCGAATCCCCGCTGGGTTCTTGGCATCGTCTATAGACCCTGGCGAGTTCACGACACAACCCCTCCTTTGGTCGTAATGGACTCATGTCTCATCCCCCAATTTGTCCCCCATTTCTTCTGAAAGGTATCGGGGTCTTGTCCCCACAAGGACATATAAACGGGTGGCCCCTTGCTGACACTGGAACCCCAGATCAGTGGTCTCTCCCCCGCAAGAGCTGAGCTCAACACCTTTGATCATGGGCTCCGCGGTATCCCTACCCTATACTCCCTCCCCTCCCGCCAATGACCTCATTGTAGTGGGCAGCGGTGCGAGTGGAGTTGCAATTCTTCTTCAGTTGATTGAACGAGTCAAGAATGGGGGTTCCCTTGGAGAAGTCATCTTCGTGGAAAAGACTGGGCTCCCCGGACCTGGTCTGCCATACTCGGCCCAATGTGCGGGCACCATCCTCAATATGCACACAGATACAATGGGGTTGTATCATGATAAACCCCTCCATTTTACCCACTGGCGCACGGACCAAGAAAGTGGGCCCTTCCCTTCTCGGGCGAGATACGGCCAGTATCTCCAGGAGACGTGGGCCCAGGCGTTAGAGGACGCTCAGCAGATCGGACTCCGGGTGTCGGTGATTCATGAAGAGGCGCACGACATTGATCGACAGACAGACGGCACAATGGCTGTGAGTCTCCGGAATGGCACGCAGTTGACGGCGAAGTCGGTCGTCTTGGCGCTGGGCAACTTTACCTCGGTGTGTAACTCACATCTCATCAATCTCCCCGGGTTTTTCCCCGGCCCGTGGCCGACATCCCAGCTCAAGACTATCCCGGCCGATGCCTCTGTCCTCGTTGTCGGGTCCCGGCTGTCTGCTGTCGATGCGGCCATCTTCCTCTCGGAACATGGCCATCAGGGCCCCATTACCTTCATGTCGCGCAGCGGCAGTCTCCCCAAAGTCCAGGGAGAGTCGACGCCGTTCCCTCGCCGCTATGTCTTGCATGACCTGGCGAAGCATGTCGAGGAGAATTCGGATGAGAACTTGCTGCAAGTAACAAGCGGCTTGATGGAGGAGATCTTCCACGCAACCGGCGGTGACTGGAGCTGGCTCCACAATGATGAGTCTCCGGTTAAACAGCTGGAACACGATATCCATGCGGCAAAGAATGGCAACGTTGAGTGGCAGACAGTGCTGCGAGGCACGGCTCCCGTTATCGAGCGGTACTGGAACGGTCTACCCGCGAAAAGCCAGCAGCTGTTCATGGACAAGTTCTTCAGTCCGTGGATGAGGTACCGCCACGGAATGCCGATACAGAACGCTGAGAAGATCCTCGGCCTCTTGAAGAAAGGACAGCTCCGGGTGGTCCAGGGTGATCGAGTCCAATGGGACGGCATCTTCAAAGCGCAGACCTCCGCCGGGCTACTGGAAACTCCCTATGTGATTGAGGCGACCGGGCAGGAATGCCAACTTGACCGCATCGAATCACCACTGATCCAGTCCGCAGTGGAAAAGGGGCTCCTCAAGCCTCACCCTGCTGGCGGCGTAGCCGTCGACTTCGACACTCTGCGCGCATCCGAGGGCCTGCATGTCATCGGGTGTCTCACCAGAGGTACTCATTTCTACGTGAGTGCGATCGACCGCGTCGCTGCCCACGCCGCGCGGGTCGCGGATGCCGTCACGAATGAGCCCATCGCACGTCCCCTCCACATTGCCATCTTCCTCGGAAGCGACCTCTTCTCGCACCTCATGGCCAGTACACTGGTGCCGCAGCTCCTCGCCGCCGGCCACACGCCATTCATCTTCCTCCCAGTACACAAGGCGAACCGCAAGGCCACGCCGCCGTTCGAGCTCCGGGAACTAGCATTCTTCGAGCGCGAGCTACTGCAGAAGCACGTTATCCCGTTCTTTAAGAACGAGAGGCCGGGCAGTGCATCCCATATGACAGTCGAGCAGATGAAAGACGCCTATGGGATCCTCGTCCAGGAAGTCCCCAACGTCAACAGTGCATCTTTCATCAACACTCTCCGAAAGCACCATATCGACGTGGGTCTCTCACTGCGCTGCTACCAGCGGTTCAAGACAGATATCATCCGCTACTTCGCCCGGCCCAGACGACTGCTCAACCTGCATCCGGGCACCCTTCCCGCCTACCGTGGCGTCATGACCACCGTCCGAGCGATGAAGAACAAAGAGAAACTTTTCGGGTACTCGCTGCATGAGATCGACGAGAACTGGGACGCAGGAGATCTCATCGACGTCCGTCACCATCCGATCGACTATTCCAAGTCGATGTTGCATTTCATGAACGACGTGTATAACCTGGGAGCGAGGATGGCAGTCGATGTGTGTGATACTATTGCTCGCGGAAAGGAGCTACCCTCGGTTCCACAGAAGCCCGAGGAGAGCAACTACTATACCTTCCCGACCCTGGAGGACCTGGAGGGCTACCGTAAAGACGGTATCCGTCTAGTCGATGCCGAGAGTATCGTCAACGTCATCGTGGAGTCGTTTGCGCCGCTGGAGAAGCAGGAGAAGTTCCGGGAGCACATTGATGAGGTCGTTCAGGAATGGTATGATAAGAATAAACCGTGAGCTGGGCATTGCCTCTTGTTTCGCATGGAGTTCGGCGTGTTTGCTTTTGATTAAATTCTAGTTCAAGCATCGTGGTGATTGTCCTCCTTAACATAAACGTATACATGAGTCAATGACAACATTTTCTAGATTTCCCGGCCTTTCCTTTCTAGTAGAATCAATCTTAGATGAGATAGTCTATTCTGAATTGACTCCTATCCGGATGCATATTCCCTCAGCAGTTCAGATTAGTTAATAGACTCTGGATTAAGTAACCAAGCTGCGAAACCCATACCTACTGAACCTCAAACATATCCGGCGCCATCAAACCATCCTCGGTCTAAGAAAACCACTCCCAGAACTCCATTAAGAAACACAATCCATCCCATCTCCGGAAAACCCCCGAAACACCATATCCAAAACCACCAACCAGCACCACCACACACCAAACAAGCTCCCAATTGGCGGCATAACCCCCTAACACCCAATGCAATTCCCGAAAAAGGCCATCTACCGGTCTCACATAAATTACACCAATGGCCATGCGGGAACCGCCAAGAAGAAGTGGTTTGAAAGTGAAACACTAATCCCAAGCGCAACCAGAACCCTCAAACAGATATAAATCCACCACATACTCGGCAAGTCCCAAGCGAACTTCGCTTACAATTCGAAACTATTCAATCCAGGGGGTTAAAAAGAAAGGAACCATGAAATTCCAAACAGCGACTAGTACCATCCTCCTCCTCCCAGCCCTCGCCTGGGCAGCGACGAAGCGAGCCGACACTTGGGGCGGGAGCGTATCTCTCGGCCCCACAAGGTCGACGATCACCAATGCCGTGACGACTCTTATCCCCGGCGCGGCGCCGGCGACGCAGAACGGAGTGCTCTTTCTCTGGCCCGGAATGAGTAACGGGACGGGAGACCTCGTGCAGACGACCCTGGAGAGTTGGGAGAGCAATGAGTGGTGCGGAGCGGCGCAGGGCGAGTGGTGTGTGCGGGCGAGTTTGTTTGGGAGCTTTGGGCAGTTGGATGGCGATGCGGCGCCTGTTAAGGGGGATGATCAGGTTCGCATTGAGTATGTGTTGTTGGAGGACGGGGATACTTGGTTGCAGTATGTTTCTCTCTCTCTTTTTTTTTTTCTTTGGTTTTACTTCCGGTGCATAGTTGGTTTGTGCTTGTTGGGGATAGTGGCTGATGACATGTCTAGAAATGTGACCAACGCACAGACAGGAGAGATCCTCTCGACCTTCTCATACAAATCCGGTCCCTACATGACCGGGTGAGTCCTCTTTCCCTTTCTTTCGCCACTATAGATGATAAAAAGCTAACCAAACCAGCTACGGAACTGGAACAGAATGCAACGAGGATTGCACGGGCACCATCGCGGCCCAGCAATACCTCAACACGAAGATCACGCTAGCGGAAGCAGACGAGACCTTCGGCGACACGATTGCATCAGCCGGCGGCGCGACCTACACCGGCTTAACATCCAGCGAGGGCGGAAAGGTCTGGGAAATCGCGAGCATTGATGTTCCGGCCATGTCGTCGTAGGTGATCCATGCATCGGTGATCACGGGAGTGTCACGGCCCTAACATTCCAGTGGTTACATTCCAGTGGAGCTTAGCAGGACCTCATTGTAACTTTGAGATCGGGATTCGAGACTTTCGGAAATGGTTCCCGGGAATCTTGTCTTGTATATCCTACTGTGTATATATACCTTGGTAGATATTTCGTGTAGCACGTGCTTTTTATGCAGTTCGTGGTTTGCTGGTTGGCCTTTCCGAGTGAGTGGATTCTGGATGGTCTCGACATGTAGTTTCATGGCGTGATTTGTTGGAATGTGGAGTCTATGGGTTTTAGAATAGGGCCGATGTCACGAAATTCCACTTTAAAATCTAGATTAAAATTCTGCACGATCTGAGTTCTAAGCTAGTACCATATCTAATTACGCTTGTCATCACTATCCTAGACATTATCTCTATGCAAACGAAACATGTACAGCCTCAAGACTATCTAAAAGAAAAGAAAAGGGGAAAAACGAAATCTCATATCAAACGCCAAAGGCAAACGACAAAGAAGGATAAAGAGAAAAAGAAAAAGAAAGGAAGAAAGAAACAAAAAAAAAAAATAGCAAATCATCTCACGTCAAACCCACCCCCAAATCTAACACTTGTAGTCAACGTACCACCCAGTCTCCGCATTCTGCTCCAAGAAAACCTCACTCTCCTTGTCCAACTGGGACCGGAAAACCAACTCCTCAGCACACTGCACACTGCCCACAGTATGCGTGTGCGGGCCATCCACACCCGGCCAGTTCGTAAAGTCCGCGGCTCCAATGCTCTCCCCCTCGGCCTTGTCGCCCTGCCACACTCTCACCAGGGCATTATTCCCGGCCTTGAAGTTGCGCTCGGCGGGTACGCCCCAGTTCAGGGAGCAGGACTTGGCGCCCTGGGGCAGGGAGAAGGTCATCGTCTGGTCCCATTCTGCGGTGGCGGATTTGGAGACATTAAGGTTTGGGGTGGAGATCGGGTCGGCAGAGGGAGAGTTGTATGTTTGCATCTTGGGCTGGTAGATTTGGCCCGGCGTGCAGGTCGGGGGGGGTGGGGTCGGTGGGCTTGTCGTCGGGACAGCCGGTATCAAGGGCGTAGGGGTCGATGGAGCAGCAACCGCGGAATTTGTTTTTGTAGCAGACGTAGTAGACTTTTCCGGCGGGGCATTCGCCGTTGTCGCGGCTGGTGAGGGTGGACGAATATGAGGTGGTTGGGAGGGCGGTGGTGAGGGTCAGGAGGGCGGCGAGAGCGGTGCCCAATGTTGTGGTGTGGAAGTACATCGTGATTAATTGATTGTATTAAATTGAGATGCGTACAATAAAAGCGTATTAAGAATTATGGCGGTTGTAGAAAATGTAGTGGTGACCGTGTAGTCTCTAACTGTGGTGGTGGAAGTCAACGGATGTGAGGATGATGGAAAGAATAATTCTCCTGAACAGCAGATCCGGACGCTATATTTATATTCCAGGATCAGAGATTAGATAAATTAATAGCGCAGTGGATCTGAAGGAATCACTGGGTCCAAAAAAAAAAAATAAAAAGAAGAAGATCCCAAAAACAAACACAAAGGGCCAAAAGTCTAAAGATAGACGCAAGGCGCAAGGGATCCTGACCCTGAACCCTCCCGAGCTCGCACCGTGAGCCGAAGAAATCTGGGGAAGGCCGGAAAGAGTGCAGTTAAGGTGAGGCTGATCGTCGGGTTGGCATCTTCACCATTGGAGTTTTGCTTCCGATTCTGTGGAGCCGCCAAGTCAACTAACGACTGGCGGTCTAGGGCTGTGCAAAAGTCACACAATGCATGGTTCTACGCCTCCTGCATCTTAGTCCGATATGACATTTGGGCGTACACAAGCTACCACCGGGTTGATGCTGTGTAATGGCGCGGTGGGATCTTGTTGGCCCGATCCTGGGCCCCCACTGCCTGTCTGCCTCTTACGAGTCCCCACGGTGAGATGCATGAGCATGAGCCATACTCTCTTCATTGGTCCTTTCGGCAATGGCAACACACAAGAACCACTGCCACCGCCATTATGGCATGCAACCATGGTTCCACCCCAGATCGCGGTCATCAGGCCGACAAGCACAAAGAACCGGGATAACAATGGAGTTTGGCTTGGCAGATCTCCGGTGCCGTTGCATTATTGCTATCTTTAGTCTGACAGCACAAAGCTCGGGACATAAACGAAGCATGACATGGCCTAAGTTAGCATTAACTACATGGCTGTGCATGGAGCCCGCCTATCAAAGGGCCCTCCGGCGGCTGACATCGCCTGTAGCGTGTAGGGCTCGGCAGTCGGCCTTAAACAATGCATACACGAAGTCAGGTGGGTCTGCCAGCGTTGATATCGACTACAGACCTACACTCGTCTCAGACCCAGACGAAATGCGCCAGCTCATGGGAAACTGTATCCCGTCTAATTTTGGGATTCCCTGGAGATGTAACCACACGACGTCGGCGAAGATTCTACGAGCGCTCAAGGCGTACCAGATCAAGACCATCATCACTGGCGATCGGGAAACATTCGGAATGTTGGTCTTGGCTGTTGGGGGGCTGGTTCGGTGATCTTGGGGGCGAGATTTGTGTAGAATCATGGCAGGAAAGCAGAAATATTGTTCCATCATTAGGGTTCATAAGTGCATACATTAGGTCAGTATATTCTAGTCGTACATCCGCTACCATGAGGATTCGTAAGTTTATGAAACATAAGGAAATGAAACAGGAACCGTATCGCATCTACTGCTCCGGACGCCCAATATCAATCGCAAACCGCGTCCCCTCCCACCACCCCAGCCCAAACACCAACCCACTGAACACGCCCTGTTTCACCAACGCGGCATCGTCGCACCATTCTGATCCAGGCGGGATCACGTCCGGCTTCAGCATTTCGGAGCCAGCCAACAACGTCGCAGCCCCAGCGATGCTGCATGGGTTCACCGGAATCACCTCCCGCCGACGCACCAAGTAGAACGCCACCATAATACAAAGAGCCATGGCGGCCAGAAACCCTTCTAGGATACGGGTAGAGACAGCACTTTGCTTGAGACGGACACGCGTAGGATCGACCACCGTCCCCTGGTATCTCGTTTCTTTCTCTAGCGGCAGTCGGGAGTTGCCGTTCATGCTTTGAGCCATAAGAACGCGATAGAGATGCTGGGTGGCGTTGATCACGGCAGGTACCCGGTCCGTCTGTTCAACGTCCATAACTGTCAATGTCTTCTGTTCTTGTATCATCGCGATGAAGACGTTGTCGAATCCCTCGTACTCAGTGACTTTGCCGCTCGTGGGTAAGTACGCATCAAAATCCAACTGTGATGTAAGGCTATCTGCGAACCGCCGGCTTGAGGATTCGTCTGGCTTGACGGACTGGATCTTGTATCCCGGAACGGTGAATGTTGTATCCACATCGACTTCGTCGACGTACGGGAAACAGGTGAATCCGCGAATACCGTCAGTGTTGGTGGAGTTAGGGTGGTTCACTACCCCGTATAAGCCCGCCATCTTCGGGCACTCTGGCTTTTCATTTATCATATCTGTAACCTGAAATGTGCCAAAGGCAGTGCCGTTGTAACTCGTGGAGTTCGTTGGAAGGGTCATCGTGAAATACGTTTCAGTCTCGTTGTCAACTTTCCTGCTACTAGTCCAACACTCACCCCCGAGAGACAGCCACGCCATCATGGAACCCCTGGTGTACGAAGTCGTTTTTAAAATCTGGCTTGCTTCAAGGACGGTACAGTTGAGGCCGGCACGGAGAGCAGGATACGTCAGCTCCAAAACGCTGTCAGTCGTAGAGCTCTGGTTTGTGGGCTTATATATGGTATCTTCTTTCACATCCGTGAGCGTACTATCGTTGAGAACTGGAAGGACGACCTCGTCATAAGTCCAGTCTGGATATGAGAGATTGGCCCCCACGACAAGAGCTCCGGTAAGACCTATCCCTTTCTGCCCTGAGTGGTAAGCTTGAGGATCCACGGTCGAATTAAATGAGTCGTTTCTCAAGATAGACACTGCACGCACGTAGCTAGCGGCTTCGGTAGAATACAAACCACTCGCGGCGATTGTCAAACAAGGTGCCAGAACCATGGTCAGTGCCGTAGTGACAATTGCATACTTTCTTTTGATAAGTGCACTCCAAAGGGCATGCATGGTGAGCTTCGACAGGTAATTGTCCATCAAGCTTTCCTGTGCTGTCAAGCCGCCTGCTCTCAGCTCCAAGTAGGGCTGGATAACCTGGGTGGAGAAGTGGTTGCATTCGAAAAGAGCCTGGATTAACAGCATTATAAACGCAGGGATATATACCCAGGTGTAGCGAATATAGCCATCGGATGTGATATCAGCCAAGCCATTTTGTTTCTGAGAGATCTGGTAGGTGGTCTCTAGTCCCACAATGACGAGAAGAGGGACAGCTAAGGTAAGGATGCGCCAACCCAACGACATTGCAAGAGGTTTCCACCAGGATATCTGGCTAGAAGCTTCAGTAGCACGAAGTTCCTCTTTGGCATCATGCTTCGTGACGATACCGAAGCTTCGTTGGCCGTCCATGCTGGCGATCTCTGAAACAAAGAGACCGCCCGCCAGAGATGACTTCAGGTCCTTCCCGTTTTTAATGCCGGAGAGTCGATCAGATAAATCGGGGCTTCGGGCTAATATCGTTGCCATGCCAGATATTGTGCCAGGGTCTCGAGGTGTGCATTTGGCCGGACTCCACATCCAAATCGCCCCAGTCACCAAAATCAAAAGCGCCAACGCGGCCTCCATAAGTCGGACTGACAATTCTCGCACCAGGAGCTTTTCTGTAGATGCTGAGTATACGCCATCGAATGGCTTATTCGCGGAAGTCATGAGGTATTGCCTTGCTAGCTGTGCAGCAATTGCATTATAAACTGGACGAGAGATAGCCTCCAAGTATGCTGCATCCAATAAGGGCTCAAAATTGTCCGGAGATGAAACAGTCGCAATCCGGTAAAAGGGTTCGAGGTAGTTACTGTTCGGGTCCGCTAAATTGGCATATATGCCACCATCTAACTCTATAAGGGTCCCCACAGAGCTATCTGCGGCTGTCAACGTAGCAAGCAACCCCGAGACTACATCGACCACTGTTACACCCGGGATTGTGTGATTGGATGTGGCCACCTTGCCACTGGAGTTGATTTCCGCAACACTTTGGTTGCTTTTAAATAGTGAGACCAATCCTGGCGATATCGTGTACGTAGGCTCACAAACAAGGGACTGTACCTGCGCACTATCATTCAGCCAGTGGGCAACAGCGAAAATCATTCGGTCCGTGTTCGTGTCATCATTGGAACTGGCACACCTCTCCGAGAGGACGGTTGCATGCCATCCGCCCACAGCAGAAGTGCTTCTACTGAATGCGTTGAACTGGTATTGTGAGCATTCTGGGGTGCTTAGAGTCAAGTTGAACAGTGTTTGTTCACAGTGCTGGGTTGCGCATCCCTGAGTCCAGTTTTTGACGGTTGCTACTTCACAGCTTAAATCCGTGGAGAATATATCCACGGTACCGGAGAGAATCGTGTTCGAATCTACACTGGATTTAGAATCTGCGTCCTTCCTTACGAGACATGGTGTATCGACCTACCTGATGGCGTATCGGATCCGTGGAAAGGGACAAACGCATACTTGTCCGTGGTTCCGACGGGATGGGGAAGATTCAGAAATTTATTGCCGACAACGGTCAACGCAGCATTGCTATCAACCTTCGCACTGCCATATCCCGTGCCGCTAAACGTCGCTTCCGCTGTTAATCTGGTGTGGACATCGCTGACGCGGACCTTCTGAAGCATGAAAAGGCCCGTCGAAGCGACCGTAAGCAGCTTCAAGAGGAGGGTTCCGAGGACTGCGATGGCAACGACCCAATGGCAGTGCTTCAAGGCCCTGAACAAGGTGACTACGTTCCAGTCCGAAACATAATCTAGTAGCAAACTCTGCGATGCCGGTCTTGGGGCTTGGCCCATAAGTTTCCATGGCATGAGTTGCTTTGTGCGGTACTCCACCTGTCCCCAGATTCCGGCCACGATAATTAGAACTTCGCGAATGTCAGCAGCGTTCCTATTGCATTGGTGGGAACATTGGACTACCAGCAGTTGGACCGTATGTCCACAGATAACGGTACTTTGCGTCGCTCGCACTTATGCCGTTGTTTTTGTTTGACACGCTATAAAGCACTTGGACCACGATCAGGATGGCAATAAAGAGCGTCGCAAATGCGACGAAGGCCCACGGGCGGAGGACCGTTGGGGTCCACAATTGGGACCGGCTGCCACCGTTGTTATCTTGCCCATGATAACTGGCCGTTAGCGTTCCATTGTCCTGGCTAGGATCTGTATCCCTGGGTTCCTCGGACTGCACTTGAATCAGCGTATGATTTTTGGAGCCTGGATTTAATCGCCTGGCGATCCTTTCACCGATGGAATTTGAAAATTCCAGCATTGCGTCCGCGATGGTTCAGTCCTTCGAATACATGGATTCGCACGAGTGATTATGTACTTGTCATCCGAGAGGAACAGCGACCAGATGCAGAGGGCGGGGCTTGAGGTTAAAACAAAAATCGTGAGGCTGAGTGCTGCAAGGCTGTGGACATTCCTGCCCATCACTGCGAGCCGTGCACACCAAGTGACTAGCGACGTGCGACCGTATTGGCCGTTTCATCTGGCATTTCCCGTGTTGGTGGGCCGTTGGGGGGGCCATTTGGCAGCCAGGATAACACGACCATGTCAATCCTTCCCTCTCTGGACTTCCTCGAGCTCGTCAAAACTTTGATGTACATTCATGATGCCTTTTATAGAACGGACCAGACTTTTGATTGCGGAAATGCGGGAGGCTCCGTCTGGAGACCATTGCACATCAACCGTGATCTAAAATCTTTAGCGTTATTCTCGTCGGCATTTGGTCGGGACTTGCAATTTTAGTTCATTTCTACCTGATCGCGTAGTTGTTAGGGGGATCGGCCGAGAGAATTATGCAGAACAAGCCCTTGTTTCATTCACTACCTTAAAGGAAAGGAAAATGGATGCATAACATGGAGGACGGAAGATGGGCCAAGTGGGCAATATAGCTGACCGCCCACGATATGTCGGGATATATATTAAGCCACCCTGCCTCAGTACGCAGTAACATTACTATGTCAATCCTTTCCCTTTTTCCAGCCCCTTGAGATCGTCAAAACTTGGACATGCATTCATGATGCCTTTGATTGGAAGGACCAGACTTTCGTCTAATATATAAATAGCTTCTCTCCAACGCCAAGTTTAAGACGTTAATAATCATTTTGGATGGGGGTTGATCCATCGGACTTAAGCTGGCGTCCATGTGTCTCGTCAATCTTGCGAATGATCTCATCGATATATTCCCCGGCAGCGCTTAAATGGTGAGGTAAAGTGTGCGCGTGACAGGAAGCTGGATGGTGAAGAAGAATTGGCCTGGGTCCATGTAGTCAATTTATATGTATGGTCATACATATGCTCGAATGCGATCTCAAAGTTACCAAACAGCCTGCGAGCCTCAAAGGTCAATGTCCGTCCCACCAATACAGGGAACAAGGGTCGGGTCGAACATGCTCAGAAGTTTGTGTGCAGCTTGTTCCACTGCAGACCAGATAGAATGTGAGGGGCCAAAGGTTCACATTAATTAATAACAGCCTTCAACAGACCTTAAAGGAAAGCACAGCCTTGGCTACAGGACTGGAATAAGCATCAGAAAGACAAGCTATCGACGGAGACCTGGCACACCCTCCATAGTAGGCGTGCCCGTCTTGGAGGTCAAGTCTCTTCGATGACGACGTCTTTTGTCTGCCTCTTTGCCATGTACAGACTCCTTACTGTCACCGAACGGAGACGGTTTTGGGCCTTCATGGTGGTCTTGAGGGTCTTCTTGAGGAATTTTTGCGCGTATTCTATTGTACAGCACATATTCTATTAGCCGAAGCAACCGTAAGCAACAGCTTCAGCACACTTACCAAACGCTTCGTCTGTTCTTCTAGGAGCAGGGACATCCGTTGCTCCTTTTTCTTTATTTCATGAAGAGCTGTTAGAATTTCACAGCGTAGATCGAGGATTTCCTTTTCCTAGGTCCCGAATCTTCTGACTGGCATTTTCCCTGGAAGTAAGTAGCGATAAAGGCTTACTTACAATCTCCTCGATGCTCGATAATTCGGGTTTCCTTCTCCGTACAAAGCGGCGGAGGGACGCCGCTGATCGACGCCGTGTCATATTGTCAGTGCAAGACAAAGAAAAACAAGGGGCGGGGGCGAGAGTTGAGCTGGAGATACTACTAATAGTAGTAGTAGTTACTTAGAGGGCTTAGAGGTATGAAGGTGATGGTAGGAATTTGAAAGAAGAGGAGCAAGACTGAGACGCGATGCATATGGCGATGCATATGACAATGTATATAGAGGCGGTGATAGCAGGAATTTGAAAGAAGTGGAGCCAGACTGGGACGACGAGAAGAATCAGACAAAAAAAAGGCCTGATATATAGCCCTGAGGTCATTCACAGCCAAGTTTCAAGCATACACTTCAATTTAATACAATTCAATTCAAGGCAATCTATCTTGAATTATGTTCAAGGTATCCAATTCCTCCCCCTTCACCACTTGGTGTCATCGTAATAATAAGAAAGGGTCTCAGTCAGGTTACTGTCTTGATAATCTTCAGCCTGTTAACGGCTAGTATACACTCAACTTTATCAAAGCCCTAACAAACTGATCCACGAGTTCATCTTCTCCCTTTACCCATGATTTCGATCTCGGGGGGGGGGGATTTATTTCGGAAAACGTTTGGGCAGGATTAAAATGAATCCAGAGTGGTCTCGGCTTCCCTTCAAAGCAACATACTGCTTTAAATGAGTAATCTTGGGCAAGCCAAACTGTTTAAAACCCACCAAGGCCGAGTATGTCTCCCTAGCACATCCCCGATCATAATGAGGTGCTAAGTACTCCGTACTCCATATATACCACCTCCAGACTGGTCCTTTCCTATGTCTCCACACCATTGATCCAATTATATTCGACGCAATACTTCTCGGTCATTGTGGAGCCCTCCCACTGGAATAACTACGATTCCAGCCTTCTGCGACACCAGAGGAATTGCAACGATACAGGTGAAAACCAACATGGAATCCGTGATGTAGCAAGTTTAACATGACTCGCGAATGAGTTGCCAACCACACTGGCCATAGTAAATGTATTGTGATATAAGAACCGACGGAAGTTCCGTCGGTCCCCATCACGTGACTCTCACGATACGATACGGTACCAACCCGATGATGATTAATGCCCCCGTCGTCATTAACAATCAACTTATCAAAAATCCGGAGAAAGCATCCAAAACTTTTTGTTGCGCCGCCTCGACTCCAACTACCAGAACTCGAGTCGAATCCACCGCAAAACTTCCGATCGCCCTAGCCTCCGGACGCAATCTCCCCGCTCTCCGGTCTACAAATCCCCCGCCCACTTGATGTACTCCCGCACCTCCATCTTGAGCAGAAGCTGCCGGTACTTCTTCCGCGCCCCCGTTCACCAGCGACAGACCTTTTCGATCTCCGCGCGCTCCTTCGCAGCCGTCAACGCAGCCATGGCCGACGCTACCGCAGGTGTGACCGCCGACGGACTGAAGAGCAAGTTGATCGAGCAGTTGCAGGCACAGCATGTTGAGATTGAGGACCTTTCGGGTATGCAAACAAAAGATACATGGCTTCCCGTCGGATGCAACTTGGGAAACAGATACACTAACATATTTTTTTTGTCTTTCGATAGGCGGCTGTGGCCAGGCATTCCAGGCGGTGATCGTATCCCCGCAGTTCGAGAAGAAGACCATGCTCGCTCGTCACCGGTTGGTCAACTCGGTTCTGAAGGCGGAGATCGCGGCCATCCATGCGTGGACGCCCAAGTGTTATACCCCTGAGCAGTGGCAGGCTTTGCAGCAGTAGAGGATGGTGGATTTCCTGTTATATTACGGCCCGAAGTAAAAGAGACGGATGAAGAACTTGATATATCCTGGGTATTGCGACGCGCTGGAAGCATATAGGCCGGCGTTGGAGTTTTTATTAATGTACATTTGTCGTCGCTATCCAGCTGTGGGCTATAGTATACTGGTCTTGGGCTACGGTGGGTGGAAATAAAAGACATGACTATGGATATATTATACGGTAGATGGAGGGGCTTTTGTTTTATATTCGCATACATTAGATATCGGTTGTATGGATTACTATGGTTATTTTAAGCAAGGACCTTCTCGGCGGCGGAGACTGAGGAGAGATTAGTATATTGATGAATTGGAAAAGGGGGGGAGGGAGAGTCGTACTGTCGAGGCCGGTGTTGTCGGGCTCTACGAAAGCCTCCTTGACCTTGCCGTTCTCGACCAGCAGGGCGTAACGCTTGCTACGGTGGTTGCCGAAGATGGAGGAGCTGTCGAAGGTGACATCGAGAGCCTCAGAGAACTTGCCGGTCGGGTCGCCCAGGAAGCGGATCTTGCAGTCTTCATTAGCATGCGACTAGACGAGCAAGTTGGGATATATAAAGTGAATACTTACACCGCTCTTGCCGGCGGGGTCGAGAGAGGCGGCCCACGCCTTCATGCTGTTTCTCGGATTAGCCAATTGAGTCTGCTCGCGGCAGAAATGCAGATCCATCGGCCACTTACACGAAAGGATCGTTGACGGAGACAACGAAGACCGGGCCGGCTTCCTTGAGTTTGGGGTGGTTGATATATCCGGGGACGTGGGAGCTGGAGCAAGCAGGGCCTGTCACGGAACATGTCAGAATTGCACCACGGAGGATCCTTCGGGAAATGATGAAGTGCGGTGCATACTGAAGGCTGCGGGGACGCCGACAATGACGCCCTTGCCCTTGAGCTCATTGGCAAGGTTGACCTTGTTGCCGGGAGAGTCCTCAACCAGGACATCAAGGTTGGGGATGGAGTCTCCCTTTTGGACGAAAGCTGGAGCAGTGTTGTGGAACAAGGCCCGCTGGGACAAGGCGCGGGGAACGCTAGCGGTGATACGGCGGGCAGCGAACATGATGGCGGAGATTGAAAGGCGGAATTGACTGTTGGACTGTCAGTTGTTGTTTTGGTTGCTGATGAAGATTGGAGGTTCAACATCGCCCGCCATCGGCAAGGTACCCGTGCATGCTGATTGGCCGCCGACGGGTGCGTAAATGCTGACTCAGCATTGCATCATAGCACGTTGCCAGGCAGCTTTGCCGAGATACCTGAGGCACCCTGTCGATGGATGCTAGGGCCCATCACTTCGACATAGTACACAGTGTGTATCCTGAACAAGACCCGCAGTGGTCTTCACTGAGGATATGAGAGATATCATGTCACGTGGAATCAGATCCAGCACGTGTGGTTTTGGGCTGGTAGAACAAGGTTTTATATATCATGTCACATTGAGCCAGACATCCCCAGTCATAGCGAACTACCTCAATAGGCTACACGGATGCAATAAGGAGTCGCTCATCAGCCACTGGTACGCCAAGTTTGAACAGACTTCGTATCGTCTACGCAGTATTAACTACCCCGTCTCTCATTTGTTATTGCAAGGACCGCACATCGAACACGATTGGAGTAGGAACTGTCTTTGTCTGAGTAAATTATGAACCACCAGTGCTGGCTTGTCACAGAAAGGGGTCTGTAGCGCGATGGAGTATTTAATAGGAGGAGGCTCAAGAGAGTGATATTCCAAAAACGCCACAATTCCCCACTTAGAGCACGCATACCAATACTGTGTAATATAGGCATAGAGGGCGAGCTGTAGATAGAGCCCCAATGCGCCAGACTGTTGTTTATTTGACAGGCGTGACTCCGCATCCTTCTTGGATTCGTAGCAAATAGGATGATTTCAAGATACCACGGAAGGTCGTTCTCGGTAACACAAAGTCAATAGTCTGCCCAAAGTTAACAATAACTAGCCTCGCCTCCGAATTATTAAGCTAAATATTGGGATTTTTCTCGGCAGTCTAGATCTGGGGTTGAGAATGTGACCTCATTCGGGAGATTGCATGTCGCCCCCCGGCAACAAGCAAGAGGCGATTTTGTTTGCTTCCTTCAACGCTGCCAGGACCTTTTAGGACAGTCATCTCCTACTTATACTATGCCAAGATGGCTAATCGCCTGCCAACCTATTAGGATTGCTAAGATTTTGGTTCTTGGAGCTTGTCTCAGACTTTTATCCGAAGGGGAGATTAGCTGACCCACAGCCATTTGAACCATGGAGAAAAATCTGCCCGACCTCCCCGTCAACTTAGCTTCATTTTCCTGGCTTGGAAGGTGTTCCTGGGTCAGAGAAAGTAGAAAAGGAGGCAACTGGAGGCTGAAATGTCAATCCAGATATGGCAAGGGTATCGACACTCGTTTTTCGGATCGTGGGTATGCTCCAGAAGAGACGGCAAATTTACCAATCGGGATGCCTATGAGCCCATCCACGGCTCCACCGGCGGACTTTACACTCCGGATGACTCGGTTAGGTCAACATAATTAATCAGGACAAGCTTACAATTGGACCACAGTTCCAAATTAGACCCTGTATTCTCACCAGGGTGCAGCTATCTATTAGCAAACCGGTCCGAACTAGCACGGACTAAGCACTGCTATCATGTCTCGCTTTCTAAGACTTTGGCGCCGGTGATCCGGCTTCTGCCTGACTGGTTCGTAGTCTTGCCATGCATTGCTTAGCCCGGGGCCATTGGTGCTGCATATCGTAGGTGACTGGCTGTCCTACTCTAACGGCCAATGTTACATCTGCATTATACGCTATTCGCCCTAGGTGGGAGCTATGGAAATTTGCACATCTCCCCAATACTACCGCTCGGGGTTTCCGCCCCATCCGATGTCATAAGTGGAGGCAACAATTTCCAACTTATAAGGCTTGCCCACCACCCCGCCCTTTTCCTCGTCTGCTGGAGAAGTTGTGCCAAAGCCTAGAGGAAGTGTGGGTTATATTGATTTCACGATGCTGGGCCCGTCTTTCCTACCCGTTGCTTTAACGGTCTTGTCGTGCGTGAACGCCCTCTCGCTTCACAGGCGTGATACTCCGGCCACCGTCGAGCTGCCTATCGAGCGTAAGCAACATGCAGGGGGCTTGCAGAAGAGAGATTCGACGCTGGATCTGCCACTCATAAACTACGTATGTCTCCGATCCCGCTCCGTGTTGCTAACCACCTGTGAAATATGACTAATGCAGTTGGATAGTATGATAGTTTCTATATCCTAAACCTGACGCTAGGAACGCCGGCGCAGCAGTTCGCGGTCGCTTTGGATACTGGCAGCAGTGACCTCTGGGTGAATGTCGCCAACTCGTCCTATTGTTCGTCCCAGACTAATCCATGCAAACCTTTTGGCTTGTATGATCCCGACGCATCCTCGACATACAAGAGCCTGGATGTTGATTTCAATGCAACCTACGGCGATGGCACAAACGCCTACGGTTACTACGCCACTGATAAACTCGGCCTGGGTGATGTGCATGTGGACGATATGCAATTTGGTGTTGCTGAATCAACTACGACCACACGTGGGTTCTCTCTTGTCATTTATAGAAATATCTCTTGCTAACCGTTGATTTTCACGTTCGTCAGAGGGTATCGTCGGTGTAGCTTATGACACTCTCACCAACGAAGCTTCACATGAAGGCAAAACATACGCCAATCTACCCCAAGCCCTGGTCAATAGTGGAGCCATTAAATCGCCCGCCTACAGCCTGTGGCTTAATGATCCCGCAGCGAGTCGGGGGTCGATTCTCTTCGGTGGCGTTAACAAGGCCAAGTACAAAGGCGAACTGCAGACTATTCCCATCGTGCGCACTCTTGGAGGATATTCCTATCTAGCTGTTACCTTGACGAACATTTCTGTGGAACACGGCAAGGAGTCCGATGATTACTCGACGTCGCTTCCGATAGTGTCGTTGCTCGACTCCGGTACCACCTTAACATATCTGCCTAACTCGCTCGTTGACTCGCTCTACAAGAAATTCAACGCTACCTTCCTCGAGGACGACGGACTGGCATATGTTGACTGCGACCTCATGGAAAAGGATTATACCGTGAATTTTGACTTCTCCGGTGCCACCATCGCCGTCGGAATCAGCGAACTGGTCCTGAATGTCGTTGGCAGGGACTTCCCCAAGGGAACCTGCACCTTCGGCGTGGTCCCCGGCGGAGACAGCCAGGACGCCATGTATATCCTGGGAGACACCTTCCTGCGCAGCGCATACGTCGTGTATGACCTCGGTAACAACGAGATCTCTCTGGCCAACACCAACTTCTCTCCCGAGGAAGACGACATTTTGGAGATCGGCACCGGCACCAGCGCCGTGCCCGGCGCCACCCCGGTCGAGTCCCCCGTCACTTCGGCTACCGTTGCATCCGGCACTGACATTGTGCATACCATCACGATCGGTGGTACGAAACCCACTGCTACGGGGTCGACCGATTCTGGCGCCGCTGAGACCACCTCCTCGAGCGGCATGGCAGCCTTGCCGACCAGCAACACGAGACATCTTCTCTCTGGCCTGGCGGGTGCTGGTCTTCTGCTTGCCTTGTAATGATTCTTCTGTTGTGACTGTACATCGAAGTATTGCCGACGTGGTGGATTGCATGATTAATAACTATGGAAGATGAGGATATTGCACTATATAATGTTAAACCGAACATCTCTGTACATATGCCCTGTTCATATACCAATTGACGAGATAAATTCCCCAATTCTCTAGTTCCATGTTATTCATTCTCGAAATACCAAAATATACTCGAGCTCCATAAACCCTCACTTGCGAATTATATCCCTAACCCCCGCCATGTATAGGACGCAAACCGCTGGAGATGATCCCAACATCACAATCATTCAAAGTTCACGTAAATCACCTATAATAATTACTCCCCCATTGCCATCTCACCCCCCCCTTTACCGAGGATCAAGAACCCATCGCCATCGTGCCCCTTAATTCCAACAACACCAATAAACAAAAAGAAAAAGAAAAAGTAAAGAAAAAGAAAGACTATTACGGCCATACTGGGGAACCAGCCCTAACCTACCTCCCTATAGCCCTTCCTCCCCATCCTCTCCCCGACAGCAACACACACCTGCGCCCCTATCAACATATTCGCTCTCACCACTTTGGAACTCCACACCCTTGACCAACCACACTACCCATTTAGAAGAACTCTTCAGCGGCTTGAAAGTAACCCCAAAGGGGATCTGGCAGAGTGAATCATAGGGCCGGGTGGCTGTTTTTGCGAGCAGTGTAGCGATCTTTAGAGATGAGATTATGTGTATGGGGATTGCGGGCGTATGCCCTTTTTTTTTATTTTTTTTTTTTGTTTTTTGAGGTTAATGGGGTGTATATTGGGGGAGCTGATCTAGTTGTGGAGCTTTTAGATAGTATATATACGGATGGGCTGCGGGGTTGATAACTAGGGAAGATGTATTCCGAATAAATTGAAGAAACTGAATCGCTGACCTTACGCATATTTCGACATAACAAGCCTTTTATCGCAAGATTGAGGGTTTCGAAGTGAGCTTCGTGCTTGTGTTTATTCCGTTCATCCCAGCAATATGCTAGACGTACAATCACCTCGCTTTACTTGATTCATACCTTTCTTCCTCTTCTCTTCAATCCTTGGCATGATGATTGGTTCCCGACGTATGCTAATAGCATGTCCGTCCATTTATCTCTCCCTACTGTAGACTCACTGCCAAAATGAGGTGTCAACATCAACATCGACAGGTAGAATGCCACTGGTAGAGTCACGACGGCGAGGCACACTCCACGAAAGGACCAATAGCCCCGTGAAGAACGTATTGGCCAGGTTATGAAACAAGTCAGAGATGACAGGGACATTAAGGATGACTGTAGTTAGCATAAAGATCAAACAGTATTGGTATGATAGGCTAGTGACAGCCACGGATCCATGGATGCCTACGGTCTTTCCACGGGAAAAGCTTCGAATATCGCCCCCAGGGCCCATTCGAGGTTATTGTGATAAATCACGTCTCACAAGCCCTCGGATAGGGTTGAGCATGGTCTGGACTCGCGGTGAGTGGTGACATATGCCCACACCAGCCCTACTATCGCAGACCGAAATAGAGGGGCAAAAAAATCGTTTCCAAGAACCGGAAAGGCTTTTGGGTGGGTAAAGTTCAGTACAAGTAAAGTTGAACGGTAAAAATAAACTTTCCTCTTCGAATCGTGATTCATGGTATCATGGTTTTGATGGATGGAAATACCCCGTTTTAGCTGTGACGCGACGGTTATGGTTGGTACACATGTTTTCCATGTTTTGAAAACGATAGGGAGCCCTGAAGACCATCCATATAATAAGTACGACTCCGTACACATTGCAAAAAATTAAGACAATACAATGAAATAGAGGATAGCGCTCCCAGTGATGTGTTCGTCATCCAATCTCCGTATTTGATCACAGTTCTTACCCGACTCCTCGTGTGCAGTTCATCGATTGGTGGCTGAGGATTCGAGTCGAGGCGTATACGTATGCCGGACCCACTGTTGATTAGCCCCGAATTTTCGGCTGTTCTTCTTTACGTTTAGTCGAGTTCTTTGTTAACCCAAGTGAATTCTCGACTCCTTCAATCGCGTCTTGGAGAAACTCCTGTGTGAGTCGCGAACGGAATCAATATGCGCCACACGTGTTGCCGATCGATCTGAGATTCCCGTCTGTCAGAGTAAACAAGGGAGGACTCAACCACAACTCAATTCGTCATTCGCACCCGCGAATAACTCCCGTGAGATCGGAATTTGTCTGCCTGGGCCGTGACAAGCTTTTGCTAATGTGTCGAATAGTCTGGACCGCTGAAGTGGTCACCCCCACCACGAACTATGCCGGCAGCAGAGCCACAGTGTCGCGCCAGAAAATACCACAACCAATCCCGACATGACTCGATGCAACAGCGCACTGGGGCATCGGTGACGTAGGTTTCTGATTCGCGGGAGACATGGCGAAAGCATGGATAACGACAGACGTTGACTGGTCGAGGCAGGTGACGACGCAAGGGGCGCCGTTGCGTAGGGGCGAATGGCATGTTCGTGCCTGAATGTAAGATTGTGGAGAACATCAACAATCAACGCGCGCGCTAGATGCCACTGGAAGCCACAATACGTGTCTGCAAGAGGTAGTCGCCCATTTTTAACCATCGAAGGACTTGCGAGCGTTTCAGATGCTGTTCGTTTGGCTGTCCGACTTGGGGCTATCCATTCGACACTACGGTTAGTCGCCCCGACGGTGTGATTCGAAACGCAGCGAAAAGCCTTGGCCCTCATCCCATCATGGATATTCGGTCTTGGTGCTGACGATTGATATTTCGGACTCCACTTAGTACGGAAAACTGGGAGTTGTTCCGTCGACCGGCAGTGTTATATACACCGCGCAACGCGCCCGCTGCTTGGCTGTTGAACGTTTAGCTTGGATAGTTTTTCGCTCCTTTTTAGCTGGTCTACTAACACTCCTTTTCTCGATATCATCCACCATGCAGTGGAAGTCATTCCTTTTGTTCGTTGCCATTGCCGACTCGGGCCTGGCTCGCCTCCATGGCCACCAGCGTCGGCACACACATCATCCCACTCATCCGGATTTGCAAGGCCCGAGGGCGGACCTGAAAGCCAGAGATTTGGAAGTTAAGACCGTTGTCGACCTGGATGTCGTCACCGTCACCACTACTATTACCGGCCAGCCCGTGGCCGAAGCCCCGGCCCCAGCCTCCAGTAGCACCACTACCGCGGCGGCAGCAGCAGCCGAAATCACCCCTGCTGATACCCACGAAGATGTGATAAGCATTGACCTCGGCGCCAGCATCGGCGTCTCCAGTACTACCCCTTCTCTTATCCCCAGTGCCGAGAGCATCGCACCAACCAGCACCCCAGCGGCCAGCACCACCGTCTCAGGAGGATCCACCAGCTGGACATCCACTCCCTCCAGTGGAGAGTTCTCCACCAGTGGGTTCGGAGCGCGCACCAACTCCAGTGGTAGCGGCATCGAGTACAGCGGCAACGTCGGCAGCCCCTGGGGCAGCAACATCATCGAAGTAAGCGCCAGTGCTGCATACCAATACCAGTATGTCGTCCAGTTTACCGGCAGCAACACCGACGACTGGACCGTCGTTTTCTGGAACAAGATCGGCCCCGATGGTAAGATGGACGGCTGGTACGGTCATTCAGCTCTGAACTTCACCTTGGGCGCCGGCGAAACGAAATATGTCGCCTTCGACGAGGACTCACAGGGAGGCTGGGGTGCGGCGAAGGGCTCTTCGCTCCCGACAGATGATTACGGCGGATACTCGTGCACCTGGGGAGAGTTCGACTTCGGAAGCACCATCAATGACGGCTGGTCTGGATGGGATGTCTCGGCTATTCAGGCGCAGGCGGCTGGACAGAGCGTCCAGGGAATGAAAATCTGTAACCACAACGGAGAAACCTGCTCCACGATCACTTCTGGGGCGTCAACGGTGACCAACGCGTATACCAAGGCGGAGGCCTCGGTGGACGGCATTGGTGGTTCGCTCAACACGGATGCGGTGCGCTTAGTGGCTGTTGTGGATTATAGCGCATGATTTGTAAATACGCATCGACCTGTGTATATATAGCTTGTCAACCGGAAGAGTGTATATATATGGATGGATAGATGTATCTGATCTCATTTGTTCTGCGCATGTCAATCGGGCTTTCCAGATCTCAAGTGTATCAACCCCAAGTGCACCCGGCTGCTCGGATTTTAGTAAACCTGCATATGCATAAAATAGACGATCATCCGGTGGATCTCCGAAGACAAACTTAGATCAGGTCTCCACCGGCATTGCTGGTTGTGTGGGATATGCTACCGCCGACTTGTTCGGAGATAACTCTCCTGATATAGTATATTCCAGTTGGGCGGTTGCCTTCTTTTCTCCTGTTGAGGTATGACTTAGGCACACTTTCCAAACTCAGCAAACAAAGCATACCCGAGATCTTTCTCCATGGCCCAATGGCTGTGGGTCAGCTCACATCCCTCTTCGAACAAAACCCCGAGACAAGCAAGCTCAAAGCACCGAAATCTTGGCAGTCTGAGGAAGCTGAGATGCACACAGTCTACCAGCTGCGTCGTGATGGGTCACGTCTCCAGCATCAAATGTCCCCTGTTCTAATACACGTGATACTGATTTTATTTAGTGAAGGCGTTAGCGACGAAGACCCCTCGCACGACACCTGGGGATCTCTCCGACCGCCAACCGTGTGATCAATCCGGTCTCGGGACCATTGAACGCCTTGATTCTATGAGAGAAGACTGTCTCACACGAGACAGACATCGATGTGTCGTTACTAGACAGTTTTCTCGGATGGGCGCAATGAGACGACTAAAGATAAACGGTTCTGCATGCACGGATGACGACAGCCAATCCTTACACGCAGAGCGACAAAGGACACAAAACTTAGAAGTGGCACATATCTTTCCACACTCAATGGCACTGAGCAAAGAACACGAGCTGGTATGTGCAATATTTGGCGATAGGTATTGCATTAGCGAATCGAACTTACGAGTTCATGTTCTCAGAACATTATGGACATACTCTTGTAGATATAGAGTTACCCTGGTCAACTTTGCTATACGACAGCATTTCTTCTCGCTTCAATTTGGCAGGTAATATTTCCGTTCGATAGAACACTTCAAAGCCTATCAATATTGCCGAAACCCGATCGATATCAGGAATACGTGCCCTAGTTTTGAAACAATCCCACTCCTTCTGATAAACAGACCGTCCATGACTCTTTGTGTGCAAGCCAATTACACTTGTCTGAATTTTGCTGAGAAGGTTTGATGTCCATGAGTTCAAGTAAGTCCACCCGCCAAAGCAGCAAGAGAAAGCTGGATGGCACGGATTACGATCAGGAGAAACGGTATGTTTCTACCACCGTCATGGCTCTGTTCAATCACTCAATAGATATTTTGAAGAAACTCCGGAATCGCCTGGCCCAGCGGACATTCCGTCGTCGACAAGCAGAGTATCTGAGGACTCTCCGGGACCGTGCCGACTCAGGAGATCGGCCGCAGGATGAGATTATCCATGCGCTACGGGAGGAAAACGCATGTCTGTGAAGACAGCTTATTGATGTCCAGTCGAAGCTATCTAGAGTCATCACGACGGTGCAAGCTCTCGGCTCCGTGTCGTCTGTATTTGATACACCATCTCAGGCTGCATTTACGGACAAGGTGGACACGACTGACTCTGCTTCTTCAGAACAAGAAACTCTTAGGGACATAGATGTGGCTATGGCAGCCGACAGTTATTCTGCATGGGGCACATCAAGTTCCCGTGCGACTCACACTGTCGCGATACAAGATTCATCAGGTCTAGATGATCCTGTAGACGTTATGCCTCGGCCTCTCTATGAAGCTCTAGCGGGGTGTGATAGCTCATTGCCAGAGTTCAATCATGCTATCCTTTCCCTGGCAAATCTTCCGCCATATGCAAACAGCTTGAGCCAACAACTGCCGAATATCTGGTCTTTCGAGTATCAAATGGGCCTGTAACCATACGCGAGTGCTTTATCATGCAGCCAGCAATTTAGTATCACGCTGGGCAAGGATTAGCCCGAATCCAATTCTCCATTCTCGGATCACATTCAAGTACTTCAGCAATTGCTGAAGAGTAAGTTGGATCTCATTAGGCTGTTATTCGAGCCTTCTCCACAGCCGTGGGTTGTCTTAGGAAGCACTCCTTCTTGGCCATAGTGCCGATCGTACTGGTGCATCTTCTACCAACAGGTCCTCATGGTGCTCTCCCTGTTCAACAGTATAACCCAGCCGGACGTGATGGAGTAGTATGCGAAGATGCGCTTCTACCACATTGTCGACTTGACAAAATGGCAGATCCATCCCTGCACAGGGACGTTAATAAAGGTACACGAGCAATACAGACCTACGGAAGTGCACTTGCAACAACAATACCCTCGGGTCATTGACTGGATACCATTCCCCTCGATCCAAAACCGACTCATTCGCCTGCACGCAGCGAACCCTCAGATTGACCAAATATGCTGCGACACCGTCAGCAGCTATGTCATCGAGGCGAACATGGCGGATTTCATCATGGGCGCTCCCGCTGTAACGGCCTACATCCAAGTGATCGATGTGATCGCTAATATCCCTTCCATGACACAGGGAACTGAGCCTCAGCCCTCTGCCGTGCTTCCTGCTCCGGATGCTGCTGCTCTTTTCTTGTCCCCAGAGTATGCTCGGGCTGTCTTCCAGAAGCTGAATATCGATCGCGGAATATCACACTACAAGATGGATCCTGCTTTCTTTGGCACGTATCCAGAGCTCTACGACCCAAACGTTGATATTGCAGCAAAGGGTATTCCGCTTAGACCGGACGTACAGCTGCGCCTGACGTATCCCAAGCCTCTCGACTCTTTGACGTTTCGAACCTGCCGCAGCTTCATGGGCTTTTCTTTCTATGCACCGTTGAGTGTGGTGCAGGTTTTCAGATGACTGTACTCGTGCTTAGAACGAAGTTCCAGAGCAGGGAAGGATAACTTTCGATCTACTGGAGGACAATACTTGAGTATATCTATCACACAACGCATATCATGTTCCTGTTGATAAAGACGACTCAAGACATGAGCCTTGTATCCCGTATCAAACTGGTCCGATTGCCGGACATAACAATGAATTGGAAGCTCAACAAGCAAAAGCTGAACTTACCACAATACAAGCCAACCTCGTTCGGCCAGAGCATCTATCTACACCAATCTTCCGAACTCAGAAAAAACACCCCGTCGATCTTATCCGATGCAACCTCTGCTCCATCATACTCATAAACGAGCTCCTCCACATCCCTCTCCAAATCCCCCCCAAGATGGCCCCGTACCATTGGCCAACAGCATCCACCAATGTTTCCGAATATCAATTATACACAGCCGGATTCTAGTTGCATAGAAAGAAGACGCGATATCACGCATACGGGAATTTCTGTCAACAGAAATCCCGATCCTGTCGACGGCGGCATATGCCCGTAGCTCCTCGAGCAGCCGTTCGATCCTTTCCGTACTGTATTCGAGCAAGGGTTTGATTTCGTCGGGTGATGTGAGGTTGTTGACTTTATTTTTGGTCCGCACTAGGAATGACCCCTACCTCGACTAGTGCGCATAATTCACCTTCGATAAAGTCTGCTTTGGTTTTCTTTTTTTTGGTTGTTTGGTGGCTTCGTAGCAGGTGGATGATATCTCTGAGAATATTTGTTATGTGGCCAGTGTTTGTGTCCATCTCTGAGAATTGTGTTCTGGTTGTTGCTGTGGGATTGTCCATACATGGTGTAATGATGATTATGTACATTGGAGATAGGGTATATATAGACATTGCTTGTTATTTGTTGTTGGAGCATACCGTATACACCAATGATGAAAAATGTACGAAGTTGTGTTGGCTAGCAGGATAGTGTTGTTGGTGAAACATTACCAGGCATCTACCGTGAATATCCTGGCGTATTTGTGACGGCCTGAATGACACCAATGACCTCACCTGCTGAATCTGAACTAGAGTGGATGTTATTGCATCATAATCACTATACAAAGTGTCTGATATCCAAGCTTGAACCATCATAAAGTAGCCGCTGTATAGATCCTATCAAGAAAACCAGGCTTGCCCATAGCCATCCCGGATAGGCCTAGCGCCAGAGCTCCTTGTCCAGTATAAAATAAATCCATCCACACCCTAATCGTCCAAGCCCTAGATCATAATCCAAGCCGTTCCCTTGTGGAACCATACTCTAGTTCATTAGACTGTACTCCCTCCACGTAGACCAAAATGCATCATTCACTAGTTTTCTGCGGAAACCGTACGACTTTCTGTTCCCGGATTCGGTCCGAAGTAAAGAAACCGTCTAGACAAGAGAAAGATACTATAGAATAAAGATACATGATTTCCATGCCTCAATGGAACCCACCTCTAAGAGCAACCGCTCGCTGATCTGCCATTACTCTCAAATTCCGTACTGAATCTATAGTCAACATACCCCTCACTCGACATCGGCCGGTAAAACGTATCCCGATGATAGGAGTTCAACTCGAGACCTTTCCAGATTCTAAACGGTAGATCTGGATTCGAGATATAATGCCGACCAAAGGCAATCATGACGTTTCTGGCCTCGAACTCGTCGTCCACGACGGCTTTCGCGGAAGCGGGTGTGAATCCACCCGCAAGTATCACAGGGCTTGAGTTCTCCCAGGCTTCGACAAAGACGTTGTTCTTATCATTATCCTCACTGTCGACGTTACCGCAAACGCGAGCTTCGATAAGATGGAGATACGCCAGGTCGAGTTCCTTCAATCCTCGGATCACATGTAGGAACTGCGGAACGGGGTTGGCCATCCTCATGCCCTGGTATCTTTGCCACGGCGACAATCGCACTCCAACTCTTTCCGAACCAACAGCATCTGTCACAGCACTGACGACTTCGAGGATAAATCGAGACCGGTTCTCGATGCTGCCGCCATATTCATCCTCACGCTTGTTGCAGTTGTCTTGCGTAAATTGGTCGATCAGATAGCCACCCGCGCCGTGGATTTCCACCCCATCGAAGCCCGCGTCCATCGCGTTCCTGGCAGCCTGCACGTAGTCGCTGATGAAACCTTGGATTTCCTCTTTACTCAACGCCCTCGGTACCGGGGATCCCGAATCAGGGGTCGGGCTGGAACTGACGATGTCGAACCCTTCAGCCTTTGCAACGTCAGGGACAGCGACACGGCCCAGGGCCCAGAGCTGCAGGAAAATAGCACTCCCCTTCTGGTGAACAGCATCGGTGACCTTTCTCCATGCAGCCATTTGGTCTGAGTTCCAGATTCCAGGGACGTTGGGATAGCCACCAGCACGCTTGGAGATGAATGTGGCTTCGCTTATCATCAGTGTGCCCGGCACAGACGCCCGCTGGGCATAGTAGTCCGCAACGATGGGGAGTGGGATATGGTCAGCGTCGGCTCTGAATCTGGTCAAAGGAGCCATGACCATACGGTGCTTCAGCTGAACGGTCCCCACCTCCAGCGGCTCAAATAAGCGACTCTCAGACATCGTTGTAAGCGGATCAAGGGTAAAGGGAGGGCAGTAAACCAAGTCTCTCGGTGTGATAATAATAGTGGATCATGATGAGGGCCGAATGGAGAGGAATTGGCTATTTATGTTTTAAGGCCCCATGCCCTTGACCACCGGATCAGTTTTGCAGACCAGTTTGTCAGCGAAGCTTGATTACAATAACTCCATCAGATCCTCAAATATATCTCAATTTGGCCCTCATGTGGGTCGTTGAGTTGCTGTTTTGCTAGGAATTTATTAGATGCCATGAGCGGAAATTATATTCCGCCCTGGGCAGGGACATTCTCCCAACGCCACCTTGGGCAATCAGCACTCCATATTTGCTAGGATTTAACCTTAAAAAGTGGCGCATTTTCTGGAACATTCATTACTTTATTCTGAAGCTGTGCTGATTAATGCTGATTAATTCTTAAGTCTGGTTGCTAGTGACCGAGGGACTTCCTGGGAGCGCCCTGTGGTGATGTCAATCTAAAGGAGCATGAGCTAAAAACAATCGTCGCAGAGGATGATGGGAGGTTATATAAGGGGGTATCCAAGGAGCCATGGAAAATCCCATACCCATCCTTTCTTTCAACATTCCTCCAGTTGAGGCATTTCATCATGGCCTCTGTCAAAGTCGCAATAGTGGGCGCGAGCGGTGAAACAGGGCAGTCCATTGTGGAAGGGTTGCTTAGTTCGTCCAGCCCTAAGTTTGTAAGTAGTGAAAATATATGCATGATCCGACTTGAGTGACTCTAATCAAGGCACATTATAACAATAGGAGATTACCGCACTCACACGGCCCGAGTCGATTGACAAACCAGTCAATGCCAATCTGAAAAGCAGGGGGATTACTGTCGTTCCTGTGAACTTGAGCGGGCCACCGGAGCAGCTCGTGCAAGCTCTCGCTGGCATCGATGTGGTCATCTCCGCTATATACTTTGGGAGCCTTGCGGAAGAGATCCCGCTGGCCAATGCGGCCAAGGCTGCAGGCGTGAAGCGGTTTGTCCAGTCCGCTTTTATGATTGTGGTACCTCCGAGAGGGGTTGTGGACTTTCGGGAGAAGGTAGAACCCGCGTAGAAAGAGTATGATTACACAAGTCGCGTCGTCTTACTGACGTTCATCCATCACAGAAAGAAGAGAACCTGAACCATATCCAGAAAATTCGCCTCCCTTACACGTACCTCGACGTGGGCTGGTGGTTCCAGATAACGCTTCCCCGTCTGCCTTCGGGCCGCATTGACTATATTCTCCCATCGACCCAGCCCGATCTACCCATTGGGCTGGATGGAAACGTGCCGAGTGCTCTGGCCGATATCAGGGATGTGGGACGCTATGTCGCTCGGGTAATTGCAGACCCACGCACTTTGAATAAGAAAGTGCACGTCTATAATGAGATTTACACGAGGAACCAAGTGTATGACTTGCTGGAGAAGCTGAGCGGAGAAAAGCTTGAACGCAGATATGTCTGTCTCTCTATTTATTTCTTCCTCTACTTCTCTCTTTCGAAACTATTAATTTAAATGGGAGGTGCTGACTTGATGTTTTACCTCTCAGATGTCCGAGAGAGATGCGGATGCACGCATTCAGGAGGCTCGCAGTGCACTCAAGAAGGAACCAACCGATCCCAGTGCATTAGCCGCACTCATAACGTCCCAGCTATTCTTTTCTTGGGGTATTCGTGGGGACAATACCCCCGAGTATGCTGAGTACCTCGGGTATCTCAACGGCAAGGATTTATATCCAGACTTTAAGTTTACCAAACTGGAGGAATATGTCAAAGAGGTCCTGGAAGGAAAGGCAAAGGGCGTTTACCAGAGTTTCTCTAAATAAGAGACCTCTTCCACTTAATCCCACATCGACCACCGTGATGAGCATGCTCGTCTCCAGTGGACAGTTGGTCGCCCCGAAGCCCTAAATCCTGGCTAGCCTAGAGAGTTTCACGTTAGTGCGGCGAGCGCCGTTCGAAGTAATGGACTTACGGATTCAGCGCCGACGTTCAACCATTCTACTTATGTCAACTAACACACGTATTCTGCTCAAACCCTATCCATTAATTGGTGTTCGCCGATCGACTCAACCTTACTCCACAAGCTGTTTCCCGCTCAGACGAACGATTCCCTGAGGGGAACCACACTATAGTCCACTTGACAATACTCCCTTCACCCCGACCAAAATCCTTTATCCACTAGTACTACTACCCTACAATTCATTCAATCTAGCAAGATGCAAGATGACGTAGCGCTCCCGCCTTGCCAAGACACGTCTGGTATATTAAATAAGAGGGGCAAATTGCGGGGCTGGCTTAGAATCATTGATCATTGATCATTGATCATTCATACATAACACCACTCTATTATACATACAACACATTATCCAGATCCATCTATCTTTCATAGCAATGGCTCCTTCAGAGTACACTATCAGACTGCAGAAGGGTGAGTCATTGTCCCATCCTCAAAACTGCTCGCTGTAATCTGACAAACTTCGAACGAAGGTATCCAAGGAGGTTTCGCACCCCCCACTCCATCTGCGATTCTGACCTTGGTCAAAAGCGCCGAGAGCTCGAATATTATCGTCAGCCAAGCTACCCGGCCAGATGGTCAGCCGGGGATTCAACAGCAACCTGAGAAAGCCCTCGACGCGTCAGATGGAGATGTAGAGAGTCTTGTAACTGAGCTTTATGGGATTCTGAAAGACTTGCCAATGGAGGATCCGGCGGGGTCGGAGGATATCTATCAACTGGACACTTCTATTACCTGGGGCAGTGATGATCTCGAATGGTATAATGGTGGGCCGCAAGGGTGTGGGGGAGACCAGAGCGATATCCAACCTTCTAAGGCGCAGCAGGCTAAGTTCAGGAGGGCTGTTGATGTTGTGTGGGAGTTGGTGGGTATGGGGAACGCCTAAGTGAATGTCAAGGGATGTTCTCCAGGGGTGCAGTTTGTCGACGTTATCGTGATTGTTGTTTTTTGTCGGTGGGTGCTGCATGATTGCTTGTTTCACCAAGGCTGCTAGGATCAGATGTCCCTGGCTTAAAATGAGTCTTGGATATTCTTTCATGCTGCATAAATTGTACTTGGAATTTGAGGAACATTATTGCCTCCGAAACTGTCATAGCACGGGTTTATGGATAAAGTAGAGTAGACTGTTTGTGGGTTGGACAGTATGGGTTGACGATGTGAATTAAAGGCGATTGCGACGGTTGATGTTTGTGATGGAGGCTTGTCAGTATATACAAATTACATGAGAATGACGATGGTTGCCAGGGGAAAATGATAAAAAGAATACTATTTTTGTACCATGACTTTAATCTCCGTGACTGATACTCTGAATCATAGCATGGTCAATATAATCAATTCTCTATACCGTCATTACAGCCACACTTTGACTCCTTTATACACTAGCCATAAACGGGCGCAGATGTTTGACAAACGCCGAAGTAAAAACTCACCGAGGAATCTAGACACCGATAAACTATAAGCAAAATGCACAGGCATGGCCCTGACGAAGCCTGACTAAACAACAGTCTAATGACTAACCCTGTGTTCAAGCAGTTGAATATAAGATATGATCCGTGCTCGGTACTAGGTAGTAGTATAGCCGAGCAGGATTAAGCTTAACATTAACTTTTGGCCAACCGGATTTATTCCGAGGGACTTGGAGATAGAAAGTAAAATGGACATTAATGACATATGCGATATTCTGCTAATAAGAAATGATGCTATCGATCATGCCATAGGTGTTCTGCCGGTAAAAGGGTGGGTACTTTGGGTATTAATTTGCTGAACATACACTCCTTGCATATTGTTTGTGGCTATAATGATTATTGTGATAAGATAGAATAACGGATAATCCGCTGGTTTCGTTCAATTTGTGGTTTGTTTCGTTTTATTTGCAGCTGGGATAGCGGAGTCGAAGTGTATACGGAATATATATAGAAATTGCAATCATGCACCATCAGAGAAATATTCTCATTGCTAGCTCTACCTTGGTATATTGAGCAAGAGCTCGGATATCTTCAAATCCCACTTTCCATCCATGAATTCATTTTCCTCCACAAGAAATAATCACAACTTTTTGATCCATATTAAAACGTACTATGATGGGTCAAAACCAGCTAAACCCATATGCAAACCCAAAAATCAAGACGCCACAGATGCAATTAGAGCCCAATAAACTTCATCAAGAGCCAATAGCTCAGTTAGCATCATTGGTCTAGTGGTAGAATTCATCGTTGCCATCGATGAGGCCCGTGTTCGATTCACGGATGATGCATTCTTTTTTCTGATTCGTAGATTTTTAATCACTGCGCGATGATGATGACTGTTCCCGACGGAATCTATAGGCGGTGGCCGGCCGCATTTCGTTCCTCGTCCCAGATCGCGTACCCCCATTGCCATCCGGCGGCGTTTCCGATCGTCCGCTCGATCCACGGTTCCTGGAAGTTGTCGCTGCGGACCACTTCCCGGACGCGGTGGATGGGCCCGTAGCCGTGCCAGTGGTGCTTCCAGCCACCGTTGGGTTGCTCGATGGCCGGCATCAGCGGGAGGGTTCGGCCGATGTCTTCACTTTCGTACTTGTCGGCTGGGTAGAGGAGGGACGGAGGGTCCCGGGAGACCTCGACTAGGATCATGAAGGAGGATTTGGAGGAGACGGCGTTATAGGCAACGAGGTTGCGGCGTGCCTCGTAGGATGGTTGACGGAGGACTTTGTAGAGGAAGGATGGACCCAGGGAGACCAGGTGGTTGCGGTAATCGTTGTAGTCGTTACCGTCGCTTCCTGTTCGCCTTCATTAGTTTCTGACGTCTTGGATCTAGCCTGTAGCAGGTAGGGAAGAGAGGGCTTACCATCGCCGTCCACGCTGGGGAACAGTTCCATGCCGTCGACCGTGGGTCGGAGAGATTGCCATTCGTGACTGTTCCGTGGGAACTCCTGGGCGATCTCGGAGAAGATCTCCGTATACTGCTGTTGGAGGAAGACCCAGAGACAGCCGAATTCTTCGACCTCCCAGGGGGGCATGGTGCCGAAGATCATACCCCACATTTCATGGAGGTTAAAGTTGCGGTACCAGCTGGAGGATCGGCGCTTGAAGAAGCGGGATTGTGAGGGAGAGGATAACTCGGTGGTCTGTTGGTGTTCTTCGCTCCATTCTCGGGCACCGAAGATGTTGCAGTAGGTTTGGAGACGGCAGAGGGCGCGGAGAATGCGGGCTTTTTCCGTATTCGAGGGATTGATGGGACGGTTCTGTTCCCAGGTTTCTTGGGACACGCCGGGTGGGCAAGCGGCCTGGGAGCAGTAGACGTTGAGGAGGTGTTCGAGTTGGCGGTAGAGGTGGGAGAGCCGTAAGCATTCCTCCATGTCCGTGGGGGCGTTTTCGGAAAGCGCGAGCTCGCCTTGACGACGGCGACGGTCGAGGAGAGTGACGATCTGATCCCGGTTGGCCGGTACGTCGGCATGGAGACCTTGGGAGCGAATGGCGGCCATTGGCTCGGCCAGGTCTACGAGACCATACTGTCTTTGGAGGATATCATGCAGGAGTCTCTTCTTGGAGAGGGCATATGTGCTGTAGTAGATTGGGGAGGCGTGAACAAGAGACTTGAGGGATTGGACATCGGGGAGCTGTTGGATCACAAGGATGCGAAGCTCTGTTGGGAGGGATTCAAGCGCCATGACTGCCGGCAGCACATTGGCCAGTGATTAGATCGATCTGATAACGAAGACGAAAGTATGATGACACGATTTTGTAAGCTGGAGGGGTTGCCGAAGTGGCTGTGGTCGGGGGGTTATATATGTGACCAGGAATTGGGTTCCAGGTTCATGGCGGCCGTCTTCATTGCTGACCGAAGATTCATTGGAACGACGTGATCCTCAACAATGGAAACGTGAGGCAAAATGGAAGCTTGACAACGTCAGTGGATCCGCTGCTCTGGACCAGTCACGGCGATGCGCCTCTCGGCATTTACCTAATGGAAATGCGGGGGAGAAAAAATGCGGAGGACCTGAGCTGCTCTTCTCCTCCCTGTCGATCTCCCTTTTTTTTCAAAATTGGGGAAATTCATTTAATTGCGAATTTTTTTTTTAATAAAAAAAAAATCTCTCATACAAGGGGAATATCCCTCTCTCCTGATCGATTTTCAGGCACCGAATTCTATTCCCTTCCTTCCGTCCCTTCCTTTCTACAATTGCCCCTCGACCTACTTGAGTAGAATTAATGAATCGAGTAATTTAATGCTCCAGCAGATCCATTCACGACAGCCACGCAATTTTTTGCGTGATGATATTTATAGACGCTCCATACCAATGGCCGTGACGTGATCGCAACGTGATTTCATCCCAAGAAATCTCTTCATTTCCATTACCTAAAATTATGGACGCCGGGCCGGTCTAGAATGGGTTTCATGGGTCAGCAGCCTATCCCTTTCTCTTTTCAGTCCATCACGCGGTGAGGGATAAAATCTCTCACTGGAAACGCTTTCCTTTTAGAAGTCATAGCTCCTTCTGTTGGTCGTTCGGTTTATCCGACGACCTTCCACCGTTGTTCCACGCTGGAAAGCGTCGGCTACCAGAGGCGATTTCGTGTTCGTTTTGAAAACGCCGTCGCTGGGGCCCGATGACGTCAGAGAAGCCGCATCATGCCGGTCGACGTACCCTAGCCCTAACCCGGTCCGGTCATGTGAATCCGGTGAGCCTGGTTCCCCTGGTTGCCATCCCCTAGCCTGTTTGGGACTGGCGGTGCTCCTTCCGTATGGGGTACTGGCCGGGGTCACGGTACCTGAGTCACGGGGGAAGAGTTTTCGAACTATAGAATTTTCATCGTGACTCAAATCAATGCCTCCTATCCACACTCTCCACAGTGGATGTGGAGTGGAGATGGTATACCACTACGCAGCACCAATTCATCTGAATGAAAACTTTAATGCTGGAGTCACGTCCAGAATTGAATTCTCTGTTTTTCGACCAGACTATTCCCCAGGCTAGGAGAAAAAAAAGAGAACCAAACTTAATCCAAAGTGCGTCTGTAGTAATACTAATGGTAGCCTCTGCACAGGAGCCAGTTGTCTTTAACATCATTCATGTTTGTCTTTTGTATGATCTATGTTACATAATGTCCCGCAATTCGTAGCTATTACGGCTCCCAGTGATCGAGAATACTCGGTTGACAAAAGAGATTGCTCAAGTCTCTTGGACAAGACAACTGCTACTCGCGCAGCCTATGACGCATATGCGGCGAAGTACCTTGGAGGCGGTGTGATTCCTGTCGCCATACAAGGCGTGTGCGGCTATACTGTCTATGCTGGACCCAGTGGTGAATTTGTGACGCAGTTTCGTCTGAGGCCTCTTGAACGGAAGATGGAGACTGCAAATCTCGCTCGAACCAGATATGGCCACCTTGCCCCCCAAATCGCTTTTAAGGGGCATATTGGGGATGATATGCCGGGTAAAGAACCAGTCTACTACATCTATGTTATAGACCGAATACGTAGTATTAGTTACTTGGATTTCATCCTCGCCTATATAAGTCGTATACCTGAAAATTCCGTTACATTTTCTTCCTAGCGAAGGACTCTTACAATTGATATCGCGAGGTACGCCTGATACTTTATGTCACACCCGCATCAAATATTAACTATACAACCTGTCAGTTTTTTTTTTGCTCTGTCGTGGAATGCCCCACAGACTGTTATTCAACCCTACCGCGATAGACTCCGCCATCACTATGAAAAAGAACTTGGGTTATTGCTTACCTCTCTACCCCCCCGTTTCTACTGGTTTGTCCAATAATCTCTTGACTTTCTTCCGGCTATTTTTTTTTGGCTTCCAATGGTTCTCCTTCACAAAGACCTTGGTGTCTGCAATGTCATGGTAGACGAAACGTCTTGCAATCGAACTGGAGTGACCGATTGGGCTGAGGCTGAGATTGTGCCATTTGGCCTCAGCCTTCATTCTCACCAACGATTCATGAGTAAGTTCTACCTCAAGAGTGGTTGGATCAGATACAATAACTACGTCAGCTTGGAGGAAATTTTTTGGACCACATTCGCAGGGAGGCTGGAGAGTTGGACGATGAAACGATTAGGGTCATCAAATTAGCAAGGGTTATGGGACTCTTGTTATCCCGTGGCTTCACAAGTCGCCTTGCGACTGAACCGGTGCCAGCACCCATCCAAGATGATGAACATGGAGCGTACACCATGCGGGTTTTGGATGGGCTATTGATTAACCCGGTTACGAGGTTTACGCAATTGACGTAACTAGACTAGCGGAGAGAAATATGTATGGGAGTGGAGTGAATGACGGGAACTGACTACCCTTGTAATGGGCATTTAGACATGGGGTACCGGATCAGATTAACATGGAGAGCAGACTTTACTATTCGTTTTTGCCTTAGAATGTCTTGCACGACAGATTATTGGGCGGATGAAGCTTTCAGCGCACTTCCAAATTAAAGCCAACAGTCACTGGTACCGGGAAGGAGCTGGTTTCTAGTCTCTGCCGCCATGAGCTTACAAGGGAATGCATTGGTGCTCCTGGAAGATGCTTTGAAGGATGGATAGCCTGTGGGCGTCCAACCCCGGGCTCACTTGGAATTAGTGCGGATAAAAATACCTTATCACCCGTGGCTCTAAGCCTAATTATGCACTTCGTGAGAACTCCGTCGATTCTGCGGTCTTATTTTGTGGCGCAGCTTGCCTACAGCACGGCTGTGGCACTTCGCTTGCCTCGAACTGAGAAAAGAACCAGTCGTTTCGGATATCTGTCCTATTTGGAGGCCCTTCCAGCCCAAGTTGATCGCCACAGCGGTGTGACCGTTTGTTGTTATGGACCCTCCACTAATGCTCCTTTATGCATCACAATCTATCAGACAGCAAGTGGCGAGGTGTAATTCTCCACTGTCACTGGTTCAGCCTGAAGGATAAGTAGTAGTAATAAGAGCTCGCTCGCAGTTAATATTGTTGGCTTGCAGTGGTATGCAGCTTCTCCTTCCCATCCACAAAGAATGCCTTTCCTGAACCCTAGCATGCCAAAGGTATGCTAAGCCGATCTTGATTTAGAGCGTTCTGGAGTGTGTTTTCAGATGGAAGCATAATCGTGAGTGGTGTATTTTCCCAGTGACTCGTTCTCTATACATCCCCCTGGCCACATCATGTCACGTGGTTTACACTGCCATTCTGCTAAGCAAGGTTAAACCAAGTCTGTAGGTAGATTGTCAGCGAGATATATATTCTGGATCACCTGAATCACTAGATTTGCTACTAAACGTCGTTGACTACTATCAAGCCCTTTCTATAACAGTCAGTGTGTGGGCTCCACCTGCATTTTCCTGTCTCGAGAGGTAGCAGTACCCCAATATACTGGGTTGACTTTATTCAGCAGCATACCTTAGCTCCGGCGGTATTCCAAAAGAAATGCGAACTAACTACCATCTTTTAGTTGAGCGTGGGTCCATTTCTGACGGCTCGTATCAGATAGAGACCCCTCTAGATAGCATCTCGCTGACTCCAGGGATTTAATCCTCCGCTGAAACCTCCATTGATGTGCAGACTGAAATTGCAAGAAGACTGTGGAATAGAGTTAATCGGGGAATCCGAAAAACCTCCGCCGCGAACCTGAGCCGGAGCAGGCTCAGGGTAGAGTCGGTAATCCGCGGGTTGGATGCGGGTCAAGAGGGTCCTCATATAGGGTCCTTGGTGGGGACGGGACCCCGCGGGCCAAACTGAGGGTAGGACTGCCTTGATCGCATTAGATGATCTTTAAATTCCCTCCGCATGCGGGTGGATAGTACAGATGAGATATAAACCCGGCATGACTATTGACCACATTGTATGGGGACCATGATAGTAATAGTTTGAGAGTAATAAAGAACCAGAGTGCTGGACCTGATTGAGTTTCTTTCGAAGGCGTTAGGGCTTTGGATAGCCTGTGATCATCATACGAACTTCGAGGCTAAAATAGTGATCAACAAGGATATAAATAAGTATATATAAGTGGTGGAAGAGTTTCCGTTGATAACCTGCTACATAGCCTTGAGTTTTGGAACCGAAATTCGCTTATCGAATACCGCAGTTCACGTTACAAGGCGAAGTAAATCTCATCGGCGTAGTTTTGGCCGCAAACAATTAGCATGATTGTGATCCACTCAAGGAAGTCCCAATTACTCTGAACACTGGTGCCCATGTAAAAAAATCAAGTAATTGTCCACAGAACCGTACCAATAGTGGGCATATTAGATAGAGTGTGGCTTAATGTATGGTTGAATATGCAGCATGGGCCAATGGCGGGTAGTCACAGCTGAGGCTGGGGTCATATCATCGCCTCCTTGGCTCGGGGTCAGCGAGAGAAAGATATCCTTTCCCAAGCAGCTTTAAATGATCAGCTCATGGCCATTACCTTTACTCGCCACGTATTGCCCGTTTTTTTATTTCGCGTATGAAGATGAGCTGCTGACGCCGGCTTGACCAATTTTAGAGTCGCCGTAACCCCCAAAATGACTGCTAGTATGTTGGTCAAATGGTACATAGTTGCTGTAGGCCTGCGTCCTTCTCTGTCTATAAACAATCCTACCAGAGTTCGCCTTCGACCAGATGACCTTTTCCAACTTTCCCGGCTAGTTGTAGCTGCATCAACGGTTAACCATATGGCAGAAATAGATGATGTGGAACTGTCGCTTAATTTGAAATTCGTCGCACTCCTCTATGTGCCTCTTGTATAATAGTCAGAACTACATAGCAGGACACGTAAGGGGTAATCATTGCAAATGTTATATATGCGGCATATCAGCTATGCCTACTCTCTAGCTGGGCAATAAAAGAACCAGGGCGACTGTATAGGCGCCGTGAAAAGGTCCTTTTACCGCATCACTCCACCAGCGGTACTGACATGTAAGAGAAAAAGGTTAATAATATTCGCTCTGGCCGAAATATAAATTATGATAGACAGACCGCTCGAAGTACTGCTTTGATGAAAGGGGTTTTCTGTTTTGCCATTAGTTATTGTACACAATTATTACTATCTCCGCTCATACCTTGACCCCTTGAAGGACTCCTTGCGTAATGTATGCTATCTACTTAATTTTTTTTAAACCAACTCCAAAGCCCCTAGGGGAAATCGATGAAAATCACCCGTCGGATTCACTACGGGTAGGCTACCAAACAGGTCCGTGGCTGTTCTCTGGAACAATCTATTTATCTTCTGGGGAGTGTTGATGGTACTGATTGATGAAATATCGACCATGAATACCTCATCTATAAGTATAATAGTTTTCTGAGGCCACAGTCTGCGTATTCTCGCTCCCATGGCTAGTTGTCGGGAACGGTTTAGAGACATTCTAAGCCTTTTACCTAGTTAGTACGTGAGGGTGACTTTTATACTTGAGGTTGATGAAGTTCAGACCTGCAAAAATTATTTATCTCTTCCTGCAGCTCGTTAAAGGATATTTCCTGAGGGAAATTGGCGGTTATTGGGGAATCTATGGCCCTGATGGCTGAGTGTAAGGCACCTAATCTAGGGGCCAGGCGATACAAAGCCTTTACCTTTCGCGGGCCCTAGAACCTACCAAGTAGCGCACTGGGTAGCCCAAGTTCACCACATGATTTCTTCATCGTGTACCTTATAAATCACTAGTAGATTACTGGGTAATACGGAATCCTACATGTACGATAACAGCAATATCTGCCTTGTGCATGACAGGTCAGAGCGTTAAAAATCAACACATCAGCTTTTCAGCGTGCCACGTCTCCTATTTGATTCTCTTATGACTCATGCTAGACCGACTAATTGAACTAACCCACTTGGAGCCGGCAGAATTGGCATATGGTGCCGAGTAGCTCCATCCCCAGACATATATGTATGCCAGTGGCGACTAGAAGACGTCCCATACGCAGCTAAAGTCATTCTGTGGCAGTTGTATACTCTATTTAGTAGTAGTTTCGACTTATTATACCCCCGACAAAAGAAACCAATAGGCCGCGACGGCCTGAATTCCAGCTCTTCGGCGTTTCGGCAACGACATTACTAAAGCGGAGATCATCGAGCATGCGTGAAGTCATTAGATAGCACTGACAACTATTTGCCCAATTCACCTCACCTCCTCGTGTAATATATGGAGCGTCTATGATGTGTTGCCCTATCAATCACTACAACAAAGCGATTAGAGGTAAGGGGCAACGTGATGCTCGTATGGAATGCGGCGAAACGGAAGGGACTCAAACACGCACTGCTCCCACTGATGTATGGCCAAGATGCAGAGTAGTCGGTGTAAGTTGATTTTGGGAGTTTTAGCTCTCTTCTTCCATGACTTATAAGACCTAAGCTATACTCCCGGGGAAAGCAAAGGAAAATAAAGTGATAGGGAAGTCTTCCTGTAAGAGAACCACGTTCCAATTATTCTTTGACGCTATATCTTAGGCGTCGAATCTATCGCTATGCTTCGTGAAACGATTGGCTATTCCACCTTTAGTGGGACATACCTGGTGGGGGTCTTCATTATCACCCTAGGTGTAGCGGCAGCTGTGGCCCTACTTTCGTCTAAGCAGATATCCAAATGGCCACTGATCAACAATCGAAAGCCTTACGAATTGACCCTGGCACAAGCAAAGAAGCGATTTTACCATAACCTTGATCAATTGTGTCAACTTGGCTTCCAGACGGTCGGTTCTCTGCATGGCTAGAAAAGCGTCCTGTTTTCATCGACTTTTCCTAACCTCCCGCAAAGTCCCGCAATGGATTTCGTTTAGTAACCGACAGTGGCACACATCTGGTACTGGCCCCAAAGTACCTACGAGATATTCGTGTTCACCCAGACCTGTTATTTGGACCGGTGGTTAACCACGTATGCAAGGCATCGTCTCTATTTTGGCGGGAGTAGATCATATCTGACTATTTTCAAGGAGTTCAGTGGCCATATCCGAGGATTCGAGCCATTTGGGAAGTCTGCGGTTTCGGGGCCCATATTCCAGAACCTACTGACGAAGAAGATGGTAATCGCACTTGGTAAGACTTTTTTTCTTTTTTTTTTTTAAAAAAAAAAAGAATAAATAAAATAAAATAAAATAAAATAAAATAAAAGCAGTAGTGTCACAATGAGAAATAGGTCTAATGCAGATTACAAACGCAACAGGGGATACCATCGCTCCCCTAGTCGAAGCGGCCGGGCCAGCCATCGAGAAAGGCTTTACTGAAGAACGAGGTACAGTACTTACTAGCTACGTATTCGCGATTGTGTATGCTAACAATCTGTAAGAATGGCACGCAATCACACTGCTTGGGCCTTTACGCAGGATTGTCACTCAATGCTCCTCCAGAGTATTCGTCAGTGACGAGCTCTGGCAAGACCCTGCCTGGGCAGACGTGGCGGCGGATTACACAGCCACCGCGTCGAAAACTGCCGATGCTCTACGCCAGTGGCCGCCACTCTTACGGCCCCTAGCGGCTAACTTCATCCCAGGGGTTTGGAAGATGCGCGCTCAACTTAGGAAAGCGCGGGGCCTCATGGAACCCGTCCACGAGAAGAGACGGGAAGAGAAAGCCAAGTTGGCTGCTCAAGGCAAGCAGGCCCCGAGGATAGCATCGGATGTCATGGAGTGGTTTGAGGAGTGCTCTAGGGGCCAGGAATACGATATGACTGCTGCGCATTTGGGCCTTGACTTCGTGGCGATCTCGAGTACGGCCGACATGATCACCCAGTTGATCTATGACCTGTGTGGCCAGGAACAGCTACTGAAGGACCTGCGCCAGGAGATAATATCTGTGCTCGGGGAGAACGGATGGAGTAAGACGTCTCTATATAAACTCAGGCTTTTGGATAGTGTGATGAAGGAGAGTCTGCGGCTGAAGCCTAGCATCACTGGTGAGTTACCTATGTTCGCTTCTTTTCTCATGCATGCAATCTTGTAGCTAACCTCAACCTGCCAGGCCTTCGTCGATATGCCCAAAAAGACCTCGTCCTCTCCGATGGGTCCAAGGTATCCAAAGGTACATTGGTCATTGTCTCCGGTCACCATATGGTAGACGCCGAGTCGGATGTATATCCCCAGGCGGACGTATTTGACGGTTACCGGTTCTATCGCTTACGGCAGAACTCTGATCAAGATACCTGGAAACAGTCTGCGGCCGCGAGTGTGCAGCATATAGGATTTGGGTACGGCCAGCATGCATGCCCGGGGAGGTTTTTTGCATCTCACCAGGTCAAGATCCTGATGTGCCATATTCTTCTCAAATACGACTTCCAACTTCCGAGCGGCGAATCGCCAACACCGTACCTGAGAGGATTTAATTACAACGCGGACCCATCTACGCAAGTCCTGATCAAACGGAGACAGGAGGAGATTCCGCTTTAAGCATTGCCACTGCCTAAATTTCACTGGTTACTGGCGTTACTGTCCTTTGATCTATTTATTAGAGTTAAAGCTACAGTAACCGATTGATTTGAGACTAGAGAAGCAGATGTAAATATGATGCAGCCTACCATAGAGGAGATTCGACGAAGACAAACACGACGAACAATACAGATCCACAGGGCCGACCACGGAGATAGCCAACATGGTTACACGGCCCAGTCGCTTACCGAATAAGCTATATGCAGATACAGTTTAGGCATTTACTCATTCAATATTATGTCATTCAATGTTGGAACAATGCTACAGTACATACCTGTCAATATCATACATGTGGCTAGGCAGCTTGGCACTTTAGGGCTTGAAATCGACTTCCATATGTAGTTTGCATGGAAGGCGGTTTCGGTCCTACTGTAATTCAGAAAGCGACTGTAGGTATAGAGAAGCACTGTGCCCAAAGGGACACACCGTGTCGCTCGAGGATCAAATCCAGTGTTTTGATTTTATACACGTCTTATCTATGCAGAAGTCGCGGTGTGCCTAGCGGAGGCTAAAAACGGCCCGATGGCAAATCCCGCCTGCGGCTGATCCCGAAAATCGCCTCGAAGCTCTGCAAGGGATTTCGATATGCTAGATGCATCACTCACGCACACCCATGTTTGCTACAACCATCTGCATAGTATACACCAAGTATAGATCCTCGCATTGGATGGATATTCCTGAGAGATGGACAAGAGCGGGATAATGTAACCCCGAATTCCATCCCAAACCATTCCCTCCTTTTGCCAAAACAAGAATGCTAACAACTGTGAGTGAGCGAATACGCTCGCAAACAGCATACGCAGGACTTCCTGGAAGCAGACCTGGAATATTTGCCAATGCAAACTGTCCTATCCACAGAAGCACACTATATGTTTCTTCTCTCCGTTGCGATCGAGAGCGGGCGGATCGGGATCTCACCGACCGGAGTTATGCATTGAAAGGTCCAATGGAACCTGTATCTGCTTCCTTGTAGCCGTACATTTCTGATAATTGATCAACTAATAACATTCTAAGATGAGAAAATCCCTGAAGAGGGCTTATTCAGATATACCAGACACCGATGGTTGTATGTAACCCGGCTGCTTTGAGGCGAGCACTCACTCATCAGTGTTTCTAAAGATTCAATGAAAAAGAAGAGCTGTCCAAGCGCCATGTCAAGTTCAATCTCCAGCAGCTTATTTATGTTGCTGTGAAAGCTAGTGAGGGGGGAAGATATTGTACGCTTTGGTTCTTGCACTACAAAATGTTCTGCTAATTTCGTCGATAAGCACCCGGGTTCTTAAATGCTCAGAGGGCCTACACAATAAGGCATTTATTTTAACAATGAACAATGGAGCTGAGGTATTTGCGAAGCTCCCAAATCCAAATGCTGGACCCCCTGGGTACACGACTGCTTCTGAAGTCGCTACGCACATATTGATAAGCGAACCCCCCTGTTATTTTCATGGTTTGGATAGCAAATTAATAATGCAGTAGCTACGTGATATTTTCAAGATTCCCGTTCCACGAGTTCTTGCATGGTGCTTCGATGCAACAAATAGCCCTGTCGAGACGGAATATATCGTCACAGAGAAGACGCCAGGGACCAGACTTGGCTCTGTCTGGAGCCAATAGTCACAGGAAACAAAACTGAAGCTCAAACAAATTGTCGATATAGAGAATAGATTAACCACTGTATCATTTCCTCAGCACGGTTGTAATTATTTCAAGGACGACCTTCGTTCATTGACCGGGGACGCAGAGGACATTAAAATCCAGTCTGCCGCTGCTGAATCCCTCAGTTGCTTTTCTATCGGGCCACTAACGTCCGCCGAACTGTGGGACAGTACTAGGAGGGGCATGAGATTGGATCGTGGTCCCTGTGAGTAAACGCATATCTAGCACCTATGTGGGATTGTTAACAATCTCTGGGAAGGGTCTGGTCCACAAGAGTATACACGAGCATTAGAGCGAAATGAAATTGTGTGTATCAAATCACTTGCTAGTTCTCGAATAAATTATTATAGGTCGGATCAAGAGTATGAGCTTTCTGAGGATGGTATTGCTCTTCTTACCAAGTATATGGACGTGGTGCTGTATCTGATCCCTTCGCCGACCAATGAAGCAGCAATGTCCAAAGTGATCTGGCACCCTGATCTTTATCTGGACAATGTCTTTGTAGATCCAGATATATATGAAATTATCTTTATTGTGGACTGGCAATCTGCATGTATTACTCCTCTATTCTATTAATTAGATATTCCGAGAATGTTCCGATATTCTGGGCCTGTTCGAGAGGGCTGGGTTGTACCAGAACGGCCTGAAAACTTCGACACCCTTAGTAAAGAGAAGAGAAGGATGATAGACAAGAATCTGGAAAGTGAGACTATCTATAAATATTACAAGGCTCAGGTTTATAAACGAGCACCTTCTCACTGGAGTGTACTTCACGATTTATTAATCCCAATTCTCAGGAAACCTGTCTGGCTGGTAAGTGGTGTCTGGCAAAATCGAGATCTCTTTTTCTTGCGTCAGTCACTTCTATCTCTCGCTGCTTATTGACAGGAAACTTTTGCAAAGGATCAGTTACCCTGTCCGATTGAGTTTACCGACGAGGAACATGAGCTTTACTCTAAGGAGGAAGATAATATTGATGGAGTTGGACGCATGCTTGCGTTGTTCCGGGACCAGGGGGTGCTACCAGTCGATGGAATGGTGGACCCAGAAGACTACGAAACTGCCATGGAAAATAGCCGCCGATTCAAGGATATCTTTATTGGGTTGGCCAAAGATGAAGCCGAGAGGGAGTTATATAAAAGGCTCTGGCCATATCAAATGTGAGAAGTCAAAGTCCAGGGTTCTGCTCTGTTCCAGGAATTAGTTCACATACAAGAATCTTTCTTTCGCATGCCTTTGTGGGTCCCTAGTTGAATATATCCATCTGCTAAATACTGTTCACTGAGCCTCATCCCCTTTTTGAGAGGATAGCCTGAGCCTCAGGGTCCTCCAACAGCTGTTTATACTCCGCAGCTCTCTGCGCTTCATCTTCAATATCTTTAATTTGTTTCAGCTTCATGGCCAATGCCTTGTGGCGGTCGACTTGTGGAGCATCCTCCTTGTCTGCCTCAGTGTCACTTTCACTCATCCCGACTACTTCACACGCGAACCCTCCCTCGGCATCAACTTCGTCATCCTCAGTCTCCTGGCCTTGGTCCCATCTTCCCAGATTCAAGGTGTGAGTCTGGATCTGAGGCGCATTTTCGTCTGAAACGGACGGAGCCTTTGGAACTGGTCTGCTTATGGTGTGTCTATACTCTCTGAGGGTCTACTTTTGGTTAGTTGACAGCAATGAAAGGTATTCCGGAGGCATAGGCGCATACCTTCTTTCGCACGATCCCTCCCGAGAAAACATAGCGGACTCCCCCAAATGCGACGACATAGCCCTTACTATCCTACACAGCGTCAGCAATCGTGGCCCAAGTCCAGATATAGAGTACTTAGGGGGACAATTTCCAATTACCTCGACCGGGAGGAACAACTGACCCCCTTCACTCTTGAGCTTTTCAAACAACCCGATACCGCCGCCCACCTTACCAATCCCCGTCGCACCCACGTCTAGGGACAGATCTATCTCTTGCTTCTTGCCCTTGGTCACATTGGTCGCACACTCCTTGGTAACCCATGTTATAGCGACCGCCCACAATTCCTTCTTCTGTTTGAGTTCGCGACCAAAGTCTCGATGCTCAAGAAGTTCGGTTGTATTAGCTGTCACCCAGTCGATCATCCGATATTTGGGGTGACCTGAGATCCCGTGCTTTTGCACCTCTGACCCGGTGACGAGGGCTGCTGAGCCGGTCTTCGAGTTGCTCAACTTCACCTGAACCGATGCATCGACTGGCGCAGCGGCCATGGCACCGGAGGCTTCGGTCGTGACTCGAGAACTCCGTCCCTTCTCAATCTCTGACGAGTTCTTTTCCCAATAGAATGGCTCAGGCTTGTCATACTCCAGGCCATCCCGGTCGAATGGCTTGAATCCGTTTCGCTCTGGGCGGCCTTCCTCCATGAGATTGGTGATTTCCCTCCATCCTCCGCTTTTATCGAAATAACCAACCGATCCCAGAGCCATTTTTGAAAACCATTGGGGGCTATAGAGGAAGGTGCCATCCCCATCCCCCATGATTTTGGTATAGGCCTCGCGCTTGGATTCCATGGTGTAAGATATGAAGCAGGCGGAATGAAAAGAGGTGGGCGCGTTGATCTTTCAGAAGTGAATGAGTATCCAAGGTGCAACAGGGTTATATCGGTTTTTGAGGGCAACTCTGCATTAATACCCGAGAAAGTCTCGGGCACGCACGCCACTTGCCAATAGTAGATCGTTTTCTCCCGGGCCCTCTTGTGTAGATTCCAAATTCATGCAGGAGCCGATCACCACCTCTATGTAGATCGGGCTGAATCAAGATCTACTGCGCGATTTACCAGAGGTGTTGCGGGGGGGTTGTATGCTTAACCTATCGGAAACGGAATAGAAATTGGGATCTTCTTACTGCCTACTGTTCTCGAATCTCTGCGATGGGATGAAGTCTCATCCAACAATCTGTGGAGAATGTGGGTCCCCTTTCAGCTCGTCATGAATTTTCTCCACTGCCCCGAATGCTTGCCGGACCTGTGTGCTTTGCCAAGGGCTTCGGTATGTCAGAGTGGGATTGGCAACCAATGATAGATATGCTATGAGAAATGTTGTGGGCCATTTGTGGTTTCACTGGCTGAGCTCGTGTGGGTGACTGCTCGCCCTAAACGCATCCGGACAGCACCCAGCAGCCTATTAACCGTACTCACGAATATAAAGTTATAGGCGGCCTGCCAGGGCGTATGCGGTGGGGATACAGAATGCATGTCACAGCTGCCACTGTCGGTCCAGGGTATTCCGCAACCGGATGAAGGGTATGGATGTCCCTTGGCACCGCTACCTGGAATAGTCTTATTCCAACGTCAGATGCTGTGGAGTCTGCTGGCGTAATCCACCCTCATTAAACCCCCGCTTACATAGTGTCGACGGCTGAGTACTTGAACAATACTGACAAGTTCAACGAACATACTCCACTGGGCGTACAGAAATTACACGTCCGTAGTAGATCCTTGCTGCTTCGTAACGTTGTCAAAGACAGGTGCACCTATCAGGAGAGTAGGGACGCTCAGACTGTGATACAGATGCAACGAGCCATGTAATCCCATCAGTGAAAAGATGGAAAATAGACAGGAAAATCCAGAAAGCGGCCACACTTGTGAAACATAATAGGTATGCTCGTGATACCTAAAGGCCTTTCACGAAGCTATATTCCAATGGGCGCCCCAATTGACGGGCGGATGTCCCCCATAAGTGGGTCTACCTTAGTTCTGATAGTATACCCCGGAATGTGCCATGAGCATTGTCTTTCCCTGGGATTGCGTGCAGAGCCGAGCTGGTGGACAGGTCGGCTGTGGAGGATATAATGGTGACCTAGTCTCCAGATTGACTCGGCTTTCCATATTTGCATAGAGTGCGGCTATGGCTCTACTTGTGATGGAGACACAGTGTTTTGCTCAGCAGCAACCTAAAATGCTGGGTTTATTCGATCGTCGTAAAGACAAATCTGGGATGGCTGTATTACGAACTGTTAGTGTTGACATAGCTTGTGCAATGGTCTCTTTCTTATACTATCGCCTTCTTCGCTGGGAAATACAGCTAGGTCGTCACAAATAAAACACGCAATCATAGCAGAAAATCAGTACCATCCTCGCCACCGACATATCAGCGAACGACAGGCGTCAGATGAAGCTTCAGTGGCTTCATACCCCAAGTAATATAGGCCGGGATGTCCTTGTCCCAATCCGCCGAGGCCGGGTCTAACTCCCAGTCAAACTCCCATATAAAACGAGACAGCAAAAGGCGCAGCTCCAATTTCGCCAGGTTCTGGCCAAGACAGTTCCGCGGCCCGACACTGAATGCCTGCATTGCCACGCGATCATCGTCTTTGTACTCAGGATCACCCAACCAACGTTCGGGGACGTATTTCTGCGGATCCTTGAAGTTGGTTCTCGAGTTATTCGTAGCAAAATGGCACATGCCAACGTGCGTGCCTCCCGGAATCCAATGTCCTGCAATATATGCCCCCTCCTTTGGGACACGGCGGGAAAACACAGCTGGCGCGGGAGGGAATATTCGCATAGCTTCAGTGAAACACACCGGTAGGAACTTGAGCTGATTTACGCTGATCGCGGTGATCTGGTCTGCACTGGAGAAGGTGCTTCGAACCTCTTTGGTAACCTGCGCCTTTGCTTCGGGGTTCTGTGTCAGATAGTACGTAGTGGCGCTGAGGGCGTTGGTGGTGCTTTCATTGCCGGCCAAAATAAGTATGGAGCTGTTGCCGTCGATCTCATACCTTTCGAGGTTGTGTTTCGGATCTATTAGGTTCGAGACTAGGTCGGTGTAGCCCACTTTCCGGTCCATTCGACGCTGAATGCTTTCAGCAGTGAGCCTCTGATGGATTATGAGTGCATCCCGGTAGGACTTCGGGATCAATCGCGAGAAGAGCTTCAGTAGTAATGGATAGTATCCCAGTGCTTGAGTAAATATCCTGAACTTTATCGACTGGGATATCATGAGTACCCACGGGTGCAGCTGCGCGTTCTCCAGACATTTAAAGGATTCGCCAAAGGTAAGCTCTACAATTAGGTCAAACGTAAAGAACTAGAAACGGTAAGCGGCCAGCACACCATCGATCCTCGAAGTGAGCAGACAGAAAGATAACCCACATTGAACCACGATGTCATCTCCGGTCTAACACCGTTAGCTACCTCAGCATGAAGCTGTTTGATTAGAATGTCGATCTTCTGCTGTATAATGGGCTCCTGCTCTCGCAAGGCCGCCTCCGAAAACCCTTTCGATAGTATACGTCGATACCGGCGATGCAGGTCGTGGTCCGCTTCGACGATCGTTGGAGGTCCTTGAAACCCTCGGTATAATGGTGTATCTTTGCTCATCTCAGGCTCACCCTGCCGAAAGCCATAGATGTCGTTCCATGCTTGGCTCGAGGTGAAAAGGACTTCGTTGGGGGCGACCCGCACTATTCCTCCATACTTTTCATGTGCCTGGTGGAGGAAATCGACTAGTCTGCCGGAAATGAGGTGGTAGCAATACAGCAGACGGGTTACGGCTGCCACTTTTGGCCCAGGGTACTTCGCAAGCGGGTGGAGGGTGATGCTGTAGACTGCGTAGAGAGCGTAGTACTGATCAACAAAAGTCAGTAGATGCCGCGTTAATGACATGTACTCATTAGAGTTGCCACATGAAAGTAAAAGTGGTATGATAGAGAATGCTTACCACCACTGGAAGTATTGATATAGATAAGGCAGCAGTCAAGATAGGACGTCCGCAGAATGGTTGAGCAATATCGCTGATCGTCCGTAGCATCTGGAGGAATCCTGTCTCTAAAGTCATCTTTTGTGCGTCGAGTAATGGGGAGGATCGGTAGATGTGGAACACGAGCGAACATTGTTTACTTGAGCAGCATCTGGTGGGGATGCGAGCATTTATGCATTCTCCACGGGCAATTCAAAGTAAGCTCAGCATGCCAGAGATGGTGATTTTGTCTTAACATGCATCCTGTGGTGTAACGAAAGCACAAAGCTGCGTGCATCGGCTGACGCAGCAATAGCGCTCCAAGGGACAATAAGATCCATGAGATCCGTTTGGCTTAGCCGTCCTACAGTTCAGATGGTTGGAATGGCTAGGATGGGGTACCATGAGAAGAGCGTATCAACGGCTTGTATACGTTCATTTTAAGTTTCAATGGTTCTCCAATCCCATACTATTTCAGGAAGATGACAGTCTTACACACCAGCCGGGGGCCATGTAAGTCTCCAGGGAACCCTAGTGTGGCTTTGCGACTATACGCTGAGATTGTCATGCTAGTTCCAAGGCAGTCTAATGTGGCACACTTAGATCATTTAATGTATAACATGAGGCTACAACTGCCAACGGGATCTCACACTGGTAGCTGGAAGGTCAGTCAGGTAAAGATTCAGCGCCCCACCTATATTTAGTAATTAGAAGAAACTGAGTCTATGCCAGTTGCGTAATAAAATATTTACAGACAATAGTATCATTTAAAGTGCTGCCCAATACTATAAACAATTCGAGTGCTGTTCTGCCCGTACCAGACGAGCAATGCCGGCTATTCTCCGGAGGGTGCGCTCTGAAACCGCTACTGCTAGAGTGCAAGGATCAAAATCCGCATGCCTTTTCGAGCTAAAGGCCGAGGGTAGTGGAGCCGAACACGATTTGTGTGTTCGCTTTAATTTATATGGCCTGCGCAGCTCCAGACCGGCCTCGAGGGGGGTCCACAAGGTGCGTCCAAGCAGACTCTGGCGGGGCGCCCTAAGATAACGGGGTATGGGCGATGATACCGTGCCACATCTATGATCCCACCACTGAAGGAGATTTGCCTGCGCAGGGATTATTTGATTGATTTCCACGGAGATTAAACTATTACATTCTAGTTAGTTACTAATTCCTGTGCTATTCGGAAATCCCGACCTAGAAAAGCGCCTTTTCCAGCTACAAAACCAGGGGCACCTCGCAACGTGCTGGCGCAACTTCTTACGCCCAGTCCTATACAACACGTTATATTCCCCATGACGATGGAGAAGCCAGATATCGAGCCTCGCGTCGCCGAATCCTTGAGTAGCGACTTCGATCCAGCCTTGGAGAAGAAGTTGCTGCGGAAGTTGGACTGGCGCATCATCCCTGCGCTATGGTTCCTGTTCCTCGTGTCATTCATGGACCGATCGAACATCGGGTACGTTCTCTGCTCCTGCGCGATACAATCTGCTACTCTGGAACTAATGCTGAAGTTTCACCCTAGAAATGCCAAAATCGCTGGAATGGTTAAAGAGCTGCATATGGTCGGAAATGATTACAATGTCGCCGTTACAATGTTCACTGTCGCATATGTGATTTTCGGAGTGCCCGCCAATCTCCTGGTGAAGAAATTCGGCCCCAGAATGCTGGTCATCTACATGTTTACCTGGGGTGAGATCACATCCCCTTGCGTCAATCGGCAGTGTTCTAATGAGAGATCGTACGGTAGGGCTGTTTGTGATGGGCCAGGGCTTGACCAAGACTGCGACGGGGCTGATCGCGTGTCGGTTTTTTATGGGAATGTGTGAAGCAGGGTTTGTTCCTGGTTCGTGGGCAGTCCGAAAAACTTCGTCAGAGGAACGGCTACTGATAACAGAGTCATCGTCATCTTTAGGCTGCGCATATTTGATTGGGAGTTACTATAAGCGGGATGAGTTTCTGCGCCGCTATGCAATTTTCTTTAGTGCCAATATGGCAGCCGGCGCGATCAATGGGGTTAGTTCTAGTTGATGATACTCCCTTATACCCCTGCTGACTCGATATACAGCTTTTCTCGAGTCTCTTGACAGGGTTGAAACTCAGCGGATACGCAGGGTGGCGATGGTAGGCTTTCTTCCCTGTTGAATGTTCCTTCTGTCTGACTATCTAGCTCTTCTTGATCGAATCAATCATCACCATGGGTATTAGCATCATTTGCTATTGGATTATCGTGCCATTTCCGGAAGACGCGAACTTCTTGACACCCGAGGAGAAGGCGTTACTGCTGGCTCGCCTGGAGGCTGATGGTGGTGGTGTCCGCAACGACCCCATTTCCTTGAAACGTGTATTCAGTATGGCAGCCGACTGGAAGATCTGGATCTGGTAAGCCTTCCTCTCTTGCTATGACTCCAAGTGTTGACCAACTGACTGGACAACAGCGTCTTGGCCTACATCGGCGCCGAAGAAAGCGCTAGCTCTCTTGTGGCATTCCAGCCCACCATCCTCAGGGACCTTGGCTGGACCGCCCGTTCTGCACAAGCGCACAGCATTCCTATCTATGCAGTCGCATTTGTGCTGACACTTTCTAGTGCCTGGTTGAGTGATCATCTCCGACACCGCTTCTTATTCACTCTCTTCGGCTCGGTTCTGATCATTATCGGATGGAGCATTCAGCTGGCGCATTATCTGCCAGCGGCTGTCCGCTACATGGGCATGTTCTTTGTGGCTTCCGGTGCCTTTATCATGATGTCAATCACGGTGGTATGGTTATGCATCAACCTCGGCAAGGGAGTCAAGCGCAGTGTAGGTATGGGTCTGCTTCCAGCATTCGGCAATTGCGGTGCCTTTGTATCCGGGAACGTATTTATCACCAGCCAGTCCCCCAAATATCCAGTAGGATTTGGTGTTGGGTTAGGCTTTGCAGTCATGGCCGGAGTGGCAAGCACGGTGTACTATTTCGGCTTGCGCGCGGAGAACCGCCGTCGCGACAGCCAGCCCGAGCAGGAGTGGACCCCGGAAAGTGCTCAGGATCTCGGAGATGCGCACCCAGATTTTCGGTTTCACCTGTAGGAGATGCTGGATCGTATGAGGGCGCATTGTGTCGATACTGGCCCGCGCTAAGTGGGCTGTTTTCATTTACTTTAATCTGCAATACGGGATTTCTATTTTGATTACTTATCTTTACGTCGTACAGCCTAATTATTTTTTTTTGTCAGAGTTGTAGTTCGTGTAGCGCGATTTGTTTGGTCTTATATTACGTAGCCCTAAGTGTAGATCCACTCAAACCGAGCTTTTTCATATGCTTAGATTGAACAAGATTTGGTCGGCCGCAAGGAATCGTAACTGATGGTCCTAATTAGTCAATTTAGCAGGTGCTTCGTTGTCTATTGGTCCGGGGAATCGAACAAGAGTCCACTCTATGTGGATCTTTTTTCACCAGGAACGGACCGGCATCCCGACTAAAGAGTCAAGACCCACTCCTGTACTCCTGCGCAATACGACCATTCTACAACATAGGCCAGTCCGATTGACGATGGCACCATCAACCATGTCCATAGACTCCATACCCCTGCTCAACTACCAACGGGTTTGATTTCTAGAGTTTAGTGTGGGCTAGTGGGTTGTGGCCAGTATGCGAGATAACCCCATTTGCATACCTACCAGTGGAAATTCGTTTCATCAATTACCATGCACCAGTTCGGCCGAGGGCCATGTGTGCAGGGATGGAACATACCAGCCATCGACCGATCTGGAGGCTATACCGGGATCTCAGCTTAGCGGATCCTGCAGCATGGCTTGCCTGCGGAAAGAGCCCATCTAATGCACAGGATGTGGCCAGGCCTAGTACCACATGTGCTCTTAGGTAGTATAAGGAGCAGAATTCCTTCCACAAGGCCCGGATCATGATCGTTTTTGAGACTTTTCCCGTCCGGCTGGCTGACGATTACGTTCTTTAAGTCCCCTTTCACTCTCGTTTCTTCCCCTTTCTTTTGGTCCAATGATTTCTGGTTACTCTTTTGTCCATTCTTTGTGCAGCGTACTGTGACGGTTTTCCGAGGGAAGCTATGGTGTTGGATCCCTCCGATGTCCCAAATAAAGGTCCCCTGTTTGTCAAGGTGACCGCCATCTTGACGGTGATTGCCTTCATATTAGTGGCCTACCGAATAATATGGAAGGTTTATATGAAAAGCAAACTCTCCGCCGACGATTTGATCATCTCCTTCTCCATGGTATGTCTTCTATTGGTTAGTGTTGTTTAATTATACCAACAAAGACAATAGGTTATACAGATCGTAAATACAGTCATGGGCGACTTGGGTATGCATTCTCTCTGATCGATAATAGACCCATAACATCTAAACATGGCCATCATTTTTAGCATGTCACTACGCCTTCGGTCGCCACCGCGCCGATGTCGTTCGAACGGGGGGCAACCGAGTCCTCGCATTGAAGGTAATTCATCCAGAAGATACTAAACAGTGGTCCCGACTAACATACATGACTGGGTAGTTTTTCTGGCTTTTCCAGATATTTTACAAGCTTGTTTTATGCCTCAACAAGCTATCCTTCCTCGCTTTCTACCTCCGCCTCTTCCCGACTCCCAAGTTCCGTCTTGTCTGCTGGATCACTATCGCCCTCGTGCTATCCAGTACCTTCGGCTTCGTAATCGCCACCATTTTCCAATGCATCCCCGTCCACGCGAGCTGGCACAAGGACATCCCCAAAACATGCGTGAAAAATGCTGAATTCCGCTGGTCCTGGGCGGGCTACAATACCATTATGGACATCTGGGTGTGCCTAATGCCTCTACCCGTTTTGGCGCAGCTACATCTCGACCGTATCCGTAAAATCGGTGTGATGCTGGTCTTCTGTATGGGCCTTTTCGTCTGCATCACGAGCGTTATTCGCATGTGGGCCATGGCTGAAAGTACAAAGACGAACGATCCAACATGGGGATCGTTCAATGCGCTGATGTGGAGTGCTATCGAGGCTAGTACGGGTATTATTTGTGCATGTCTGCCATTTTTGAAACACCCAATCCAGAGGATCATTCCTGGTTGGCTTGTTTCATTGTCGAATAGCTCGAGGAAGACTCGACCGAGTTATCGCATGAGTCGCCTCGGGTCGCAGTCTGGGATTCGGACCGGCGGGCAGAGGGATGAGGATTATTATGGGGAGGCTGATGCGGAGAGTATGGGTAGCCAGGGGCCGATTGCGAAGGGTCAGATTGTTATGAAGACGGATATTGTCATGCGTAGTGAGCGGGCTTATTCGTGATATGATTTTTTTTCCTATAAAAGATTTAAATCGCATATGTACATTTACGAATCACATTCATTGTGAAATTAGAGTAGGGGGTGCTGTGTATCATTTGGTGGCCATAATGCCACGGCATATTACTCACCTTCTAGGGCTTCGTAAGGCTTCTTTTTTCTTATTTTTCTCTCGCTGCGTGTATCGCCCAGCTCCTGTGGATCCTGACCCACTCACTGCGCGCCCTAAATTAGCTTATTTCCACTGACAGGGGTCTTGGCCGAGTACGAGCACAGAGAATGAAACATTAATTAAGTGGTCATGGCGTGATAGTCCTAGTCAGGTCGTGCTCCGGTGGACTTCCGAATATTGATTGCGTTCTTCCCGTCTGTCGATACACCCCTGGGACTGCAACAGCACACACTCCAACAACCCGGTGACTTGCATAAAGCGACGGAGCTAAGGGATTGTCACAAACATCCTCACCTCAGCTCAGTCCATGCTAGGTAATAGCTACAAAATGGACGAGGTGAACACTGCGGGAAGTACTATCGTGGCAGATGCTTTTCTGGAGGCCTTGGCGGAGGTACTGCCTGTCCCCTATTTTCTTTGGTGAATGTATTGGATCTAAACCATGGCAGGCCGGCGTCGACTACCTCTTCACCGTACTTGGCTCTGATCATCCTAGTATCATTGAAGCCTATATCCGCCGCCAAAATGACCCCACCCGCCAGTATCCCAAGATGATCCTGTTCCAGCACGAGGTCAGTCACCTGTGTCCTCCACCAGGATCAGCACATGGAACCCCACTGATCGAGTAACCAGTTCGTGGCCATGTCAGCTGCCGATGGCTACGCTAGGATCAGTCACAAACCGGCATGTGTGATCGCCCACGTGGACGTGGGGACTGCTGCCCTGGGCCAGGGCCTGCACAATGCATCTAGCGGTCGTGCCCCTGTTGTAATCTTCGCCGGTGTTGCCCCATCTACGCTCCTGGGCGAGGCTCCAGGTTCTCGTTCGGAACATGTCCAGTGGTACCAGGATATTCGTGACCAGGCGGCCATCGTGGCGCCCTATAGCCGCTTTAGCGCGGAGATCAAGTCCCCGCATAATGTTGGGAGTCTCGTACATCGCGCTGTCCTGATGGCCACGACTGGGTCCCCAGGTCCGGTGTATCTCACTGCAACTCGGGAAATCCTAGCTACACCCATCTCCTCTGTGGAGCCCCGGCCAAAGCCCATCCCATCCTGTCAGTTGGGGTCCCTGTCTCCCGAGGCAGTGGAGATGATCGGTAACGCACTGTTGGACGCAAAAGCCCCTCTCGTGATCACCGGGTACCTGGGCCGAAACCACCGCGCAGTCCAGCAGTTAATCACCCTAGCGGACACAGTTCAAGGAATCCGAGTCTTCGACTCCGAGCTCCGCGAGGTCTGCTTCCCAGCAACTCACCCAGCCTGCATAACCCGCAGCACAGGCGCCGGACCAGCCATCCAATCCGCCGACCTAATCCTCGTCCTAGATGCCGACGTCCCCTGGATCCCACGGCGAGTGCACCCGTCCCCAAGCGCAGAGATCTACCACATTGACCTCGACCCGCGCAAAGAGCGGATGAACATGTTCGATATCGGCGCCTCCGCCACCTTCCACGCCGACACAGCATCAGCCCTATCCCAACTAAACACCTACATAACCAGCTCCACCCGCCTCCCAGCCCTCCAGAAATCCTGGTCTCCCCGAGCCCAAGATCTCATCACTGCCCATAAGGACGGGAAAGTCCGTATCGCGCCCGCGCCGCAACACCCCTCTCCACCCCCAGCGAACCCTGCACCGTCGACTACCTGTGTAGCCGCATCCGCGCCTCCGTCCCCCAGGATACAATCTACATCACAGACTCGGTGACCAACCAAGTCCCCATGACGGAACAACTTCAACTCACCCGTCCCGGATCCCACCTGACCAAAGGAGGCAGCGGACTAGGTTGGTCCGGCGGCGCTGCCATCGGCGTTTCGCTCGCAACATCCCGGTACGATATATCCGATCGTCCTAACCTGCATCTTAATGACACCACCAAGCCACCCTTCATCTGTAACATCGTGGGTGACGGGAGCTTTGTTTTCTCCGTGCCGACGGCAGTTTACTGGGCCGCGCATCGGTATCAGACCCCTTTCCTGACGGTGATCTTGAATAATGGGGGGTGGAATGCAACGAGGCAGTGTTTGGCCGATGTTCATCCTAGCGGTGTGGCGGCGGGATTGACGAATCGGGATCTTGGGATCTCGCTGGTGGAGGATGGGCCGGATTATGGGGAGGTGGCTAGGGCAGCTGCTAATGGGAATTTGTGGACGAAGAGAGTGCGCAGTGTCGGGGAGTTGGATGAGGTGCTGAGGGAGGGGATTAGAGTTGTAGTTGAAGAGCGGAAGTCGGCTGTCTTGGATGTTACTATTAGGTAGGTAGGGCTTGTCTCTAGGCCCAGAGGATTTCTTTCTGTATATACATCGGCTTCAATTCATAGACGGTTCCGCAACCTAACATGCGCTCTTCCGCACCATGCAGACTAAATTCACCCAGTCACCATCGCTCCCTCCCCTGCCCGTAAACCTACTAGCGTCAAAATGTATAATGTTCTTGTCCTCCTGGGAAGATAACTCCTCAAACCCCTTTCTCTTGTACACCGGGTATCCCTTCTTTGAGGCCTCAAGATAGCACTCAATTCCAAGTCTATCGGCAAAATCACAACCCCATTGTGTTAAAAGAGAGGCTGCTCCACGACGCTCATAGCGAGGGTCAGTAGCCAGCAATGCTAGCACTACGTTGGCGATCAACATCAAGCCCATTGGAAGCAGCAGCGCACAGAACTTACAACAATGGTCCCTCCCCTCCTTTCCAAAGAACTTCCTCCGTCTTTCCAGTAATTTGCTCTTGCAGAATCGAAAGCCTTCCTCATTTGCTCCAGTCGGGATCTCCATACCCTCATCCGCCCTCACAGAAGCTTGCCATCTCTTCAACCCCTCTTCCCCATGGTAAACATGCCACTTGGCAAACGCAATCATCTCCCCCGAGTCGTCGTCAACAGCTTTTAAAAGATAGCAGGTGGGGTCTTTATCCCAGTTATCCAAAACTCGAGATATCTTGTTTGTCCTGCAAGGCGACGCGGATATCTCTTCCGGGGTCCCGTCTATGTTGGGCACGTCGCCTGTACTGCGGAAGAAGGCACTGGCTCCCATCGCCATCTGTTGGATGTCAACCATGCGTGGGATGTCGGCTTGGGTGATGGATTCAATGTGTATTGGCATCTTGCTCGTCGATTACCTTGGGATTTTGCTTATTGTTCGGCACTGGGATCTGTGTCTGTCTTACGAAGTATTGGTTAGGGTAATATTGCTGTACGGAATAATAGAACGGCTGTACTTTATATTTCTTCTGGTTAACCTTGCCTTGGTCGGTATTCTCCATTAAATACTAGGTGTCCCTCGTATATGCATGTCGGTGCTTCCAGCCAATGATGTCTTGGTTGACATGACTCACGGCCGACTCGTCGACTACGGCGTCGTCTTGGCTGATTCTGATATCTTGATGGGAACAAACTTCAAGTCATACCGTTAGCCACTTGAAGAGGCCGATTGCGGTTTGAAGGTGTTGAATTAGGACTTGGAATTTCACATGTTTAGGGTTAGGCGCTACTCGTGATATATATTTCCGTATACAAAGTAAACAACAAACCAGAGTAGTTCGCGTTACCCTTGTTTCCTTGGGAGAATAAAATATTCTCCATGTTTGACGGGGCAGGCATATCTAAATTAACTGTGGATATACGTGAAATCTTCTCTAACCCAATATTTTCTTAACATTCCTTGTGAATTGTGGATTGTGGCAATATTGACGAATGCCAAAATTGTGGATTAGAATTTCTTAAACAATGCCTTATAAATCATTAATAGAAGCAGTCTATCACCAATTCAAGGTGCTGTAGTGTAGTGGTGATCACGTTTCGTTGTGGTAGTTTCCGCAATTCCGAATCGACCTGGGTTCGATTCCCAGCAGCGCCAAATGGCGTCTGTACTTGATTGGTCTTTCTTTTTGTTTCCTTTTCTTTTTCTCAGCATTTTTCTCATGAGTCTAGCTGGTAGAACGGCTTATTTTCGCCCTGTCGTTCTTCATCATGGTGTGTCTAGTGCCATTGGTCGGTTACTTCTCTCAAGCCCTAGGTCATCAACCTGAACCTGCAACTGCATAAAATCATAATACCTTAACCTGATTGATATCCTAGCGGACAAACCAAGAGTAGTCTGCTCCTGGCTCAGAGGACTATAAAAATAACGGACCACATTCGCGTAGGTGGCGGCTTACTTCTATTTTTACACGAGCTGGATTATAAGTCAGAGTCGTAACCACGGTACTACCACGACCAGGAGCGACTAAGAGTGGCAGCTAGACTACTCTAAACATAACTAATAGTGGCTTGCGGATCGTTTCAATGCTAGTCTGATTATATTAGGAGAGATAATATGAAAGGAAATGGATATATCTAACACAATTGAATCAAGCCCATTTGACAGTATGGAATTGACGGTATCTTCCTGCCAATACCCCGGTACGCTATTTTGAAGCCTTGTATGGCTCGGATGATCAGGTGGCAGCCACAATCTGTTGAGCATGCACGATATCCTCCAACGCCGATACCTCTCCGGTTTGTTTATAATCCTCGTACAACCGGGACACCAGATTGCGCATGGCTTTAGGCCACTCTGTATCCTCGCATGGCAGTGCGGCTGCATCGGCCTCGGTCTCCTCAACCCTCAACTTGCTTTCCTCCAGCTCCAGTTGCTGGTATATTTCCTCAGTGGTGACATGAGGGTCTTTGTCATCCTCCGCCCTGCTGAAGATCTGTCGAACCAAGACACCGGCCAGTCGCTTCACATCGCGTGCGTTTGCCCAGCTCTCCATCTTTCTTAGTCTAGAGAAGACCCCCGTTACCTTGGTAGCGCCGCCCCTTTCTTCTACAATCCGGATGTTCACGGATGTCAGCTCGTTCTGAAGTACTCGCCAACAGCCAGCCGCTGACAGAGGGTGGAAGACAACGTCGGTGGGAAACCGGCTCCGTAGCCCCCGGTTTACCTTCATCAGCTCGACCATCTCGCGGTTGTACCCCGCGAGCACCACGACAAGTTTCTGGGCATACCGCGTCTTGGTAAGCCCATCCACCAGCTCGTCGACCGCCTGCTTCTCGTATCCGCCGTCCGCTAGCCGATATGCCTCATCGATGAACAGCACCTTCCCCAGCGCTTGTTCCAACAGGTCCATCACCTGCTTCCCTGTCTGTCCCTGGTACGACGCAATCAGGTCGCTAACCGAGCACTCGATCACCTCTGCTGACGACAGAAAGCCCATATCATAGAAGATCTGGCCCACCTTCCGCGCTGTGGATGTCTTGCCTGTGCCTGGGGGGCCCTGAAAGACAAACGTAAATGGGATATACGGACGGGGATTGACGCCTCTCCGCCGCATGCTAGCGACCGCCTTCTGGTATTCTTGCATCTGGACGATGATCTCCTCCACCCCGACCAGGTCCTGAAAACGAGATTCACACGCGGCTGCGGCCTGCAGATGCCGGCGGTGATGCAGATCAAAGTCCTCCGGCTCGAGCACGACATCTACTGGGCTCTCCAACAGTGGTGTGATTGCGATACGCTTCCCGTACGCGTCTCTGGCGTGGCTGAGGAGATTCTCAACATCTCCGCCATTTCCGAAGTTGGGTCGCTCGGACGCCTTTTCTAGCATCTGCATCGCAACTTTCCGGGCCTCGGCTGTTGCCTGTAAGCCTTGCTCGTTCAACTTCAGGTCTAGAATCTGGCCGAGTTGCTCCACGGTGTAGTTTGTGAAACGAAACGCATCAGCTAGGGCAAACCGTCGGGCCAGCCCGGGATTGCTCTTCCGGAACATTTCTTGCATCTCTTCCTCGTAACCTAGAAGGATCACACACCGGTCATTGCCGGGGGTATTATCCAGCTCGGCGACCAATGTGTCGATCACTGCAATTCGATACTCGTCCGAGTGACTATTTGCGCCAGCCTTCGCTCCAGGATATAGCATGTAGGCATCATCGATTATTAACACCTTACCCTTTGTCTCCTGCAGGATCTTCTTAGTTCTGTGTTCGGACTGCCCGAGGTAGGGAGCAATAAGATCCGACGGGTTCTTGACAACAACCTCTGCGCTCGACAACAGCCCGAGATCGGCTAGGAGTTGCCCATAGAGCCTGGCAACTGTGGTCTTTCCTGTGCCCGGCGGCCCCAGGAACACGCGATTCAGGCTGGATTGTAGCGGTACATAGCCGTGCTGTAGGCGGTGATAGTTCCAAGTCGTACGATCGAACAGGAGCTGTACAGAGGACTTGACGGCCTCCATCCCGATCATAGCCTGGAGCTTGGTCCATGCTGGGCTTTCGCGATGGGCCTTGGCTGGACTCGGGCCGATTAGATCCTCTCCGGTGAGCAACAGACAGTCCGGGTGCCTCCCCTCGCGCTGTTCCTGGTGGATGCGCTCCGCCTGTCGATCCAGGGCTCTACTCCACGCTTCCTTCAAGGCGAACACATTGTGAAAGCCTGGCCCGCGCGCACTGCCCACAAGACGTACCATCATCCACATATATTTCCCATTGGGCCCTCCCTCAACCTTCCACTGCGTGCCAGCGATTATCCTTGCCATGATCCGCTGCAGCTCATCATCAGAGTAATCCGGTAGATCGAGTCTGATCTTGCGATCGTGGGTCTCACCCCTGGTATAGCAGTAGGCGAAGCCAGGCACGCCCAGCCCTTGTAGAAAGTTGTCGTACAAGGTTTCCACGATTGATCGCCCTGTTCCAGTAAGAATCAACTCTATTACTAGAATATGGGCTGCACACCTATTCCGCGATTACCCACGATAGCTATAGTTAAGTCGCTCTTCGACAGCTCCTTTTTCTGCTTCTTCGCTATCTGTACTATGGCCCACATCCGAAGAAACAGTGCCTTGGCATCTTCCAGTCCCACCATCTGCATAAGTATGTCCAAATAATTACTCCGAGCGCCTTCGGTACGCTTCAGACGAATCCATTCTAGCCGGGATGGGGAATTGTCCTTTACCCTTTCGACAGGATCGTCTGGTGCTGATAGTTCCTGAAGAAGAGGAGATAGCGCCTTGCAGAGATTGCGAAACTCGACATCGACGCGATATTGCAACAGTGATTCGCGCAGCAGAGACATCTCCCTGCAGAGATCGCGAAACTTGACAGCATCGACGTGATTTTGCCGACGTGATTCGCGTAGCAGAGGAGACAGCTCCATGCAGAGCTCGCGAAACTCAATCTCACTGGATTCCCAGTGGCAGCTTGTCTGCTTTCCCTGCCCGGAGATTTCCATCGTCGCCGCGTGTCAGGAAAAACAAACAAAAAGAACAAAAAGGTGTGCACAATAGAATATGGCAATCAGGATGTTGTGGGTAGACTGACTTCGATGCTCAGGAAGAGAACTACCTTTATTAAGTTTAGAAAAGTGGTGTCCTCATCTAAGGGTCATACCTAGCAGGCAGCAGCTTCCCCCCTGCCCCCTTACTTCTGCGTTTTTATGCCCTCTGGCTGTATCAAATCGCTAGCTCTCCCTACCCCGCTTGTTCTCACTATCCAGTGATCTTGATTGCCAGATTACATCGCAGGCGTCGCTTGCCACGTGTTTACGCGCTGTTGTTCGCTTCCCTGGGTGGTTTCTCCTCCTGCGACCTTCCCAGCCGTTGATAGACGCAGTTCGCTGAACTGTCCATTTCATACTGTGCAGCTGGCAGGCTTGTTTTGCATTCATTGGTGAACCAATAACGCTGCATAAGCAAGATCGCGCAACTTTTGCCTTCGATTGGCTGATTCACAGAATCGGTTTCACTAGCCCGCTGTACAACTCAGGCTTGCTGCTTATAATCTATCTTGCGGTGCAGTATATTCCGACCTGTATTAGCCTTGTTGTGGGCCTCTTGCATGGGAAGCCATCTACTATCAATAGCCCTTGGAGTTGAGCCTCTTTGAGGTACGCCTCGAGAGCACAGACCACCTATAGTATTAATAGAAACAATTCTGCAGTGTACAACCTAAACCCTGCTAACTTTAGGGTAGACATAGAAACGCAACTATTATTTTAGAAGAATAATATTCATATACCTCAGGGCTCCTCTTGAAACTCGATCTAGGACTACTAGCGGGTCGATTCAAGCAACCTAGTGTATTGGTCTGGTGGTCAAAATCCTGAATCAGGATGCAACAAATAAGAGGCGCAGGCTCAATCTATTCACCACCTCAGAGCTTCGCCAAGCATGCATGTGTGGGTTAGTTGTAGCTATCCTGTGGGATTTGCCACTGCGATCGGCCATGGATCCCTGTACTGCGTACATCATTGCATAAGCGGTTGCATTGTTTCAGGCAGCCATGCCGCGCACAACCACCCATCCGCTGCTAGATCTCTTCCCTCCAGCCTCTTTCCAAGAATAATAGGAAGTGACTGAGGCTCTACTGACTGGATGAGTGTGACAGAGCTTGTGGCCGCTTGGTTTCTAGACCAGTTAATCTGCACGTGGAGGGCTCCGATTCACGTATACCTTTCCCCTTGACCAAGGGAAAACCTCGCAGGGACCCAGTGAGGGCCCTGGACGATCGGGTCATTCTCGATAGCACTGAATCGTACAAAATGCATATCCAACAGGCGTCATTCAGCCCCACTTAATACATTCCAGCCCAAGAAAAACAGTCAACCTCCAACCTGTCCATCTCATCCCTCACTGCCGTTGCTCACGAGCCCCCTCCCCCAAGGAGGCAACCACCGGAGTATCCACCTCGCCAGCGAAACAGACCACGTCCGCCTAGACATGACGCCCTCCAAGAGAATTCTCATCGTCAGCCACGTGAACGATCCACGGCAACTAAAACGTACGACTCGATGTCCAGGCCGATCTGAAGGTCAGAGATTTTGTCGATCTGCTCGAGAGAGGAAACGGCATCTCTACGAGTTCAACAGTGTGGGACAGGGGTTATCGATTCTGGGTGCATCACCAGATCGGTCTTTTCTGGGATAAGGGCTTGGTGGTGAATAGTGCCCAGGCTGAGGAGGCCAGAACTGCCATTCTAATCATATATCCTACGATGGTGGGGTATGACCTTGTTGTTGGAGAGTATTATTCTTAATCATCATCTTTTTTTTTTATTCATCGAGTTGGTCAGTCTCATGTCAGCCGGCTAACTGTATATTGTTTTCTTCATACACATAATGAGGAATCTCGTGAACATTAGCCCTAAGACATCGGAAGGAATCACTCGTGTTTTAGCCTTTCAGTACCGCCACAACCCCTACCTATGACCTTGAGATCCTCCATCGATATCTCCCCATTCGCTACCCGTTCCAAGAACTCAATAGGACACTTTGTTTTCGGATTGAAGTCATCCGCAAAGTTCAAAAATCGATCCACAACCTTGAGACAGGACACGCGCACATTTTCCTCCAAGAAGGCAGTTGAATACAAACACTCCTCAGGGACCTGTACCGATGAACATGTACTATGGCCGCCACTATCAACCACAGTCCACTGGACCTGAACACCAAAACCCATTACTGCTGCCTCCTGTAAGAGGACACCGTTGTCAAGGCTGGTGAAGGTGGCTCTCAATTTAAGAGTGGGGGATTCAACCCCGACTGTGGTCACGGTTGCATTGCTATCGATTAGTTTGACCGCCTCGGACGGCCAGATCTGCTCGGCCAGGAGGCGGTGATTGTGTAGTATCTCGACTGTTTTATCTGAAGTAGGGCCATGGGGAATTGGGTAGTGTTTCGCGCCTCGGTCGACGTTTGTGTAGAAGACTATTGCAATTGTAACCTGTTAGTATAGTATAGTATACATGCATGGTGAGGGAGGTGGCTGAGGATAAAATACATGAGGACATTCTGTGCAACTTCACCAAGTGGTATGGTCGGGGATTGTGGATGACCGTAGTTAAATCACTGCTGATACCGTGGGAGCGCTAAATCGTGCTAAATTCAGCCTTGGCCCCATGGTCCCACAACGCTCCACTCGGGCACGATCGCTGATATCATCGCATGTTGAGAGGAGGTGTTATCTGGGTCGAGTCGAGGATGATTCTTGTACCAGTTTCCCCGAAGCCCATTCAGATAATCGGTAGTATTGGAGAAATGACTATTTGAATACCAACTACTTGATGCAAGCTCATTATAGGGTTGAGCTTTTGTTGCCGCGGGTACCCATCTGAATGCCAATGATTGCCGGTCTACTGCTTACCCATGGTCGTAGTGAGAAAATCACCAAGTAAGTTTCAATACTACTACATTGAAGTCTAATATACTATCACCATGTATTCTAAGTCATCCAATAGTCAGAAAAAGAGAAGAGAATCCCGGAAACAAAGGACTGTGAGAGGTTGATAAGACGACATTGTATTAGGATGTGGAGTCGAGCCTCAATCCTGTTCAAAACTAACTCCGATCTTGAATGAATTTTACTATCATTCGTCCAGGTTTATTATATACACTTTCATCTTTCAGGACCTCGTATAGCGGCTAATCATAATAGCGACTATGCTGCGCAGCTTGCGTCAGAATGAACATAATCTGCCGCAAGCTGAGCGCCTCGTGAATAACATCGAATGGGTACATGGGGATTTCCCAGCGTGCCTTCTCCAAACGGACCTCTGTAGGAGCAGGTAAAGATAGTAAACAACGTTCAAGCAACATCGCAGCTCGTAAGATACTCTCTTCATCCTCTGTGTGTGCGAGCACCCCTCGCGTGAAGCGCGCGGCAGGCTCATGAGACTCATGTTCTGGGTTTCGTTTGTGTTCGATCAGGACGATATTGGTTCCCTCCATCAGAAACAGTTCATCCCCGGTATTGAGTCTTGTTGCCGTCACGCAGCTGTCGTAAGGCCCTAGGGACAGCAGAGGACCGCAGTTATGGGCGGCCCCGGTTTGTTGTATGCTCCCCTTTATGAACTCAGAAATGGCCTTGCCGCGCAGCTCTTGTCGAAGGTTCTCACCCAATTCGAAGGTAGTGTGTTTCTCGTTCTTGTTCCACAATTTACACCAATCACATACCAACGATTGAGAGTCCGCATGTCGAATGTGTCCGAGATGTGTGAGCCCGACTTCGAAAACAAGATCACAGATTGTGTCTGGAATGCCGACGTCCCATCCATAGTCCTGCGCATGGTGCAGTTTTAGGATATTAAACACCTGTAGTGCATGCTTCAATGGAAGGGTGTATGGCATGTTACTGAGCAGTCGGACAAATAGATTGACTGTCGTCGCTGAATAATCTGCCCTAATCTCCAGGCCTCGACCGTCCGCTTGCATCCTGGCGAGACCAAGCAGGCCATACACCCGATCGCGGACATCGCGACATCGAGCCTTCCCAAACTTAATCACAATGTTGTCTATCGTCTCGTTTAAGATGCCCTTCTCTCGGTCTTTACTGTTCAAACAGCTGAGCATTTCCCTTGTATGTAACCCCATGGATGAACTGCCAAGTCGTATATCCCCGGAAACAAATTCTCCTTTGACGGCAGTCGTTAGCCTCCGGAACGACGACCAGGCTGCAGATCTCGAGCCACAGAAGACGACCGCATCCCGTGCAAGGAATAGCTCCTGGATGATCCAAAGTCTTGTCCAGTATGAACGTCGATACAACATATCAAGCGCGTTTCCGCTGGCTCCCTGCAGGTCTATCTCCTCTTGCTTTGCCTCTGCACATAGGTCGAAGATGAGGTCGGATTCAGTGGTGCCCGGTCCCAGCCAGACGAGAACCTGCTGTGCCTGACGGTATAGATCGCCCATGCGCTGCACTTGGTCATTCCGCTCAGGGATGTCTTCCTGGTTTATGCAGATCGCGTCCGCGAAGAACAGGGTGCTTTGCTGCTCACTGCTGGCTAGAACTTCCAGGAAGCTGTGTAAACTGTCTCCGATCAGGAAAGGACTATCATTGATGAATATTGTTCGATCTGCCGTACCACTCCCCCATTCATAGGAGAGCGCATTGTACACCGGTTTGTCCGAGAGTTTGTATACTCCTAAGGAGAGTCTGAGAGGCTCAGTCGACGCCGTATCTTCGAACTTTAGAAGACGAATACGGTGTGCGTCTGTTGACAGCGCCGTGTGCGCGAACTTTGAACCATTAGAAGCCATAGGGGCCAGCTCCTATTGAATTTGAAAGAGGCAATGTGTATGCAGGAATTTAGAATATTTGTGTTAATAGTGGGCGTGAATCTGCTTCGTAAGAAGGATGTGTCTAAGATAAATAGGGCCAGTTGTCAGCGGGGCTATGCACGCGGGGCTGTGGATCCCATCGTGACTATAATTAACTAGTAGGCGACTATGTTCTTATCGCTAGCTTGGAGCCTGTAGGCGTTTGTTCTTAGGTAAGAGCTTAACCATAGATGAAATGAGGCTGAAGCACGTACTATGCCGGAAATATGCGGTGAATGAGTAGGAACAGCCCTATAGTGATTGAATTACAATCCATTACCATGTGCAACCTGTTCGACCCCCGATACACGAAACGATCTCGACTAACCCTTGAATAATACAGTGAAGGGGGATAATTCATGTCTGATAAGCTATATGCACCTGCTAACTATTGAAGTACACTTACAGGGTGAAGTCTCAATGGAAGAAGTTACTAGTTACGATCTTGTGTCAAGATTAAGGCGATACATCTTACCAAACAATCAAGGAATGAATATAGCAGTTATATATTCCATAGATATTCTATACATAAGATGTCCTCCAGCAGGTGAAAGTATGATGCTCGTATTATATCATCGATGGGTCATTTACTTCTTCTCGCCCTCTCGACCAATTTTCTATCCTCCACCATCTCACTACAATCATTCAAACTGCTATAACTATGGAACAAAACTCTCCCGAGAACTACTATCGGATCGGCTCAGGAGCCTGTGGTACTGTGTGGGCTAGAAGTCTCGACGGCCCTGCAATCAAACGAGAGGATGGCGGTCCGTCTCGATCCCTAGCAAACGACTTTGCGATGCACAGGCGAGCACTTGAGGCTTTTCGCAAGTTGACATCTACCAAAAGCCGCAAACAGGATCAGCTCATACAACCCCAAGCCCGCATCCCACAATGTTACAGCTACTTGACCCCCGAGGACATCTGGTGGGAAGAGAATCTCACACGGTTCCCCCTCGGATACTCACCCTGCAATGCGATCTCCTCCAAACGCATCCCACCGTTTCCAGAGAATGTAAGGGCACTTCTTGTGGAGAAATACTGCCCTCCGGACATTAGAAACCAAATCCTGTCTAGCGCAAGCAGTCGGGCCTGTCTGATCAGACCATACATTGGTCGCAAACGAACCTACCGAACGGCAATGAATATGAACTCGAGATTTAGAAGCTTTTCGTTGCAGAACTATCCGCTCCATTTGGATCAGATGGTCGAGCTGGGGATTCCTTCTGACCACATCGAATGCTATGCTGCCATGATGGGGGAAGCATTAGCCACGCTGCACTGGCTGGGCGAGATGGATGGGAACGACGTCGAGTTTGTTCTCGCTCCGCCACCAAGACGGGGCGATGGCAGCACCATTGCCATGACAAATGTGTTGGGACAGCATACCCTGTGGATGCTGGATTTTGATCTTTGTTGCTCCATTTCTATGGATTTCGAAGGCGTCCAGCAAGCTGTCAAGGGGTTTTGCAGAAATGATCCCTTCTATCCGCGGCCGCACACAGACCAGTGGAGTGCTTTTCGCCAGCAGTATTTGCAGACCTCGGTCGATTTGATACAGAGATTTCATAAGGATGAGGCAGAGACTCGACTTAGCCTTGCCAGAAAGTTCATCGAATTGATCGAGACCAAGTAGAAGTGGACACTGTGATTCGCCGTGAATGCAGGTGGGGGATGTGTTACTTCTAAACAAGATATCGCTCCCTATCCACACCTTGCCTCCCTCCTCACTCAACCCACAACCTTCAAACGTCGCTTGAGCATCTTTTCATTTCATAGCTTCTGATATAGCTCCACCCTCTTCAACATCACCGTTAACAATAATCGACACCTTCCAACATCATTTTGACCAATGACGAGCCGACGAGAAAAACAACACACCGACAGCTCATGGACGAGTTCCCTACAAGATGCCATGGAGCAAAATCTCCACCTTGAGCAAAAGCTACTTGATGAGGAGATCAATACCCCTCAACTCCTCTTAAAGCGGCTGCTCTCAACAAGATCTGTGGTGTCAACATCTTCGTCGTTCGCAGAACGTCAACAAGCAGCCGTCGGCTGTACGTCCCCTTTTCGAGAGATTGGCACAGGATCGATTGGGAAGGTATTTGAACAGGCTGGTACATTGTGGGCATTTAAGGTACTCCTTATAGATCGGACCGATAAACTTTGGAACAATTACTTGATGCACCTACGAATCCAAGATAGCTTCGACCGACTTGGTGACGGCTCAGAGGCCTTGAGATTCCTCGGACTGCCTGGTTTGCAAATAAAGCATCCGAGTTCTGGTCCGAAAACATCCACCTATTCCCAGATGATCCTACGCTCCCTCGTCGACCCCGAGAAATCCTGTGCATGGAAAGAATATTTCCCCTTCCCCAGCCAATCCGCCATGCACTGATCGATCTTTTCTGCCACCCGAATAATGCCGCCATGGCAAAGAGCGATGCATCGAACAAAGATTGCCTGGTACGCCTGTTTTTTGGTCGGAAGCGCTACGGGGCATCGCGTCCTGGGGGCAGTCGGTTGTTTTCCCTGAGAAATTACAAACTGCGCGTCGATCAGATGGAAGACCTGCAACTAGATGCGGATGAATATGTGGTTAGCATGGCGGACGCACTCGCCATTATGCACTGGCGTACTAAGATCGATGCCATGGATGTTGAGTTCGTCCTTGGAAGCACACCGTTCGACCACAATGCCGTCCGTCGCCCTCCACCGCTTCAAGACATCGTACGCCTTACACCTGGAACAAGTACATTTGAGCGCGCTACGAACACGGCCCCTAACTTCAAGAAGCGCATTGTGAGCCTTTGGTTGCTTGACTTCGATGCTTGTGGTCCTATTACCATGAATACAGCAGGAGTTAACCAGGCAATTAAGGCTTTCATTGAAAATGAGCCCTACTGTCCCCGTCCCTACATGAAAGACACTTACTCAGAGCGACTATGGCGCATATTCTCCCAGCGTTACCTGGAGACAGGAAGAAAGATAACTGCTGGCAGTCCTTCGCAGTCGCTGCCGCGGCAATTTATTCAAGGTGTGATGGCCAAGCTGTCGCCGCCAGACCAACTCCCACCGCGCCAAGCTACAGGCACAGTCTTAGGAATGAGTGAATCTTCAGGGACCAGAGGGCCTATACCTCAACAACCACAACAACAACAGCAACAACAATTATCGAACCGGACCCCATCTAGACGTGGTCAAGACGGGCAAAGGGGTGGCAGGGGCTCGACTGTTGGCTCGTCAAAGAAAGGCCCTGGAAATCGCGGACAAGGTCGAGGATATCGTTGAGCTGTGGGTTCCCATTTAGTATTGCTGACGGGGAAAAAAAGGAACTAAGACAGGATGAACATGGGGAAAATGTACTGTTTACTTGAGCACACAGTTAAGTTTAGGAAGATATTCAATTTCATCTATTGCAGAGTTCCTTTTAGAGCTCATCTTAATTGCACCATCGAAGGGCTGTTCAGTATCCACGGCCTTTCCATCCGTGCAATAGCCATAAGAACGTCACTATTCTGCCCCAGTTTGTCCACCGGCTGGAAAGCCAATGAGGTAATAATGATAGGACGACCAGACCGTCACATTATGCCTTGTAGCAAAGCTTCGGCAACTCAAGACTACCAGTAGTGTGTTTCGTTCCAAAGAGACCTCTGTTGTCGTATCAGCTCATTCCAAGATGAAGAATATCACAGCATCATATCTGATTGCCATACTATCTTTGGCGGCCTTTGCGTATTCCAGTCCGGATGACGATCTGCCGAACTGCGGATATATTGTTTTCGTCTGCGCCAAAATGTTCAACTCATACAATGCCTTTCATGAATGCGTTCGCGACGAACGAGGATGCTCCTGGCGTGACTGAATGGTTATTGTTCTTGCCTCACAGACTACGTTTGTCCTATCGCTGACCCAGATTGCCTTCCCTAGCGTTTGATGCCTATATATCGTTGGTCCAGGTACTCGAAGACTACGACCTGATTGCTGTCCTATCTTGAACGCGATACTGAGATGAAAGACGGGAAGACAAGTGGTGGTGTGCTTTACGGTGGCTAGCAAGCTAGAACTATCAATTTCGAATATGACTCGCCCAGGTGGTTTGAAATATCATATTACTATGCATGCAAGCTTTAATTGTCAGTCATATACATTCACAGTCTTTCCACATCATTACGCATATAAACGTAAGGCGTAATGCGCATATGACTTGATGTCATCCACTTATCTCTCGTCTCAGTTCCTGATTCATATTTACCTGAACCGTGCAGTGCAGAAGCTCTGATATGCACTACTCATTAATTATGTCCCTCAACATGAACAGACCCGTTGTTTTCAATACCATATGGGGCAGGAGGATTCATCAGGAGTTAAAGGAGGGCTTGCTATCCCTTGTTAAGCCTTGTCAATTGTCCATTGGGGTCAGATTAAGCTATTACTGTTCACGTCTTTCAGGGCATTAAAGATAGACCTAGTGTCGCCATACCCTCCGACTATAGTGATTAACCTAGTCTAGTTGCAAAGGTTAGGCGCTTCTGATATAGTAATTCTATGTGTTCATTCCAAGGACATGGTAGCTACTAGCTAGACAGCAGATGTCATACAGCATTTTGCGCACTCCCCTTCTCCTGCGATGGACGCGTGTCCTTCTGCAACCCCCATTCACCTTCCCCAATTCGTTTCCCATAAAATCTAACCAACAGCCCGACCGTAACCGGACCGATAATCGTGTTCAACAAGATCGCCCAGACACCGGTAATGAACCCCTCCTCACTCACGTACTCCGTGGAGTTGTACCCAATCTCAATAATCAAGAGACCAATCTCGCCACGTGCCACCATCGCAGAACCAAGTAACAAGGCTGATAACATTGTCGCATTGTCCTTGGGAGTCTCAACAGGTACGTCCGGAGCTTGGGAAGACTCCTTATCTGCCTTCCCGGCTTTTGATTTAGTCCCTGGCAGGTATTTCCATATAGGGATCCATATTCCCACGACAAACTAAACCCGTTAGCGATACTCTCTGCTGAATATATGCAATGAACGCACCTTTGCGACAACCATTAGAAGCGTGTACAAAATCCCCCTCCAAATGCGCTTCCCCGTCCACAGCTCCACAAACGGAATGGCGAACCCGATACTGGCAAAGAACAGAGGCTCCATCAGATACGTCTGCACCCCGAGAAGATAGGCCTCGAAGGTATGAACGAAGGTCGGGCTTTTATCCTCATTTTGCTCGCCTTCTTCGCGACTCATGACTACGAACGGGCCATCGGGACGCTTGCTCGGCAGGTAGGAGAGAAAGGTTCCGGCGAGGAAGGCGCCAAAGAGGACCGATGTGCCCGTGTACGCAGCGATGGAGATGAATGCGCAAAGCACAAGCGTCATCAATATGATGTTCGAGATGTGGTCGTAGCGTGCGAAGTGGAACTCGATGTATTTTCGGAATATCGGCGCAAAGAGAAATTTCGTCACGAGGGGGGTCAGAATGGCCATTGCCACCGACGCTACGATGGGACGACCTATGATCCAGCCGAGGTTGGCGTCACTGTTGGAGAGTTTTCCCAGGTCGGAGATGATGCTGTTGATGTCGGGGTAAGTATGTGTTGGATTTTTGAGATTTGGGGTACTGACCTGGAAAGCACGAGACCAACTACATCGTCAATGACGGCTGCGCTTACGAGGACTGAGCCCACGCGGGTCTGAGCGAGATCGACTGTCTTGGATGCTGATGAGATTACCGCGAACGTGGTGCCTAACCAGTTTGTTAGATCGCTCAAGACCAAGTTAGGGTTTGGCTGCGGGTTCTTACCCAAAGAGGTGGCGGAAAGTGCCGCCCCAATGATGAACGTCTCGACCGCGCCTGATTGACGTTAGATCATTATTCATAGACAGGATGAAAGGTCGGAGAATACCATATCCATATCCTAAGTATAGTAGCAGATAAGAAAGCCCGATAGGAAAACACACCCCCGTGGCAGCGCCAATCGTGCTCACCACCAAATTTTCCTTCAGAAGATCGAGTCGGGCGCCAAGACCACCTGGAGATGATTGACGTCAACACCGACAGACGCCGCAGAACTTTCAAGTCACCAACCTTCAAATATAATCAGGATCAAGCCAACATATCCCAGCGCAAGGAAAGTCTGTTGCCAGTTCCATTCAAGGATATTTGCCAGCGGTACACCGTAAATGATGCCAACTGCAATCTGTCCAATGATCCCAGCGCGGAGAACTTTGGCGGAGACCCATTCCGCCAAGGAGAGGAAAAAAAAGAATGAAATGATAATCAGGATTTCAACAACTAACTGAGTGAGCTGTGCGATCGTGTGTAGTATTAGGGACGAATAGCAACGGGCTGGGACTTACTACCGGGCTCGTGGTACGGGAGGAAACCACCTGCCATCGTGTATGAGCGGACTACGTCGGAGCATGGAAGCAGTAACAACCTCCAGCTGGGGCGAAAGGGCCATCAAATAGTGAATTTCTGAACTACAGATATCCCAACGACAGTATTGGCATTAGCTAAGATTTCTCTTGGGTGTCAGTCAGGAAGGCGAAGATGGTGGAAGGTGGAGTAAGGCCAAGAGACTTAAGTCTTGGGTCCTTCATGAAGACCCTGAAAGAATGAATGCAACGGTCTGGACTCATGTGATACGGCCTTAGTTTCTGTGGGGACTTCGTGGGATATGGCATAAGGCCGACGCTAGAATCAGTAACTGTGGAGCATATCCAGACTTTGCCCGAGCTAATTTATAAGCTCAGGTAGCTGCAATGCTTATCGTGATCCATCTCCTCGAGAAGTTGAGAATCATAATTTCATATTGTGTAGATGAAACTAGAGTGCGTTGTCTGTGAGAACATCATTTTTCACCTTTTGCTTTCTTTTCTCAGCAGGTATGCTCATGTCCACCATGACAGGAAAAAATGATTCGGCATATCCGCCTGAAAAGTTTATGATCCACCTCTCGGATGATCATTAATGTCTGAGTCTCCACTGCCGCCCTGTAGGTAATAGTTAAAGCGAAATAATATGTCCAGTTGTACCCTTCTAGATGAGTGTTCAGCTCACCACGATTTAATCGTACCCGTCGAGGGTGCCGAAACATCTACAAGCTGGTCAAACAGATAAGCATCCGAAGGATATGTGGCAAAATGATCCCCGTTCTGTGACCTCAACCCTATCATCTCCCGAAGTTGGCACTATGCAAAGATGGATTGGATGACCTGGTCTCCGGATACAGGCCAACGAACGCAAGGACTAGTGGATACAAGAGAACAATGTGGGTTGACTATACAAGCACTGCAGTCATGTGTACCTCAATGAGTAGGAAAATACACACTGTTCGCCCCGGTAGAGCCCAGTATCATCTCGGATCATGCTGCGCTTTACTCCGAATATGAGATTTAGCTTGAGTATCACGTACACCTGAAAGAAGCGCCCTGAAGTTGCCGCCATATATTGGTTGCATCATATTTTGCTTGACAGAGGGGACAATGTCATCATCAAAACTAATGCAAAACAATGAGTCGGAGTGAATAAAGAGCAAAGGGCATTGCCGCAATACTCACAACTAAGCGCCGTGATTGCCGAATGCTTTGTTAAATTTATACAAAGGTCTCGCATACTTTGTACTCTCTTGTTCTTTACGCAAATCCCCTTTTATTTTGGTCCGGTCAGGGCTACATGACAATTATGGCCTAGCAGAATTCCCCGTCTCGAATTTGGCCGTCTGGAAATCTCCCAGCGATCTCCCGAGATACAGTAAGATATAAATGTCGGCCTATCTACCATACAGGAGTTGATAGTGACTCTCACACATCCTATCCGAGGAGCCCAAGTGCTAGTGTCCAAGGCCAACACTCTACCCCAATATCCCAGAAATAACACGTCCGCCAAAGATACAACATCCCTTTACCCCATGGCGCAACCACCATCCGTGCCAGATAATTCTGTGGCGCAATTGCGCACGAATCGAATTTTGAAGAGACGCTTGAAAATTACGGCCTTTGTTCTCCTAAGACTGCTTATCATTGGGGCCTTCATACTCGTCATCTTATCTGCCACTGGGGTTGTGGGTATTGGTTCCACGAAGACAAAACCAAGGAGACCTAGATAGTTTCTTGCCTATCAGTGGTGCTTAAAATGACCCTTTATGTGGCAAGGGTGTGCGAATATGGATCCGGTTAGTTTCGTTGAACGGTTAGTCAGTTATGTGCCCACGATATAGAGGGTTACTATACCACTACCTATCTATCGGTTGTCTTACTTCTTCGTGAGTGCATTCAGTGAACTTAGATATAGAGGTTTGAGTGCGTCGCAGCGTTCTATTCTAGATATTCTGCAATGCATGGTGACATTCATGGAACTGTACGTTCGGTATGTGGCAACAGAAGCAGGTTTGCATTTTGACTTTGTCCTATCTTTGCTCTTTTTTTACCTTGTCGCTCCTTACTGTGATATCAGTAAGACTCTGAATTGAAGGCTCTGCTTATAGCGCGTAATCTTATACTGAAGTCCAATCTACGGAGTAATATATAAGTAAATCTCACGTTGGAAGTGCACATGCTTTTGCGAACCTTTTATGTACGTGATAGATAGCAAGCTACAGGATCGTACCTTGAAACGTACCTGGCATTATTTCAAAAGTCCAGTCCTCTAAAGGGCCAAGTCCCTACTTACATCATTAAGAATAGCTTTAATGTATCTAACCCGGATAGGTATTGGCAACTCCTTCCGGTTTTCGTGAAGTTTATCCTAGAATCCCGATGTGATGTCAAGATCCGACAACGTCAGGAAACGAACCTTTGCCAGACAAGGTAAATATGCCGGCAACCTGCATTTCAAAAATAGTCAGGAAAAATTATAAAGGAGTTGTTGGTCACCAGGCTTCTCTCATATAGAGACATCTTCAGCAACCTTCACGCCTGCTTTGGCTTCTGTCAATGGGAAATAGTCCTAGAACAACATGTCATCGATCGAGCTTCAGCCATCTCCACATATCCACATCCCTAAGAATCTATCGGCTGGAGTCCCCGACCTCAGCCAAATCAATCAAACGTGGAAAGGAATATCCTCGAATATCCCCAGTTCCTACACAATGACGGAAAAGCCTGGTTTCGACACGATAACTCCAACGGAAGATAATTACATGGACAAGCGAGACCCCGACCCAACCCCAACCGCTTATTGGCCTTGCCACAGTTACTTCGAAAAAATGACACCAGCGACCAAGCCAAGTAACGGAGAGTTACCTTCTCCCGGAGCGAACGGACGAGAGCATCCCCACGAAATCTTCTTTCTGGAAATAGCTCAGAGCTCGAAGATCTCGAACCGAGGCTTTTTCAACCACAATGGACAGATTCTCTGCAGTGTGGATGGCGGCAAGAATGTCACTGCACTAGTATCTGGACTTAATGGTCCTGACAGTCTTGAAATCTCACAGTCGGTCGGTCGCATGTTTTGGACGAATATGGGGCTTCATACATCTAACCAAGACGGCTCGGTGATGTCGGCAAATCTCGATGGGAGCGATATAAGGACCGTCATTCCCGACGGTGCAGTGCACACGCCCAAACAACTGGCTGTCGACGATCAGAACCGGAAGCTTTACTTTTGCGATCGTGAGGGCATGAGTGTTCACCGTTGTGATTTCGACGGCCATAACCACGAGATCCTAGTTCTCCGTGGAGATTGCAAGAGCAGCGACAAGGAAGATCAAATGCGGTGGTGTGTGGGCATAACCTTGGATCTCCAGAACGGGAAGTTCTACTGGACACAGAAAGGGATGAACAGAGGACACAAAGGGCGCATTTTCCGTGCGAATATCGATATGCCGTTTGGGGAAAATGCCCTCTCTCGATCAGATATTGAGACGTTGTTCGTGGGTCTCCCCGAGCCCATTGACCTGGACTTTGTGTCTGAGACGCAGACAATTTACTGGACCGATCGGGGCGAAGATCCGTATGGTAATACCCTGAATAAGGCGAGATTTGGAGGTGAGGAGCCCCAAGTACATATTTTGGCACGGCAGTTTCATCAGCCTATTGGATTAAAGGTTGATTCAATCAACCAGTCCGTCTATGTCACTGACTTGGGCGGAAGTCTGTATCGAGTCAGTGTGGATGGGGGTGGAAAGGAGGTTATACATCGTGGAGATGGGTTTTACACTGGCATCACTTTTGTGTAAGATTTCTGCCGTCAGTGTAATTGAGGTTCTAGTGAGCGTATCCGACAACGTGTTGGATATGCGTCTTCAAATAAAGAGCCCTGTGTAGAAGTAGCCTCTCGGCATCTCATCCGCGGATGCCGCTAACCTGTCCGCGGGACTCGTAGATCAAGTCCTCGGCAAGCCGGCCATTTTCCACGGGCCCGCGGTATTGATGGATGGACCATGTATATGCCCCAGTTCTCTAGGAAATTTCCCAGTATCGAATAATCAACAAACAGATATATGGAAATCGTAGGAAATTGGGCTTTCGGAATCGGGTTGCCGAGTTTTAGTAGGTGGCATTGAATATATATAAAGCGCCTTCCCGAGCTTGATAACGCACCAACATCACATAAAACTTATATGTGCAATAACATTCATCATCCCTAATACTCAGTGATTATACATTTACTTTCAAGATGTCGGCTACAGGCAAGAAAGAGATTAAAACAGTCGCTATAATCGGCACCGGCGTTATAGGAGCCAGCTGGACAGCATTATATCTGGCCCGAGGGCTTAAGGTCCTAGTGACGGATCCTGCTCCGAACGCAGAGAAGAACCTCGAGACATACTTGAACGCACAATGGCCAACACTTACTCGAATTGGTCTCAGCGAAGGCGCTTCTCTAACAAATTATACCTTTGTGGAATCACTGGATAACCACTTCGACGAGATTGATTTCATACAAGAGGTACCGTTTCCTGTACAGATACTGTCCGCCATCCTACTAACCGCAACCAAGAATGGCCCCGAGCGGCTAGAATTCAAACGCACTCTGTTCGCCTACCTAGACGAAAAAGCACGCCCAGAGATCATAATCGCATCTTCGTCGTCCGGAATCCCATCGTCCGAATATGTGTCAGCGTGCCGTCATCACCCCGAACGGGTTCTGGTCGGGCATCCTTTCAACCCACCACATTTGATTCCTCTGGTGGAGGTTGTGCCACATGCATCGACAGATCGAGAGACTGTTGTCCCACGAGCTATGGAGTTCTACAAGAGCCTCGGAAAGAAGCCGGTGCTTATCCAGAGAGAGATCCCCGGGTTCATCGTCAACAGACTTCAAGCTGCCGTATTGATGGAAGCATATAGTTTGGTGAGCAGAGGTATTATTTCTGCGGCTGACCTAGGTAAGATTTTATATTTTCTTCTGGCATTATTGATTCTCAGGTAGTTGATACAACGCTAACACTAATAAATTTGCAAAGATACCACAATGACGTCTTCTCTTGGTCTACGGTGGGCGCTCAATGGACCTTTTGCCCTGAACGCTATGGCGGGCAATGGGAGTTTTCAGCACTTCTTGGAGCATCTTGGTCCGGCGGCTAAATCGTGGCATGATGACATGCATGAGCATACGTTTGAAATGACGCCTCAAGCAATCCAGGATTTAAGCAAAACAGTCGAACCGACGGTGCAGGCAACTGATTTGGATGCTTTACAGAAGGAGAGAGATGATGTACTCTTGAAACTTATGGACATGAAGTCGAAGTCATCTCTGTTAGACTAGAGCTAAGCGGGTCGAACAGGGTGATTGGTAGAGTATGGTTATATATTATAAAATTAGCTTATAGACTGGATAGCCTCACTTTATACGGTGGCAATCTCTTGTAGGGGTCTATCGTGTTGTGTCGGTGCCAACGAACAATACCTATTCATTGAACGATCGATGTACAGCACATACCTTTCCAATTCTGGCCTTGCTTGATTTAAGGGGTCTGGATGTCGGAACATAGCGTAGAGTTCAAGACTAAAGCCGCTAGGGATACATAAACGGAGGAGAGGTAGATGACCCCCAGACGATGACACCCCGGGATATGAACGTGCATCGAGCACACCCGCTTCCTAAGAGAGTTAGCAGATTCCCAATCTCTTGTTGTCGCTCGGCCGACTTTGCAGGTTGGTGGAAATAGGATTGTCTAACATTCCGCAACGCTAATTGAAACAGGGAACCGGGGTTTGAGAAGAAGCAAGGGGTACGCCGGGAGTACCTGCCGCCATCGACCTCACACGAACGTCAGGATCCCATCGTGTATAGACATGAACATGATGAGACTCAATAACGATTATGATTTAATTCGGGAGAAGAAAAAGAGAGTTCGAATCTATGTAACGGACTACATCTTGTGTACAGGGCATACGTAGTGGAGAATCGAGATAGGCTAAGTGGTGGTGATAGACATGGTCTGTAAACTCTCATCCCGTATAACATTGCCACAACAATGATAATATGTCTAATATTGTGGAAGGCCTGGTGACCGAAAGAATATCTGATCGACAGTCTGTAGGCGAAATGGGTTTTATTTGAGTGTGTTGACCGGAATGTAGACGGCAGGGGACTAACTCCAGCTGGAATGCAGCATAGTTGAATCTACACAACATGTCAACAATGCAGTTTTGCTGACACCTTCACTTGGAGATACCGAACATAAATTTGGATTCAAACCCACATCCTGTCTCACTATTGTGGCGTTTTACAGATCACAGGCCGCCGAATTGTCTATACATTCAAAATGAAACCCTACAGCTTGCTCAGCAGTTTAGCTATCCTCGGCCCTGCAGCCTTGACGGCTGCACAAACCCTGAACATCGTTGCACACCAAGACGATGATCTACTCTTTATGGCCCCAGACGTCCTCAGCGAAGTACGGTCAGGCCGAGCCGTCCGTACCGTCTTCCTCACAGCCGGAGACGCAGGCAGCGGCGAAGCGTACTGGACAAGCCGTCAAGCCGGTTCCCTAGCGGCCTATGCACAAATCGCCGGTGTTGCCAATGAATGGAACGAAGGCGATGCAGGCATTGAGGGATTTGACATCCCAGTATACGAACTCGCAGCCCAGCCCCAAATTGAACTCGCCTTCCTACACATCCCAGATGGCAACGGGGATGGCTCAGGTTTTGCTTCCACAGGAAGCGTCAGTCTTCAGAAACTCTGGGAGGGAACCATTGACCAGATCGGCACAGTCGACGCCTCCGGCACTACCTACACGAGACAACAGCTTCTTGATGTCCTGTCCGATATTATTGAAAACTTCAGCCCCGACCGCATCAACACTCTTGACTTTGTCAACGATCTCGGCGACGGCGACCACAGCGACCACCACACGACTGGGTACTTTGCTGATCACGCATCTCAGGCTGCTGACAATGATGCGGCCTTCTTCGGCTACATGGGTTATCCCGTCTCTTCCCTGAGCGCGAACTTGAATGCTGAACAAATTGCCGATAAGAAGGCCATTTTCTATTTCTATGCCGGCTATGATTCTGCTACCTGCAACAGCGACGCTGCTTGTGCCGGTCGACCGGAGCTTGCTTGGTTGGAGCGGCAGTATCAGGTATGATTTGGGATTTAATGACATGAATGTGATACGGGAAATTCAATTGAGAGTTGTCAATGCCTTCTTAATGTCAAGAGGAGCGCTCTTGTCTGACTTTACTCGTGGTGGACCGTTATGATTCTTGAGACAGAACATTGTATGTAGCGAATTTAATGACACCAAGACGACCGTGCCCAGCGGTCTGCTCCCACCTATGATTTAATCAACAATACCTCTTCATGCTTTTTGCAATGCATATGCTACATGAACTATTTAGTCGCAACCTCATGTTCCGCCGAATCCACGATGTAACCCTCCTATTGATCACCACTAAAAACTACTCTATTCATCTTTTCGCACGAAGGTTGACATAGCCAGGAGTATGATCCAGCAGAGCTAGAATCTACAGTAGACCTTAGTTGGTAAGATAAAATTTCATACGCTAGCGCAATAATCGCGCACCATTCTTCCTTCGAATTTGCACCGGAAATGACAATTACGGTTGGCCCTCGAGGATGAGGGCCGATGCGCCATTTGTGCGTCAAGATAATCCACTAGTACTAGTAGTGAGCCCGAGGACGATCGTTGGTTACTTGAATGGTCCCTAATTGGCTGTCGTCGTTGTACATGATGGTCTCATGTTCTTTCCTACACACGAGACCTGTTAAAGCTGGTTGGTTTGGGGCGGATTTATGGAATATACGCGCACACATTATCTTGACACGAGCATATATTGGTTAGCAGAAATGAGAATATGTATTTATTAGATATATATTATCCGCTGGCCGCCCACCATGTGTCCGGCCGTTTATGGCGGTCTCCCCTTTCGAGGCTTCATTCGGTGGGCCACCGAATGTTGGCTTAGATAGACTGAGGAACCCCGTCAATTTCGCCACTGTGAACAGCTTTGCCCTTTCCCTTGATGGCTGCGAGCACGGCATTGTATGAAAGCGAGGGTTCGGCGATGACGGACACGGTTTGCTGGCCAAGGCTGATATCGAGGGACTTGAGCCCTGTTGAGATATTCACCCAGTTAGTATGGATGGCACGGGCAATGTAGACACAGGCCTATGTACGCCATGGAAAACGGGACCCTGGGATTCTATTGGTAGTCACGTACCGCTGAGTGGTCCAAGAGCTTCCTGGATAGCATTAGAACAGCCGGGACATCCCATCTTGACGTTGAACTTGTAATGATGATTGGACATTGTTATGACTTTTGTTTGGGGGCTTGTGGAAAGAGTTGAGAAAAATTAGTCGCAGGCAACGGTATGTTTAAACGCAGAAATTGGGCAAACAGTATGTGGTGGGAGCCTGATTTGGCTAATGGAGAGAAGAACTCTCTCTCTATTTGTAGGCCGAGCGATGACTCTATCCGGTGAGGCATTTGTGCCCAGAGCCCAAGCCGTTGGCTTCCCTTCGTCTTTCCGAATACCCGTAGAGTCTTTTCAAATCCGAGTGTATGGCCCTGCCGTTCTGGATGTGCGTCGTTCTGTGCGCCATTTTCGCGTTAGTTGTTCCTCAACTGGAGGGTAGACACCTTACAAATAGCTCAATATAATTATTCTTCATCTAGGTACATCAACCCCCAGCAGCCTATATGAAGCATGCAAAGAAGTTGTCGAATTCTGATTTTAACAGCGGGTTCTATTTAGTGACCTCCAGCATTACTAGATCGATCATTGTTAAAATATTATCTTTCTGGCGCTTACAGATGGATACTCTACACGAGTAGCAAAACAGGTCCAACTAGCTGTCCACCATCTGGTTCCAAAACAGAAATTTCCATATCACAGACCAGAAAACGATGCATAAATACAAAGCCTTCAGCAATATGAGCAAGTAGAAACTTGAGATTGTCCATTCTGCTTCATGTAATCGGTATATCACACAGACACTAGAATCTGCCCCCGGAAATCTCCGGGCTCGGGGCGGGTTCGGGACGTGGTTAGCGGGTTTCCCGTACCACTCCAATTCTATTAATATCTGTGTCTAATAGGAGAACTCTACTACGTAGATTTATGTATAGCTTTTTAAGATAGAAGTATGTATATTATACTATTATTGAAATACTGATTTAGTTTGTAAAAAGTCTGTTATTTAAAAATCTCGAAAGTGCAGATGGAACAGCTTCACTCGCGTCTTGTCTTCAGGAGCTACATCATCTCTCCGATGCGGACTTGCTTGACAAGTTCATTTTTCACATCTCCATGGCCCGTGCCTTCAACTTTTCTAATTGTCAGTTCTCTGTCGGAGTGTGGTGTACAGGTTTGGCGAGTTGTGTCTTGTTGCTGTTTCCCTGTTGATCTAGCTCGCCTCTGATATCACATTTCGCATCGCTTTTGTTTTCCCCACTAGACCATTGTGTCGATCAAAGTTTCGAATTAATCTGCTTGCCCCGCAATTGCGATCTATCTTGCCGCTACTAAATCTGTTCCGAGGTCAATAATCAAATATAAATGTAGGCTGACTGGGCTGTACGGTTGTTCTCAGGTTGCCGCCGTGCCCGCCTTCGTCCCTGTAAGGCACGCGGTGATCTTAGGCTATCAAGTGTGCTACTTAGGAGGTTCTAAGGCCCGCGAGAGGTACCACGCGGGTAATGTGGGTCTTTGATGAATAGCGTTGTACTGAGTATCATTTAACCCCTAGATTAGGTGCTTTACAGCCCCCACAATTCACTCCGGCCTGAGAAAGTAGATTCAAACACAGGTCTACATCTACAATCCAAAGCCAAACACCCTGGACGATACTATTTGTATTTATTCCTAGTGCCTTGGGGACCGCAGCCTAGGGCTCTCTTGACTATTGATTACAATACAGATAGTTGATAGATATACATCTAGGGCGCTTGACGTTATTGCCGATCTATCTCGATACTGCCGTGGAATATAGTACCACACGGTCCGTAGTGGAATACTACTCCCCAGTAGGTTGTGTCGATCTTTGATCTTTAGGTTTCTTTTTTCTCCTTCCATAGACTCGTTTTCTCATTGTGGGATTTGCTTACATGCGCTTATCCATGAGTTAATGGACCAGTGGGTGATTTACGTGGCAATGCTTGGATCGGCATTTGTCGCATGGTAAGGAAATGCAAAAGGAAGGGATAACAAGGGATAATACCAAGGGCAGAAAGTGGGGCCCATCATCGGCACTCCTTAAGGGGCCCCGGACTTGTATGGCCCTATATATAAACTACACCATCGAAGTCACTGTGGGCGACTTTGCCTCCTCCTGAGCTTTCAGCATACCCCCCAGGTTGCCGTCAAGATGCCTACAACTCACGAAGCTCAAGTCAAACTTGAGCCGGCGTCATTGAAGAATCCACAATTTGCATCAGGACTCTTGGTGGATCAGAAAGGGGATAACCTTGAAGTAATATCAACTGAGGTCGTGGGAGAAGGCGACAGCTACTGCATACGAAGTCATAGCGAGAAGACATTCATTGTATCAGTCACCAGCCTGGTAATGATTTTGTGTATGATAGCCACAAACGCTATTCTCCCGATAATGCCCGTCCTAGCAAGTAAATATCATTTGTCTCCGACGCTAATCAGCCTGACCATCACTGTATTCATGCTCATACAGGGGATTTCACCAGCCTTGATGTCTGCGCTTTCTGACCTGCAAGGACGACGGCTGGCATGGGTTCTTGCATTGGTCTTATATACCGCCTCCAATATTGGACTCGCACTCCAGGACAGTTACACTGCGCTGATGATCCTTCGGTGTCTTCAGAGCATCGGAAGTAGCTGCGCAATCCCCTTTGGTTTTGCTGTTGTTGTCGATATTTCGTCACCAGCAGAAAGGGGGCGATACCTAGGTCCAATGCAGGGTTGTGTCATGTCCGCTTTCGCCTTTGGCCCCGTTATCGGTGGCCTTTTAGCGGCGCGTTTCGGTTGGAGAAGCATATTTTGGTTTCTTGCTACAGGCACTGGATGTTTTCTTCTCGTGTATGTTCTTGTGGTGCCTGAAACTGCTCGAAAGGTGGTTGGAGATGGTTCAATTGACCCGGGAGCATGGTGGAGGAAGCCGTTGGTCGATGTTTTCCCAGACCGCAGGCGTATTTCCCCAGGCCAACACCGTCATGAGAAAAACCAACAGAAAACGAATATTTCACAGATCTTCAGGGCATTCACGATTTTGAAGGAAAAGGACGCCCTCATCCTCATCGTGTACACCAGTCTGGTCTATTCCGGCATTTCGGCATTATGGGCGACTACAGGGAATCATTTTGACAAATTGTACGGCTTGAGTACCCTACAGGTCGGGCTCGCCTTTCTGTAAGCCACCTTGACTGTCCTGAGAACTCCAGCTTGTCTGACCATCTTCCTCTAGTCCTTATGGGATCGCCGGGGGCATCGGTTCGATAGTGAGCGGAAAGCTAATAGATGTTAATTACCGGCGCATTTCCCGACTGCGAGCCAAAAATGAAGAAAATCCCACAGCGGAAGCAAAGGAGACTCAAGGCGCAGAGTTCCCGTTTGAGGTTGCAAGGCTTCAAGTAGCGGCCCCGTTCATGCTACTTGTCGCTGCTGCCTACATTGCATACGGTTGGGTCTTGCAGAACCAGCTGCCACTTGTTGTCCCACTTGTCTTCCAGGCCCTTATTGGGGTGTGTGCGAATGCCTTGCTCGGCATCATATATATTCTTCTGGTTGATCTCTTTCCCGAACAATCTGCTGCAACATCTGGGGCAGCGGACTTAGTGAGGTGCTGGCTAGGTGCCCTCTCGGCAGCAGTTATTGACAAGATGTTGTCCGCTTTAGGTTGGGGTTGGTCTTTTACCTGTATCGGACTAACGATGGTCGTTTCACTTCCCTTGGTTAGTATTGTATACTTATATGGATCCCGTTGGAGAGAAAGCAGAAACAGAAATCCACAGTGTAAATAGATAATATCAATCTGACATAGCCGGGCCACCGCGTTCTTCACGCCAAACGTGAACTTCTTCAGGTACTTCGTAAACCATTGATGGCGAGCCAATTCTCCAAGATCACTTGAGATATGCCTAATGGCAAGTCTGCCCAGTGTTTGACCGGCAAACAATATTTGGAATATCTTTTGCCATTTTGTTGTTGATATACCAAGCATTTCATGGGAGCAGTTTGTGATGCCAAAAAAACTATTGCCTAGATTGATGCAAAGATATTGATTTGATTACTATGAGCCAATGCGCAAGGGAGCTTACATGCGCAAGTTGTGACAAACCAAAGCAAAAGCCGAAGAATCATAGCTGCATTTTGAGCAATCTTCTCCCTGATTACAGAGGGATATTCCAAAAGACTACCAACGTCAAGGCACAAGCTAAACAATTTGGTTAAAATGTAAACCAAAAAAAAAAAAAAAATTAAACACAACTCGAGCCTGTGTAAGTGCAAAGATATCAAGCGCCACCCAGGGCTGAGATAGCCTCAATATCCTTTGAGTAGCTCCCTACCACCAAGCGGCGTTGCACGGTGCCCTTGGCTGTAGTTTGGAATGGCCTATCAGTGGAGGCGATCAAAACACGGTCCTTCGAAATCTGCGCCTCGTGTGGAAGATCCTCATTGATCGTCTGAATCAAAGGCAAGATACCATCTATAACATCTCTAGGCATGTGTAGCTCCCCCCGCACTGGTTCTATGATGACCACCACACGAAGAGCAGGATCGGTTGTGACCACAGCCTTGGAGACAAGATGGTGTCCTTCCAAAGTAGTTTCAATCGGACGAGAATAGAGAAGCACCCGGTTTTGGAGCTTAGACATGTCATCACAACGGCCGACATGCTTCCACAGAGCCGGGTTTCCGGGATGTTGGGTGAATAAATCGCCGGTGCAGAATTCTTGGCGATCAGGCAAAACAAGAAAAGCACAATGTGTGAATCGCCCGGGAGGCCGCGGGATTACTAGCTGAGAGCATTCGTCACCATAGTGCCTCATTTCCACTGGATGATGTGGGTTCCATTCGAAGTATTCCCAGTCTTCACGTTTCAAAGGTTGTAGCGTACAGATGTACCCGGTTTCAGTGAGCCCGAGACAGGTCTGCAAGCGTGTCACTTGGCTGATTCTGTCTCCCACACTGGTCGGTAAAGCCACCCCAGCAAAACTAACGATATCGAGGCTTGCTATGGCTTCAAGGCCCTCCGCCGACGCACTGAGAGATGACAATGTGTCTGGCAAGAAAAGACCAGTCTTTGCCTTTGTCTCGCTCACAACCTGCTTCAGAAGTGAGGCCGTCAATGGCACATCAGGACCTATAACAAAATGTGTCCCGTGGAAAAGAGCAGCGGCCCAGGTAATTATACCACTCGCATGGAACAGGCTGGTTTTCAGGAAGAGTGGATGCTCCGGCTTCTGAAGCCAAGGGGCAGTGGAGACCCTTCCTGGAGGGAGTGGAAGATGTTTGAAGTAGTCCAGGGCATAGAAATATCCATGAGGCAGGGGGATCTCTTTTGGCAAGCCTAACAGTTGAAGAAGGGAGATTAGTTACTACATTGTGAAGCTTCACAGGGGCTCTTACCCGTGGTCCCAGAACTATATAGAATGAGGGCAGGATCTCGTGCTGGGGCAGAACTATCTTCACGGCAGTAGGAAGATGGTGTAGTCGAAGCAACGCTACTACTACCGAACCACTTCCAGAGCTCCTGCACTTCCCATATTTGAAGGTTTTCGTGGCATTTTTGAACCTCCTGCACCTTTTCACGAAATTTGGAAGTAAACAACAATTTGGAGCAGGCCCCGGTTTGTAATAGTGTGTTCGTGGTCGATTGTGGTATTGTCGGTCCTAAGAGCATTGCCTTCGAGTTGCCTTATCAATTACATGTGTGCCAAAAGACCATTCTTAGCAGTACCTACAGAGTGACCTAGCTTTAGGCATGCCAGGACGCATATAGCATAGCGGATATCGTTGGCACCAATGTAAACCAATCTTGTAGGCGTGGTCTTTGGGGCAATGCTTGTTTCCACCCATGATGCGAAAGCGTCAACCGCACGCGCCAGCTCTCCAACAGTGATATGGCGCCATCCGCAGTCCACTGAGTCAAGCGATAATGTGTGTATGCAAAAGAGACGATTCGGCCTCTCCTTGGCTTCTTGATCTAAGACTTGTGCCAGGAGACGCGGCTCGAATGTTGAGGAATCCATTGAGGTCGATGAGGGCAACAGTCCTCAAAATTTATTGCTTCGTTGTCTGGATTGCTTGTATTCGTGAAATGCAGGAGAAAGCGTAATATATATATCAATAGAATTCACAGCTATTGAGCGACCCATCTCCACACCCCTTGCGTCGCCGCGTCACTGGGACAAACCATCGTAGCAAGTCAACATCGCCGCTCATCTTTTATTTTATTTTATTTTTTATTTTACATGATGGCAGATCTCGCATGGGCCTTATAGGAACAAAATTGGAACAGAGAAGTGACCTATACTAAAGTATAAGCTTGAAGGCTTCTGGGAGATAATTTTAGGGCTAGATTGTAAAATTCTACATAACAGTCCCACACCACGCCATGTGAGATCTGAGATTGCGCTAAGCCACAAGGCATGCAGGGGTAGCTGCCGAGCGATGATCAATGGCGGTCTCAGCTGAGCCAAGCCAATCCCTCTTTGTGGGTCTTTGACGCTGCGCGTCCCTACTTCGGTCCTTGGGACATTCCAGTCCCCACGGCGATTGACAGGATTCGAGGGACGCAGTTCTCACAAACCACTAGCTCAAGCTTTTGAGGATCGAGCTATTCAAGGATGATGCAAGGCAACAGGGGAGACCTGGATCCGCAACATCACGCCTATTTAACTGGCATAGGGCTACGATGACGGCCAAGGGATTATTGAGTTTATTCGTCGACTCCAAAAGCATCCATGGATCGTCGGCCCATTTGATAACGAAGACGATGACCCAGTTGAGGAACCTAAGCCCCGTGAGCTTTGTGCTGAGCGAATTCTGCGGTGGAATCGTGAGCGTGTAAAAGCTACTGATGGCCAATGAAGTCGTAGATCCGCATAGCACAATCCGGCGAGTGAGCGTTGCAGCTACAAGGCCGACACGGGCCGCGTGCTAGCAGAGTCTGTCGAGATTTAATTATTTTACAATTCTTGGAGGCTTGTTCAAAGACAATAGGATGGATAGGATGTACTGTACTGGGAAGCCACAATGCCCTGAAGCCGCGTCTGAGTGGCGCCGTCCTCCCTATATCAATCCAGGTACAAAGTTCACATACATGGAAAGGGCCACCCTAGATACTGTCTCCATGATGTGAATTCTGCCCGTGATGCTTGACTGGGCAGTGCGTCGTGCCTAGTAACTCTTGGACGTAATCTATCGGGCGTTTGTCCATAGAGTACTAATAGACAGAAGCCGGCTGTCGTATAGTACATCATTGACCATGGCCCATGTTGCGCGATATGCAGCGGCGATGATTGTCTCGGCAGCTTTGAGACCTTCACTGTTCTAACAATCTACTGGCCGCCCCGAACACCCTACCTCTCTAAATCGTCGGCGCGTTTCTCATACCTTTCCCACTTCTGCTTCTCATCTGGGCGCAAAGGTCCTGGGAAAAAAGTCTTCAGCATACTCCTGCCCACGCGAGGATATGCGTCCTCGACCGCGAACAGCGTCGGCATGACTTTGATTTCTCCGAAAACCACCACCGGCCTCAATGGAATGCCAAAACTCTTCGGTGACCTCCTGACCCCCGCGGCAATTATGTTCTGGATGATCCCAAGACCGCCAACTGCGAGCAAAAACCAGGCATTGTGGCGTAGACCAGCGGCCGTGATTAGGAGCAAGATCCACAGTGTAGCAAGAACAATCAAGAACAGCCTGGTAGACAACGAGGCAGAAACATCAGCCGTGACCGGACCTGTTGCTAGATCTTCCAAGTCCAGACCTACATCATCCCCAATGATGACGATCGCATGCTGACTGCCGTTGCCTCTCGTGAGAATCGCTGTTTTGTCCGTTTTCCGGCGACAGGCCCATTTCTCTCGCTTCCACTGCGGGAGAGCGCCAACAGCAAAGGCGAGCGCTATCCCACTGCCTGTCACCAGCAGGATGCCCCAGTCCCCGTATATACCACACGGAATCGCTGCGATCCCTAGCTGGACAATGCTCGTGGCAAGCCCAAGGTAGTAGACCCAATCGCGGCCAGGATACCCTGGTTTCGCATTCCCGGCCTTGTATACCGACACGCAAAGACCCGCCTGTGTTGGTTTCTTAACCCGCGCTCCTGATCCTGGTTCCTCCGCCTCGGCTTTCGCTTTATCCAATTCCCAACGCTTCTCGATCATCAGCCTTAAGCGCGTATGGATCGGGCCGTCCTTGTTGCGATCGTCCATCCAACTGTCATAGTCCCGCATGATCCGGCCAATAACCCAGCTTGAATTATCCCGGACGTACCCCGTTCGTCCGTTGATGACTTTACACGCACAGTCGGGCAGGGGCATTAGTTTGTTCTCGCCGATAGCGGAGACGACGGCTGTAACGGCGTAGGCGACCCAGCCTAGATGGGATACGGCGTGGTCAGTGGGCAAGCGCAATAGCTAGGCATAGAGGGCTTCTTTTGAGGGGCCACACCGAACGAAAATGCTACAGGAGTCACGCATGAACCTGCGAGCTGGGCGAGCGCCCGGCCCACGACGTCGCCGCCGAGAATGAGGAGAACGGAGAATACATCGCTGGGGTTTGTCCACTGGTCGGAGAATGCGACGGATGGGGTGCTCGCGTTGAAGTTTCGGGGAACGATATGCAGGCTTGTTGGTGGCATATTTGTTAGGCGTGGATTCGCTCCATCTATGCTTGCATCAAGAAGGTCATGGAATGCAAGTCGCATGAGTCTGTTGGGAGACAGATGGACATGAGCCCAGCACTGGGATAGTGGTGTCATGCTCTGGCTTTGACTGTTTTCGACAAGCGCCTGATCTAGACTTTTCATTTTGGATATTACCATTTCATTGGATAGACCAGAGACAGAATCTTTGGACCTCGGGTCTAGTTTACTGGTCATGATACTGATCTTCGCCGGAGTCATCCTTTTGAAGCGTTACCACGGATCCAGTTCCCATCCTTCCATGGACGCCTCGTCACACCACTGATCGAACCGATCTACTTCGCACTGCTACACTAGGGCCCTCAGTATATGAATGACGATATCGTCAGACTTTCACAACCTCTACTTTCCACTTCCCACATAATATACGTTACTTTTCATATATTGCTATGCTCCAGTACATGCTTGGTTTGGCAGCGACTGCTCTCGCAGTCAAAATTGCTTTAATGTTCAGGGCTAAACCGGCTGCCCCGGAGCAGCCAGAAGCGGGTGAGTATATTATAACTGTTGATCGTGATGAGGTGCCCCGACTATGTAATATCATCCACGCGAGGGATCTCTGTGAATTCGAGACAATGCCCCGGTACCAAGATATAGATCCAAGAATCTTTGAATGGAAGGAACCGCCAGCCTGCATACTGTTTATCTCTCATCGATGGGAAACTCCAACGCATCCAGATGCAGATGGCGAGCAACTGAAAGCTATCATATTTCTGATGCAAGCGATTGTAAAACTCGCTTCGGTTTACGAGCTGCCCCTGGACCAAAGAACAGCGGTTGTTAAGACATTAAAGGTTCACGGATACCTTCAAGCTGCGAACATTGTCAGTAGAGTTGCAGATAACATCGGCGGAGTGGACGGAACAGTCTTGGACAAGATTGGTGTCTGGCTAGACTACATGTGTCTGCCACAGAAAAGCCCCTCGGGGGTTGATGATCGAACACCTGCCAACAAGTTACTCTTTAAAGAAGGACTCCGGCAGCTTCCCTCGCTGATCGCCTCCTGCGACTTCATTCTCAGCATTAGAGACCAGGGAGACGATTATATCCAACGAGCATGGTGTATATCCGAGCTCTGCTTCATGGACTGGAAGTACCACAAGAAGAGCATCGTCCTGAGACAAGACCTGCTCAGCCAACCCATCGACGACCAAATCCTCAACTCCGAGAGTTTCGAGTCAAGTTATCTGCCGAGCTACCGGAAGATGATCGAAGCATGGGACAGCAAACCCAGCTTCACTTGGAATCCCAATATGTCCTTCTGCTATGCCGAAATCGGACTCGCGGAATGGGACCGTGTCAGCCATTTCCGCGACTCAGTTGGACAACGTTCAACGCCTGCCCCGAGTGCCTGGCCAACTCCCTTCTTGACGACCCCCCTTGTGCCACTGATCTGGCCGCGCCACGAGGACTTTCTGATGCAAATCCGATTCCATCTTGTTCAAGCCCCTCCACGGAACGTGGATCTGATGATCGTGATCACTATGCAGGAGTGCGAGCTGTCTTGCCTCAACATCCAAGACTACGCCCGCTGTGGCCTCCACATTTTCCGCGCCCGCATGGCCGGGCATCCAGGCTGGAGGAACTTCGCCAATGACTGCCTCCATCGATTGGCCGATGGGAAGCCCCTCGTCCTTGCCGACGTTCCTGTCCTGCACGTGGAGGGTGCAATCGACCTTGGCTCTCCGTTGACGTATCAATGGGAAACTGATGAAGGCGTTCTAGATCTCCATGCCCAAGCGACGGAGATATGGAAGAACTACTTTCAGATCCATCATGACCGATGTCAGCTCTCAAGGCAAACAGGGGTGCTGCTTAATGCCATGATTTCTCATCTTGTCGCCGTGTCTAGCGAGTCGAATCTGCCATTACCCCCGAGGGTCTGGTGTCTCACAGCCCTGATTGGGGACGCCATGAATGAGGCGAACATAGCTTCCCAGCAAGAGGAGGAGGAGGCGGTGGGTAGCTTGCCTTCCGTCGCGCGGACCTCATTGGGTCTGGCCCTCCTGTACGCTAAATGCCAAGTGATATACGATGTCGAGCAACCTGGGTCCTTCCGTCTGTCAACCTTATTCCTCACTGCACTTGACCGGTTGAACAGAGACCCTGATCTAAATATCTCGAGGATGAAGGACTTCGAATGCGAGTGGTTGGACGAGTAAACGGGACATTGTTATTAGCCTAGCTAGTATTGTGCACACTCCATGTCCCGTATTGGAGTTTGACGATGTTATCAACATATGTATAGTGATCGGGTCTGGTTTTAGGACTCGACAGATGAGGAATGTCGAGTCGGATTCTGCTAGCTTTTACCTTGCCAGTATAGTATAATTGAAGCCGCTTTATATCAAGCATTTTCATTTACACAAACGATACGGATGTGCCACAAGTTCGCCCACAAACATATACGTAAGATCCATCTGAACGGTGGTCGATCGTCTATTCCTGTCACGCCACACAAAACCTCCCTCTGAGCCTCACTGGGTCAACCAGAGACCACAAAACCTTTTCTCTAGAACTACGATCCACCCTGACTTATGCGACGTTTTCAGCCATCCAGTTCACTACATACGTTCGTCAATCCTTCGGGCTAGTATCTGTAGATATATTTCCCGCCATTGAAATGGACCACCTCCCCAAACCCGCATCAGCAATCCCATACCCCAAGGTCGAGTACGTATGCCAGGAGCCATACGACTGTCTCCCGTTTGAAAGCTACCCTGCCCGCCGCCGATTCGACCCAGACCGACTACACAAGGGAGACTTTGCCCAGCACACGCCAGAAGATACTGCGTCGTTCCTGCAAAATTGGCTCTTCTTTGGGGTGTTAGTTGAAGTCTTTCGAAACCGGGGGTATTGGGTATTCGACTGTTGGATAGTCGAAGATGCCGAGGGGGGAAAGTGGATGGACACGGAGAACCTCGACGGCGAGTGGTTCAATGCGTGGTACGTTTGGTTGTACAAGCTCACCGAGCCGGAGAGGACCGCCTGGACCAAGTCCGTACAGGCATGTTTGAAGGAACTATGTGTCATGTCGCAGGTCCTCGAGAGCTCCGACGCGTGCCCCGTTTCACATGCTATCGTCCTCTCGTTTCAGGTCCTGGGATTTACCATTGACTATGCTGCTGCGCGTCATTACCCCCATGAATTCCGGGGCCGGGACTGGCGGCTACAGACGCTGGCGCATACCCTAATGAGCGAGAGAAGATGGTGTCCTCGAGACATCTCCTTGCTGGAGCAGTACCTGTCCGGTGCGGGGGTTCTGTACGCGGCGCATCTGCAGCGGGAGCAGCGGAATAAGGAGCATACAGGGTGCTCGAAGACGGTGTGCACGGCTGATCAGATTGACGAGGAGACGTATCAGACCAGACATCGAGCGCCAGGGTGCGCTTGCCGGTTTATTGAGCCGGATGTGGAGGAGATTCGACGGATTTTAAGGAGAGGGGAGGTGCCCATAATTGAGCTGACTCCAGAAACGACAGCGAATGGTTCCACAACTGTCAGTGTCAGAGTACGATCATTCCGCTTCTTGCAGTACTTCATCGCGATCTCCCACGTCTGGTCGGATGGAATGGGTAATCCCAGGAACAACTCGCTCCCTGAGTGCCAGCTCGCCTGGCTTCATGGCCTCTTGGCGGATACGAGATTCGATAATGTTTTTGACAGCTTGGAGACAGGCGCGAGGGACTACTTCCCCGACTCCATGATGGGTCGGCTCGTTTCGACGGCGAAGAAAGGGGTGTCCTGGGTACGGAATCAACGAACGCGGAGAATATCCATCTGGATCGACACGCTCTGTGTGCCGCTCGACTCCGTCCACAGGAAGCTCGCAATCAAGGGAATGAAGAACATCTATAGTGGAGCGGTGTTTACCGTGGTTCTGGATGCAGAGCTACTCAAGTTCTCCGGTGCCGCGCCGCAAGAAGACATCCTCCTGCGGATCCTAACGTCGTCATGGATGAGGAGAGCCTGGACGTTGCAAGAGGCTATTTTTGCTAACACGAAACTCAGGGTCCAATTCGCGGATACCCTTGTGAATCTACCGGCGCTGCTGGAGCTGGACATCATCCGGCGCGTTGGCATCGAGCAGCATCTTATGCTGCCGAGGTTTGTGGGCATGATGCAAAAATACACCAAGTGGATGGAGGACATGCCCTCTGCATCCGATGAGGTGCGCGAAGAGAGGGCGCATGAGCGACGGTGGAATTTTTCGTTGGCCACACTGCTTCGGGACGACTGGTAGATGCATTCGAACACACAACAGTCCTGTGGTATCTGCCCGTTGACGTCGACGACAAGGAAGAGAAGCACCAGCGAATCCGATCAGCGTGGGAGAACTTGCGATGGCGATCTACTAGTCACGAAGAAGACAAACTGATCATCTTTGCGTTCGCGTGCATCATGAATGCTCGGGACCTCGCCGATGCGCAAGGGCTACTGGACTACCCTCCCCAGGAACGCATGCGGCGCTGGATATGCCAGCAGGAGATTCTGCCCGAGTTGGCGTACGTGGAGGGCCAGAAGCTGGAGGACGATGGGTTCAGGTGGGCACCGGCACGGATCTACCCTGAGCCACTTCCCAGCGAGTTTTTATCGCATGAACGAGAGCGCGGACAGGAGGGATTGGTGGTCGACAAGCCCGGTTCTATCTTTCGCCTGGAAGCGTCATTACACCGCGGCTCGTTCGAGTTTATTAGTCCAGGTTCTGGAAACTGTTACTTGGTTACCTTGCGCCCGGCTTCATCACATCAACTGGTCGTACGAGAGTCTACAACATTCGGCCTGATTTTGTCCTGGTGGAGCTTTGTAGAGGATGTGCAAGGAACTGAATCGGGACTACTGGTCTCCGTTGACCGTCAGCACGAGGAGTCGATCGACTGTACATTCGTTGGGATTGTGGATGTCCGACGCACTGGGCGATCGAGCGATCTTCCAAGGGCAACGTGTATCCATCAAACGCCACCCACGCAGTGGTGTATACGATGATCGTAGTGGGGCCTCGTTTGCAGGGATTTTGCGTCGAACGGGATGCACTGGATGGCGGCCCACCAGGATCCTGGAGATACGGCTTTTCCTGACGAAGTAAAACGTTTTGTATGAAGAGGCTAGTAGGCACAATATATAGTTTCCGCGTTTGACTCGCGTAGAACATGGAAATTCCACAGATTTGTATGTACCAAGTGGTGCTCGACTGCTTGTTATTGGGCCGGTGGAATGTAAGCTGACTATGGGGCATTGCACGTCAGATGCGCGTTAAATTCGCCATTCCTGTTATCTCCGGGAATTCTGACCACTGCGCAGTTCCACAGCACTCACATTTCATTTCCAGGTCTAATTCCGTCCTCGATTGATAAGCCCTGGTCGCACCGTGCGGGTCTACAAAGCGGAAACAATCCTCAACACTGCATGAAAATCACGCCATTATCTGTCCAATTTATATGTATTGTAGTGGATAGCCCCTACACGGACTTGATGCTTTTTTGAGAACGCTCCTGCAATTGTCCGTAGTATCGAATCTTCAAGTGAGATCGAATAACTCTAGCATCCCAGTCCATCCATCAACATGGCGAATGCAGACAGCAAACCAAAACTAAGAGTGGCCATCATCGGCGCCGGCCCAGCAGGCCTAGGAGCGGCGATTGAGTTTCAAAAGCTACCCTTCGTTGATCTGCGCATCTATGACCAAGCGCGAGAGTTGCGTGAGGTCGGTGCCGGTATCAGCATCCAGCGGAACACCTGGCGCATGCTAGACGCGTTGGGCGTATACGATAATATCGATCGGGATAGTAGTGTCTTCAGCGCCGCAGACGGCCATTCGGTGCAGCATCGGTTAGTCGATCTCTTCCCTACATTCGAACGAAAGTAACCGAAATCAGCAATGGACGAACGGGAGAATTACTCCAGTCGAGCGGACAACAACACACTCCCCCTCGGCATAAGCATGCCAGGGCCTTACGCTCTGTACTCCAACAAGCGTTGTTGAAAGCTGTGCACAAAACAAAGCTACGGCTTTCGAGTCGCCTTGTGGAGATCTGCGAATTGCCGAACAAGACATTGTCGTTGCGCTTTGAAGATGGACATGTCGATGAAGTAGATCTTCTCGTAGGAGCTGACGGCGTTCGATCGGTAAGTTACATCACCATTCTATACAGCTGGACAGTACAACTAAGTATCCCAGGTGGTCCGCCAATTCTCCTTCCCCGACCATCGTATCGGCTATACCGGTACTACGGCCTTCCGGGCCCTGGTCAACGCGAAGGATATTCTGAGCATCCCCAGTTTCCCTGACGCCGTGACCTTCTGGCATGGTCCGACCAGGTGGGTATATACATGCAATCTCAATAAGGGTATATACGAGGTAACAGCCAGAACGGATCTTCCGGAGACCCGGGAGACGGTCAGTTGGGGGCAGGATGCGAGTCCGGATGAGTTTATAGGGTTATATAAGGTCAGTGTTGCTCAATCTGGTCTGTATAGTTTTAAGGTGTACTGACATTGGAATAGGACTTCGCACCAATGATCCAAGAGGTCCTTAGTAAAGTGGGGGAAGTGAGGAAATTCCCCCTCTTCGCAGGGCCGCGTCTGTCGAAGGTCGTCTCGCATGGTTCCATTGCTTTGATTGGGGATGCGTCTCATCGTGAGTAAATAGTCTTGGTCAGTGGTTTTAGTGGCAGCTAACCAACCGTTCGATGCTAGCATTATCTGGAGCCTTTGGTATGTCCCCCACCCATTGGAATTATCGTATTCTCATACCACTTAGGTGCTGGCGCGGGATTCGCATTGGAAGACGCTTATGTGCTCGCTCGCGCAGTGACATGGGCACACGAACGCGACCTTCCAGTTAGCAATGCTCTGACCCTCTATGACAAAGTCCGATCACCACATTACAAGGATATGGTATGTGCCTAAGCCTGGTCTCATGTCGGTCTACTAAATTCTCGTAGTACGACATTCTGGATGGCTTCCGGAGAGCCGATGCGTCGATCAAGGGCCTAAGCTCCTTTGACGAGATTGTAGTGGCTAATGTCCAGAGCAAATGGACGGATGATCACGATTGGCTATATCACTATAATGTAAGTTTACGACAACTCTGCGCTCTAGCTCAGGCCTTGCTGACACATCTATTAGATCCAAGAAGTATGGAAAAAGGCTTACGAAGAAGAGGATGCTCGTCGTATACAAAAGATCAATGGTACGAAGGAGGGTCATGTACATTCTCGTTTGTAGAATAGAGAGTATCGTCTAGCCATATATCATCAGAGCACACCAGTAAGTAATCAGAGAACCAGAACGCCAAGCACGCCATGCATGGAAATGCAAATACACAGAACTGCGGGGGTCAACTTCAGACAAATTGGAACCAATACAACAACAGCGCTGTTTATAGTCCGATCTTGTTATCTTTCAAATATTGGTCATATCGTCCCGGTAGGCCAGAGGCTCCGCCACGGCAACATACGTATCGGGCCGGACCAAATATGCTGCATCTCTTCCCAAGCCGACCGACTGATATTTGGCATCCCAAGGAAAGACATGCAGAGGAATTCCCTTGGACTGACACCATTCTTTCAGCTCGTCTTTGGCGTCGCCATATACGTGGACCTGCCATGCAATCTCCCCCAAGCTTTGGAAATTATCAAGCTCGCCCACAGGAGCCCAAGGGATACGGTCACCTCCTTGGATGGTACCAGCCGAGCCCGCCGACAGCGCACTATTCCGATAATTCAGCATGATCTGAGACGCACCACGGAACATTCTTTGCCGCACGAAATCAAACCTGGAGATAATAGGAAACACATAGGGAATGAACCATGACCGAATAAAATAGGACAGATACCCCTCCGAGGCAATAGCGTTGAATGCCGTATCCGTTGTGTTGACCAGAAGTGAGGCGAATGCACGGCGTTCAACTTCATAGCTATCGAGAAGAGACACGTCGGCCTTGTCTTGAATCACCGCTGCAAGCTTCCAGGCGAGGTTAATGGCATCGCCGATGCCAGTGTTCATTCCTTGTCCTCCGACCGGACTGTGGATGTGCGCCGCGTCCCCGACCAGGAAAGCCCTTCCGCTGCGAAAGGCTTCGGCCACCCTGTGGTGAACATGGTAGGTGCTGAACCAGTTCACCTTGTCGATCGTGATGCCCAGACCCTTGCCGCAGTCTGGCGCAACGTCGTCGAGCTTGAGGTCGGAAATGTCTTTCGTCAATGCACTTGCATTGACGGCACCGCTTAGTCGTGCACGACGGTCTTTGTCGTACGCCATGAGCAAGACAAATTGCCCATCATTGAGACTCAAATGCGTTTGACCGTTAAAACCGGGTCCGCTACCTTCGATGTCAGCTACGTAGAACAGCTTGGAGTAGGTGGCCCCTTCGAAGCCGATCCCACAGCTCTGGCGGACAGCAGAATGGGCGCCGTCGCAACCAACGATGAAGCGTGCTTCACAGGTCTCGATGTCGTCATTGTTGACGTGAGCTTTTGTGAGATCCCTCAGTTGCGCGGTAACGCATGACTCCCGCTCTTGAAAGTCGACTAATTCGCGGTTGCGCTCGACGTGCACGCCCATGCTATTCAATCGCGCCTCTAACAGTCGTTCATGCCGATCCTGGGGATAGACATGTATGAAGGGATAGGGCGTGAGGCCCGCACCAAGATCACCAAATGGGACATGGGCGCGATGGACTCCACCGGCCCATATATTGGTCGCTGCGATCTTATGGCCGTTTGCGACCACATCTTCGGCGAGGTCGAGCTGGCGATAGAGCTCGAGGGTGCGGGCGTGAATGGCCATCGCTCGCGATGTGGATGCCTTGGCTTCTGATTTATCGACGATGCGCACATTGACACCTTGGCGAGTTAACCATAGAGCTAGAACGAGGCCCGTTGGCCCTGCTCCGACAATGAGAACATCGGTCGGTGTCATAGTATGGAGGTGATGGGTGTTCCAATCAGGAGTATTAGAATTCGTAGAAGAAAGATTCTGGAGACGAGTTGTATTCTTGAATTATACATCTATGTAACATGGTGAAAAAAATCTGAATGATCCCCAAACCACTTGGTCGTATTTAAAGGCATTCTTCTCCGATGGCTTCTCTGACTCAGTTCGCGATGATGGACATTGGAAACGAGAAAGGCCTGCAATCGCGTCATGGTGCTTTAGGCCCCCAGTTGGACAGCCCGTATGTATTCTAAATTTGGGGTAGAGGTCGGGCGTATAGTTTCCGACGAACGCGAAGGCTTTACGAGCGGGCGAGTTGGCTATATACGTCGGCCAGGAGAATCGGAGTCGCCGATGTTTTCCGCAGGTCGGGCGGACAATGTCGGCCCGTCGGAGCTTAGCGAAGCCGACGGCCGGAACAACGGCTGCCCATTCGAAACCGGGCCTGAGCGTAATTCTTTTTCTTTTGCATTTTTCTTCATTGTCCCCCGGATCCAGCGTGTTCCGTCCCATCTCGGCCAGCTGTTGCCCGATCGGGACTAGTGGCCCTGTCATGCCGAAACAGGCCAAGTGCTCCGGGTTGTATACGAGGGATAACCCTTTTGGGCGAGCTCTTTGTCTGGCGGATCCAACGAGAGCGATGGCCGCCGCAGCCTGTTAACTTGTTGAAGATTAGACCCGGTCTGCCTCATGGGCGAGAATCCAATGGACCCTGGAGCGGGTCAAGACTCCGCAGCCCTTCTTTATTCGCGGTCACCCCCCCGCGTTCGTCCAACGTCCCGGTACGACTTGTCTCTCTTTCAACTGTCTTCTTCCCTACCGTCTGACAGGCCAATATATAGGCCAATAAACAATGTCCTCCACACGCCACAATGCGTCGGCCACCTCGTCTGAAAGAAAACGCTTGCGCGATAGACGAGCGCAACAAAACCTCCGAGAGAAACGGGAGAACCGCATGAGAGCGTTAGAGGACCGGGTGGCCTATTGCGAGAAGAATCATGGCAACGAATTGATCCGGGATTGTATGCTCACCGTCGAAAGCGTGAGACGTGAGAACGAGCTTCTTCATGCTCGACAGGAGCACCTCCGTCGCCTGTTTCAGGACTGGGAGGTTCAAGGCATCGGTGCGACGGGGGTGCATCGAACCCTGTCCGCTACGTCGATGACGACCAACTCCTTCCCAGAACCGTGGACACTGACGACATCGACCTGTAGCCCACGAAGTGAGATCGCATTGGTCGATCCGGCAATGCAGAATCTCTCCGGCTGGTCCGTCAATAGTATAGATTCTGCAGGTCTCGGGTCCACTACCGACGGTCTCACAGCACCATCGATGACTGCCAGCATGTGGCCCGTAGGGTCAGAAACTCGAAGCCCACCCTCACCAATTATCCAGATCCCCATGATGCCCAGCATGCACCCCACATCAGGGTCAGACACCTATGCCGTGATTACCCGCAAGGATTATACGCAGATGGCTGCTAGTACTGGGAGTTGGTCTGGGTGGTCAGCTCTGTCCGACACCGTCGCCAAGCTACCTCTTTTGCCGTCCCCGTTCGAACTACTACATGGCTCAAGACGTAACTGGCTGGCAGACCAGATCAACCGACTGCTGCGGCGGCTGAGCCTCCGAGAACCTGACCGCCTGGCATTAAGCTGGACAATGTATTCTTTTGTTAGATGGCGGGGCACCCCTACCCCGGCCACCTTTGCCAACATGCCAACATTTCTACAACCCGTGGCAGGACAGATACGGGAGCAGCAACACCCGGAATTGATCTTCTTTTTGTGGCCGCAGCTGCGGGTCAACTATCTGGAAAGTCGGCCTAGAATTGATATTATAGAGCTCTATAGATATGCGATCAGCGCCTGTAGAGTGCGGTGGCCGTCCTCCCAGAGCATATGGGACTGGGATGATAACGAGAACATGTTTGTGAAGCCTGAATTCTTTCAGACCTTCCTGGACCGGAGTGGCTGGGGGCTCACATCGGTCTTCATCGACAAATACCCACAGCTAATGAAAGGGATCAATGTGGAGGAGCTTCGGTACGACATTCCGTAGATCTGTCCCTTACAATTCAGGTCGGAAGCAGACATGATGATCCGACACATTCACTATATTAATGAAAGGGACGCTCCAGCCTGTGAGATTGCGCAGTTAGAGAAATTACCCATTCTCTCGCATTGGGTCACTCGCAATCAGATTCCAGAGAATCCTGTTGGTCGATTAGCCATGGTTAATTCGGTCTTATGCAAGGCACTGAATCAGCGTCATATCTTTTCTTTGACCCGCGGCAGCCTCATTCTTCTAGACGCACGGCGATTGGCTCTGTGTGCCAGATTGTCAAAGATTGAATCAGCGTGGGGTAAGCCTCCGGCTTTGGCTTTGTGAGCTACCTGAATATATCTGTGCTTCAGGGTGGCCAGGAGCCTAGGTATTTAGATCCTTAATTGATGTATACATGCAGTCTGCACAGACCTATCCTGTCTTACTTGGGGTTTTATAGTTCGTGGGTTCTTCCTTTGCTAGTTGTCCAATCCGTGGTTCTTTGTCTAGCAATCTGTTTTTCCTTGCTCTATATATCATTCATCTACCGGTACTTTTGCAGGTCATGCCCATCTTACATGCCTGGGCCCTCCTATTAATGCCCTATTCAACAATGTCGAGGTATTTCACATGCAAAAGACATTGCCTTGAGCTCGCTGAAACACGAAGTTCAACTTGCCCCCCCGATTCCAGGTAATTAAACTTTCTCTCGCCAGTGAAATGATCCCTCAGCATCCTACTCGTCCCTTGATACTCCTTTACCTACCACACATCGTCTCTGACCACTATAGGACCAGCGGCTCTGCTTTGACATCAGCATCGTAGATCCACTAACCAACATCCTCCTTATGTCCCGTGCCTGATGACCCCTTCTTGGCAAGTATATTCATGCAGACGGTATCCTAAAACACGGCCAATGCGTTTTCATCCCCGTGACAGGCAAGGTACGCGACGAACCTAGTTTTCTCCATGGGTTATTCTGGGGCTAGTCTCGGGGAACTCTGGACGGTCTATTGAACAATATCCCTATGTTGATTGATTATCATATTCTTGGTATATGGGGCTCACCTAGTGGGATAACCCAGGAGAGATAGACAGACAGGCTATCATGTCCCCTTGTAGCGGAATGAGGCATTTCTTTATTCTTGGTCTCACGTACGCCACTGCTGAACTAGACGGACGAGCCACGTAGCCCTACTATCTAGAAACAGGAAATCACACCTCCCATTGTATCCCTTGGGTGCACGGCCAGATACCGTCCGGCATGTTGCCACAATGCAAATCCAGCTGAGGTTGCATCATATCACAGGTTCACAAGCATATTAAAAGCCTCACAGAGCTATGCCCTTCGGATAGGATGTACCCGGTTACTCAAAAGATGAACGCAAGCTTTGACCTTATTATCAAGCTGAACAAGCCTCCGTAATTGACATAGCCCAGGACAGACATGCACCCTTGTTCCGGACCCGGGGCCCTGTCAGAGTCTGCCCTCATCAGGTCCACGGCCAGGAACGGGCTCCTAGGACTCCGGGATAATTGCCAAAACACATGACGCGGATAGCAGGCAATCACACCCCAATATCAACATTAGAATCATATTTGGTATTCCGGACATATTGTCCAGTTTGTAACTTTGTACATGGTATTACGTCTGGCTTCTCACACAGATCCTCATACTCCCACCCACTGGTCATGCTCCCCTATCCGCAATTTGGAGTGAGTTCCTCATGAAGGCTGTGAGGATGAACGAAGATTGTAAGTTTCGTAAACTGCTCCGTTACTTTTTAGAAGAAAAAGAAAAAGTTGGAGAGAAACGCTCTGTGTTGGCCTTTTTGTCCAAGTCTTATGCCCCCTTCGCGGCATCCACCAACCCCTGCAACATAACAACATCCATAGTAAACATATCCGATCCATCATCGGCCAAGAAAACAGACGCACCACGACTGACCATCAACAGCTCGGTCTCGCACGCAAACGGCAGCGGGTCGTGAACCGCCCCTTTACTCTCCGAGATATAGTCGCCTGCCGCGAAAGCGCCAGTCTGGGGATGGGCACCGGTGCCCTTTAGAACATAGATCTCTGCACTATCAAGGTGACGGTGTCGTGGCAGCAGACCCCCCGGCTGGGCCCGCACCATGATTGTGTTCTCGCCGGTCTCGGGGACAAGCTTGACGACCTTGATCTCGACTCCCGGGGCAAGGGGGAGCCATTTGAGCTCGGCACAGTGAACTGTGAAGCCCCCGTCGTTTTGGGAGTGCATATTGATCAATCGCAGTTTGGATGTTGTGTGTCTGCTGCGTTCTTGGATATCAGCGTTTGGTGTTCTTGCGCCTTTGTAAAAGGGTTCCGTGAAAGGATTCCACCTACCTACTGGAGGAAGAGTTGGTCAAGCAATGAGATAGCGGTAATGGAGAATTTTTAACCGAGACAGCAAAAATATGGCTCTGAAAATAGGGCTTACAATTGCGAATAAATAGCATGACTGATACTTCCTTGATGCTGGACTTCGGATATCCGAGCCCACCGGATGTCCGACTCAAAAGGGTAATCGCCTGCCGAGACTCTCCACCGATTGCTGTCGCGATTACCAGTGATCCGCAAACCTAGATTCCCATGTTCCACAGGAGAGTAAAAGCTTACAGGTGGTTCAGTGGTTGCGATGACGATCATGGATACCTGCGTTCGGAGATCAGGCGATGTGCGATTAGACCATCTACTAGCCTCACAGAACCATCCATGCAGGACTTTTCTTCAATCCAGGGCTATCCATATTAGAAGACACATCGTCCAGCCACCATATTTCCCCCCACCCAACCTCATCGATAGTTGTCCATTCAACTAGACTCTCCTCTCCCCACCTTTCTCTCCGCTGCATCCTTCTGCTTCAGATAATACCTCAGAATGGCCGGGTCAGCAACAAGCGCAGACGCAGACCCCTTCACCACTCTGCGTTCCTTGCTACGCCCCGATGAGATAATCACTCCACAATCCCCGGACTATAAGGCAAGCATCCAGACCTGGGCAGCCCAGAAGCAGGCACACCCCCCTCTAGCCATCCGGCCCACCTCGGTCGAAGCCCTGAGCAAGGCCATCGCCTATTTGTACGCCACGAGCCTGGACTTTGCGATCTACGGACAGGGATTCAGCTCTGCCTCAGCCAAGGACGTCGTGGTGAATACCTCGGCGTTCGATGACTTCCACTTTGATCCGCAAGCCGAGGTAGTCACCATTGGTGCTGGTCAGCCGTGGTCCGCTGTCTATCGCAAGCTCGCTGAGACGGCGCCAGAATACGCAAGTAAGAACACTGTCCTCCAGAGGTTTTATCTTGACCCCCAAAGAAATCAAAAGTAATAAACAAAAAGTAAATAAGGGCTAACTGATGATTGCCCCATGAAAACAACAGTCGTAGGAGCTCGCACGCCTTGCGTTGGCGTCGCTGGAACTATCGTCAGCGGTGGCTTTTCGTGGCTTTCCAGCGAGTATGGCTGCATCTCTGACGCGGAAAACATGGTAGATGCGAAGGTCGTCAAATACGACGCTCGGTAGTCTGGGCGTCTACAGAGCCGGAGTTGCTCTGGGCCCTGCGTGGTGGCGGGGGCGGCTTTGGTGGTATGTCTCTTCTATTTCCTCTTCGTGGCGCGCGTTCCCATAACGAAGGGTGTAGGGAACTGTACTAAATATTCCATATTCGGGTGCAGTGCTGGCTCAGGTCAAGCTCCGAGTCTTCCGCTACCCGCAGAATATCTGGGCAGGCCCGATCCTGGTCCCTCGCGAGAGACTGGAGGATGTCGCCGAGGGTATTGAGAGATTCCTGGTAGGACCGGTCGATCCCAAGATCACGATGTTCATGTACGTGGTGAAGGGCCGGCTGCTTGAGTCGATTGGCACCGACTCGGATATGCTGGTGATCCATACCTTCGACGCGAATGGGGAAGAGCACGGTCGAAAGGCGTTTCGGTGGGCGCTGGACATTCCCGGGGCTATTGACCAGACCAAGATTACTACCCTCGCCGGTGTTGCTAACTTGCAAGGTAAGAGCTGCAGGCGTTCCCAAGCAACAACAGTCACTAATAATTCGGGAACAGAGAAGGTCTGTATCGTCAAAGGCTCCATGAAACAGTTCTGGCAGCCGTTGCTGGTGCAGGAGATATCGAAAGAGACCGTCATCAAAGCGATTAAATGGTTCGAGGAGATCCACAAGATCGACGGGTCGCTGGGGGATTGTACCTATCTTATTTTTGAGCTACTGTGCTCGGTAAGTGTTCAACTGCGTAGGGTGCCCCGCGTGTTGGAACGCATTCTGATGGATTTAGCGCGATCTGGCCGGGGGCAGTTCGAGCTCTGCCTGGCCACGACCCAAGGGTGGGAAGCATATTCTGCTCATCGGTGCCGGATGCCCTGCAGATGCTGGGCCAAGCAAAGAGAAGCTGGCTCGCGATCTAGCTATCGAAGCTCCATCCAAGCTCTTAGAAAACAGTACCGACGTCCATGTGCTACCCAATGGTTTCGAGGACTATCATGATCCGACCAAGGTATGGCTCCACACTTTCGGGGGTTTATTTTCAGCGAATAACTCAGATGTATAGATCTGGGGCCCTCATGTTGCCAAGCTACAGAGTTTGAGAGTTCAATACGACCCTCGTGGGAGATTCAAGGGGGCCGTGAATCCGTAGAATAGCTGGCGTGAGGGGGGGGGGGGGGTCTTTCTTGTATGGAGACATCCCAGCGTAGCTGCTCCTGTATTTTGAAATATGCAGCTAGCATATGTTGCAGGCGCACCGAGTGCATAGGGGAGGAGACAAAAGTGCTATTCTGTGAAACACTTGTAACAGTTTGTATGTTTACAACAGGCCAACGATATGATACTATAACTCTACAGTCTCAGATGGGGTAAGTTATCCTCTCTGCTCGTCCTAGTCCACCTGAAGTTAAGAGGGAAAGTCAATCCAATGGTATGTACATACAGCACGCGAATAGCTCTCTGATGGCAAACATGAAGCTTCGAGGCCCAATCCCAAACACGATTAAAAATTATTTTCCCTGCATGGTTGAAACATTCAGAGGTAATCCGATACCATATTGTGGATCCCAACGAAGCTTTAGTGAACAGATTCGGATATCCGGACTCCATTGGGTCGGATTCCGAGCCCAATCAAGTGTAGCATGTTTGAGCCTGATAAGTGCGGTCTTCTCTCTTCTGCTCCTTTTCAGTTACCTGTACGCGAGCTTTACCTCTCCCTGGCTTAGGAATTTAAACATGCCTCCTAGATTCAGGTTGATCAAGTTGGTGGCAGGCACTGCCATCACTGGCGGCAGTAGCATAGCACTTTTGGCATCCTACACCACGTCCGACATCGAATTCGTGCCCTTATCCGCCACGGACCCTATCTTCCACTCCAAACACCTCCGGGAATACAACCCCAACGGCAATCCCGCAATCCATGACCTGCATATTGCCAGAGTGCCTTTGACCCAAATCCATCCTCGGCTTCTCGAGGATCCGAACAAGCTTCTGGAACAATACTGCGGAGGAATATGGGCGGGAGCGGGTAAGCCTCATAGCATCATAGCATTATGCTCTCCCCCTTTTCTCCGCAGCAGATGATGTATCTGACGTTTGAATCGTCTCACAACCCAGGTTTCGCCCCACAAAGAATCCTCCACACGTGTTTCGACCGAGGCGAGTCGAGCTCTCCCCAGCTATGGTCCACTTCGGAGCTTCTCCAGTCAAATTACAAGGTAGGAACCGATATTGCGGGCAATTTTGAAGTGGTCGATCGGTCCAGCGAGTCGATCCTGATCCGGGCTGGGGACAAAACCTCGAACAAAGGGTTGCGCCCTCTCGACGCATTGATCGAGGTTGGCTCACACATCGACAAAGAAAATAATGTGGCCGTGTTTGAGTTCAAGTCGTTGTTCTTCCAAGGGATCGGGACGACGAGCAACCTACCGATGCCGGGGCCCATCGTGTGGTTGCATGAGCTTTACGCCAAGATCCTTTTGAAATCCGGTGTCCAGCATGTCCTTAGGTAGTGTAAAATCTGTAAGCACAATAAATGCCATTCTCCCCTCGTTTAAAAAGAGCTACAGAGTATACTTGCTTCCCGAGAAACACGGGACCATACAGTTTGGTAAATCCCTTGCGATCAGACACTTGAACCGCCAGCCTGTGCAGTGGCCCGCGAGCAGTACCTTGGGCTCCATCTTCTTCAAGTCCGCCAGCGTAGCGTTTAATTTAGTATCGTTCGCATCCGCCAAGTGATATCCACCCACGACACAGTATAGAGGGATACCATTGCCCAGCTTGACCGCATCGCAGCAGGTATTCACAATTCCGGCATGACCGCAACCAGTGAAGACAACAAGACCTTTGCCTGTAATACACCAACCAGGAAAGAAGGCCACGTCAGAAATCCAGAGCTAACGACAAAGGTGGGGAATATTGCATACCCTTCAGATTGCACATCACGTAGCGCTCTTCCATGATCAAGGTGTCTTCCTCCCACTGTTTGGTGGTTTCATTGTACCGCAGCCCTCCGTAGATCCCATCCTCGTAGCTGGTCTCGCGCGGAATCTCGCCCGAGACGAGAAAGAAGTCGTCTAGTGCGGTATGCGGCTGGTGGCTCTTGAGTATGCGGCCTCCGGCAGCTTCCAGCTCCTCAAATGAGGGATCGGCTTCCAGCGAAATCGGTCGATCAGCTTGCACGCCTCGAAACGCCGGACGGTCCGGGTGAACGTCTACTACCGGTCCCTTTCCCCGTTTACCGCTATTCTGAGTAATGAGTTCAATCGCCCGGGTCAAACCACCTGGAAGTTTTGTGTTAGCAGGAAATTCACTCCTTGCCCATGGGACAACAACGAGTGAATTCTATTCATACCAGAATGATCGCGATGATAATGCGAAAGAGCAACGTGCTCTATCTGGCCAACCTCGGTCCGAAGGCGGCTGGTATTCCTCTCCCAAACCGCGCCCTCTGGCCCAGCGTCAAAGAGGAAGTAATGTTTCTGGTCGCCCTTGGTGGCAATCTGTGGGAAATAGTCAGCTTTCTTCCATAATCCCGCAGGAGGACGCGCGCAGCAATGGAGAAGTTTACAAGAAGCAAGGAGAGGCCGTGTGCCGCACAACAGATGTTATCCATACGCATTTCCATCTGCGCGCCTCCTCGTTCGGTGTTGGAGTCCAACGGGGAGAGCGGGATGCCCATAAACCGGCTGGCTACCTGCACGGCCGGGTTGGGGCTGGGAGAGATGGGGTCCAGCTCGTCATTGACAATGACATGGACCTCGAGTTGGTCAATTTCCGTCAGCATTGTAGATATGCCCGGGTCAATCAGGGGGGTTGAGTGAGAAGTTGTGATAGGCGTTGATACTGATTTAATTTATGGACCACAGTTAGTTGAAAGATAGTGAGGTCATATATATATAAACCCAGAGAAAGTATGGTCTTCATGCGCCACTATTCCCATTCTGCTCGGCAGTCCGATCGCAGATGGAAATCGATCGCCGAACATTTAATATCATGCAGTATTACTCAGTGAGTTTATTGCAATATAGAATCCATCCCCGAGTCGCCGACTGGCCGAATCCCCGGAAAGGGTTGTGTCAACCCTGACACCGTTTGAAAAAGAAAAGTTTGAATGGCGACAATGCACTTCCGCCGGCATCAGTCACGGGCGTACGCATGTAGGTCTAAATTGATGCCGAGGTCAGGTGATGCCAGTTATACCGCATTACTCTTTATTAATAATTTCTACGATCCTTGTTGATTGAGTCCTTGCTTTTGCCATTCTTACGAAGTATTCTTGTGGGAGAATGCAGATATGCACGTGACGTCACCTGCCCCGGCCACACGCAGCCGGGGGGTCCGGCAGAGGACGGGCACGTGGGCAAAGTAATCTCGCTGGCTCAAATAACTCCGATAGAGGGTCGGATACTAGGCACTGCTGCACCATGGCGTGTCGTCGAGGCTTGCGGAAGAGAGGGCGATTGGATCCTAATGGCCCACAGGTTCATAAACACGGTTCTGGGAGACACCAAATCAAGTCGAGCGAGTTTACGCGTAGGCGACATGCCCAGCTGCGGGAAGACCGGCACAAGGGCTTCGAGCAACTACATATTCGCGGTCGAACGGGTTTCCTGCTAAAGGCTACGTTGCTGTCTCACGGATACACGGTAATTATATAGGCCACCACCGAACGAAAACAACACAATTTGCAAAAGGAGATCGACACCTATAGCTCTCTACAGCAGTTACAAGGATACTACATACCAGTTCACATTGGCAGCTTTCATCCCCGCACTACGTATTGGTATCATGGCGAGCGTATGTCCTATATGATGATTCTCAGCTGGTCTGGGGTCCTTATGCAAACCCTGCTTCTGCAAAACAATGCCAATGCTTCCCTATTCTCTCAGGAACGCGACAAGCTCCGAGAAATCCTTCTGTCCCACGGTATAGTCCACAGAGACTTTGAGTATCGCAATATGCTGTGGAATGAGAGTCTTGGCCACGCTAGTATGATTGATTTTGAGGACGTGACTTGGGTAAAGAAACGACAGCCACTGGGTTCAACTTCGGGCAACCTAAGCAGGACATATGCTTCCGATAAACGGAGCAGTTTGCATGGTGATAATGCACTTCCCTTTTCACCGCCATCTCCAACTTAATCCTTTTGGAGATTGCGAAATAGACCCGTCGGTAACTATGTGAGACAGTAACTAGGGGTCATTGGTCACGGCGCCAAAGCACCCTGTGCTGCTTAGAAATCGGGCTTCAGAATCTGGGTGTTTAAAGATGGTACAACTGGCACAAAGCAGGAAGCTCACAAGAGTACATCTACAGGCCAGCACGTTTATCAAGGTCAGTGACCTAGCTGCATAGCTCATAGAGACTGCTCGGGCTTTGGAAGTGCATTTAATCAAAGCGCTTTACTTGGTTGTGTATACAGCCGCTTTTCTACATAATGAATTATGACAATGATTGGTTATTTAGTATAGGAATGCAACTTGAAAAAGCAGCAATGTATTCCAGCAACTCCAGCACCCTACACCAGGAAAGCAGCAATGCAAGAGTGTTTAGGGCTATACATTTATTCTGCATGAACTGTATTTTCACCGAACACTCAACCCACTCCCTTCCACCGTAGTGGTAATACGATGCCATTATATCTCGTCACCCTTTCTTCATTCTGCAGCTGTAAGAGATATTCAACTTGAATGTTATAAGAGACTCAATTTGGTCCGTATACCTAATGTGTACAATTACCTCACGTATGCTAGGGTCTTTCAAGCCCAAGTAGGTACATCCATCGCACGGTCCCTAATATATTGATAACACTACGCTAACGGCTTGCATTGTGGGTGACTGAATCCTATATTACGCTGTGGAGATGATAGACAGGGGAACATAAAGGTTTAATAAACTTTATCACCTGCGGCCCATGTCTCTATTCCAGAAGGATTCAATAGCCACCTATGCAAATTACACGGCTTTATAGGAAGGGTAGTGGAGCGGGCAACCCCGGAAGGAATATCTAAATACAGGACACGGCCTGAATCCTCCTTCCCACGTATTGATAATTTCATGAGCTTTATAATTCTATTGTTGTGGCACATGATGTCATGGATATCAGTGATACAAATTCCTTGTTTCACTTTGAGGACATCTAGTTTCTCCATATGCAGGGCCCTGATGATTTTCATGCCAAGCCACATGAGATTCCTCCGCGCTCTCAATTATTTAGAGGATGAAACCGGGCCCCTTGATCAACTTCTCCTCCGCCCCTTTCCTCCCACTCTGTAGTATGAGACCTCATCCCGCGGTTGACGGGACAAACACTACTGCGCAATATAAGATGCTGCCGAGTATGCCGATCTCGGCTCGCCGAGAAACTTCAACCTCCGCCATTCCAAAGATGGAATAATCATCAGCAACTAAAGTAGAAACTAAAAACTAGTCGAAGAGAACTGTAGCAGGGAAAAAATGAAAAAGAACAAGAATATTGGCTCACCGCGCATTGCCCTAATTTTGCGACGGCTGCTTTTCACTAGTTCAATGTGACTGTAAATGGCGCATTGAGCGAGGTTGCAGAGAATTCAAATGCGCGGCATACACATCCAGCCGTTACCCGTGGACCAGTTCTAGAGTTATCCCGTCGGCCAGGATCCGGGTAGTCTGTGAAACATGTACGGAGTACGTAAAGTTGATAATTGTGCGGCGGGAGGACATTTCACTGGGGACTGATGCCTGATAGAAACTAAGGCATCAATGGTGACCTCAGGCATGATATCAGTCCGCCTGATGTTCGCTTTCAATTTCCTCATCCGACACACATTACGATTCACGGCCCACCACTTTCATCCCCAGCCTCATGGGCAGCATCGGCTTCTGGCGGACTAGAACACACATGGGTTCTTTTGAAGCACGTCCATACGATGGATGATGTCGTGATCTACCCAGCGCCTCAGTGGCCCCAACTTCTAATGCGCGTGTGATTTCGACGTCCTGATCAATGCACCTAGTTTATGCAATGTGATTCAGGAAGAAGAAATGAAAAAAAAAATCCTTGTTCTCGGCACGACTAGTACCACCGATCCCTACTACACATGGAAAAGGCTGGGCGGAAGCGCCAAACATTGATTGGAATTCGGCCAATTCAGCCACTGTTTATCTATCCGGACCGACTTGCCTCGTGAAGCCGACCACAAGGGTTCGCGCCGGATCCTTGGGATCACACCCTATCAATACACCTGATAGGTCACCTAGTAAGGGTCTGGCCGGAGACAGGTCGAGCTTTCCTCCAATGTACGGCAAGAACAAAAAGCCGACCCGCGGTTATGAACAACCACATCCATGCCACTTGAAGAATCTGATGAGAGGTTGAGGACAATACCCAACAGCCACAAGGTAGCGGTCACGTACTCAGTACAAGTACATTCCCATCACCGCCTGAGCCATGGCGTCTTCATTGGATACAGATTATCACCGTTCGAATCATGCCCCCACAGATCGGCACTGATCTTCATACGAGCGCGCTTCTTGAAAACAGCTTCCGTGTCATCAAACAAGTCGAAGGATGACCAGGAACAGTCTCCGAATTCAGTCTTTGGCCCAGAGAGCTCGCCACCAACAAAGCATGAGGCTGGGGGAACGTCGTAATAAACATATCGCGCCAATGCTTGTGGCTTTTGCACTGAGCCCAGGTGTAGTGGGTCCATTGCCACCGCAACCCGACGTTGTACAATAAACTTGATAGCCTGGTGCTGGCCAGTTCCACATCGCTGATCAGCAGGGCCAGACACGTTGCCGCCAAACCTTGGATGTCGGACCCTTGGATGTCATCGTTGCACCATGGCTCGAGGTTGATAGCCCAGGGCAGAATTCATGTCCCTGGCTACTGCAGGTCCGCAAAGTCTTCCATCATTCGCCCACGCACTTTGGCTTGGACACCAACCTCCTACCGACGTCGGCCCTGGGCCGGTTCCCGACCATAGGATCCCCATATGTTGTTGCCTTATCTAGCACTACAACTGTGGGAACAAAAATTATGGCGGCTGAAGTGGAGGAATCTCACTGTAGCCGCCAAGCGACCGGAACGCTTGACTCCAAGCCATTATAAAGGCGCACCTCTTTCCAGAGAGTTTTCCCAATTTTTCCTCTCATCCTACCGTCTGCTTACACTACTATCCAAAACAAACAAAGCCCACCGCCATCTAACAACCCTCAGTATGAAGTTCACTTGCCTCGCTATTGCCGGTCTCATTGGCTGCGCTGCTGCCTTGCCTCCATTTGGCGCTTCTTCTACTCCATCCAGTTCGGTTTCTGTTTCTGTCACCCCGAGCGCTTCCCCCAGCTCATCCAGCATCGCCTTCACTGGTCTTAGCAAGCGCTCTGAGACCCCTTCAAGCTCTGCTGCTCCCTCCAGCTCTGGTATTGCGTCCAGCTCTGCAACACCATCCAGTTCCTCTTTCGCAGCCCCATGGGTCTTCCATAGACGCCAGTTCGCGACTCCCTCCAGCTCTGCGACTCCCTCCAGCTCTGCGACTCCCTCCAGCTCTGCGACTCCATCTAGCTCGGCCTCCGTCACTCCTAGCAGCACCCCTGCTTCTCCTTATGCGAAGCGTCAAGTCGTCACTCCTTCCAGCTCTGCTACTCCTTCCAGCTCTGCCACCCCCTCGAGCTCTGCTACTCCTTCAAGCGCTGCGTCTGTGACTCCTACCAGCTTCGCCGTTCAGAAGCGCAAGTTCTCTGGCTCTAGCAGCTCCTCTTCCGCCTCGCCTTCGTCATCTGCTACTCCTTCCTCCTCCGCCACTCCTTCTCCCTCTGCCTAAACCTTCCCAGAGCTCTGGAGTACTACCATAGGAGCAATCATCATGCCTTACTACGTGGAGTAAATTGAACCTGGACTCTCCTCGTGCACCGCATGATCAAGACCGGAGGCTGACACTATCGCCAATTCATTCCGCACTTGTCTGTCGCAACCGCTACTGGTTTGTTTAATATTTTGCTGTTTTAGGGTATGCTGGCGTACAATGTTTTGCTTTTCTTTGCGATAGAGTCGGGTACTCGAATATTTGTTTTGTGACTTATTTTAGAAATAGAAGTCGTTCGTTATATGGTTTGTCCATCAAATAGTAGTCATAATCATAAATACACTGGTACAGGAAATCGACCGATCAAAGTGAAACTACCTCACAAGGCATGCATGAGAGGCTTACACAAGCTTACTACTTTTCAAATTTTTTCTTTCAAAAATATGAAGACATATGATGCATGTTTTAAAAAGGTTAACTCAAAGCTGGCGTCCTTGCTTCGGATCACCTCATTCAGGTGACCCGTGTTAGCGTAACCCTAACTGATGAAGTGCGGGCGCGTTTACAAAGGGCCATTGGAAGATAGCTTGAATTCCCAATATAATGAGTGTGAAAGAGGCATGGCATTTAGCAGATATGCCCAGGTATATCTTTGGGGAATGGTGTTGCTTTTTACTCTGAGTTAAGAAACTCTGTCATCTTGGGATAACCCAAGCCGAAAAGATATCCTGCCAGTCCAAGCGTAGTTCTACAAGTACTTGACAAACCATCTTTAGGGAATTTGATGAGTGACACCCCGAAGTTCGAGTAAAGTAGCATTATCCGGATTCCCGATGACTGGTTCTGTTAATATTTCATATCTCGTGTTTTAGTGGTGCCCTGTATCTTGTTTGCAACGCCCAGTTGCCAAGACTCGGAAGTTGTAACCTACAATATAATTCCAAGATAAGCAAGAATAGTATCACAGAGTATCAAAGGAATCAAATATCCCAAAGTTACCGATCTGCCATTGCAAATACTTGGATTTAATACTACGAACGGTCGGAAGATTGGGACCGCTGCTGCTGCCGTAGCGTATCTCTAGCCGGCGCATTCATTCTGCTTGGTCCTTTTCCCTGTCAAGGCGAACACCAAAGTACTGCAAAGTTTCCGGGCATCCGGACAAGGGCTCCTGGGCTCAAAAACAGCATTCCGGCAGAGTGTGAGTGTCAGGTAACCGTTATCAATGAACTTGATCCAATAGACATGCTTGTACGTTACAACCGGGAACAAGATTTCCTCTGAGGTTGCAAAGTCTAGATCAGAGCTTGCGTTCAGATATACATGGCGATGCATATCTGAGGGTTCTGTGGTGTAAAGGATAAGGCCATCCTGCGGCAAGTAGTAGTAGAACTCTACATCGATGGCAACTCTTTCCCGATGGATATATTATGGTTATCGATGAGCTAAACAGCGGAGCAAATGTATAAACTTACTATAAAGTGCTTGGATTATTTGCTGTGTGGCGTCGGTGCCTAAAAAGTGGGGCATTTTTGACCGTTGCTCCATAAATCTGCACGAACTTGACTAAGAACTCGCCAAGTGTCCTCTGAATTCATTGCGTCCATAGTTCGGTACATTAATCGTGGAAATCGATCCCGTTATCATTCTCACACCAAACTGGGGCTCCAGCATGTGTCAAGAAAGTATGGACAAAGGTTTAGGGTTTGACGAAAACGTCGCTTCGTCTGGGTATTTATGGAATAATCAAGAGAAACCAGAAGGAACAGATCCAGATGAGGGGCAGAGCACAGCTAGTAGCCAGCCAAGAACGCCTAGTACCACCTATGATATCTTCGCGCCGTTCCAAAAAGCCAACGCGGAAAAGGTAGGTATTGAATATCAAAAGCTATCCTTATCCGGCTGACTCTCAAAAGATCTGCATGGAGCCCTTCGAGTACACTAGGTCTCTTCCCGGCAAGAACACCGTTGGTAAGGTTATCGAGAGCTTGCGGCCTTGGCTGAAAATCACCGACCATTCTGCTGCGGTCCTTACGGACGTCATGACTATGTTGCAGAATGCATCCTTAATGTACGAACGTCTCGCAACCCGAGATATAGAGATAGGGGATAGCTGATGTGACAACTTTTGACAGGCTAGATGATATTGAAGACGGCTCTCAACTTCGACGTGGTGCACCCGCGGCGCACGTTAAATATGGCCTCAGTCAAACAATCAACAGCACTACGTATGTAATTGCCAAGGTTGTCTCCGATGTTCAGACCCATCTGCGCCCAGAGTGCGCCAAAGCCCTGTCTGGTAAGTTGTTAGCTTTATCAAATCGACAACCTGGTATTAAACAGACTCGTAGAGGAGCTCCAAACTCTCACCTTAGGCCAAGCTCTCGATCTCAACTGGACATTCCGTAAACAGTGTCCCAGCGTACAAGAATACCTTGTCATGATTGACCACAAGACTGGCGGTTTCTTCCGTCTGATGCTTCGGATCATGCAGATTGAGGCTAATGCCACGCCTAATGAGGATCTACATCATTTGATGACTCTGCTGGGGAGGTACTACCAAATCAGGGATGATTACCAGAACCTAGCTTCGGACGAGGTAGGACTTCTGCTTACTGTGATAGTCGATACTGGACTAAAAAGCTTGTAGTATACCGCCAAGAAGGGCTTCTGCGACGACCTTTCCGAGGGAAAGTTTTCGTTTCCTCTTATCCATCTGCTCGAGCATAGCCCCAATGCCAGTACCCTATACAAGCGAATCTTTGACCGCCAACCTGAGGACAAGGTCGAGATGTCTGAGGAGACAAAGTCGTATATCATTGCACAAATGAAGGAAATAGGTAGCTTAGAGTACACGCAGGAGGTTCTGGATGGCCTCTTTGATTCTATATGGAAGACGGCAGAGAAGGTGGAAGAAGCCATGGGAGAAAATATGGGGCTCAAAGCTCTCTGCGAAAGGTTAAAGCTGTGACAGAGTGCCGGGGAATGATATAGGACTCATAGCCGCCATGGTGGCTTAGCCAAGTCAGCCTTCCTCCTCACAGGCTCAGGCATCGTCGCTATTGGCTCCGGATTGGTCTACAATTTGGAGACCAACATATCTTCCGCGAAGATCATCGGGTATCAAATTCTGGCAAAGGTGCGTAAAGGGATCTGGGTCCAAATCCCGGTGACAGTCGTCCAGGTCTTTGTGTGAGTTAGAAAAATAACTTCGGCGCGGAATAAATTTCTAAAATTTCTCCATCACAATCAAGTGAAGTCTCTCAAACTCCTGTTTAGTTTTCTAAACGAGTAAGCAGGTTCTTCTAATACTAGTTCTCATAAATTAACTAATCGTACTACGCTAGCTTAAATACCTAGTTTTAATAGTCTTTCTTGGTACACTAAAAATAGATCTATATATACAAGACCATGGATTTTTATGAAGGTATTAACCTGGTCTCTCTAGACACTTGTATACCTCTCTACAGCCAGACTGCAGGCTCTCCACTTCGTCTAAACCATTATAGTCAGATAGACTGTGGATCTACACCATTAATGGAGAACTAATTAGATCTGTTAAAATTCCACGATATTAGTACCAGAGCTCTACTCGTTCGTCACATGGGTGAATTTATCGCATTATCTGGAGCAGTCGAGAGCCTCTACAGACCTCGCGTTCACGCAGCCTCAAGGGCACGGGCCTCCGAAAGCGTTAAGGATATCAGAGGGTACACGGCTTCGGTGAATGATAAGTATAATCGTAAGGACATGCGACCTGGATCCCCTTGGAATCATATTATGCTGAATACTATACCCATCAACCGAGATGAGCACTCTAATGTTGCCCGATGACTTGGGATAGGAGAAATATTTCTTAGAGAATGAGCTGAAGCAGAGCGACAGTTTGCGACAATTGTCCTGGAATGAATACTTCCGAGCCACTGAAACATCCGCATGTTATAGGGCTGCACACTTGGCATTGTATGCGGGCCAAGCCATATACATATGCTACCGGCACATCCTCCTCTCAGTCGACCTCTACGAGCTATGTATATCCAAAACCCAGCACGATCCACTCTACGCCCCACCACCAGCGGAACAACCAAACCCATCAATCCAGTAAAAGTGTCCACGGTTAAATACCAAGTCGGTTAAATAGTACCACCACCAGACCATCGGCCCACAACGTCCCGGCCTCGGGGTCCCCAAAGGCGGGGGATCCCAGCCCCAGCTTCAGCCCCTCCCAAGAAACAAACATAAATATCTATATGAACTACCCTTGGTAACCACCCCAATACCCAACCAATACATACATATACCCACCAAGATGTCTATGACCGTATCCGAATGCACGCAAACCCGGGATGGCTTCCCGCGGCCGTTCCCGGATACCCCTGCCAATGTCCTGGAGCAGTTTCAGTTGAACGGCAAGGTGGTTGTTGTTACGGGTGCGGCGGATGGCATTGGACTTGCTGTTTCTGAGGCCATGGCTGAGGCGGGGGCTGCGGTTGCTTTGTGGTATAATTCGTGAGTTTTCTATCTTTTCTTCTATGGTTAGGGTTATGTTGTGATTAATTGTTGGTGGGGCAGAAATGATGCTGCTGTTACGAGGGCTGAGGAGTTGGCGAGGGATCATGGGGCTAAGACTGTGGCTTATAAAGTCGATAGTACGCTGTTTTCGGTTTTATTTTATAGTTTGTTGCTAATGGTGGTCCAGTATCGAATCCCGAGGAGGTGCAGAAGGCTGTAGCAGATGTTGTGAGGGACTTTGAAAGGATTGATGTTTTTGTTGCTAACGCTGGTGAGTTGAGCTGGTAGAGGCTGTTGTGAGAATATATGACACTGATGGTAAGCAGGAATGGCTATCTCCAAGCCAATCCTGGAACAAACGCTGGATGAATACAGGAAACAGATGTCTGTCAATGGTAGGTATTCCTTATTTTCCCAGGACCCCACCAACTATACACTAAAGTATCTATCCCAGTCGACGGAGTCGTCTCCTGCGCAAAGTACGCAGGCGAGGTATTCCAGCGTCAGGGCTCCGGAAACCTGATCATCACGTCCAGCATGAGCGCACATATTGTAAACGTGCCGACGGATCAGCCCGTCTACAACGGATCCAAGGCCTTCGTAACCCAATTCGGTAAATCACTGGCCCGTGAATGGCGCGACTTTGCGCGGGTGAACATTGTCTCGCCGGGCTTCTTCGATACCAAAATGGGTGCAAGCCCGCTGGCTGTTAACGAGGCATATCGGATGGCGGTACTTGGACGGCAGGGCCATGTGAAGGAGATTAAGGGGCTGTATCTTTATCTGGCCAGTGATGCGTCGACGTATATGACTGGTAGTGATGTGTTGATTGATGGTGGTTATGTTCTTCCTTGATCACTGATCGAGTGTTTGTGTCATGTGTGGATGATAGCGCTCTTTAATTAAATACTTATTTTATTGTAAATTAGTGCTGTCATAAGGTATTCTGATACTCAAGGTCATGGGGAAGTGTATCGTCAGTTCTATGTTGTAAATGGAACTTCGGGAATCAGTTCAATATCAACTAGAAACGCTATGGACGACGGGCTCCGCTTCTAACTCCTAGAGACTATTGTTATACTGGTTGTTTCTATAGCCTATTGAGACTCAATCATTCATCCGCATTCCCAGGTCGTTGATATACCATTTGGACGGGGCTCTACAGGAAAGACGCAGGGTGGAGATGTCCCTCAAGGGTTGAAGCGGCTGATACCCAGGGAAGATAGCAACTGCAACGATGATAGTGAATTCCGAAAAATGGATGACGTAATGTCTACTGTTTGTGAGGCTTTTTCAATCATGCAACCTGGCTAGATTCCGGTCGCTAGCTATGGTAGAGTGCAGTGTATAAAGTGTCGGGTGGCTGTCTGCCGACGACGATACATCTACGCGGAGGAGAATGGTCCGCATACACTGCGCCGATCTAGAATGGCGGGGCAAAGCATGTCTCCACATAACGGCGGAGTGCCGACCGAAGTTGATCTATAATAACGAACATACAAGTACATCTGACATTGGCACATACATCTGGATCTATTCCGTGTTGCAATTCAGACCTGCACCACATCCACTCGCGCAAATGACGGCCACCAAGGATATCTCGAGCCGCGATGAGCTCACGAAACGGGCGGTTCCCAGTATGGTATTGAGCGACGGCAGCGCATCCTCCATGACCCCACCACCGGTATCAACTCTTGAGAGCGATCCCACGACGGCGGCGCAAAAGAGGTTCACGGTGCACGGAAATGCAGTTGTAACCGGCGGTGCCGGTACGCTAGGGCTGCAGTCGTGTAATGCGCTTCTGGAACACGGCTTGAACGGCCTGATGATCATGGACATGGACCCAACGATTTCACAGAAGGAGATTGACGAATTGCGCGTGAAGTACCCCAAAGCCAAGATCGCCACGTCAAAAGTCGACGTCACCGACGAGGTCGCCGTGGAGTCGGCGTTCGAAGAGACCACCAACGTGCTGGGGTCCGTGGATGCCTTGCTCTGTTTCGTTGGTGTGGTCGGATGCGTCGACTCTTTGGAGATGCCCATTCCGCAGTGGCGCAAGATCATGGACATCAACACCACAGGCTCATTTATCTGCGCACAGGCTGCTGCCAAGCGCATGGTCGCTCAAGGAACGGGCGGCTCCATTACCTTCGTGGCATCCATCTCCGGACATCGCGTGAACTTCCCACAGCCTCAGGCGGCATACAATGTCAGCAAAGCGGCCATTCTAATGCTCAAAAGCTGTCTTGCCGCGGAGTGGGCGCGATATGGCATCCGGACGAACAGCGTCAGTCCGGGGTACATGGATACGATTCTCAACGCCGGCGATGGCATTGCCGAACACCGCCGGGTTTGGGCCGAACGCAACCCCAGTGGAAGAATGGGCACTCCATCCGAGTTGACTGGCGCCATAGTATTGCTGGCGAGCAGCGCCGGTACTTATATGAATGGCACTGATATCGTGGTCGACGGAGGGCAGATTCTATTCTGATGGTAATGGTAATACCAAAACCTTTCCAGGAACATGTTGGGATCAGTATTTTTTTGGAAGACAAATTCCACCCATAACAAGATATTTCTCAAACGTTATGATCTCTTATTGCTTCTAGATTATATGACTTGCAGACCAGGCAAATGTTCTTTCCTCCACACTGTCCTACTGGCTGTCCTGTATGTAATAATGTTTTTATGGTTCCAGAGCGGGAATCTTACAATACTAGTCCCATTCAACGTTCATCAGTCTCGGCATTCCGGAACCTCTTAAGTTTTACCCTCAAGCCCGCTGCCAATTGAGCCTGAAAGCATGCCAAAACACTTGAAACAGAGTAAACCAGGGGCGGTATGTAGTAGTTAATCCTATCACTCTTGCGCTACACTGACGATACATAGTGTACGGAATGTCAGGTACGCCACCCGGAACCATAGCCCAGGAGGGGCAAGCCAAAGCTCCAGGGTTACCCCGAGGCTGATAATTCATGAACTGTGGCCATTTACAGAAACGTAAAAGCAGGGTTAGCTCTCTTTTATCTTTTCTCAAGGTGCCATGCTGATGGCGACTTAGTGTTCTGGATCTGCGCCGTGCTCATATTGCGCTCGCAGTAATAAGCAATGTATCTTTAGTGGGCCGCCGCAACGCACGCCGTTAACTCGACAGTGAGTCTCTCGTTCATGTTTTGTGTGGTTGTTAACGGTGCCAGAAACCTTGATGAGCTAGAGCACCGGTGTCGCGCGTTGCAGAAGCTGCTCCAGAAGCTGAATCCCGACTTGGATGTTGAGCGTGCTATTAAAGAGATAAACCGAGATGAAACATTAGCACACATCAGCAATAGAGGCAATAGCAGCTTAACTGACGACAATCCCACCACACCAGACAGGTTTGACTGGTCCGAGGCCTCCCTGGTCTCGCCGGCAGCAGACACGTACCAGTCCCCAGAACAGGGTCCAGACGGAATGGCGTCACTGCCGAGCAGTAAATGCGATACGGGGTACCTTGGTAAGATGTATCCCAATACACTACTCTGTACATACAATGTCTAAGCCAATCTAGGAACTGGCTCGGGATCGAGTCTGATGGAGACCATCTCCCATTTGCTTCCTGCACAGCCGCCATCGGCTACGGAAGGGGAACGCAGTACTCATAGGAGATCTGTCGGACCTACAAATAATGATCGACCTGATAACCTGATGTTGGCAAGGTGGCTCTCTGATACCGCTACCACGGCTCGTCTCATTGATGCTTACTTTCTATCGTATAACCGTGCCTATCCCATCTTACACGAGCCAACCTTCCGTGAAAGGTACCAGCACAGACATCAGATCCACGAGTCCTCCAGCTGGCATCCAATCTTTTATACGGTCTTGGCAATCGGGAGTTGGATAATAGGGGCCGACACGGAGCCGGGCGCTTACGACTTCTACGCTGCGGCTCGATCGCATATGTCGTTACGTATGCTTGAAGTCGGAAATGTCCTCACAGTACAGGCGTTCCTGTTAATGGTAAGAAATCTTGAATGGGAGTATGGGTGCATGCAAACCAAGCTACTAACCCTTGTTTGCCTGCAGGGTAATTATTTGCAGAAGCGCGATCGTCCTAACACCGGTTACAATTTCATTGGCATGGCATACCGTATGGCACTGGGACTCGGTCTGCACCGCGAGCCCCCATCGGCAACGAAGCATGACACACTCCTCCATGAACGGAGAAGAGTCTTGTGGTGGATTGTATATAGCTTTGATAGCGGTTTTAGTTTGACCACCGGCCGTCCTGTCATGGCCTCTGATTCATTCATCGAGACTCGACTGCCACGGAACATAGACGACTCGGTAAGCCTGACTGTACGTTCTTGTAACGGACCTGCATGTTGACTTGGCAGCAATGCTCCATGGACTCAACCGTACCCACGCCAGTTGATCATCCTACGCACTACTCCGCTGTTATCGCCCAATCCCAGCTTGCGTCTATTAGCAACCAAGTCTTTCACGAGCTCTTCTCGGCTACCGGCCACGCCGCGTTGGACATGAAACTTCCGCGAGGCATCGAACATCGCCTAAAAGTGTGGAAACTATCCCTACCCGTCTACTTCTCAACCCATAGTATACCAGACTGGTTCCGCGGTCCGAGAGCGGTCGTTCTGTGGAAAGAGCAGAATGTCCGCATGCTGCTTTGGTGGGGAAGTCACCGAGTGTGTAGCTCCACGGCAGACCAGAATGAAGCTCTGAATGCCTGCGAGTACACCGCGATGGAGACCATCCAGAGCATTAGTGCGTTTTGCAACGAGAACCCTGACGCGTTACATCCTGGTTTGACTTGGTATGCGGCATACTTTCTATTCCAAGCCGCCCTCGTCCTGAACATCTTCCGTCTCCAAGAACCTTCAGGTCAAGCACCGGACACAGGAAGAACCACTGAAGAGCTATGGCTACTGTCAGTTACGCGCGCGCACGAATGCCTTGGCTCACTAAGTCAAGCGAGTAAACCCGCATCTCGATGCCTAGAAGTGTTAGAAAGGATCAAACACTTCTGCCAGTCACGGCAACCCTCTTCACTGCCAGTGCCAACATCGGCGACGGGAGCTCTCCCCAACTTTACTTCCATCACCGGAAATACTCTTCCCGACCTCCAACCAGCAACCTTTGCGGCAGATCCCGCGTTGCAAATCTTTCTGGAAAACACCTCCCTCGAGGCGGACCCGTTTGAAGGAATCGAGGGCTTTCCGGGCACACAGGAGCTGGAGCTGTTTGATTATTTACCCCTAAGCGCCTATGGACTGGGTGACAACGAGGGGTCGATGCTTTTCACTTCTGGGACACATCCGCCGTAAGCTTCAGTTGGGCAGGGATCGCCGTCTATGCCCTCGCGCATATTTCATTAGATGATTAGTATATGACAATAAAACCTGTGTCTTGGCTATTCATCTGTAGGACGTACCTTTGCTATTTTTTGGCGTTGAAAGAATTGTTGAATTGTTAAATTCGACTTGGTAAGGTGACTCGAGCTGTTTTCATTTTCTTTCTATTTTTTCATCCTTTATCAATCCAGTGTTGTTTCATATATCGGGGTCCTCCGATGTCCAGAGAGTCTCCATCAACCCACTATCCTCGCTTAATTGAACACGGATATGCATCTCCTACCCCTCGTTCAAATACGAGATAAATGCCGACGGCGCAGGAAACGCCGGCCCATCGGGTGACTGTCAACCGACGATCAACCAAGGATCCAGACTGCGTTTCGGCTTCCAAGTGGGGTTGTGGGGATCGCTCTATAAACCGCTGCAGGACACCCAGACATGCACATAAGCATGAGAAAAGAAAAGGTATCCTGTGCCTAATACCACGGAATTGCCAGACATACGAAGATGAACCCAGACACCAGAAACCCATCATGTCTGCTCTACGGTGCGTTGGATGCGCGATTCGAGGACCGCCCGATGCCCGTGCTTGACAATCCGCACGATGTTATTGTTCAGATTGCGTATACGGGTGTTTGTGGGAGTGATGTGTGTATCCCCCCCGTCGAGCCCCGTGGCCCCCATACCATAAGACACCGGGGAACAGTATAACCATAGTAGTTACGCAATTCACTAACAAACACAAGGTCCACTTCTGGCTCCACGGCGGAATCCGCACCTACGTCTCTGAAACCCAGCCCCTGACCATGGGCCACGAAGCCTCGGGTACAATCCACGCGGTGGGCTCAGGCGTGACCACTCTCGTGCCCGGCGACAGAGTCGCCATCGAACCGGGCTACCCGTGTCGACGTTGTGCGCGCTGCAAACTCGGGCGGTACAACCTCTGTCCCGAGATGAAGTTTGCGGCCGACCCCCCATTCACCCATGGCACTCTGACGCGGTATTTCAAGCTCCCTGCGGATTTCTGTTACAAGGTCCCGGATCAGATCAGCCTGGCGGATGCTGTGCTCATGGAGCCGTTGGCGGTGGCTATCCATGCGGTGAGGCTGGCGGATGTGAAGTTGGGGAACCGGGTGGTTGTTTTCGGGGCGGGGACGGTGGGATTGTTCTGTGCGGCTGTGGCGAGGGAGTTCGGGGCTGGAATGGTGGTCTCGGTGGATGTGTTGGAGAATCGACTGCGTTTTGCGAAGGAGTTTGTTGGGGATGTGGGACGGACAGCCATGCCTGATTTGTCGAGCACTCCGGAGGAGAATGCCCAGCGCTTGATTCGTACACAGGGTCTGGGTGAAGGCGCGGATGTTGTTATCGATGCCTCTGGGGCTGAGGCTTCGGTACAGACGGGAGTGTTTTCCTTGCGCATGGGAGGCACGTATGTGCAGGCCGGGATGGGGAAGCGCAAGATTGAGTTCCCTATTTCGGAGATGTGTGAGAGGGAAATTGTGGCGAAGGGGTGCTTTCGATATGGCGCGGGGGATTTTGATTTGGGCATTCACCTGGTTAGTTCGGGGAGGCTGCAGCTGAAGGGCTTGGTCACTAAGATCTTCCCGTTTGAGGCTGCTCCGGAGGCTTGGGAAACGGCGAAGCGTGGTGAGGGCACTAAAACGTTGATTGAAGGGCCTAAAGTTTAGATGTTGGAATTCGTGTTGATGTTGGTGGTGGTAGTACTATATCTAGCTGGGGTTGGGGTTCTGGGGTAATAATCGAACCTCTGTTGATCTCTCACAAAGAATAATGAGACCAGTTTCATCATCACTGGCATGAGATGTAGGTCTGTATATAGATGGTAGGGTTTCAGGTGGCCATTAGGGCAAGATAGGAGACATCACTTTCAACCTGAGGACATCGCTATAGACCAACTACCAGCTACAATAGAACAGCTGAATACATCCCTTGCCGACAACTCCCTAAGCCGACATATAGAGTCAGGTTCACAAGTCTTTAGGGAAAAGTGACATCTCCCTGTTCCTATCACAGTGTGAATTCGATAACAGCCTTGCAACACTAAACATTTACTGCCTAGCTTTGTGTTTCCTCATCACACCAGATAGCCTGCACATCTACATGTCCATTGCGAGAGGGGACTGCATCACATAAGAATATCCTCTATTTAACTTGATATGTTAAGGATATGCACCGTAACGTGGCCACCACAGCCTCACGTGCGGCGTGCCCTACGTCATGGCCCGCCCCACCGACGTCAGAGCCGGATAGAGTAATCTATTTATACCAAGCCCTATACATGCAAACCAACACCGTTCAATGTGCACTTCACAACGTCCTTCTTTTTGAATAATAAAACACCTAACGTTACTGCAACTACCACACCATACTGTCCTACCATTTAAGTTACAACCCCTACACCATGAATCCGCTCAACCCCATCTCCCAGCCCCAGGAAGAAAACGACCCGAAACAGCAACAATCATACTACAACTGGCTTCGGGAACAATACAACATCCAATACGAGAAATGGTATCCCTGGATCGAAGACCAGTATCTGAAGTGGTTTGGAAAGGGGGATAATAAAGCTTCCTATATTACCAAGGGTAGGTATACCTCGTGTATATGCAGGCCTGTTTGTGTCTGTGGAAAGGGCGAAATAGCTAACTAGAAATATCTCGCTATAGACACGCTGGGCAAGTCCAAGGTGACCGGTATCAAACAGGTTGATCAGCTACAAGACGATGTGCATAATCTGGTTGGAAATCAGCTTGGTGATAATGGATTGCTTTCGCCTGTGGGCAAGTTAGTTTCGAAAGAGGGCATCAATCGGGCGGAGAGAAAGGGGAAGGATGAGGAGGGGAAATATGGATTTGGTGGGTTTGGAATTACAGGGAGATAATCTATGATGATGGGATGGTGATCGTGGTGAGGGAATTTGTATGATATTTTTGTGGAGGATACACCTTGGTTTTGGCACTGTCGATCTACTTGATGTTGTACTTATAGTTCTATTTATAGCTCCTTTGTTCTCTCTATACATGATATACTTGTTATCGCTTAGGTGTGTTCCAAGGGTTGGCCAGTGTACGGTTATGATTAGAAAGCACACGCACTCCAGATGTTAATCTGTTCGTCGGTAAGTTTGTCTAATGCAATGAGATCTCGTAGGTTTCGCCCTCCATACTCAAGATCTCCTCTCTATACACACTACCATTCACACTAAACTGTCTTCCATCCTGCACACGTATCGCCAATGGCCCGCCCGCTCTAGCCGTGACTCTCGCCCAAGTCAGCCTACCACCCGACCACTTCATATCCACCACAAAGTTCCCTCTGGCCACCAGGCCGTTCACCTTCCCATTCGGCACAGCTGACGGCAAAGCCGGCAACAAATGCACCACCCCAGCATGGCTCTGCAGCAGCATCTCAGCAACGCCCGCCGTGAACCCAAAGTTACCATCAATCTGGAAGGCCGACCCAGGCCCAGAGTCTGTATTCCATAGATTCGCACTCGGATACGTCTGCAGGAATACGTGCGTGTGGTTCCACGCGGCATCTCCGTCGAATAAACGAGAGTAAAGACTAATCGTCCACGCTCGCGACCAGCCTGTACTGCCGCTGCCGTGGGAGATGCGGTGGTCCAGCAGGACCTTTGCGGCGGCGGCTAAGGTTGGGTTCACAAGGGGCGTCATTTGAGATCCTGGGAAGAGCCCAAAGATGGGGCTCATGTGTCTGTGGCCTGCTTCGGTTTCTTTATATTCGTCACGCCATTCGAGGATTTGTCCGTAGGATCCGATTTGGGGGGGCTTGATAAGTGGTAGGGTGGATGCTGCTTTGGTGATATCAGTGTTGTTGATACCCAGGATTTTACCAGTTTCTATAATAGAGTGGAAGAGCTCTGACAAAAGCGTATTGTCCATTGTCGGGGCGATGTCGATTCCCTCCTCCCTGCCGCTCTGTCTCATGTCATCCGGCACGACAAACGCGTTTTCCGGTGAAGATGAAGGTCCTGTGCTCAGATATCCGTTGAAAGGGAACAGGTAGCAGTGGTAGAACTGTGCAGCGGGCCGCAAGAGCGGCCAGATGCGTTTTTCCAGGAGGGCTGTGTCCTGCGTGAAACGATAGTGTTCCATTAAATTCGCGGACAGCCATGCACCACCCATCGGCCACATCGTCCACTTAGTCCCGTTGTTCACTGGAACTGCATCTCCCCAGAGATCCGTGTTATGATGTAAAACGTAGCCGTCATTGTCGCAGTTGTACATGCGCCGCGCAATATCTTGCCCTCGGGGCTTGACGGTTTCAAGGAGAGATATTAGCGGCCCTAGCGTCTCTGCCAAGTTCGTTACTCCTGCTGGCCAGTAGTTCATCTCCAGGTTAATATTCACTGTGTACCGCCCTCCCCACGCCGGCTCGAAGTCTTCGTTCCAGAGTCCTTGGAGATTGGGAGGCAACGGCGAAGCGTCCGTGTCCCGCGACGACGCGATGAGAGAATACCGGCCGAACTGGAACATGAGGGTCGCTAGTTCGGGGTCCGTATCAGGGTCGATCTTGTATCTCTCAAGTCGGACATCAGTAGGTAAATTCCCCGCAGCACCAGACGACCCTAGGTCGAGGTGCACTCGGCCTGCGAGGGCTTCGTGATCAGCCGTGGCCGATTTCTCGATAGCAGGAAACCCGGCTCGCACGGCGGCGTCTAACTTGCGCTCTATCTCCGCCTCCCATGCTGGCTGGTCGGCATAACGATACGATGTTTCGGCATCAATGAAGATGTCCACGATTGTCGCATTATGGACTACTACCGAGCTCGCGTTGCGTGATACCCGCCCTTCTATTGTTAGTGATTATCTGTAGCAAATCTCGGGCACTCACCTCCATGAGCGACAATCCGGGCTGCAGCAGAAAAGCTGATCCCGTCTGACTCGGCCGTCAAGGCGCGCAATTTGAGTATTCCAGCGTTGCTTCCTGCGGTGGCTGAGTTCTCTACGACATACCGATCACGAGACAGCGAAGCCGCGACGTCTAACCGGCCAGCCTCGCTAGCCCTAAGTCGCGCTGCAATCACTCCGGCGGGATGGCTTGCAACGTACTCCCGCCTACTTAGTATTAGCATGTTTTGAGCGCTACTCAGACAGTTCCACATACCGGAATTTAACACCATGATGCTCATAGTCCACAACTGCACGCCCCTTGAGCAAATCCAATGACCGCGTATAGTTCTCTATATGAGAACCCTCATGGCCAAAGTCCAGAACCAACGAACCAAGTGGATGATATGCCCGAGGTTCATCTGGGCTCCCGACCATTTTCTCCAATGTCACCTCTCCAGCCGCGGTGATGTTCCCTTGTTTAAGCATAGAGCGGACAGGATCTAAGGCGCTGTACGCATCCGGGTTGACGCGGTCCATGAACTGACCGCCCCATATGGAATTCTCGTTCAGGGTTATATTTTCCACGGTAGAACCCCAGACTGCTGCACCTAGTCGGCCATTTCCGAGTGGCAGTGTTGAGGAGAAGTTGCTGGCTGGTGAGGTGTACCATGTAAAGTGAGATGGGTCGAAATGGGCGTGGGCGATAGTGGCCTCGACAATTAGGGGTAGGAGGGAAGGCAGACGCATGGTGTGTATCGGTGCGTATATGTGAGGCGTCAATTGTTGGAATTATGGGAGGGGGCAGGTTATAAATTGCGACCGGTACTCGTGGCGAGATTCATGCATCAATTGATCGATTGTTCATTATAATTCCACGAATCAGCTTGCGGAAGAACGCGCAGCTGCAGGGGGATAAATTAAAGGCAACAGTACTCATGCCAATCTTTCTTGGAGCCATCTGAAATGGTGAAATATACCCTGTGCTGCCCATCTTGACTTCGTGAGAGTTCTTGTGTCCATTTATCGTTTGCTTAGTGGATTGCTGTAATGGTATGCCAACGAAACCAGACTGTGTCGTATATAAACTCGGTTTATCGTACATTCGATTGTCTCAGTACTTGCAGGCTCTTGCTATATCGGTTACGAGGGCTTTCCAGCGGCCATTGCCTGATAATCTGATGTCACAGTTAGGTTCAACTTTCATGGTTGGTTGTTGAGCTGCTACGGCCGTTTGATCCACATACTGCGTATTGCCGTCTGTCGAGCATATTATACGGGTGAGAGATCATGGGTGCTTCCAAGTGTGATATAACAGGACTTTCGCATTATTTTCACCTCCACAATGTGCACAGCAAAGCTTTGTAGTAATATGGCGCCATCCAGTCAGAAAAGCAGTGTCTCCGCCCGGAGGATGGACACATGGGTTATCCCTTGTCATGGAGAATACCCAAGAATATCCGGTGCGGTAGTCGGCAATATGGGGATAGTAAGTACAAAGGCTTTATATGGACCATAAACAGGCCCACCCCCGGTGCTACAATGCGGAGTAATTGGGGAACTGCGGAACGGCCCTAATCCCATGATTGAAGAGGGTCAATCACTATCACACGAAGGGTAAACTGTCCTGTTTTAGAAAAGGTATTAGTCACATTCATATTTCGTCATTTACTTTAGAGGGGCAATAACTGCAATTCTCACGTATAGTATCAAACAAAGCGGGATAGAGCGCATTTACCTAGTTGGTAGGTTCATCGAGATACCCTAGTTGCGACTCAAAAATTTCGAGAGGAGCGCAGAAGTTCACTGCATAGACGGCAACGAGTATGTAATTTGGTGTTAAGTAGACTCACAGCTCAGAAGGTAGGGTCGTTGTAACTCGGCGATAGTGATGTGCGCTGCCTGTGACTTGACATAGGGAGCTCATGATCGCGAAAAGACAGAGATCACGTGTGTATGTCAGGCACCGACCATATCCATTTTGGGAAATCCTCATCTAGGGCCTGGTGCCCTTGAATATTAACGAGTGTACGATCCGGACATGAGTAACTCCAGTGTAGGATAGAATTCCGTGCGTCATTGATCTATAGGGGTCGTGTTGAGAATAGAATCATGTAGCAGTGTCTACTGTCCGCCCCACTTCTCCACAATATATGTTCGTATATACTCAAGGCAGACTTTAAAGCGAAGGAGCGAGACCAAAGGTAGTCAAGCTTGTCCACTGGTACATTACTAGACCCAGAGAGGCAACCTTGCATGTCTGCACATAAGACACATATATCACATGACCGAGTCAGCACACGAAAGACCTCTGTCTTACTCAGGATTTAGTGTTCTGTTTATGGGGAAAATACGAGAATCGTAGTAATGAGGAGGAGCCTTGAGTGTTGATTGTAAGATGTGTGATTCTAAGGTTCATTCTCTGCTAGGGTTCACAACGAGAGTAGAGTCGTGACGGTGTTAGAGACAGCTGGAAATACCTAGTAGCGTTGATCATGACGCGTTGAGTTGATGTGGCGGTCGTCATGGCCAAATTAATGGTAGTGGATACGGGCAATTACCAGTGTCTTAGTGCATTGTAGTCCTTGTACTTCTACTGTTACGTCAGTTAGGGCTGGTACTCTCCTACATATCAAATTTCTACCTGTAGGAATTTGAATCCCCTCTAGATATACTGTTTCTCATAAGTATGGTGCCTTAAAGTATTCGATGGTCCTTAGTTAAAGAACAGTCAAGTGCTATATTAGGTGTAAGGTTGGGCTTCGATGACACCATGGTGGACGCATAATCGCCGGCCAAGGGCAACCCTCGAGACACGTTGGAATTCCTGGAGCATCCCACCAATACTCATGCGATCATGACCTGCAACAACAACACGACCGCTTCGACCAACCTATCATGTCGACGCGTTTAGCATTGGGTGGCAATCAACTCCTTGAAGCTTGCAAAGCTAGTCGAGCCACGGCGCTGTCCGATTGGCATGACCACAGCCATCCGTCTCGTTTCCAGGGGCGTAGTGCAGCAGACCGGATCGACGACGACACGATATCCAATCGCTTCCCTCCATGATGATCACCAGTAAAGGGACTCGACAGGTCGATGGGCTGGATGTCTGCAGATGTCTCGTGACTCTACCCCGCGTTGTCATGTACTGATACGACGCAGCGATTGATATAAAGGGGCTAAATCCTGTCCTACCTGCTCTCGTATTCCTCTGGTCCTCATCAAGTCACTCGGGAGTGACAAGAGCTGCGACAAAACCTCGTCGTGACTAGCTGATACTTCACCTTAAATCTTCGTATTATCTACTATCTCTCACTATCCACACACGATGTCTGCTCCAGTGGTTCAGGGCCTGTCATCCTTGGGCTCTCAGGCGGGACAATATGCCAGGCGACAGGCCAACACATGGAGGGACCGACTCTTGACTACCGGTATGTAACCCGATACCAGACTCTCTGCAACGTCGACACCCTGGATGTGCCTAACCCAGAAAAGACAAATCTCGCCGCCGGGCACAAATTGTTCAGACCTCGTTCGCTGTCCACCGACCCGTCTGGATCACAGCGGGCGGTGCAGCATACACGACGGCAGCGGCAGCGCTGCTCACTCTACGATACATGAAACGATTACGATGAAAGAGTGGAAGGAGGGGTAACTCGATCCTTGATGGATACAGGGATGTTTCTGGTAAACATACACATACAGCGGGGGACTGGTCCACGACTGCATATTCATTTCATTTGTGATTTTCTTTGTTTTTTGTTTTTTGTTTTTCTATTATTATTTATCCTTGATTTATGATATGTGGGAAATATTTTGGTTTTTATTATTGGGGCGGGTGAATTGTCTATAGCCACCCCGGATGGCAGGGATGGAGTTACAGAGTTGTTACATTCAGGAAACTCAATGAAATGATGATCCATATGAACTTTGGCCAGTGTAGCATCGGTGGCGGTATTGCGCAGGGTACGGTATTGTCAGAAAGTATCCTGGGTGCTCCTTGGATGTACATCAATGCAACAACAGACTCGACCAGGGTCATCACACCACACCCGTCATGCCACATCGACGGACGCTGGAGGTACATCGATGTACCTCTGTGTCTCTCCGCAGGTCTTTACACGAAACGCACTACGAAGACCCCGGAAGAAAAACTCACCGACCCAATCCGCAAGCATCATTACGATCCACGACGACAGAGCGAGTTCATAGCGACCTTGAGAGACCTTCCAGCAGACTGGAGATACCTCTGAGGTACTTCAGGGAACTTCCACGTCCAAGGTAACTCCCCCCACAGCTCCACCAGAGCTGATACTCTAAATTACCGACTCCACCGCCCGTTGATCGAAGTGTCAGCGTACGTATCCGTACTTTGTAATGGATGGGGTCGATTGGACCAGACTGGCCGCGAGACTTTCAACCCCGCTCGATGGCGCCCAATAGCGGCCATGGCGCCAGGCTAGGTGCAGGATACCCCGGATCCAAATCTCAAGGCAACCCCGCACTCGGCACCACTTGGGCTTATCCACTTGCCGAAACTGGGTCCTGTAGTGCTGCGTTAGTAGTTGAACTATTGGTTTCAGGTCTAGTGTCGCCTGAGACATTCCTAATTTCTCTCATCATCACTCAGACAGGTCAATACACTATTTACTGTTTGGTATAACCCCCTAACGTCAATCCCAGACGCTAGTTCGGTATGCGCGTCGATGGATGCCGGGAGACCATGGAACTCTAGACAAGCCATGCATGCATGCTGATATCACCGGTCCCCCGCAAGGTATTGATAATCCACTGTCCTTACACTTCCGCTCGGAGCCGGGGTATGTCATATGACACCCACAGCCCTAACGCGGAGATTCCATTTTAGGCCACCCACGCGATGCATGATCGTGTCAGCGAATCATTCGTATTGAGCCAACTGTTGACGCTGCACGGCAGGGTGATAGCAAAGACGATCCCGCCCCTAACTTCTATCCCTTTTCCATATTTCTGTTGTTCCAACAGGATGTATGGCTGTGTTATACTGTTCTCGTCATGTTAAGAATATTTCTCTAGGCTGCAATCATTTTGTGATCAATGAGTTCCGGGATTAGAATTAAATGGCTTATAAATTCACAGTTCCTACACGTACCAACACAGCTCAGGTTACCTCGTAACCCTAAGCAGAAACTGTGTGGCGATTGTACCCGTCGGGACAATGGCGTCCCATTGGCTATCTGTCAACGGATCGAGATTCAAATGCCAGTGGCTCGGAGACGGTTGATTGCTTGGTCTGGGCGAGGCCATACACGCCAGTCTTCATGCTTGATGTATTGTGTACGTGATTTTGATGAACTATGATTTAGCTAGATTGCCTCGACTGTCTCTCATCTAGACTAGGAAGAGATGTATCAGTGTAATAAATATCAAGTAGAGAATATAACACGTGCGAATAAAGATATATATATATATATAGCCAGCGTTCAAGATATAGTCATCCATTTAAGCTCTACAAGGGCTAGTTGATATAATAAAACAATAATCATACTACCGAATTATATCTGGTCTACCAGTATGTACTATATAGTCGAGTAGTTGATCGAGCTTTAAGGATATCGATGCAACAATTGTAACCACCATCTTATCCTTATCTAACCTGCTGTCGAAGGTACTCTTATTGATCCTACACTACATAGTGGCTGTCATACATTCACGAAATACTCAGAGTTGTTTACACTTTTGAAGCCGAAAATACATCGAGTTTCAAGGAAGCTCTACCTTACAAACAAGGCGAACAGCATATCCAAGACTCGCCTTGAACCTTTCCATGGATGTTCAGGTAAAACAGCTTATTAATACATTGTGTTCAGATTGACATATTCATCGTCCAATATCGAAAGCAGTGGTTGCAAATTGAAATGATTCCTTTGGAATAACCTCGTCTCGTCCGATATCTGACATCCAACATTCTGTAACCACTAGCAAGACTGTAGGACACACATATCTCAACAGTCTCATACCGAGCCAGACACAAATTCCAATATACTGTTCTCTCGTTACTCAACTTTACTCCTGGCATAAATCCTTCCGCGCAATCAGCATTCACAAAAAGTGACCACTCCCCTCCCAGTTCGATCAACAGCGCACCCACAATCAGGGCAATAGCGCGGGGCCCAAAGACAGCCAGTGCTGGACAAACAAAAGGCTTGCTACCACAGGGAAAGAATGCCATCCTGACAGAATTCACCATGCGGACGACTTGTGGTTCTCTTCAGACTTTTGCTAATGCCGTTTATGCACGAGTCTGACACTCATATTGAGACTTACGCCGTTCTATTCTTTGATGGTCTTGTTCACACGGCTCATCAGTAATTAATCACAGAATTAACAATGCTTTGGGGGGTTCACCTGAATCTTTGATCGTTCTGTTTTAATACCTGTATCTTGTTTGCTTCTGGTGTTCGCTTTCAGGATGTTGAAATCACTATTCTGAGTCCTAGCCTGCTATCTCATTTGATAGCGGAACAGGACATTTGGTCTTGATCTAGTGAGTCCCAAAGTCTAGCTATTGGACAATATATCACTAGCTGTAAGGGCGTATATTCCAGTCTTGATCATGGTTTATGTATTTCTTATATGATTTTCATAAACTGAGACACAATCCTGACCAACATTATGTCCGGTCGACAAAAAAGGACTGACCTACGCTGTCAAAGAGTGGATCAATATCCCCAATATAGTCGCTTAGATTCGTTCCATATTGCAACTGTGTCAGACCCGATTATAAGAGCTTTGGGTGGCGTCACCAACGCCCTGTGATCCAGATATTTTTCCATGGTTGTGTGTTTCTGACCTAGACTAATAATAAGGTTTATCAATATAATAGTAGCTGAAAATAAACTCTACAGCAGAAAGTAAGTTTGGTATATATATACTGTTAGTTTTTGAAATATATTTGACTTGGGTTGGGAACATTTCTGAGGCAAATGATGCCACTTTGGAATACATATTCCTATAGTCAAGTATTACGGAATCACTCCGGTCAAATATCCAATAAGCCATTGAGCAACCCCCCAAGTCGTATACCTATTGTGGCTCAGAGCTGGGTAAGGATTATGCCGATAAGATCTGATTCTTATCAGGGCGGGTTGCAGGTCCAAATCATCAACCTCTACAAAAGTCTCCGCTAGGTCTATATACAGGTGATTTTGCAACGCGAAACGTCATAAAGACATGAAGCTGGATCCTGCTTAACAGAACATTGGCCATATGGCTCGTTCCTTTGAGATGTCAATCCAACTAGGCAATGGCGCCTGCCGACTAGCTGTCAGCTGTTCATCCTGCCTTCTCCACACCTCTGTTACTAGATCACTTGCAATCTTATAGGGAGCAAGCCCGCTCATGAGATTTGCCCTTTCCAGTAGGTATAGGATAGATTCACGCTGTTTGTGGGTTGTGGCTTCGCAACCCGCGATAAATAAGGGCCAGAGAGTGCCTAGACCCAGGGGATCTCCCACTTTCAGCCTTCTATAAAACGCAAGCAAAGATGTAATAACCTTCTCGACTTCACCTTCTAGGACTGCTGGATATGTCTGTCGAACACGTCTGTGGAAAAATATAATCAAGGCAGAATTGAGTGCTCGGAAGATAAGCGTGTCATGCATTGTTTGCTCGCTGCGATGATTTGACTCTGTTTCGCGCGCGGTATAATCATGTATCACACGCTCGAGGCGCGAGGCGCGGTCCTGTAACGCTTGATATGTATTGCAACTCATCGTGATCTCTGTATTCTGTGAATTTCTCAGGGTGTCCATGATGTTTGCGAGGCGGGTAGTTTGTGATAACAAACTAAGCCAAATCTCTGGTATCCCGTAAACCTGTTTACTAAGAGTCTCGGACGATTTTCTTGAGTCCTGCAGGTGGATATCTGTGATGTCCGCTCTTCGGCATTTTGGTTCGTCGATATTGAGGTCGTTGTCGGGACTTTCTATATGTAGAAAATCATCTAGATCAACGCCCTGAGCATAGCTTGGTATGGGCCGCTCTCCACTTGCTGTGGGCCTCTTCGATTGGCAGTGTAGATTGAAAGTACTTAGCGATGACGGTGATAGAGTGTAGTCATGGAGGACATAGGTACTTTCACCTGAAATCCGAAGCCAGGTGTAGATATTGAGCAGAAGACGCATTCTTCGTGAAATCTTGCGCTTTGGGAGTCCCCGTACGCGCAGAAGTCGCTCCGCGTCGACAAGATAGCACCTTGCATCTCGATGTTGACCGGAGAATACCTTAATGTAGTCAGTACTGACACGCAGGGAGAAGAGTAATTGCGGGACGTGGTGCTCCTACTGTAAATTTTATCATTCCATAAAGAGCCATCAACTGGTCTTTAAGTTTGGCCTTTCTGGGTCCTCCAGTCTCCTCGCTCAAGGATATTCGTATGTGACTTTTTGCCTCCGCATAACATCGCTCTGCAAGCTTTTCCCAATACTCTCGCGAAGAACGCAACTTGTTCTTCGAAGGATTTGTCGCGAGGTCGATTGCAGAGCATGCAAGGAGGGAGTATAAATGCGCATGTCTCGCATGAGTAACGGTTTCGCAGTTCATTATCGTTAATGCTCCCAGTGTAAGCAACGCAGCTGGGATATTAACAATATCCCAGGGTGACTTCTTGCTTAGAGGAACAACCGTCATCTGGGGTACAACACCTTTTTGGAAATGCTTTAGTAATTCAGGGGCATTCTTCAATATATCATCATTTATGTACGATCGATGTGTCAAGGTCTGTTGATACGCAGGGTTTCCGGAAGAAATGTCACAGCCTTCATCGTCGTCAAAAGTTGGATATGCTATCGGTGTCTGGCCAGTCAAATGGCCATTCAAATGCAACAAAGTTGTGCAATCAAATGTAGATTGAAAATCTAAGTCATGGTAGGCCGAAAGCGCCGGAAACTCGCTACCAAGGTCGAGAATGTCGTCCCATTGCAGGAAGGAATCTACAGGAGCTGGGGAAACATCTAGAACTGTTGGAACGCTCGCATTGGAGACCTGAATGCTGGGAATCTCATCTGTAGGTGGTTCTGCCGTAAGACAAGGGACTTGTATGTCTTGCGATTTGCCGGAGGGGGCAGAAATATGAAGCACAGCGAAAGGGCCAATTCTTGCCTCCCGTTCGGATCGAAAGCACGGGGTTCTTGACATTGTATCAATCTCCTCCAGGGAAGCATCAACAGAACCCAATAGCAGATCCTTGCTGAGGGCAGCAGTCATCGAACGTCTATCCTCTTCTACATTCAATGTCAGCCATTGGCTTTGCAGGGACCATTGAATTATCCACCGCGGGAGGTGTAGGTACCCGTTAACAAATGATGCCTGACCCCAAACCTAGCGATAGGGCCAGCCTCCATGTAGGCGGATGTACGTTTCCGAGAGGACGCCCATCGAATTTCATTCGAAAACCCTTCGCAAGTTAGGCCTACTGCCGAGCATGTCTGGCAGGTAGGCCGTTGCGTATCGCACCTAACATGCCGGCGTCTACAAGTCCTGCAACTGCCCAAGACATGGTTTCGACGAGCTCTAGATCTGGCTGACATGACTCCAAGACGAGATAATGACACTAAAGATTGCCTTGAGGTTGATCGATCCCTGTACCGGAATCTCTAAGCCGGCGAGAGAGCACCGATGATGAATGATAATAGATGATCAGGTGACCGGATCCGCTTGCCCTAGTCTATGGAGACACTGTCAAGTGCAAGTCGTTCCGCGGATAATGCTGACATCGAAACGCCTCCCACTTGCCATATCATCGGCATGCTATACAACAACTACTTAGTATGCTACCACGAGAACTAGTCGTCCAGTATTTCCAATGCCGACCCTCCCGCTTATTTTTTGTCTTCCCTCTTTTAATTTCCGGATGGAGCTCATATCTATGATATGCAGCATTATCATAAAGCCGCTGGAAAACATTTTACGGATAGAGTATGCAAGGTACGACCTTGGCGCCATATAATCAATGTTTTAATCGAGTGGGATTGACAGCTACTGTTAAATTGGGAGGTCCTCAACTCCTGGCCCAACCATTTCTTTATATGATCTTGATGTAGCATTATAGAAAGGCCATATGCTGTGTGCGCTCTATATTACTTTGTATTTATACATTTATTTGTTTGATATTTATTTTTTATTCTTTTTTTTTTCGCTCGTAGTATGAGATAGATCTATTCTAGACCAGCAATGGAACAGGCACGTGACCGCCATCTTATCTCGATTCCCGATGCGATTTTCCGCTTTTCCACCGCGCAAGATGGCGAATGGAAGGACACATACCAAAATCGCTGGAACTGCGGACTACGACGACCCCACTTTCTGGGATAGGAAGTTTGCGACCGGTCAAGATGTGGGTGAATGGTTGAATCCCGGAGAAAATATCGTCCAGGCTGTTCTATCCGACTTAGACACCCGATCATTTGTCCAAGAACGTTCCCCTCGAGCGTTGCATCTGGGACCCGGTATTTCGAAACTAGGAACAAAGCTTCGCGAGGCCTTTGTGGACCGCAACTGGAATGGCTCTGGCATCGTGGTACGTTTGCTCACCACTGTTCAAGATAAGTCTCTGCTGACGCTCAACCGTCATAGAATGTTGATTTTTCCTCCGAAGCCGTCCGCCTTGGCCGGGAAATCGAGAGCAAACAGGACCCATCGCATGCAATGCACTGGTTACGTGCCGACCTTCGGGCATGGAACGATCTGTCGAGCCTGACCCAGTTTGCCCCCTTTGATATAATCCTCGATAAAAGCACGAGCGACGCCATCGCAACCTCCCCATCCATAACGTTCTCGCCGACCTCGATCTCACACGATATCTGCCCGGTCCTGCGCGACGTTGTGGATACCCAGGGAGAAATCACCGTATCCCCGGTCGAGCTGTTGGCGCTACATCTTGTCCCATTGACTACCGAAGGGACGATGTGGATCGCCCTTTCGTACTCAACCATGCGATTTGATAACCTTCCATGGCTAACGAAACATTGGGATCTCGTTTCCCGTACCCCGCTCAAGGCGCCTCAAGGTCAGGCTTCCTCATTTGCGTATACCCCTGAGGTTTTCCATTGGCTATATACACTGCGGCGAAAATGATTGGTTCTTCGTCACGCCGAGATAACTACATAACGGACAGGACTAGCGTGAATTAAACGAGATTTAATGAAAGGTAATTTCGACACTATACACTCGTTGCGCCTTGCGACGATTGTGGGGAACGCCACCCTGGCCATGATCACAGATCGCTCGACTGTGCCGGCAACCCCATCTCTCCCAGCCCAGAACTCCTGCTGCGACATCAACAGCACAAACATATAGCAGCCAGTTCAACCCTTCACTGGCTGCTAACTGGGACATCTCGCATCAACTTCTTGCCCATTAGCCTTATTCTCAGTAGCTGCCGACTGGTCTGGTAAGATAATGGTGAAAGTCACTATTGTATATTCACAGAAAGACAGGGTCGCGCTTAGGAGCCAAAGCCTTCGGGACTCCTTAGTACTGCGGCAAAGTGACTGGACTCTGGAGTCTTTGTAAATTTTAAACTTTTGTAAGCAAGTATTATGGTAATGGACAAATAGTTTAAAACTGGAGACCGGAAACCTTATCATTCAAGGCCGCATTACGCTAGATCTAGCCCCCTGAAGTTACTAGCAGCCGCAGCCTTCAAACATCTGGTGGAAAGACTCTTCGGCGTCGCGCCCGAGAGTAGTTTAGTTTTCTACGCCGCTGATTGATCAAACAATTAGATAGTGTGCAGGAGAGGGTGTAGCAGAATACTGCGTGTTGGATCTTCATCGTTCCGAGTCGCAAGTTCGAACTGCTAGTCGCGGCTCCTCTAGGGTATTTTTACAACTCCCGAATATATATCTATCTTGTCCCCCCTGTATCCTTCTCGATTTGCGAAATCCCTTACTAACTTTATTTTATATTCACTACTGTTACTTGGAAATAATTCCAACACAAAAAAACACTAAATAGATCATCCTATTGCTCTTTGCCTTGATATTCACATCGATAATTTTATATTTGCTATATTTAGCCGACAATACTCCTCGTTCTACGCCGCCTTAAGTATGCGACTGACCCTCGCTGGGGGGCTTTTGCCCATGTAGCCGGAATGACTCCTATTATGCACCCTTGAATCAACCTACATCAACATTTATCAAAATCCATGTCGAGCTTTCGAGCCGATGGAGGAGGAGCAGAGGTGGTACAGAGTCGAAGCGGCAGATGTGGATTAAGTTGGCGCGACACGAGATCTTGTGTGTTGTTGAACGACCGGGTAGTCCCGGTTACACACCCACCGTGGCCTTCAATCGTCATAGTCCAGATGACGTCTTGAGAGATGCGAGCTGCTTTGTGTTTTGCTCGGCGTGGAATTCGGTGGCCGGGGAATCCGCCATGACCCTTGATCCAAACTCGGCGCTACCCAATAATGCCGCCCGCATAGGTAGTCTGAAATTGGTCCCAAGACGTTCAGTTAGTGACTTTCATCAGGGGTGATCCTCCCAAATAGTGACTGTTGGGGACGTGCGCAAGTAGTGTACGGAGTACAAAGTGGTTCAGATGACGAAGGCGGGGAGTAGGAGTCTCGGACCATGGTTCAAACGGTGTTATTGGTGTCCGACCGCGACAAATGGGTCTCCCGACAACATTCAAGCGAGGCGGTCGGTGTTCGGCCATGGGTGAATTGTGGGTAGTTGTTAGTTCAGAGTTCGGAGGCCAAAGATGGTCGTTCCTATGTATATTAATAGTTGTGGCAGCGCATCTTCGTATCGTTGCGGTTACCCCTGGATGCGACCTTCGTTTAAAATCAACTTAATTGACAAGGCTGAGTGAAGTGGCGCCACCAATTGAATTGACGTAAAATACGAGGCGATTTGATTCGCTTAGTACGGACTGGATCAGTGCGCACGGGGATGGCCCGCGCCCGCTGGAATGTTGGCGACGCAGTAGTCAGTACTAGTATGTACTTTGTAATTTGGCGGATATCGACAGGACTACTGCGTAACTCGGATAGGATTCGGACAACGTGGGATGGTTCAATGTAGATTTGGTTCAACGAATATCTCTTGTCTCCGATGTATTGGTCCGATATTGGTTGTAGTCTCCTCGCCTCATCTCCTAGGATGGGGGTACTCGTAGCACCAGCAAGTATGTACATTCCTTGCACTTGGAAGACAGGCTCCACTGACCGGAGATATTTTCCTGAGATTTCGAAGAAAACAAACTTTCCTGCTCGCTCAGGGTCATTTCTATTTAGGTGGTAGTCCTGTGCGGATCATTTTAAAACTTGAAGAACAGTCCGATCGGAATATACAGGCGCCTCGCATCGTATTCCTGCCGGTGGGTCAGGGTTTCATTAAAAAGGCCGTTGGAAAACGGATGGAGTTTGCTCAGTTTGCGTGCCTGTCACGGGAATTGAACCGTGGATCCCGTTGTGGAGGCTGACAAGGTGTCAAGGCTAGCGTCCCGGGCGGTGAGGGGCGATTCTGCCAGGGGGAAAAAAGAGTAGTCCGACGCCCCAGACCCATAGACCATTTCTGTTCTCCTTTGCGGGGGGGTAATATTGCCTGATCCTTCATTCCTCGGTGGGCTAAAAAAGCCATGTCCATGCTCCCGTCCCTTTCTCCGAGCTTACTGCCAATCTCCGTGCCACTTGCATATGCTAGCTTTCTCAATCACTGCAAGCGCAGTAGAATGTGATATCGCCACTGCTCCTCAACATCTACTTTCCATCCAGAATGGTTGGTGTTCCGCGCAGCAAAGGCTGTTCGCTCTGTCGCCAGAGACGTATCAGGGTCGGTTATTGTTACCCCTACCCCTTCCCCTTTTCTATCCTAGTAGATATCCTCCTTTTTGGTGTATTATATCCTGAATCAATCGTTAACTTCGATGGGAGTGATTAGTGTGATCAAAGCCGACCGCATTGCTCTCAGTGTCGCAAATATGGCGCCGTGTGCCCCGGCTATAAGCGCTCACTGAAGTTCCAGGATGAGGGGCCTCGTCTGCAGGAACGGTACATCATTACCTCCCCAGATACGGATGGGAGTGATGAGGGATCAAGTCCAGTGTCAGACTCGTTGCCGGTAAAAGCCCAGAGGCAAATGCGTTGCTTTGCGGGTGCCTCCCTCGACCAGCGGGTTTGTCCGTCCCTGACATACAAGTCGTTCTTGGGTCAGCAGCCACGCCTTTTCAAAGAATTCGTCTGTGCCTCGTTTCCGACCATGTATTATCATAATGAATTTCGGTTTGGACCCGGTTTTACCTTCCCGGACAACGTTATCAAAAAGTTTGGTTCCAAACCTTACTACGATGCCACCGTGATGTCTCTGTCCTTAGCCTGGCTTGCACATCAGACAAAAGACCCAAACCTAGAATATGCAAGTCGACAAAAGTACGCAGAAGCCTTGAGTGGCATCAAATACGCCCTGACATCGGAAGATACCGTGTCGGACGCCCTGTTGATGGCCGTCATACTGCTGGCCTTCTATGAGATGAACGTACGCACCACGGAAGATGCTTGGCTCTTCCATGCCAACGCAGTGAAGCAGCTGATGAAGAAGCGTGGCATGAGAGCCCATTTGAGTGGCCCTGGGCGCGTTTGTCACTTTGCCTTCAGGCCGTTTCTGATTGGTGCTGCGCTCCAGAAGGGTGAATCATGTTTCTTAGATGAGGATTCATGGCAGGACTTGGCAGCATCTTTGCGGAGCGAAGACTCTCGGAAGCAAAACGAATGGGCATTTTATATCGATGTCTATGAAACCATCTTCATGGAGCTTGTTAGGTGTCCCGGCTATATCAAGGAAGCCCGGGGAATCTTTTCTGCGGCCTCACCAGAGGCCAAATCTCTGGCTCATCGTATTCGTAAAACATGTGATCGACTGCGACGGCTAAGCAAAGAAATGCGAACCTTACTTAGTGCGCATAACCAGCGAAAGCAGGGCATCACTCTTCGCTTCGTCGGGCCGGAGCCCAAACTCTTCCCGGAAACGAGCCCATCTCTTCTTCTTCGTGCTGGGGTCGATGCTGTTCGTATCCTCGAACAAATCTTAGATCGAATCACCATTCCTATACCTACCGTGGAACAGACCTTAATCATCCGTGATGGAGCGATAACACCGGTGTCAAGCCCAGACAGCTCAGGCGATGCGGATAGTCCACCACTCTTCTCCTTTGGTTTGTCCTGCGAACTTGGAAACGGTCCACAGGCTTCGGTCGGTGATGATGCTCAACGCGCATTGACTTGGCTGGATCGGGTCGCCGGGGCAATGGGGCTATTAGGAGCGGAAATCACGTACGGAATGAAACCGGGAATCCACACAGATCTTGCTCTGCGAACTGTTCGCACGTTAACCCCTGTGGATGACGACCTCCCGGAGCCTCGTAGGTCGTCGGACTGAGACAATGGAGACCAACAAACTGTATTCAATCAGCGCCCTAAGTGATCCTAAATCGACCCTCAATCACTACAGATGGAATGTGTGCATTTGAGAATAGGTATAGTCCTCGATTCGTCAGCGTTGGACGGCTAGTCTATTCGCGCTGTTCATCTACCAATCACCAAAGTGCTTGCATCATATTATTGCACGCCGGACCGCCCCACGCTGCAGCTCATTTTGCGTTATATAACGATTGCGTTACATGCATCTATAAAACGTTGACGGCCACCGACCCCGCCGTCCTGTCTATCCCCGGAAACAACTATGCACCTACAGGCTCGCATAGGAACACCATCGAGTTCAATCATCTCTCCTATTTGTAGAGCTGTCTCTTATTCTTCACTATTGGGTCCTTGTCCTGGCAATCTGAGGTTTCTGAGTCCTCCATACTAGATTGACATTTTGGATGTACCATTCCCACCACATAATCATAATAAAACCTTTGTTAGTCGCTACGCCGACACTACTGTCTATTCAGCTCTTGGATCTCATCAGCGCCCAGCAAACCCAATGCCTGTCTTCGGGTAGGGGCGTTGGGATCGAAGAAAGGCTTCTCCGCGAGGGCCGTGACTCGAGTGCCATGCCTGGGCTCCGACCCTTCGTAGTCCCAGCTGGCATTATGAATGGTAATTCTGCTTAGTGTTAGTTCCTAATCTAAAGAAAGACGGTCCATCAAGGAATATTCACTAACCTATTGTCCCACAAAGCACTAGTCCGAGGAGTCCACTTGAAGCGAACTTGAATGTCAATATTCTTCTCGTATACATCGAACAGATACCCTAGAATAACATCACTCTCGGCCTTGTCTAACCCGACAATCCGATCAGTCATCGCTCGGTTTACCCATAGCGCCTTCCAGCCCGTCGCCGGATGAACACGGACAATCGGATGCTCTCGTTCAACATATTTCGGACCTGCTTCGGGGTTCTTGCGGTCTAGGTAAGGATGTGCGGATCGATAGATGGCTGTTCTTCCATCGATGATTTTACGGAACTCCGGGGACAATTTCTCGTATGCAGAATACCCGCTGGCCCACAACGTATCTCCGCCGACGGTCGGGACCTGGTCATTGTGAAGATGTGTCACTCCTGCCGGTTGGCGCTCATGAACTAGGTCAGTGTGCCAACGAGAGGCGCCTCCCGGCCGACGATAACCCGCTGCCCGCTCCGTCGCTTGGAGAGCCGGCCATAAGACCGACACGCCCGGAAGACCGGGCACCTGGGGCACTTGAGGCTACGGCGCTATATTAGAAAAGGAACTCGATAATCTGACATGGAGGATGAAAACAAACATGGACCTCGACCTCTCCAAAGTATTCACCAAGAGCCTTCTGTTGCTGAGGAGAGAGATCCTGATCCCGGAAGAAGACAACGCTCCGTTCCGCAATCAGTAGACCCAACTCGTCCTTCTGTTGGTCAGTCAAGTCTTTAAGCTGCAGTCCCACGATTTCGGTTCCGATATGCCTGGTTAGGTGAATCACTTCTTTTGCTGCAGACAACAATGCCTTCTTCTCCGGGTCGGCACGGGTGCCGGGATCTACATGTGGACGGTCATAGTTTCTGATGTTGTAAACATCGTCAGAGTACAGAGGTCGCGACGGCCGATACGGATACCCATTGGAAAGATCAATTCCCGCTTTTACAAGCCGTTCACGGCTGGCTGCAGGAAGGGCGAGAGTATCCTTCTGGGGCTCGGCGACGTCAACGATACTCGGATCGATAGGGGCCGGTGCCATTGTGTAATTGATATTTAATCTTTTTTTTTTTTCTTTTTTAACAATCCATGCTACACAACAGCGTTGGACAGAAATGAACCAAATAGTCTTATTATATTCGTTCCATAGGCACTGGATTGATAATCTTGATCAAGTCACCTGCGGAGACGGGATCACATCATCGCCAATAACCATTGCGCCTTCTACATCCCATTCGTCGCATATTAGAAGGATTCCCTACATATACCCACAGATGCAACCCCTCATCTCTCCGCAAGTCTCCTGCTTCTAGAGTTGCTTATCTATACCCACTCTGGAGCTTGAACTCAATCAACCGGAGCCCCTCCGATATCACCATACAGGGATGTGATGGCGACTCAAATTGTCTGATTTCCAATCGGTCAGCACTACGGTTTTTGATCCAATATTGGTCCACCATATTCAATCAACACTTTAGACGGCACACCTTTCCGATACTTCGCTTGATTAACATGGTCGTTGTGGTGGCGCGTTGCATACTGCCGCGGCTTGTGCCATGACACCACTCTAACCTGGCATAACGTGAGCTGTGACGGCACTAGCGCCTTTACCACCGTCATAATCATAAAGGTGTCTCCATTCACACATGGTATTTGCTTCAAAATCCAAGCAAATACACAACAGTAACATTATGACTCGCGCACAAATCCGTAAGGTGGCGGTCATTGGTGCCGGTATTAGTGGTGTTGTTTCCGCGGGACACCTCCTCGCGGCTGGGTTTGATGTGACAGTCTTCGAGAGAAATAAAGTTGCAGGAGGAGTCTGGTACGTGCCGTGTGGCCTCCTCCTTATGCTCAGAAGCTAACGGAAGACAGGCTGTACGATGAACGACAGCCGGTAGAGCCGCAGTATCCCGCGACGAAGCCGTCAGAAACAGATCAACCGGCGAAAGATCAACACCAGAAGGAGAGATTCATTCTCGAACATGCACCACCTGGGTAAGACCTTCAGTTATGATGTCGCCTGCTTACCGCTGACTCTGTAGCCCCTGCTATGAGGGTTTGAGGAATAACGTTCCCACGCCTTTGATCCGCGTGAAGCTCAATGCATGGCCGGAAGGCACTCCAGACTTCGTCAGCCACGATGTAATCAAAGACTATATTCAAGATACATCTCGGAAAGCGAAAGTTGATGACGTCACAATTTATGGAGCACGAGTAAAAGACCTTCGCAAACGTGGTGATAAATGGGAGGTAGTCTGGTCGACAGTCCGCGAGAACAGCCAGACAGATACCGTGGTCGAAGTGGAAGAGATATCGGTAAACAACATCATTGCATAGAGGGCTTCATGGTATTTGAGTTAACGGGAAATTGCGCAGATATTTGATGCGATAATTGTCGCATCTGGACACTACCATGCGCCACGTATTCCAGATATACCTGGCTTGTCGGAAGCGAAGAGCCATTGGGATTCTCGAATTATGCATTCGAAGGGGTATCGAAAGGCGGAAGGCTTCGAGAACAAGGTACAATAGCTCCATGATACGAATAGTCAGACGCTGACCAATACTAGAATGTCCTTCTTGTTGGCGGTGGAGTATCATCTACGGACATTGCGAAGGAAATTGGCCCCGTCGCCAAAACTGTCTACCAAAGCACGAGGAACGGCGACTTTGATCTTCCAGAAGCCATGCTCCCTGATAACGGGGTGAGGATTGGCGAAATATCCCACTTTGACATCGAGAGCGGCAAGGGCTCAATTTCCGATGACGAGGCTTTACCCTTAACCATACATCTGAAGTCGGGACAAAAACTATGCGGAATCGATCGGGTGATCATCTGCACTGGTTATCACATCACCCTTCCTTTCCTGCGGGATTACCACAGCGACGACACGCCTGCTGAACTTGCTGATGAGAAGATCTTGGTCACTGATGGGACTCAAGTGCATAATCTGCATAAAGATATATTCTACATTCCCGATCCCACACTGGCCTTTATCGGGGTTCCCTACTACACCGCCACATTTACCCTGTTCGAATTCCAGGCGCTCGTGGCGACGCAGGTCTTTGCCGGAATCGCCAAGACACCTTCTGAGGATACCATGAGATTCGAGTACTTGGCTAAGATCAAGGAGGTTGGCAGTGGGAAGAAGTTTCACTCGTTGAAAGATAAGGAAGAATTTTACGTGAGGGATCTATTGCAATGGGTGAATGATGACCGGGCAACCTATGGGCTTAGTCCCTTGGAAGGACATTCCCCCCAGTGGCTTGGAGCCAAGGAGGAACATCGAAAATGGATTCAAGATCGTTGGCAGACCACAGGTCGGAGGGACAGTGGTGTCGGCGAGCTTCCGGTGTTGGCAGTATGTAGTTAAATTGGGCCTTGCTGGAACCTGCCCTATTATCGGACACTATCTCGAACTAGGAATAATATCCTGTCCAGTTGTCACCTCCTAGCGACCGTCGCTTACTGCAATGGTCTATTACAAGGATTGGCCAGGCTCACCAAGCGTTAAGTTCAGTAGGATCCCGCCATTAAAAATGCTCGGCACATCATCCATACTCGCGATGACGAGCTCCGCGACAACAACGAATCTTTAGCCCCAGTCACGCCACAGCTTCCCTATAGAAACTGTCTGATAGACTGCGTGTACACGGTCTTTATTGGCTAGAGTTTTCCATCATGACTCGAAAAACGAATGTGAATTTTCCCCGCACCAAGCTGTATCACAACTCCAGATGGCCGTTCCAACTGCCGATGCAGGAATTGCGCCAACACCACTATTATGAGCAATTGAGACTCTTATCGAGTGGCCAGGACCCTTGACACTAGAAGTGTGGAGCTAGTTCTATCTATGATGTCTGAGAAAAATAGCATTAAGCGAACAACATGTGGAGGAAGCTCAGGCGTAAATGGGACGGATATAATTTTTATTTAACCCCGATCGCATTCCATTTCCTCACAGCACGGCCAGCTGCTGGGACTCTAGAGCTACAGGAGGATCTCTTCTTTTGTCCAAGATAGACAACATGGCTCCATCGCAAGCCATAGCAGAGGAACGAGCCGTCGATTCAACGAGCGACATTGTACACAAATCCCCGAAGCGCAAATGGGTCAGTTATATCTGGGACACATTCGATAAGTCGCCCGAGGAGCGGAAGTTGATGTTTAAATTGGATTCGGCAATTTTGACATTCGCGTCTCTTGGTGCGTTTGTACTTCCTTTTTGTCTGGTTTTATGAGTGGGCGGGGACTGACGATATGGATAGGATACTTTATCAAATATCTGGATCAGATCAATATTAACAATGCCTTCGTGTCTGGGATGTGAGTACTTCACAAGGAAACCGAGGGACGGTCCATTGACAATTCATCAGGAAAGAGGATCTAGGCATGTACGGCAACGAGCTCAACTATATGCAGGCTTGCTGGACGGTGGGCTATGTTATTGGGGAAATTCCGAGCAATATCCTTCTTACGAGGATTAGACCTAGATATTGGCTTCCAGCTATGGAGGTATGCCTCTCGTTTATGACCGAGTGCTGACTGTTGCTAATGGACACAGTTGCTCTGGACTGTGTTAACCTTCGCGTCGTCTCGATGTAATACTGCGACTCAGTTTTACGTTCTGAGGTTCTTTATCGGTAGGGAGGATCCACCATCTTTGACCGTATACTTAGAAACTAACCAGCAAAGGCCTCGCGGAAAGTACCTTCTACCCCGGCATGCAGTATCTGATCGGCTCGTGGTACCGGAAAGACGAACTAGCGAAGCGATCATGTATCTTTCATACCAGCAGTGGTATTGCGAGTATGTTTTCGGGGTATTTGATGGCTGCGGTATATAATCTCGAGGGACGGGGCGGGTTTAGAGGATGGCAATGGTATGGCTTTCATCCATGTTGAAAGGTATTGCGGCAACGGCTAAGCGGTGATAGGTTGTTTATTGTGGATGGTATCATCTCGCTCCCGATTGCATTGAGTGGCTTTTTTATTCTGCCTGATGTGCCTGAGATCTCGAATCCGTGGTATTTGACCAAGGAGGTGAGATCTGTTACACAGTCTTCGCGGCGTATATTTGCTAATGTGGAGTTCAGGAAGTGGCGCTATCGCAGAAGCGAATGCAGCTTGAAGGACGCAAGAATAGGGAGCCGTATACTAAAAGCAAGCTGAAGAAGATCTTCACATCATGGCATATTTATCTGCTTACTGTGCTGTATATGTAAGTTCGATTTCCATAAGGTGATATAGTTTAGCTGGGCTAACAAACGAGCAGAACATTCAACAACGGTGCCGCTGGATCTCAACCCGTCTTCCAACAGTGAGTCTACTATACCCACCTAGGTAACCATGTGGTATATAGCTAACAGAACCAGGTGGCTCAAAAGCTCGACGGACCCCAAATACTCCGTCGGCCAGATCAACGCCTACCCAACGACCACAGGCGCAGTCCAGGTCGTGACTACGCTTGCCTACGCCTGTACATCCTTCCCCCCACCATTACCATCGATACAGGAGTCTGACATTAACAGGGTCCTCCGACACATTCCTCAACGGAAGACGCTGGCCGCCCATCATCTTCGGAGCGGTAAGGCACATCAGCCTCACATTCATCCCGAAAGTGTCCCAAACTAACAAGCCCAGATCATAAACATAATCTGCTACGTCTCCCTCGCAGTCTGGGACATTCCCAACGGCTGGAAATGGACCTGCTACATCCTTGCCGGTGCAGGGTACGGTTTAAGTGGACTTTGCATGGCGTATGTCTCTCATTCTCCCCTCCCTATTTTCCCTGTTATTCACCCTCGCAACAACCCCGTCCATGCATAGACGCACCAAATCTAACACGCTGAAAATAGCTGGGCCCACGAAATCTGCTCCGATGACAACGAAGAACGATCCCTGGTAATCGGCAGCATGAACGAAATGGCCTACGTGTTCCAGGCGTGGTTACCCCAGGTCGTGTGGCAGCAGGTGGATGCGCCGCAGTATCGGAAGGGCTTTATCGCTGTTTCTATTCTGTCGGTTATATTGATTGGCACGGCGTCGTGGATTAGGGTGCTGCACTTGAAGGAGAAGAGGGTTAAGTGAGTTCTATCTTTCTTTCTTTCTCTGTTTCTCTGTTTTTTCTGTGGGTTGGCGTGCTTGGGGTGGGTGCTAATTGCTTTGGTGTTGTAGGGCTAAGACGCCGCGGGTCGAGAGTGAGGAGAGCAGTATTTCGGGGACTGAGAATGGGGGAGATGTTCAGGAGGGCGTGGGGAAGATTTGATCATATGGAGATGGGGTTTGAAGTGGGGGTAGAAGTTCAGCTGGGGTTACAAAAGAAATGTTCTTAATGCAGGTAGACGAGGCCTCGTGAGAAGGTAATGAATGTATAACGCCGACTATGCCATATAAATAGAGATCAGCTGAGGGCTGGCGTCGAAATTTCGTAACGGTGGAAAGGGTTCAAAATTCATCAAGTCACTCGTTGACTACTATCCAGGCATATGTATCTATTAGATCCTAGACAAGCCTACAAAACCATATTCCACTTCACCCTCTTCTCCTTCATCATTGCCAAAACACCAACCGGCAAGAACCGCTTCTCCACCAGAGTCATCCCGCCAAATCGTTTCAAGACATCGTCCGAATAAAGCTGCAAAATCCACTTCACTTCGGGACCTTGCCTAGACAATCGGAACTGCCCAGAAACCGCATCAAGGGCATCGCGACAATCCTGTGTTATCTGGATGAGCTTTGTATACGGAACCACCATCAGGTCCTCATATAAGAGCCGGAGGCTGTTGCTACGCGATTCCCGATATCGGGTGTACTCCTCGAAGGACATGAAGGTGTTTATCTCCGCCTCGGTGATAACTAAGGGCTCCCCTGACTTGGGCCGGGGGTTGATGGTTTCGGCGCGACGGCGGCGTGTTTTCTCGGACGTCTCGGAGAAGGTTTTCTTTGCGAAGGCGTAGCTTTCGCGTTCTGTCCTTTTGAAGCGTTCAATACGCTCGATCGGGGATAGTTCCACTGAGTCTCGCATGAGCAGGACCGATATGAACGGGTTGCGCAGGCCTAGGCCGCCGAGCTCGGCGGGGAGGAAGAAGAATGCGTCTGGAATGTCGGACACCCCGAACTGAGACTCGATTTTTCTTCGCAGATGTTCTGTTACCGTGTTGCCACTCTGGTCGCTCACGCCGTTGAACAGCGTATTTTGCATCTTCCCGTATGTAGAGAGAATGGCATCGATATGTGCGCGCCCGAAGCAGTGCGCGGGCTGCCCAAACGTGTTCTTGAAGAAGCGCCCGATGCAGCTGTTCCACGTTCGGACCCAGGAAATAACACTGTCGCATCTGCTGAGCTGTTTCCGAAGCTGGGAAACATGTGCATCGACCTGTGCTTGGTCGATCTCCCAGGTTTCGGATTTTGCGTTGAGGGTTAGGAATCCGAATGTGACCGGGCCTGTGGGAAGGCGAGCTGCGATCTCGGGGTCCAGGTTGTCTGTGAGGTAGACTGAGCCTGTTTTACCCCGGTTAAATTCCAGGCCGGTTACTTGAGCATACTCTTGCATGACCTCCCAGGCCCGTGCACATTTGTCTGGCTTGCCGCAAACCCACAGGTCGTCGTGGATGCGGTAAAGGAGCAGGCCTGTCTCCCGGTTAACAGCCAGATCCATAGGGAAGAGTACCAGCTCTCCTGTCAACTTCTCCATCGCGTGGGAAATGGGAACACCACGCCTGCGAGCACGAGGTCCAGTATGCATCCGTCCCTCGGCGGAATGATCCAAGTTCAATGGAGCTGCGAGGTACTTCTGAAAGAATGCCAGCCATTCAGCCGGAAAGCCGAAGAACCTCATCACGGCGAGAATGGTGCTGTGCGGCAGCGCAGTAGCGTACCATTTCATATCCGACTGGACCACCGCTGCTTGACCATAGATTTGACGTTCAAGCAGGATCTGGGATGCGACCTTCCGCAGGAGCTGCTGTTTCATGTTCGACGGCCCATCGATGCTGCTGTCTGCGCTGTCTTCATTGTTCTCATCATCGTATAGCATACCCCGTTCCGATAACGATGTCTCAGTCAGAGGCATATGAAACAGGAAATCAGACTCCAGGTAGTCGTTCTTGCGGCTCGTTTCGATATTGCTGATTCGGTCGTAATCACTCAGGTAGAACTGTCGGCGCAGGCCATCCCGTTCTGTCATTCGTGGGCTTGGACGCCAATTCCAGACCGATTTCTTCTCAATGAACTCTTTCAGTATGGCTTTGATCATGGAGCACAGACGGACGGCAATGTACTGGGCGAAAATGGTCTGGAGAACGTCGTCATCGATCCAGATGCGATATTTGCCGTTCAGTTGTTGGCGAGGCAAAACCGGGATCCCGTCTTCGGCGTGCCAGTCCCAATTCTTTAGGTCTGCGTATCGCATGTTCAGAACGTCCACGATTTCAGTCAACGCAACGTTATTCTCCAAGCAGTATTTCAGAATCCCCTGTTTTTCCTCGCTGAGAAGGTCCTCTGTCAGGAGTCCACGGATACAGGACCGGATGGAATATATATTAAAGGGATCCGTTTTGTGCCACAGCTCAGAACAATTGCGGCCAACTTTCTCCCTGAGCTTATCCAGAGCAATCCTGCTGTCGTCGTCAGGAAACAGACCATCGAGAAACGCATGAATCTCATCCTCATCGGTCTCCAACGGCTCGAACACCACCCTTTCAAACTGATCACATAGCTGCTGCAACCGCTGCTTCTGTCGCTCCTCAACTACCAAATAATCCTCCTCTTCGTTGGGGATCTGGTCTGACCCAGGAGAAGAAGGAGAAAGGTCCATCCACTCCGTAAGCAGCCGAGAATACAGATCCGCAATGTTCAATCTCATGCTATGAGCATCCAGCTTGGCGACCAGATGTTCCTGGAACGAGTCCAGCTTCGCCTCCGGAATGGAAGAGTCATAGCGCGCCTGGTTCAGCCACCGCTCAATGTTGGCTGTTTTGGAATCCCTTGCGTTGTCGTCGTCAGAGCGGAGTGCCTTTAGGCCCTGTAGAATACATGCTACCCTGTCTCGCGGGTCTGTTTGGTGAGCTGCTGCTGCAAGCACTCGGGACTTGGAGGACTCGTATGCTATGCGTTGCTTTTCTAGCTCGCGGATCTTGCTTTGGGTTAGGGATTGGAGGGTTTTGGAGAACGTTGTGGTGGTTGTGGCCATTATGGGAGATCAGATGGGATTGAGAAATGGAACAAATGATAAATAACTGAAGGAGGTGAAAATGGGTAATAGTCGCTAATATTGAAAGTGTGGCTGTTCAAGGAAGCCCGTCGCGTTTTTTATACATTGTCGGTGGACTTAGGCAGCGATGGCTGCCTGAGAGGATCGGCATCCTCCCTTGCATAAACCATGCCCGGAATCCTAGGTCGCTCCCACATACTCACTTATAACTGCAGGATTTGTTTGGTGTTTTCTATTTCTGGTGGTAGGACATGTATGGGTTGGAGAATATAGAATCCGGACCGAGGGGGAATAATGCAGGTTACTCAATGCGCCTATAGGGCTAATTACACGGTATCATTGCCTATTCTCACATCGACAGCCATAACCTCATAATGCTTGTTTAGAGCTGTTTTTCTATATAGGGTTCCAAATATGAGTGCTGCATTGTATATCCATCGCTGTCGGCCGTGCACAAAGTGTATTCCGAGGATTTCCATATCTTCGTTGTTTGACTTCCTGCTTAATTTCGAGATAGTGGGTTTCGAGTCTCTTGGTCATAAGACGGCCCAGTCTTGTTGATTAATGGGGGAGAGGCGTCAACATGAAGGACTTGCCGGGACCATTTCCTGATCCAATAGGCATTAAGAACAATACATACACGCGCGAAAAACGTGGCTGAGAGAGGTACAAGGATACACCAAGCAGTAGCTGTCTTAGATCCATAATCCGATTGTTCGACTTGTCATCCATCCCGTCCAGAAATAACCTCAATCATGTGTCGACCAAAAGTCGTAGTACACCTTGAGCAGCTCAGCAACAGGTCTGAGTTCGATGATATCCGGATGATCGGCTATCGCTTGGCGGAGGTTCTCCGTGCCATAAGCAGCCATATACTCCCAATCGTCCCACCATATCCTGTGCTGGGATAGTCTCTCCGCTAGGATATAACTGGATACTTCTGTTTGCGAATCCGGTTTCTTAGTGAATCTTTTAAAGAATTGGGCAGTAGAAACGGAAATGAGAGGAGTAGGGGAATAGTTGCTCAAGATATTGTAGACCTCGCCTAGAGTTATGACCTTGTCTTGATCTGGCTGGGTTATGTTGAAAGCATGGCCAAGGCTAGTGCTGTTTAATGAGATCCGGGATATTGCCGAACAAGCAAAGTCTACCGGGATAAAATGGAACCGCTGCTGTGGGGGATTGGGATAACACCCAAGCCGAATACAGTTGGCCATGAGTCTGTTGACCATATCCTCCCGCTTACATGCGCCTGTGTGACTGTCACCAGTAACAACGGTAGGCCGGTATATTGCTATAGGGAAACCATTCTCCATGGCGTCCCAGACAATACTTTCAGCGACAAACTTGCTTTGCGTATAGCCAATACTTTGTGCCACATTCTGAGCGTCCGCACGTGGTCGGACATCCTCAGGGATAGGGCCGGTGAGGTTTTCGCTAACACCACACGCGGAGATACTTGAGCAATAATGTACAGGCTTCAATCGCTCGGTATTGGCAAGTCGGAGAATTTCGAGAACCCCAAGGACATTCGGACCTCTGTGAACGGAGTACGGCAAGGTGTAATTGGCATATCCCATAAAATGAAAGATCACACTCGACCACTGCGCCAAGTGACTGAAGGTTTCTGGCCGTAGACTGAGGTTCCTCTTCGCCACGTCGCCAGGAATTGCGATAACCTTGGATCTAAAATCAACTGGTAGTCCGTATTTGGCAAAAGTTTGCCTGATTCTTGTATGGCCCAAGTCTGACGTACTTGCGCGAACCAAGCATGCAACCTGCTTGACCTGGGGTAAGGCGATAAGTTCCGACAGCAGGAAGGCCCCAAGGAATCCAGTTGCACCAGTGAAAAAGACATTCCCCTCAGACTCTGATGCCCAATCTGGGCTGGCGTTAGAGATGGGTCGCATTGTTTTACCAAGCGTCAGGTCATCGTGGTAATCTGGCTCCTCCTCAGCTCTATCGGGGCCACCATCTTGTCCTTCACTTTCTTTGTGACTCTTGTGCATGTGCTTGTCGCGGAGCTTCTGAACAGCGACCTTGCTGAGTCCACCAACAGTCCCTGAGTTGGAGACCTCTACTAACGTAATCTCAATTCCAGCATGTCGGCGAAACCAAGTGCGAATCTCGAATGTCATCAATGAATCGATTGGAATATTGGCCAATTGCTCTAGAGTCATATCTTCTGGTCGCGATGTGTAGGACGCGACCAATTTTCCAAGTTCAAGAACAATCTTCTCCTCCGTCTCCGGTCGATCGAGCAGTGATGGATCGTTCTTAATGGCTTCCATGTGCTCTCTAAGCTGATCAGCCTTGGAGCCCTCATCAGTCTGTTCCATGGTGGCAATGATGTTTTTCCATATACCAAACCGGGCCTCTTTAGTCCAGTTTGACGCAAATTCTGCGGAGGACAGAGTCCTCGTTGTCCCGAGCCCAACAATGACCTGATTTTGGCAGTGCAAGCGCTGCGCTAATACTGCAACCTCGACTGCTTGAAGGAATTGCCGTTCATCTAGCACTTGTAAAGACTTGGATTGAGACGCTTCTAATGACGAGACGAGAGATGCCTCTGACACGTAGCCAATGTCCCCCATGAGGCCGAGGTCAATCACATGAGCCGGCAAGTTCAGTGATTGGCGATAGTTTACAAAAGCGTCCAAAAAGGCATTCGCAGCGCCATAGTTGGCTTGGCCAGGCCAGCCAATAATGCCTGCAATTGAACTGATAAGCAAAAAGAAGTCCAATGGCTTATCCTTCAGGACGTGATGAAGGTTCCAGGTTCCTTTAACCTTAGGATACAATGCGGCAATCCATTCTTCGTAGACCATATTGTGTAGACTTTGATCCTGCGAAACAGAAAGCATCAGTCAATCTGTAGTTTAAAGCTGTCAATTTAATATACCTTTAAAACCATTGACAATTGGATGACGCCTGCAATTGGCGTTTTGGCGGCAGAGAGCGCACGTCGAACGTCATCAATGTCTCCTACATCCCCCACAACAGTGATGGCATCACAGCCCTGGCACTCTAAGGTCTTTATAAAAGAGCTACCTTCTATGGTATTTGCACCAGTACGTGAAAGGAAGACTAGATAGCGGGCTCCCTTTTCAACCATCCAGGTTGCAACGGCACGACCGAGGCCTCCAAGACCACCGACAAGAAGGTACGATGCGTTTGCCGAAAAATATGAGGCCCTCTCGTGAACTCGGGCAACTGGAAGAGTCGGCGGGATGTCTGGCATTTTGACGACAATCTTCCCCATGTGCTGTCCGCTTTGCATATACCGGAAGGCCTTTACCACATTGGCAGCCTCGAATACAGTTACTGGGCTGATAGGCCCTGCCTTGCCTTGGCGGAAGTATTCCATGACAGACCCGATCATTTCGTGTAGGATGTCAATATTCTCGTCAAGAACCTGCAGCAGGTCTATCCCAATAAAAGACCGATTATCAAGGAACCTGTCCATCTCCAAGAGGCCATGTCCCAGAAAGTCTCTTTTCCCCAGTTCAAGCATTTTGCCGAACTTGGCAACGCATTGCCAGGATGCATGGAGCAGGTCACCGGCCAAAGAGTTGAGGACTAAATCGACACCGCGACCATCGGTCTTCTGCAACACACCTTGCATGAAGGACGAACTTCTCGAGTCAAATATATGATCAGCAGGGATATTGAAGTTATCTATGAGATGCCTAGCCTTCTCTTCACTTCCAACGGTCGCGTAGATCACCGCTCCGATTAGCTGACAGAGCTGTACCGCACCCAGCCCCACGCCACCACACGCAGAATGTATCAGGACTGATTGGCCTCGCTTCAGGCCGCCGACGTTTATGAGAGAGTATACTACAGTAGCATAGACACAAAGTATTGTGGCAGCACCCTCCAGGGAAACATTCTCCGGAATTGGGACACACCGTTCCACCCGTACCACTTTTCGAGTGCACATGAGGCCTGACTGGGAGACCATGATTTTATCGCCGGGTGAGAATCGGCTGACAGCAGAGCCCACTCGCCGCACAATTCCACTGGCTTCCAACCCGACTTGGGCCATGTCCCCCATGAAGCCCATCACGATCATCAGGTCCTATTTAAGTTAGATTGATTACTGTATGAGCCTGTATGGTAGACTGATCCTCACCCTAAAGTTAAGGCCAACGTATTTTATGTCAACTTCAATTTCCTCCTTCTGCAGGTCATTTGGCGTTATATCTGCACAGGTCCATGTCAGGGAATCAACCATTGCGTAGGACTCAATATCTAGTACTCTCGGGGCTTGGTTCTCGCGTGCCTCGACTTGTCCCTCGAATGAATTCCAGTGGAGCCGGGCAACCTGTACAATTCCCTCCCGGACAGCAAATTCATATTCCGGTGCCGCACCAGGATCATCCAGCTGAGACAGAAGTCGCTCAAATACCTGAATAACAGGCTGCAGTGCGGCCCTTTCCATTTGGTCGATCTCTATGGTAGCAATTTGAGGCATAAGCTCATGTCGAATAGTCCGGGCTAGGCCCAACACTAACGCGTATCTGGGATCGTCGCACTCCGTTTGAACAGATCGTGTAACCCATAGCAGATGACCATCTGCCAACCGCAAGACAAACGATTGGAAGCTCTCAAAATCAGCCGGTGTGAGTTCATGAAAAAAGGGGCCCTCGAGGTCAATCACCGATATTATGTTTGAACGAGGTGATGGTATCTGCTTAAGTGTGCACCAGTGGACCGAGTAACCCGCCTCTGAAAGTTCACTCGCGAGATCTCGAGCCCAGTCGTCAATCACTGTATGGTAAAGAAGCGAGACCTCTCCTTTCTCGGGAAACTTGGCAACAGGCACCCTTGACAAGATGCGGGCATTCAGTTGATATGGTGGTTCATTATCGTATCTGAAAGTCTCCACACCCGTAAATCCAGCGTCCAACAGCTTATCATGCCATTTGTCCACGGAGATATATGGTCGCTCTTCTCGGGCATCGCCGTAACCCAGCCACCAACCGGGCAGGATACCCATGATGCAGTCAATTATGGGAATGGTACAGGCCAGTTCGATCATTAGCAGGCGGCCACCTGGAACAAGCAACCTACGAACATTTCGCAATGCGTCTGAAATATGTGGGGTTGCATGTATCACATTGGCCGCAATGATGAGGTCATAGCTTTCTGGCTGGAAGCCTTGCTCAACGGGGTCGCGACTGATATCGAGGGTGGCGTATTCCATGGCCGGATAGGACTTATATTTCTCCTTCGCTTCTAGAAGGAATCCAGGAGATATATCTGTGAATGTATATGTGGAATATAATCTATTGTTGTGGTCCCATGTGAGGCCCTCCAGGGCAACCAGAGTATCTCCACCAGTACCACCTCCTACTTCTAGCACTCGTAGCTGTGGATAGGAATGCCCAAGCAGGGATGCGAATTCATGCCAGGATCCGATAAGAGCAGATTGTTCGTAAAAGGACTTGAGCACACCATCCTCTACCAGAACATCAATAGGCTCCAGCTGGCCCTCCAAAAGCCTATCCATTGAATCGAGAACTCGTTTGCATAGGAGATAAAATGGATAGCCCAAATCTTGTGACTGCATAGACTTAAATTTCTCGAACTCCGCGGCGCGTTCCGTTGTGCTCAGGGAGCAAATGTCTCTCAGCTCCGGCACTAGCATAGGAGCATTATCACGCATGTACTCATACCTAGATGATAAAAAGGATAGCCATTTTCTCAGATGTTCCTGTGTGGGCTGTGAAGATCTCGTCTGGTAATAGTATTCCACACCATAAAGACTGACTAGCCTGAAGATTTTACGCCGAGCCTCGAGGGGGCTCTGTGATGGGGAGAACAATTTTTCGACAGGAAAAAAGTCGACGTGAGGACCCCAATGGGTTGTCGCAGCTACTGGAAGCTTTGGATTCCCTATATCTGGTTCTTGAATGCTGAAAAAAAGGCCGTGTTGCATGGAGAGTATTACTTGGCCGTCGGTGACGAGCATCGCATTTCCCCGCATCATCCCTCCCGAGGTGTCACAGGAGACATCGAGTGACATTGTTCCCCTTCTACTGCCTATATAAAGCTCCTCGATAGCTGTCGGAATTGCTAAGCGGGTCATTTGGCGAGGGATGCCATGGGTTGCTGCCACACTTAGCAGTTGCAGGCTCTCGTCTATGAGAATCGGGTGCAGCGCGTAGTGGCTCATGTACAAACTCTCATCATCCTGCAATGTCGCGGCAGCTTGATAACTTGATGGACTGGCTGAGATGTGCTCAAGTCCTCTGAACTGGGGACCATATTCTAATCCACGCTTTTCTAGCGCGTTGTACCACTTTTCAGATTTGACCAATCTAGGATAGGGTGTGATCTCTTTGGCCTTAAAGGTCCTGTCTGATGCGGGCCTCACTTGGCCAATACAGTGCTTTTTCCACGCGGCGTTTTGATAGGCGGATATTGTAAAGTCGTACCATACGGAATCAATATTATTGGCAAGCCTTGCTGGTCGGAGAGTTGTAATAATCTCTGTTGCAACAGATGCCTCTAATGTCAAGGCAGCGCGCATAAACATGTTTCTCACTGAATATTCGGTTGAGTCCGTTATTTGCCGAATTGCTTCACCCACCATTGCAACATAGCCCGCACAGGGGAAAACCACATCCCTGCCGATCCTATGGTCTCCAAGCCAAGGTACCTGGTCTATCTGCAGGATATTCCTCCATGACGGTTCAACGCTGGATGACTCAAGCACCCTCGAGCCCAGAAGCTCATGGTGAGGCTCGTGACGTAGCCTCCAGTGGTTTGCTAGACGTGATTCATTCCAATATCTTTCATCATGTTTCCAAGAATACGGGGGAAGGTCACTTAAAGCCCCGCCGTTGGTAATAATAGAGCCAAGATCAACAGGAATACCATGCATAAACATTTGGCCACCCGTTGCTAGTAGGCTTTGCCACTCACCAGTTCCTCTGCGTAATGTAGGAACATACAATGGAGATTTCTCTTTGCTCGGTTGTGCTTGGAATATTTGCCTCAGGGGGCCAGCAAGGGTAGAGTGCGGTCCAATCTCTAAAAATAGTTGTACCGGTCCGTTGTCATCCAAGATACCCTGCACTGCATCTCTAAACAAAACGGGAGATGACAAGTTCTGGGACCAATACGCGGTATCAAGTTTGGTAGGTTCAATAATCAGTGTTGAGGTTACACTCGAATAAAGAGGAAGCATGGAGCTATTGTGACATATATGCGGTGATATCAGTGACTCATAAGTTTGTCTGGGCCTCAGCATGTGGTGGGAATGATAGGCAACATCCACGGCAAGACGCCTGCACATAACACTCTCATCAGTGTTGTGAATTCTGTCGAGAACGCGGTCCAAGGTTTCCTTATCGCCTGATAGTGTGACGCTAATTGGGCTATTCTCACATGCAATAGTCACGCCTTCTTCCAAGTACGTGCGGGCAGTGTTCGGGCTAATACCAACAGCGGCCATTGCTCCGGAACGGCTCATGGACAAACCTTTTATAGCTTGGCCACGGAAATAGGACAGAATGATAGCGACACGAGCGGATGTAGCTCCAGAAGCATACGCTGCAGCTATTTCACCACTTGAATGGCCCACCACTGCCGATGGAACGATACCCCACTCCCGCAGTAGATTGACGAGAGCAATCTGGATCGCTGTACAAAGAGGTTGGGCAAATTCAGCATGTCTCACGCGGCTGATCGTCTCATCTTTAGAAAGTTCCTCTGGCCTTGGTGAGTGGGAATGATGACCGCAGTTTAAAGTAACGGGGATAGCATACCTTCAATACTCCAAGGAGGCGCTTCCCTCAGTTCCGCCAAAATCTTGTCCATCCAGTGAATGTCTTCCCGGAACTTTGGGAATCTACGCATAAGTTCCATCCCCATCGTCGGCCACTGGGCTCCTTGGCCAGTGAATACGAAAACTGGACATGGAGCCGTGGATTGCGCTTTATGAAAGGTCGCAAGAGACCCATCCTTGTCAGCTACAGCAAAGGCTCTGTAAGGCAGGTGATATCGTCTTCGCGCGAGGGTGAAAGCTAGATCATTCAAACATGATGGATTAGCTTCTATATACCTTGTAATCCTTCCAATTTGCTCATCTAGCGATTTCTTCTCCTTTGCCGAGAGAACCAAGAGGTGGTAATCTGGCTCCGAGGCCAGTCGTGCTTCTGGACTACTTTTCCGCAGTACAGAAGATGCAGAATCTAATATAACCTGGCAGATTTAGTATTCTAGATCACTGATGCATCGACTCTAAAGATAGATATGCGTACATGAGCGTTGGTCCCCCCAATACCAAATGAATTGACGCTGACCCTCTCTTTCCTATCGGCCGGCCATGGTGTTGGCTCCACAGGCACTTTCAGTTTCGCATCCTCGAAGGGGACTATATATTATGAAGCCAATCAGTGAGTGGGTCGAATAATTGCCTAGAGAAAGGCACGCAACACCCACTCTTCGGGTTTGGGGTGTGGAAGTGCACGTTGGGAGGAATGATGTTCTTCTCTAGTGCCAAGACGCACTTGATGATACTCGTGATTCCTGACGCGCCTTCTGAGTGACCGACATTGGGCTTAACCTTCTTAGGATTAGCAACCCCTCCAAATCAAAGTTCTTGAAGCGAAATATCAACGACGTACTGCTCCAATATATATTCCCTTCTTGCCAAATATGCTGGCCACACCAGTCGTTTCTGCAGTATCTCCAGCTATGGTACCTGTTCCATGACACTCGAAAAATGCAGTCTTCAAGATATCATCACCTTCGATGTGGGCCTTTTTATACGCTCGTCTAATCAACCTCTCTTGTGCTTTAGAACCGGGAGTAGTAATGCTGGGTGTTTTGCCGTCACAGTTGACCGCCGTCGACCGGATAATGGCACGTATGGGGTCGGCATTTGCTAGTGCATCATCGAGTGGCTTGATATATACTGCGTTTATTGCCTCGCCTCTTCCGTACCCATCAGCAGCGGCATCAAAGGTTCTGCAGAGTCCACTGGCCGAGAGAACCAAGTTTTCTGACATCGTTGTCGTCATGGTCGGGCTCATGATAAGGCTTGTTCCGGCAACAATCGCAGATGAGCATTCTCCGGTATATATTGCCTGGCACGCTTCGTGCAAACCGACCATGGATGACGAGCAACCTGTTCGGACGGTGACACTTGGCCCTGTCAAGTCGTATTCATATGAAACCCGGTTCGACAGGGCAAAATCACCAGCGCTCATTACCCGATATCTATCATGTTGTTGTGTGTCCTTGCTCAGGAGGTCCAACCAATCTTCCCCGAAGACGCCAACGAAGCATCCTATATTCGTACCCTGCCAATTCGTCTGGCCAGCATTTTCCATGCACTCCCAGACCACCTCCAGCAGGAGTCTCTGTTGGGGATCAAGCTTCTCCGCTTCAAGTTTACTTATTCCGAAGAAGCCGATGTCTAGTTGCGCAATATCTTGCTCTAAGAAGTAACCATATTTTGTCCGGACGGCACCTTCGCGGGCCTCGTCATAGAATGCATCCACGTTATACCTCGTTTCAGGAACCCTACATAGGCCATCGCGCTTGTTGACAAGGAAATCCCAAAATTCTGTTCCAGACCTTACCCCACCAGGAAGCCTCATCCCCATCCCCACAATGGCGATAGGGAAGGGAACCGGGTATTCCCTGACATTGTCGACAGCGTACTCTGTCACTCTGCCCCTGTTCAACCAGACCGGAGTCGGCTTGCGGACTGAGTTGGGATCTTTAACTTCTGCGGCTTCTGGAAATGCTACATTGCTACAGCATTGTTCCATACTTGCAGAAATATCCAGACAGACAAGGCCGAGTCTTGTTGAAATAATTACCAACGGTTGCTGAAGCGGAACAACCGTATCGGAAGGTAATCTATAAGACAAGAGGGGTATATTGTCATAACTAATAGGTCAAAGGTATTTTATACTATGTGAGCGAGCGATTCTCATACTACCTCTCTGCAGCCCCGTCACGTCGTACATATCAGCAGAGATGCGGTATATTTTGTATGCGTGGAAGCCTCCATTTCTTATGGTTGGTTGGTTCTCAGCGGTTGTTCTGCCTATCATCTACAGCGGTTTCCTCAAGTACTCATACTACAAGCCGCTAGATATACTATTTCCTCGATACAATCGACACATCTGATCTACATGTCATGCCTCATAGATAGGCTGTGCTGCACATTAGCACGATTGTAAGGAATGCAGCTTTTGTATACAACAGGTTACAACAGCGGTCTTCCCAGAGACGTGCCATATACCTATTATCATATTTCGCTAGGCAGACCTGGCCATAATCGCCACGAGGTAGCTTTTGAGGTTATTAATTCATTGAATTCCGTTGCATATGCTTTTCATTTCCCGAGAAGCACTTCGGTTCCCGGTTGTCTTTATTTTTCTGGCGAATGCATCGGGATATTTCGACCTCCATGTACGGCTATTTTCTATCGGCAGGATATAATGTTCTCGTGACACGAACACACGTATTACAGTGCACAGAGTTATTCATGATTATTGAGTAACAAGTGCAATTATGCCGAATACATTCAACATGCACTTGGAACTTAGGGAAGCAGTCTGCTCATTGATCGAAGAAGGGTGGATTCAATGCTCTTGCATGCATCATGCATGCGCTTGAAGTATATGTAGTAGCTCTACTCTGTATAGCTGATGCCTGAAGGTGCTCTGAGCTTACTTTGCCTTGTTCCTCCTAGCAAATACTAGATACATCTGGACCTAGACTCTACTGTCTTTAGTATGCGAAAATCAGCACATGCAGTATATGTTTGAAGACCACGAACCTATACTATACCAGGCATGTAGCGCACTACGTAATATGTGCTTGCAAATCCATAGCCAGTACCAACATATTGGACATAACATCCAGAGAAGCCCTCGCGATATGCGCTGCCTTGTGACCAGGCATGGGCGTAACCTAATTCTCGCAGGAAAAGCCAGAAAATACGTCCATTAACTTCAGCAATTCAGCCCAACGCAGATCTTTCTGGACTTCGATGTTGCCATCTGGCGTCATGACCTTGTAGTCATCGCATTTCTTCGTACCGTAGCAGTAATCATTGTCTCCGCTGACGAATGCAACTAGGCCGCTAATCCAGTTGTCCATCAGCTGTCGCTCAGCAGGCTTCGGTCCATGCATCACCAAGTAACTAGATGAAACCCGTTAGAAAGATGTTTGACTGAAACGAAAATCAAGGGATGGGTCTTCCAAGTCTCATACGTACTTCCATATTGGTCTATCCATCGCGTGGCTGACTCCGAAGGCAGCAGGCGCTACCCTTTCGGTAATAAAGGACATACGGTATGCAATAAGATACCGCCACACATCTTTAATATCCACTCCGTGTTGTAGTAAGTTATGGACCAAAAACCGCGACGGAGCTCGGACCTGACCATCGGAGACAATTCGTCCGAACACAGTTTCCCAATCCTCTTTTCGGTCGGAGTCAGGAAGATGGTAATGCTGCAACAATCTGGATGTCGTCGATGGGGAATAATAATTGGAAATCTGCAACTCTAGAGATTCCTTGTTGGCCTGTGGCCCATTCGTCACGGCGTATAATGTTTCCTCGTTCAGAACCTCTCCGATAAATAAACGCAAGTGACGTCTCTTGAACTCATTCGCAAATGACCCATCCCGATAATATTCAAAGATGCCAGGGTGGATAAAAATGCCATCAGTAACAGGTCGGAATGTGTGATGCTTTAGTTTCATGACCGACTCGCACAACTCCTCGGCATCAATCCGGCGCAGCCGCTGGAGCTTTTCGGGCCCTGGTGTTTCTGGCGATATCTTAAAATACTCGCACAACTCATCGAACTGGGACTGACAGTCTTCTGGTGTTTTCGGTTGAGTGGGAATCGCATTAGAATACATCACCAATCGTCGGAAATGATTGCGGGCGGACTCGTCCATCGATCCCCGAAAATCGTACAGCGTCTGTGCCTGAACGGCGTATGCGCCCGCGCTGCGTCCCGACAGCGTAATGTTCTCAGGATCCCCACCGAAGGCTGAAATGTTTTGATAGACCCACTCCATTGCCAGTCGCTGGTCCCAAAGGCCATAATTTCCCACTTCTTGTCCACCGGATTCCTCTCTCAGTTCTTCACCGGCCAGGAATCCGAACACGTTAAGACGGTAACCCACCGCGACAAACACAGCATTCAACCGGCCGGTGGAGATAAGTTCAGTCGGATCCATCGATTCTTCCTGACTAGGGTCACCGATCTGGAACCAACCACCATGGAACCAGATCATCACCGGCCATTTCGGATTCGTCTCGTTGGGGTTTCCGACCGGGGTCCAGATATTCAGGCGCAAGCAGTCCTCCCCAAAGACATGTTGCGGAAGTTGTTTCTTCACAGAAGCGGAGTAGCTGGATTGTAAGCAGACTTTTCCAAACTTTGTCGCGTCGTATGGCGTACCGTCGGGAGACGAATATGAGAAGGACTCTGGCAATGGTCGTGGTTTTCGCCATCGATACTCACCCGTCGGTGATAGAGCGTAAGGTATGTCAGCGTATCGTCGAGATTTGCCGTCAAATTGGAGGCCGCAAATTTTTCCAGCATTGTTGTATAGTTGTACTTCACACTCATTTGACTGGTAGTTTGAAAGTACGTTTCCCATGTTGCCTTGTTTGGCTTACGAGGATCTTCTTCCAGTGGTTAAGGTTTCTCGTCGATATATATTTTTGAGATATTCTATGACGCAACAGTGGTGGAACCTTAACAAGTGAGACACAAGAGACATCAAAACAAACTATATGAAATAGAGATTATCCAAACAAGAAAGATAAATGAGAACAAAATAAAAACAAGGGTGAATGGACAAGTATCTCGCGACTTGTTGGCTGCTCTGGTCAGGTGCAATACGCGATGAGGAAGCGGAATGATTGGTCCGTTTAATCGACCGGCACGGGGAAGCTAAAAATGTGGAGGCAGGCTTTGATAGTAGTAGTAATCCCAAACACCTGCTTGGCGAGTCACTCTTTATCTTTCCCCTCCTAATAACGATAAGAGCTTCAACGAAAGTCAAACAATAATAGCATACAGAGTAGAGTATCTTCCTAGGCTCAATGGATCAGGGCGATACCGTTCGACCCCGTCGGAAACGCGTCGAGCGCGGCAAACGCTCAAAGGATGGTGGGTTCAACCACTGCTTATCCGTAATGGAGACCAATACTTCCCTTTAGCAATACTGACATGACTGAAAATTGAGGTTGCCGAACCTGTGTTGCTAAAAGGGTCAAGTGTGACGAACAGCGTCCTATCTGTGGACGATGTGCGCGTCTTCAGTTGGTGTGCGAATGGACACCCCCGCGACCTCCTTTGTCTTCGAGACGGAGGGGTTTGGCCCAATAAAACATAGGAACAGCGAGTCATGGACTCCTCCACCGATATTACCAAATTCAAGGTTACCTTATCAGCCATGGGAGGCGTCCAGCATCAGTCTGCCCTCCCAGGAAAGCGGATTAGGCTCATCGATATTGAACGAAGACAAATATGAAGGAGGTGCTACGGTACACTCCAGGGTCCAGGTATTAGCGTCAGAAATGGGTATTCCGTCGCCTCTACTGTCTTTCAATTCCACGGACGTTTCCATCTTTGAACCAGTGGGATGCCCTTCGTCGACTATATCAGTACTAACACCAGAACAACAAGCGGATGAAGAACCAACACCATATCTTTCGGATACGAGACTGAGTGTCCAAGCTGGTATCTACGAAGCACATCACGCGGTAGATGATTACCCTGCAAACAGCCTGTTGGAACCTATCACTTTGCTAGTTATGAATTACACGCGCAGCATTCCAACATATGGTGTTGAAGACATGCAGGCATTGTCTTTTCATCGGACCATCCTTGGGCCAATGAAGTCAACACGCACCCCTACTCACTCAGCTCAATCTCTTTTCGTTAATTATGTCATAGACAAGCAAATGGCACTTCACTTCCTGCTCGCCGTCGCCCACAGTGAGCTCTCACTGTACTATGGCAATGGGCTCGTTCTACCCCAAAGGTCTTATCAGCACTTCGACCAAGGTACAAAGCTACTCCGGCACGCTTTAACCCCGCAAGGGCCACCTGATCACGTTAACATGATGCTCTCCTTTTTGTACATGTATATGTTTTGGATGCGTCGCGACCAGCCAGTCCCACAAAAGCTGGGGGAATTGAGTCGAACAGTAGTGAACTACGTGCGGACCCACAAGGTGGATGAATTCTGTACTACTGATAACGTGGACCTCTTCCCCGAGGCTTTCGCTGCTGGACTATTAATCCCAGGTCAAGTCCTTCTCGCGCGAATCTTTACATATTTATACGATCGCGACGGCTTCTGCTCCTTCTTCGGGTGCGGTGGCTCCTTCGCTACATTTGTTAATGATGACTACTCTAAGAGGCGTAAAATATGGAGGCTCTCGCGGACCGTATTTCTTTTGTTTCCGGAAGAACACGGGCTTCCTAGTGGCAGCTTGCCAGAGGTCCATGAAGCAGCGATATTGGAGCTTTATTTCACGCTCATTACCATTCACCATGAAATTAATATCTACAGTCAGACCGGGGTGCTACACCGGTGCGGTGATGAACGAAGATTAAAGCAGCACCTAGATGGATTGAAAAAGGTACATACGATTGCATATCCAGTTGTCAAGTGTCGTAGGGTTTGACTGATTGGAATAGGAGTACTCTTGCGTCTTTTCACTGGTCGCAAATAGCGAACCACTGAGCACTTGTCGTCCGTCCTTGATGGAGTGTGTTACTGTGACCTTTTTCTACGCTCTGCAAATATACCTTCACCGGAGCTGCGAATCGGCCTTCGGTGCAGATCCTGTATCCGAAGAAGTCCGCTGCGCTCTCAGCTCACTAATCACTTCTGCATACAATACAGTTACCATTGGACCCGCCCAGTTGCTGGAACGATTCCAGTGGTCTCTGTTCATTGGGGGGATTGAGACACGCGATCCTGTACATCGAGAGTGGATCGTAACGCATCTTTCAGACCCCGCACTTAAGAGAATCTTTCAGCTCATGCAGGAAGCAAAGAGACATTCTCCAGTAACCATGCAAAGCATCCGACGAATAGTTGGTGGTGAGCCGCGATGAGACGGCTTAGCTGCAGCCCTTGGCTCCTTTTCTTTGCTGACATCCCTGCAGTCTTGGCGTCCTCAATGAGCATATCCTTCATGAGGGTTGGCCAATGTCATCCAATTGACTCTTCGGTAGTCTGTCACGAGAAGCCCTCTCGAGTGACACGATCTCTTTGTGGTGAAAATCAACAAGCTGGGGGTTGTCCGTAATTTGCGGGGGTGGAGACGGTCTTTTAACTGCCGGAGTCGGGAAGTCCGCCACTGACGCTTCGCCCCGACCTCGGCCCTCTCCCGTCGATTAAACAAGCCAATCATTTCGCCCTGATCGCCAGTGTAGGGTACTATCATCCCCACATTGAAAGCAAGGGGGCTGTTGATTGCTGGCAATGAACCCAACCTAATAGCCACGCGTGAACCGAGAGTCCTTTTGATTGTGCTTTCTTATCCACGACATCCTAGGTTAAATGTCTCTATTCGTGTCGATTACTGTTTAAAATTGGGATGCCCGTCCCGATATCTTGACTTTCCCATCTCTCGTCTCACTTGACATCGACTGTTAATTTCACACCGCAGCGATCACGAAGAAGAGTTCACTGGTTCTCAGCCCTTGTTGTCTTGTCGGTCATGGAAGAAAAATCTCGATCTTGTCTTGACCGGGACGCAAAATGTACCGCGCCCTCGAACGCTGTCGACGGACAGAAAGAACGTGGATCGGTTGACGTACTTGGCCCGGAGGAGGAAAAGAGGCTGGTGAGGAAGATCGATTTCCAGTCAGTCCTTTTCGTGACATGTATGGAGGGCCTTTCTGACTCACATCCTTAGTTTGATGCCATTCTTGATCATTAGCTATGGCCTTCAGTTCCTGGACAGTCAGTATACTATTACCTATTGAATTAAGATAGCGTGCATGCTTATAGAGCCCATAGAGACAAGTCTATCTTACAGTGCAATTCTTGGATTAAAGGAGGATCTAGTGTGTTATTATTAGACCCCTGGATGTCAAATATTCGCCTTTATACTGACTACTAAAAGCACCTTGTCGGGCAAGAATACAGTTGGGCTTCCAGTATCTTTTACATCGGCTATCTCGCAGCTTCGTATCCAATTTCCCTTGGATTCGTCAAATTTCCCCTGGGAAAATACCTTAGCCTACTCATGTGAGTTGAGCTTGTTCGATGGTGATCTTATCTCGCTGAGAAATTGTAGCTTCCTCTGGGGCGTTGTCTTGACTTTCCATGCTCTTGCTGAAGATTACGCCGGGCTCATGGTCTTGCGAACCTTTTTGGGTGTGTTTGAGAGCGCTATCAGCCCAGGCTTCTCATTGATAACTGGAATGTGGTACACGCCATCAGAGCACGTTTCTCGCCACACATTCTGGTTCGCAGGAAACGCCAGTTTCCACATGATCGGGTCGCTGATTGCCTACGGCATTGCGCATTATCGGGATCACTTCCCACAATGGAAGGTTTGTCTGCCCTTACACCCTAGTTTGCCCATAAGCGAATTTACCAAATGTGTAGATGTTGTTCCTTATTTTTGGTCTCATAACTGTGGCGTGGTCGGTTGTATTGTGGTTCTACTTGCCAGACTCTCCTTCGAATGCTCGCTTTCTCTCTTCTTCCGAACGTGAATTTGCTTCTCTACGCCCGAAGAAATTTCAACGAACGACCCAGACGAAAGAATGGGATAGAAATCAATTTATTGAATCCCTCACAGATCCTAAAACATGGTGGTTACTGATCTTCTCATTCGTTATCTGTGTGCCAAATGGGGGCACGACTAGCGTATGTATATCCTAGGCTTGGGTTTTAGCCGTTCCTTTTAGTATCGATGTTCATCGTTAGCGTTGTGCCTCGGACAGAAAGCTAACAGCAAGAAGTTCCAATCTCTCCTGATCGCGGGCTTTGGCTACGATAAATACCAAACCATTCTTATGGGTCTTCCCGCCTCGGCATTTCAGTTGGTTGTGGTCTTACTGGCAACTATATTCTGCATGAACGTCCGCAAGTCCCGTTTAATTGCAATTATCATGATATTCGCTATGGCCCTCGCGGGTATTTTGATGGTCAAATTGCTTCCATCAGAACAAAAGCTGTCCCGGCTCGCCGGGTACTGGATGTCTTCGGCAATCGCTCCAGTGTTTCCACTCATGCTGTCCCTCCACGCAAGTAACACGGCCGGGTTTACCAAAAAGTCAACCGTTGCGGCATTGGTCTTTGTGGGCTACTGTGTTGGAAACCTGATCGGCCCCCAGTTTTTCAAAGACTCGGAAGCACCGTACTACCCTGTAAGTCATAATCCGGTCTTCTATTGATGTGTTGGAAGGAAGGCTGACGCGGCTCTCTATTAATAGACTGCCTACACCACTATTGTGATTTGTTATGCTATAGCTATGGCCTTGGCGGTTGTGTTTTGGGTCTACTTGGGGTGGGAAAACAGGCGACGTGATAAGCAGCAGGGAGTGCACATCGATCCGGAGGAAGCCCGGGAAATTGACCTGCACACGGACGAGGCCTTGGACCGCGCCGATGAGACGGAT